CGGACGCACACGAGCAGCTGCAGCATATATACCGTGGACCGGGAGTAACCGACGGGATTAAGGTGGCTCTAAAGCTTAATTTCGGCCTCCCAACGGTTTTTTGACGCATAAATCACGGACTTACGAACATATATGCAACCCCGGAAATCGATCCCGGAATTGATTATGCATATGTGCATTTCGGAAGTGGGATATGGGATTAAGGCATACGGATATGGAATGATGTGCATATCGGAAGAATATCATGCATACGGAAAAATACCAATCATATACCCCGCCTAAAGCGGGGTCATCAGAAGTCTAGCTATTACACAGTAAAAATTGAGGTACTAAATTCAGTCCAAATCACGAGCTAGCGTACTCCACATACTACCGGACGACTCACTAAATAGATACTGGCATTATAAAGTGTGAAATCGGCCAATCACGCCCCCAGAAAAGAGTGGAAATTATGCTGGGTGTTAGGATGTTCAAAAGTGGGTGTATGGGTGTCAGAGGTTTTGTGCCCTGAATTTTAAATTACACAAAGCTAGACCCAAATTTGAGGGGCGCACGACTTCTCCAATTTTATTTAGAGCGCTTATCTGGAGCTAGGGTAATGTCGTGGCGTGGTTAATGCTCTCTGGGCTTAAAATCAACCGGATCCATCGAGCGGTTGTCGAGATATCGCTATCGAATAGTTGGAGTCGATTGTAAAAAAAGTGGTGTCTGGATGTTGAGACCGGAATTCAAAAATGACCCTGATATTTGGATTTTTACACTGATTTTGAATACAAAATTTTGAGATCCGGGGGGGACTGAAAATGTGCCATGCTCATATCTCGATCAATATTAACGTGAGGGCTTATCTGGAGCTAGGGTAATGTCGTGGCGTGGTTAATGCTCTCTGGGCTTAAAATCAACCGGATCCATCGAGCGGTTGTCGAGATATCGCTATCGAATAGTTGGAGTCGATTGTAAAAAAAGTGGTGTCTGGATGTTGAGACCGGAATTCAAAAATGACCCTGATATTTGGATTTTTACACTGATTTTGAATACAAAATTTTGAGATCCGGGGGGGACTGAAAATGTGCCATGCTCATATCTCGATCAATATTAACGTGAGGGCTTATCTGGAGCTAGGGTAATGTCGTGGCGTGGTTAATGCTCTCTGGGCTTAAAATCAACCGGATCCATCGAGCGGTTGTCGAGATATCGCTATCGAATATTTGGAGTCGATTGTAAAAAAAGTGGTGTCTGGATGTTGAGACCGGAATTCAAAAATGACCCTGATATTTGGATTTTTACACTGATTTTGAATACAAAATTTTGAGATCCGGGGGGGACTGAAAATGTGCCATGCTCATATCTCGATCAATATTAACGTGAGGGCTTATCTGGAGCTAGGGTAATGTCGTGGCGTGGTTAATGCTCTCTGGGCTTAAAATCAACCGGATCCATCGAGCGGTTGTCGAGATATGAAGCATTAGAAAATGTCCATTTTGTGTAATTTAAAATTCAGGGCACAAAACCTCTGACACCCATACACCCACTTTTGAACATCCTAACACCCAGCATAATTTCCACTCTTTTCTGGGGGCGTGATTGGCCGATTTCACACTTTATAATGCCAGTATCTATTTAGTGAGTCGTCCGGTAGTATGTGGAGTACGCTAGCTCGTGATTTGGACTGAATTTAGTACCTCAATTTTTACTGTGTAATAGCTAGACTTCTGATGACCCCGCTTTAGGCGGGGTATATGATTGGTATTTTTCCGTATGCATGATATTCTTCCGATATGCACATCATTCCATATCCGTATGCCTTAATCCCATATCCCACTTCCGAAATGCACATATGCATAATCAATTCCGGGATCGATTTCCGGGGTTGCATATATGTTCGTAAGTCCGTGATTTATGCGTCAAAAAACCGTTGGGAGGCCGAAATTAAGCTTTAGAGCCACCTTAATCCCGTCGGTTACTCCCGGTCCACGGTATATATGCTGCAGCTGCTCGTGTGCGTCCGAAAGCTACATGGTCTCGGATAAACTCTTGACCCTTGGGTTGAGAGTAGGTGTTGCAAACACCACGTAAATCGCTTCAAAGCATCACTTCGCTTCGTAATAGGCTGTACTACATCGCTAGTGGTTGAAGTCTTTAGTTGATCAGCTCTTAATGTCTAATAGCTAGGCCCCTGAGCACCCCGCTTTAGGCGGGGTAGATGATTGGTATTTCTCCATATGCATGATATTCTTCCGATATGCACATCATTCCATATCCGTATGCCTTAATCCCATATCCCACTTCCGAAATGCACATATGCATAATCAATTCCGGGATCGATTTCCGGGGTTGCATATATGTTCGTAAGTCCGTGATTTATGCGTCAAAAAACCCTTGGGAGGCCGAAATTAAGCTTTAGAGCCACCTTAATCCCGTCGGTTATTCCCGGTCCACGGTATATATGCTGCAGCTGCTCGTGTGCGTCCGAAAGCTACATGGTCTCGGATAAACTCTTGACCCTTGGGTTGGGAGGAGGTGTTGAAAACACTACGTAAATGGCTTCAAAACATCACTGCGCTTCGTATTAAGCTGTAATACATCGCTGGTGGTGATAGAATCGGGAAATAGAGCGTTTCTGTGGAATCAGTGAGCATGTAGAAATTCAGTTTTGCTTTTAGGGGGAAGTGCAAAATACTCAATTTTCGTTCTATCGACTTTCTAATACTTGCAGCTGGTCCCTGAGACGTCTATGAACATAAATATTGGTTTATTAGGACGTTTCCAGTCTAAATATTCTGCTTGGTAGCAAAGACATTTTCCCAACCTGTTCAGGTTGCAATTGCCTATGACTATCCTGCATTATGTATGGTATATATGCAGGTATATGATAACATGAAGGACTTCAAGCTAATAATTTAATCAATATACAGGAAAGTTCTATGTTCAATATTTTGTTGCCTACAAATTTGATTTTAGTTCTGTTAGAAATGACATTATACAGGATATTATAGCTCTCCTGCATCTACTTTTGTGTTAACCTACAGGACTAAACCTAATTAAGTATTATGCGGTCCTCATATCTGGCATATACAGGAAATCTCTACATTTTAGGCGGGGAAGAGTCGAATATGACGTCAAATACGGGTTCATGTCGATTTCAAAGGCGGAAGACAATTCCTATGAGGGAGACTAGATAATTAGTATATACAGTACATATTAGATAAGCTGTTTAATTTTATTACTATTATCCTAATATTTTTAGAAACTGAATGCCAGATCTACTACAAATATATCATATTGAATTCAAAACAACATTAAGATAGGTCTGACCGTAGTGATGGACCCCAGTGACATACACCTTTGGGCGTCCTTCAAGTAGAGGTGGTGTGGAGTGCAGGTCATCAACTAGTGGTCCAACCGTAGTGGTGGACCCCAGCGACACCCATGCACTACCAGACCAACCCCTAGAAGGGCTGCCCCAGTGCATGCTACACACTACCTGGCCAAATGGCCAGCTAGTCACCCAGCAAGGCTGATATGTGTACGGAACATAGGTGAAGTAGCGTCCAGAGACAGAATCTAGTGCTGGCCATCGACTCGATCTCCACTCGTAAAAGTGGATCCGAGTGACGTCCGCACACTAGCAGACCGGCTCTGGAGACCCACCCCAGCACGTGCCGCACACCCTCAGACTACGCCCATACCTCAATGTATGGGCGCCTCATTGGGCGCTTACAAATACACCTACAGATCAAAATGGACCATGTGTACTCTACCCTGGCAGCCCGACTTCCTGTCCCGAACTAAATATGTACCTCATAACAGTACGCCATACTTCCAAGTTCATCCAAAGGAGAATGGAGGCTTGAGATAACTGTAGAGCTCTTAGACATTTACTATGTCTCACAAGTGCAGGTCGATAAAAGAGCTAACCATAATGAAACCTAGTACCAATATCATTAAGGAACCACAACAACCAAGAACAAACAACAAATGTCAACATGAGTGACAGGGATCCACAGAATGATGAGACCAATTACCAACAACTAACGACCAACAACCAACAAGAACCAATAACAAAGGTCAAAATAAGTGAAAAGGATCCATGAAGAACAATAATGACAACCAACGACTAACAGCAACCAACAACAGAGTTCAACATAAGTGAGAAGGATCCACAAAATAATAAGACCAATAACCAACGACTAACAACAACCAACAACATAGTTCAACATAAGTGAGAAGGATCCACAAAATAATAAGACCAACAACCAACAACATAGTTCAACATAAGTGAGAAGGATCCACAAAATAATAAGACCAATAACCAACGACTAACAGCAACCAACAACAGAGTTCAACATAAGTGAGAAGGATCCACAAAATAATAAGACCAATAACCAACGACTAACAGCAACCAACAACAGAGTTCAACATAAGTGAGAAGGATCCACAAAATAATAAGACCAACAACCAACAACATAGTTCAACATAAGTGAGAAGGATCCACAAAATAATAAGACCAATAACCAACGACTAACAACAACCAACAACAGAGTTCAAAGATCAACACTGACACAAATCAACTGCTTTAGGCAACCAAGAATAGAAGTCAAAATCATAGTCATGTTAAATCAACCACCTTTCTGATTAGTGGTGTAGATGCAAATTAAGTAAAAGGTTGCTGAAGCACATCCATGGGATGTATTCAGATTTATTTTCCAATGCTTAAACAAGTCAAGAATCGTAGAACACAAACAGTTAAATATCAATGTATCAACTACCACCGATAAAGAGAGATGTCAATCTACTTCAACAATTCACAATGACAACTAAAATTGATCAACAACGGAAGTCAAAACACGTCACTGTTAACCAAAGTCTTTACTGGTGTCCTATATTGTTGTTAGTATAGTAAAGCTGTATCAATAATGAAAGAAGAGGCGGGGAGTGGGCTACTCACAGTATTTGGATTTTGGATCGAGGGAAATAAATTTGAGAGAAGAAAAGAGTGATAGAAAAGTAAAAAAAGTATTTTGGGGAAAAGTGGGAATTGGCTGTCCTTAAATATTTTTCAAAACCAAAGGACCACAAACAACAGAGTGAGACCACAAACAACAGAGGTGACCACAATCTCAAAAGAAATATTAGTATGGGGTACTACCCTGTTACCATGCATAATTACAGTGTATGGGGTGCACAATTTGCACCCCCTCTAATATGCACAGTAAGTAAATTACAGCCGTACCAGAAGCTTCCGCCGTCCCCCCTTTGTAGCAGTTTGTAATTGGAAGAACATAAACCATCAGACCTATACTAATAATCATATTTATCTATGATAACTCAATATACTTTAGATAGCCCCAGTACCGACTTCCCCCGTTCGAAACAAGCTAAAATTGCATATTCTAAAAATTCAGTGTTTGTGTATTTGTGTGGAGATAAGAGGGGTCCCATTAAATGTAGTAGTTTACTACAGCTGTACTAGAAGCTTCCACCTTCCCCCTTCAATGCAAGTTTCTTATTGGAATTAGTACAGCGAAAGAGTTGATACTATCAACCACATTTTTTATAGACACTCACCATACTTTTGATAGTACCAGTACCAACTTCCCCCGTTTAAAACAAGCCAAAATTGTATGATCTAAAACTCCAATATGTCTGTGTATTTGGGAGGGAACAAGGGGCTTTCAATTAATGCTGCAGTCAAAATATCCCTGCAGAAAAAATATTCATTCAAAGGGGGTGCTAGCTTACGCAGTTACTTGTGTACAACAGGTTCGCCACCTCCCTCCCTTTGGTACAAGTCTGTATTTGAATAAAACTACTAACGAGTAATACTATCGATCACATTTATATATGGTAATTCACCATACCTTTGATAGTACCAGTACCAATTTCCCCCGTTTAAATTAAGCTGAAATTGCATATTTTAATAATTAATTGTCTCTGTGTATTTGGTTAGCGATAAGGGGGATTTCAACTAAAACTGCAGCTGAAATATTCCCCCAAAACCGCAGTCAAGAGGTGGTACCATTTTGACATTGCACCAATATTGCGGCTAAAAAATATATTACTTAATATAAAAATTAGGTTTTGTGGATCTTGAAAAAATCTTAGATAGAAGCTGTTGCAAAACTAGATAATCAGATATGGTAGCCATTTGGGCCGATTTAGTCTTCATTTTACTTGACATGTTATGTTCTGAATGAGCCGAATACAACGAGACCCATATTGTTAGATCTTGCTTTGGACAGGCCGTCAAAAAATATATAATGACTTAAAAATCGTTTGCCACAAACCTGGAAGGGGCGGGAGGAAGGAGGGGGGGCCACATTTATTTTTTGGCAGCCAACTGCTCCCTCGTAAATTATTTTTTCGGCTAATATGAAGGAATATGCGACAGTTTAAAACAACTCTTTGACATCCCTGAGTGATGAACTCTTTTATTGTATATTCTACCGATTTTTTATACCAATACTACTTGAGAGTAGTTCTACTTCTTATACTAAATATACCAAATATAAAGTGGAACACTTTGCTTATGAATCCCGTCTATAGTAGTATGACGCACATTTTTCGGCGATAAATATGTTGCAGTAAAAAATAAATGCGGAGTGTAGATACGGACAACACACGACTTTCTGTAACAAATCTTTTGCAGCACATTGAAGGGGGGAATTTAAAAATTTGGGATATGTATTGTGCTGTAAATATAATTATCAACACGATTAGAGATCGTAGAGAGATGGGGAAACTCCGCACCTGATGATATTAGACTATACTCGAAGAAATACTTAAATTACTTAAAAATGAAGAAATGGCACGAGATCAAGGAGATATTATGTTTCAATTTGACAACCCCAACAATTTGAATTGGCAACCAAGGTACATAAAATTAACCACAAAAAAGGTGCATGTGGTCATTCATTTTGTTGAGAATACTTGGGTGGCAAAATGGGGGCTAGTCATGAATCCACATATCAACTATAGAGAATTATACACGTCGTACAACAGACGTGTATAATATATCCCGAACAACAATGACCAATTAAGTAAACACAGACTTTGAAAGATTACAGTACACAGTAGTTTACAGAAGTAATTATCAAATAATTCAGGTAATTAATAAGAGATGCTATTTGATGACAGGGTATGGCAATTCATTGAGATAAACGAGCAGAACAACAGGGACATCTTGAGAGGCTGTCTCTAAGCTTATCTCCAGAGCCCTACGTATTTACGAGATCACAGCACAGAGAAATATAAATGAACAAAGAGAACAATACCCTGTTACTTATTCACGATTGATAGTGGGTCCACATCCGTTGGATCGACTAGCGCCGCATTAGAATTTTGGCACCCTAATCAACCAATGTAGCTTGTATTTCTGCAGTTATTAACATGTTGCTCTTTTCATTTAGATTTATATATAGAAAATCAATATACTGTAGATAGTCGTAGTACAGACCCCCCTCCCCCGTATGAAGCATGTAGATATAGTACTTTTTAATATATGTGTAGTCTTTTATTTGTGTTGAGATAAGGGGTTCCATATTGAGAGACTTGTAAATATAACACAGTCGAATGACTAATCTACCATTTGAAAGGTGATCTAGAGTTCCAACAGGGGTTCACTTGGGATATATAAACATGTATTTGAGGGTGGTTACACTAGACATAAAAGATCTACTACATCTTCAATTAATGGGAAAATATGTAAAAAGTGCGGATGTTTCAGGTTTTCAAAAATGGCGGTAAAAAAAAAGTAGCTGCAAATGTGGTACTTTTTCTGGTGCATAATTATTGCAGAAAATATGGGAGACTAGGGATAATGTTTAGGTTTTGTGATTCATTTTAAAACCTTGTTTATGAATTGGAACAAAATTTTGTTGCAAAACTACAATATCAGAATGGTAACCATTTGCGCCGCTTTGAACACCATTTTACTTGACATGCTGTGCTGTGAACAAGCCGAATACAACGATACCCATATTAGTAGGACTTAAATTGGACAGGCCGCCAAACAAAATTTGACAACGTAAAATTTGGTTGCCACAAACCCGGCAGGGGCGGGAGGAACCAGTGTAACAACATTTATTTTTTAGCCAACGTTCCATCGAAAAATATTTTTTTTCATGTTAGACAACTGAATGCGCGATATTATAAAACAATGATCTGACACCTTTGACTCAGTGAACTCTTTCTTTGTAATACGGCTAAACGTATGTTATTCAATTAGTACAACTTTACATCCAATCCCGCACCATTCCATTAGACTTGGTATCATAGAAAGTTCGTATCCAAAAATTGCCAGTAGTAGGACGTTGGTTTTGTAACTTTTAGCGATACATGTGTTGCAGTAAAAAATAAGTGCGGAGATCAGATCTTTCCGTATTTCTGCACCCCCGATATGGTTGAAGAACGACCTTTTGCAGCAAATTGGATGGGGGATTTTAAGATTATGGATAGACAGTGGGTGGTCAATTTAATTATTAGAACGGTTAGTTGTCCTAGAAACATGTAGAAACCGACCACACGTTGGTTGTAGGACATGGTGGATTGAATGCTAAAACAACAAGAAAAAGAAAGAATGGATACGAGGTCAAGGAGTGATCAAGATTCCAGTTTCCCAAATTATATAACCACAAAAAGGTGCATATGGTCATTGATATTATTGAAACTGTAAGGGGGGGGGGAATAACTACACACACTATATCAAAAACTATATCAAAATCCACAATCGAAAAAAAAACAAAAGCCAATGCAAGAGACAAACCCCAAAAAGCTACGCGGCTATAAAATACAGTAAATAGTATAGTACCGCACTTCCTTCCTCCGTGACCTTTTATCTTCATGATTTAAACCAATTGTCTTCACCAGTAGCTCTTGTTTTTGATACATCCATATGAGGATGCTGATCATTTTTAAGCTGTACCAAAGTCCCTGTTTGCAATATGTAATAGCTTATTCTAAAATAAATGAGTTGTTTTATATCTAGTTGAGCGTACATGTCTTTTTTATTAGAACTGCAGACAATATATCTCTGAAGAAAAATATTGGAAGTTGTAACTGTTTTGAGTTATGAATGACATACGACACTTACACGGTGATTAAAGTGAGCCCCAAATTGTTAAGTCTTTCATTGTGTAAATTACACAAGAAGAATTAGCATATACCAAAATATGGTGACACAAACCCGGAAAAAGCGCGAGTGGAGAGTGCTGTAGATAGGCTCAAATATGAACTTGGCAAGACATTTTATGGAAGGCCATAGAACGATTTCTTTGCAGCACAAATACAGAAAGGTGAACAATGTCTGGGAATCTGCTTTAGTTCCTAGATTATTAGCGGGGTTAGAAATATTTTTAAACTTAGGCTAAGCTGGCCACAGAGTAAGTTTTATTATTCTCGAAAATTGCTACAAAATTAAGTGGCACGAGATTAAGGAGATCTAGTTATCAAAGCCATATGCAACACATATTTATAGCTAAGCAAAAGTTCATCATTTATTGGTATGGGAAATAGGGAAAAGGCCTGTATATTAGGGAGGTCATTGATGTAAATTTTGGTTTTGTATTTGTGGATACTTGGTTTGTGGATTGAAGTTGTGGGGATTACTTAAGTACAAGAGGGTTATCATATATTCAGAAAAAAGTTCAATAAGATCAGTGTACAATTTGTTCCTTCGGTTAGTCCCATCATTTTTGCGTTCTACTTTTTAGAATATCCATGTATTCTGAATTGATACGCTCCATAAGATTTAATTCTTCTTCAGATTACCTTTACTAACAAATAACAAATCTTGTGATTCATCCTTAGACCTATTTGCAGTTTAATTCATGAATTAGTGTCCATGATAATCTGGCCACAGAAACCTGTGAATTTTCTCAAGTGCTATGTTCAACCAAAAGATGCGGTGCTTTGATTTTGTCCACCTGGCCATTGGTGGTCTATGCATTGCCATTACACAGTTGCTGATATGTGATTGATTATCGCTGTGTAATGAACCTTGACGTCAATCTAGTACTATCCATTTACTTTTGGGATGGAATACCGGCTCGGCATGGGCTGTTGCCGAGATTGATGCTTCGATGCTGAACTTATTGAGCTGCTCCGTTGACTCACTTTCGTTATGTGTTACTTTAGTCGACGTGCATTACTCATTCTTAAGACATAAATATATAGTGTGGATATACTAGTTCGGAACAGGAAGTCGGGTAGCCAGGGTAGAGTACACATGGTCCATTTTGATTTGTAGGTGTAATTGTAAGCGCCCAATGAGGCGTCCATACATTGAGGTATGGGCGTGGTCTGAGGGTGTCAAGCTAGTCACTTGGCCAGTTGGCGTGTAGAATGTACCTCCTTGGGGCTTCCAAGTTGTGTATGGGTGGCTCTGGGGTCTACCTCTTCGGTTAGACAACAAGTTGTTCCCTTGATCTCCACATAACCTCCTTCACAATGATCGCCCAAATATGTGTGCTACATATTATGCGCCAGAAGGTTCCAGTTAGATTGGCTAGTTGATCAACTTCTATATAGTATGCACGTAGATCAAATCGCTTGACCATTGTCCACGAACTTCGATTGTCAGTTCAACTGTGTCTGCACAAGCGCAATAGCTGTCACCCGTGGAAATTGTATTTTCTTATACTTTAGATCTGGTACACACACAAATCCAAGAAAGGTGCAGGGAAGAAAATATTTTATTTTTTATATATTGTTTGGCAGCCAAGGCTAAATATTCAGATTGTGCACGCAGTTGAGGAATGTGCATTATCTGAAACCAAACCTTTTGTAAATGTGGTAAAAAAGTATTTTTAGAAATTGACAATGCACGACCTTTTGCAGCACGCATTTTGAGTTTACAACACAATAACTCCACGGATAACTAAAACAAACCACGACGAAGTATACGTTAAGAGTATTGTATAATCATGGCTCAGTTGGTAGAAACATTACGAAACTGGGTTATGGAACAAGAGAGGAGTGGTAGGCGAGGAATGTCAAAAAATTGTCTGACCGTAGCGGCCGACCCCAGTTAAATACTCACACACACTACCCATAGAGACTTGGGTAGTGCATCGACAAACCAGCCAGACACTTGGCGGGTGTATAGCACACACCGGTAAGGACCCTCGCGGTCGGCATGGAGAGCAGGGTATCGGCCAGAGGTCCAACCGTAGTGGTGGACCCCAGCGTCACCCATACACAATCAGGCCAACCCCAAGCTGGGGTCACCCCAGCACGTGCCGCACACCGTCAGACTACGCTCACACCTCAATGTATGGACGGCTCATTGGGCACTTACAAATACAATTACAGATCAAAATGGACCATGTGTACTCTACCCTGGCTACTCGACTTCCTGTCCCGAACTAAATACTTACTCTATAACAGCACATCATCAGCAAAACCCACCAATGACCCCAGTACTTGTCATTGTACCAGTTGTCATTGCCTCAGCAGGTGCGGATTACATTTGTATCGAGTCCGAAACACTGACCAGCCAGGCACAAATGTGCAGACTCAAGTACTCCAAAGTAACTGGTCAGCAACGTACCGCAGGTGACCCAAGACTTACAAACTGCTCGCGTATCACCTGAAAACCCTACCCGGTGACCCCAGCAAGTACAAACTTACCGGTTGTCACGCCCCACCTGGTACGGATTACATTCTGACTAGACATGCACCACTGTGCAACTCGAGTACTTCAAGACTAACCAGCAACGCATCACAGGTACCCCCCAACTGTACAACAACAGTTTACTTCAATTCAAATAAACTGGGTGACCCTAGATAATAATTGTGCTATTAGATCACACCCCATCTGTAGAATTACGTACGTATCGTTGATGCAATCTAACTAGTGCCAATGATACACTGACCAGACTTGCACAACCGTACAAACTCGAGTACTTTTAAATTTGTCTGGTCAGCCGGAGATACTCCATTGTAAAACGTGCCAAAATAGCGCAGAAGAATCATCTCCAAACCCCACCAGACGTCACACTAGAGGAACATCTCATAATTCTCCACTAGATGACCCAAGTGCCAAAGCAATAGTGAGTCACCTACTAATTCCACTTCCCAACAAAATCTTCAACCCTGAAACTCCCTTGATTTGTCACCCTTTATTTGTGCAACCACATCCACATTCTTTATCCTTGTTTCTTTTTATCTTTTCCATTTTCCTCTTCAATTCTCCACCATCAAATATTTATAAATTGATTTGGCTAATGTTAACCCTTTTTCTTTAGATTATAATCACTTGTACATTCTTCATTGTTTTGCTTCCTTTGCTTCTTCTTATACTTATTCTTTTTCTGCTACCAATTTCTGTCTCAGTCCTCTTAATTGAGGATATTTAATAACATCCAGATAGGAATTCATCCTGATTCCCCAGACGTAACTTTATTGATCGATTTAACCCCCAGGAGTGAGCGACAATTACTAAGAATGTATTCCTCATTATTCTTTCTTGTATTTCTTGATATCTTTTAGTTTTTTATTTTATTGTCCCTAATCTGTTGTTCTTTTCATTCTGTCGTTTTATACTTCTTTTTAATTTTTTTCTTATACTTCTCTTCTTATTATACCTTTTTGTTCATCTTTTATTGTTTATTTTTTTCTTTATCTTTATCTTTACTTTATCCTTTCTTTATCTTTTCTATATCTTTTCTATATCTTTTCTTTAACTTTTTGTTTTCTTAACCTTAACATTAGCTTTTCATTTCTTTAACTTCATTTAACTTCATTTAACTTCATTTAACTTTCTTTTTTTTATCTTTTAACTTTAATTCTTCACATATTTTAATCTTTTCTTTATTTTTTCATTGACTTCGCTTGTACTTTGTCCGTTTTTTTATCATTTTATCATTTTATCATTTTATCATTTTATCATTTTATCATTTTATCATTTTATCATTTTATCATTTTATCATTTTATCATTTTATCATTTTATCATTTTTTCTTTATATTTTTTTCTATTCTTTATCTTTTTTCTATTCTTTATCGTTTTTTTACCTTTCATCTTATACGTTTTATCTTCATCCTTTTATCTTTATCTTTGAAACTCCAAAAGAAGCATTAACCAAATTAACTATTGTTATCTTTGTGTAGTCCAAGTATTTTTGAATAGTTAACACTTTTTCATCATGTTTTAAATTGGAGAACTTATATAACCAATCAACTACTAACGACAAGGGGTAACCCATTAGAAAATATTATGATCCATTAGTGAATATCAATTTTAAGTTGATATTGTGGATACTGTAAAAAGAAAAGTGCGTATGAAAATTTATAAGTAAGAGAAAAACATAAGTCAAGGTTGTGATTGTGATAAACCACAAATACAGGCGGGTATCGCAAAGTCACATTTTTAAATCCGTGAACAAGAAAGGAAATTCTCTCAGTGTTGTAAGTGCTATTTTATATATTCATATCCATTGGACAAGATCAATTATATAGATTCACAACATCAAAAAATTGCATTCAATAAATCGCTTCACTCTAATCATTAGTATCAATACAAATATAGCCCCAAAAGGTAGTATTGATATAAAAGATTTAGAGTTAGAACTAAATCAAGGTAGATATCTTAATGTGTTAACGTGCAAAGAGAGAATTTTTATTTGCTTGAAAAGATAGAAATTACCATGGGGTGAGATTGCACATTTTCTTATTTCTATTATTTTTTCGAATAATATATCTAGCGCTATGTTCTATGGAGGGCATGTTGCACGTATGTATATCCACTAGCTTTCAGTTATTGTTTTTTTAACTTAGTTTCTCCTGCTTCTTCGCAAATATGTAGATAAACAAGTTGGAAACTTCAAGACGTCTAAATCTACCCCTAGATTTTGTGATTCATTTTAATATCTTGTTAAAATTGTAGCAGCGTTTGTAAAACTAAATATTCAGGGATGGCAGCCAATTGGGCTACACTTTTGACATGTTATGTTCTGAGTGAGCTGAATATAATGAGACCCAAATTAATAGGTCCTGCTTTGGACAGGCCGTCAAAAAATATATAATGACTTAAAAATCGTTTGCCACAAACCTGGAAGGGGCGGGAGGAAGGAGGGGGGCCACATTTATTTTTTGGCAGCCAACTGCTCCCTCGTAAATTATTTTTTCGGCTAATATGAAGGAATATGCGACAGTTTAAAACAACTCTTTGACATCCCTGAGTGATGAACTCTTTTATTGTATATTCTACCGATTTTTTATACCAATACTACTTGAGAGTAGTTCTACTTCTTATACTAAATATACCAAATATAAAGTGGAACACTTTGCTTATGAATCCCGTCTATAGTAGTATGACGCACATTTTTCGGCGATAAATATGTTGCAGTAAAAAATAAATGCGGAGTGTAGATACGGACAACACACGACTTTCTGTAACAAATCTTTTGCAGCACATTGAAGGGGGGAATTTAAAAATTTGGGATATGTATTGTGCTGTAAATATAATTATCAACACGATTAGAGATCGTATAGAGATGCAGAAACTTTGTACATGATGATATTAATGTGTACTAGAATAAATACTTAAATTCCTTAAAAAGGAAGAAATGGCACGAGATCAAGGAGATATTATGGTACAATTTGACAACCCCAACAATTTGAATTGGCAACCAAGTTACATAAAATTAACCACAAAAAGGTGCATATGGTCATTCATTTTGTTGAGAATACTTGGGTGGCAAAAGTGGGGGATATCCATGAATCCACATATCAACCATAGAGAATTATATGCGCAATTGAAAAGGTTCAAGCCCAACAACAGTGGCTATGTAAAGTATATACCGAATTTTGAAAGATTATAATATGTATATGGATGTAGCTTAGGGATGCATAGACAGTGATGGAGTCACCTTTCTGATAACTGGAACTCCATTCACCTTCGAAAGTCATTACGGGTGCGTGCTAGTAATGGTCTGGTGCTGGGTAGCTGACCAAATACTGTGCAGAATGAACAAAGGATCAACCGCTTTTATTTAATCTGTGTAGTACCTCTCATCATACTCATTTTGTTCTGGCAGTAAGTCGCAGGAAAAATGTATCACATTACACCCTAAAGAATGAATTGTTTCTAGCTAATTGTCTGGAAACCTGTGACATCGGAAGATATAGTATCTATCAGCTGTATATTTTTAGCGGCCACAACTTATTTTTTGTCATACATTACATAAATGCAAACTTTAATATCTTGCATCAATTCTCTAGTGGGTATGTGATATTAGCGAGAAAAACCTTATAGATATTTTTCTTTTAGATGATGAATAAAATTAGTAGACGATAAATCTTAGTGTTAAAAATGGCAACCAAGTAGATTATGTCTACTATTGAAGCGAATATGTTACTAACTGAGAAAGTGAAGATTTTTGAAAGTACAGTTCAACAGGTTATGAGCAGTTTTTATTCTGGAACTGCTGTGACCTCCGTCTTAGTTATTTCTATCGATTATCCCTCGTGGATCAAACATGTGGCTCTCGCTGCTAATAGTGCCTTTATCCAGCTGGGAGTCATTTTGAAACCAAAGATCGATAGTCTCATTTCCACCTACCTTTGAAAAATTTCCGGGTTACAAAACTAACTCTGATCTTCTTGCTCACTTGAATTGTCTTGAATATGGTATTGCTGAATGGATTCTCAGTCATCTCAGTGAGGATGTTCGTGGTAGACTTCAGGATCCGGTCAATGCCAAGTGGAAATCATCTGACTTGTTGAAAATTCTTGACAAACGTTCCGCTGGTTTTCGATTCGGATCTCTTGTTGCTGAATTATCTACACATATTCCTAAAAGCTCCTTGTCTTCTGGGGAATATGAGACTCAGATGCGTAAGGTCAGTGAATGCATCACGTTTATCACTCAGGAACTGTTGGTTGCTGGTATTTTTCTTGCTGGTCATCCTACTCCTTGCAATACTGTAATTCGTCATTTTACGGCCCATCCAGGTGAAACGCTTAACATTTCTGAAATCCAAAAAGTCATCAATGGAAATTCTGACAACCTAGACCAGGAAGTCAGCGAAGTTAAGACAAAACCTACCATCATGATGAACTCCACCATGGTGGAACCGCGTGTCAATATTGCAAAAAGTTTAGACACGCTGCTCCTCAATGCCGGTTTTATGTGTGTACACCTAGCAAGACTCAGCCCACTACCTCTATGCCACAGAAGAAACCTAAGCTTCACGGCACCCCAGAAAATTGGCGAGAAAAATATTAATGATAGATAGAACTGCATTGTAATCAACACTGCTATAACCAACTACGTGGAAATTTAGATTGTTAAGATACACATATGAATCCAATAGAAAGTGCAGGGGAAGGCTTAATTTTTTGCGTTTTTAGGAAGCCAAAGCTAAAATATTTCAATTTACGTTCAATTATTGATGTGATAAATGCCATGGGAGTATATATACCGCATAGTAAAGGTGCTGCGTTGTTATCAGGGTACCACTTAATCCAGCAAATAAATGATAGGGCTCTTGAATATCTTGATTCGACGAAGTGATTAAGAATGGTGTACTTCGTCAAAGGTCAATTATACAAATCGACGCGGAGTGGACAAAAGAGGTGCAAATAAATAGTTCAAAAAGAACTTCATGGGTCATTACATGGGAGTAAGCATACGTTGTTTACTGTCTAGTGATCCAGTAAGCGCACAACTATGAATGGATGATTCGAAACTAAAGTTTTGTAAATGTGTTAAAAAAGTTTTTAGAAATGAACATACACAAATTTTGCAACACATGTTTTAAGATTAGTTTGAATTGGAATCACTAGTTTCACTGGCCAACCACCGTATCAAAGATGAATTTTGATAGAGAAATAACTGTAAAGAACTCATTTTTATGAAAATAAATGATGTTTTACAGTATACCTTTTGCCTTTCTAGGAAATGCTTCAAATATCTATAGTTCCCAATAAATCTTATACATCAAAATCGCATGAGATACTCACCACACTGGAGCTTAACTACTTCCACAAAGTACTGTGAATTTATCTCGGGTTGTGTTAAAAAGCCCACAAGAATTCGTATCTACCCTTGTAGATGTTGAAAACTTATAAACTAGACTAAAAATTATCCAACATTATCCGTTGGATTTTTTTGTTTTTGTTTCTGATCTTCTATTGTTTTGTCCGCACAGATGTTCAACATTTATGTTTAAAGAATAATAACATGTCTTCAGGTATTTACTCATTTTATGCTTCAGTATAACCATTAACATCCACTTTTCTGATCTTATTATCAATTTCTGATAACATTTTTCTACCCTATTTAAAAATCAAATTTCTTGATAAGTCCTTGTAAAGTGGAATTCTAGGAATTTTATATATACTCCAAACTAGATATCAGGAAATCCCTATAATCAGGATATGCAAAGTCATCTTCAGAAATGAGGAGACCTCCTCTCGCGAAAATGTCGATGCATATAGTCAGTATTAGAGAACATCTGATTAGACAGATGTTACCAGCGCGGAGACATATTTATCAGAGAGAGGGGGACACATTTACTACCACTATCAAGGAACTAGTGTGGCTATCACAGCTAATCAAGAAAACATGAATTGTTTATGTAAATCAACAGTCCTGTATGAAAAAACCAACATACCAAACCAACATTCTGGCATATAACACGGCTGGATTTCTCACATATCACCAGAAATGTGTCACTCGAATTCAAATTCAAATTATCTAGTTCAACAATAAAAATATGACATCCACTAACTTTGAACTTGTTCAACTAGACGATGTTGATTTGATAAAGTTTACCAGAGAGCAAAATGGATCAGCATGGAGAGGACTGTTAACTCCGGAGCAATATATAGAAAGAGAACTGGTACTCGGAAAGTCAAAAATGGCAACAAAAGATGATAATAAATTACTAGTATTCATGTTGAGAGATAAATCTGACACACTGAAGCGACTTTGCTCCATAGAGCTTCTCATTAGGAAATCATGGGTTTATAAGTACGTTGATAATGCCGTTCAACGTAAAAGTGTCCTCTCCGGATGCATTGGGGGTGTATTCACATACCCAGAACACAGAGGTAAGGGGTATGCAGCTATTATGGTTGATGAACTTGTTCATTTGGCAAAAAGTAAATTATTGGGTCCAGATGGATTTGTCTTTTTGTATTCAGAGGTTGGTGAATATTACACAAGAAATGGTTTTAAATCTTTTGCAGTACCACTAGTTAAAGTTCCAATTGGCGATCATACAAGTAGCCCACCTATTAAATTTGATCACATCTATGAATTGCTTCATTATAAACAATTTGAAGAGATCCTTGACATCCATAATTCGCAGTTTAATGCAAAACTCGCACAACTCACTGCAACTGATTTTAAATCAAGGGTTGCTTTAGATCCAACTGTTGATATTGTTGACTGGTTTCATCTTAGAGCGAAGTTTATATCATCAAAGTTGTTTTATAAAGATAATTTTGAAAATCTATCCAACTTGTCTTATGATCAAATTCTTGAAAAGTTCCACAAAATCGATCCAGATATTTTTGGAATCAAGTCAACATCTGACGGAAAGTTTGTTGGTGGCATTATTTGGACCTATGACTGGTCACTCAATGAAGAAACAAATACTTATGAAAATAAGGCTACGATTTTGAAGATCATAGTTGATGAGAAAGTTCATGTTGATGATATCACTAAAGATTTGATATTAAAAATGAAGTTATATTTGGAATCAGAAAATACTCATGAATGCTTAAAAATAATCAACCAATTTGTATTGTGGGAATCTGAAGTCAGCGAAGAAGTGTTGTCTTGGTTAACAGGCAACTTGAATGCTACGAGGAACCATGAAAATGGTTCTAGAAGTGCCATTTTAATGAATAATGATCTGGATGATAAAGATTTGAAAGATGGCAATTTGATTTGGGAAGGTAACGATAAGTTGCCATGGTTTTAAAATTTTACATGTATATAGAGATTAACTATAATCTAAGTGAAATGTAGATAATTTCATAAAAAAATACTGTCCTAAAATGTCACATCAATAAAATTCTAATCTATTCCACGAACCACTTTATATAACTTAATAGAAACCTTGAGACTTCAAGTAGTTTACAATACCATCAATCAATGCTCTCAAGTCGTAATCATTTTCATTTGACAAGGAGAAAACACCACTTTCAGTAGATGAATCCTTTCCATCAACATTCACTACAATAGTGTTACCAGAGCCAACCAAATTTGAAACTTCAGAGAAATCACCGTCGGTTGAATAAATAATACCCGAACCAGCCTTAACTAATTCATTGACAATAAAAGGACTAGCCTCGGCTTTGCTCAATTTAGTAATACGACGTTCACCAGAAAATTGGTTCAAAGTGGATTGCAAAGCAAATGCCAAGTACTCTCCTTGAGTTGTGTTTGATTCAGAGCCATTGATAACAATAGCAAATCCTTGCTTTGGTCTAGGTGGGTTGGTTTCTCTTAAAATCTTTACAACTTCTGGGTAAGAAAACCATTCTGGAATTTCAGTACCATCTCTTAACTTTTGTCTCAATTCTGTACCAGAAATGTTAGCTGTTTTAACCTTAGAAAGGTCAATTGTGTCAATTGGGGCATATCTATCTTCTTCTGGCAAATATGTCACCATTCTGAAAGGAACAATCTTAATCTTAGACAGTAATTCATCATCAACCTTTTCCAATAAATCTTGTGCATCATATGGTCCGTAGAAATCAACACCTTGGGAGTTCTTACCAGGGCCAGCGTGGTCTCTTCCAACAATAAAGTGATCTACACCGTAGTTCATTCTAATCAAGGCGTGCCACAAAGCTTCACGGTCACCACCCATTCTCATTGCTAAAGGTAACAATGACAAAGTTGCCAAACCATCAGGGAATTTCTTTAAAACCTCTTGATAAACCTTAACTCTTGTGTGATGATCAATATCACCAGGTTTGGTCAATCCAACAACTGGATGAATCAAAATATGACCAGTTTCACCAATATCCTTAGCAGCTCTTACTGTCAATTCACGGTGAGCTCTGTGCATCGGGTTTCTAGTTTGGAAAGCAACAACATTTTGATTGTCCCAACCAAGGTTACTGAATTCTTTTCTTAATTCAGTTGGAGTTTTACGGAATTCCACGTAATCATAATGTTCAGGATAATCTAAACCTTGAAGAGATCCACCAAGATAGTAGTCTCCGGCAGTCTCATTCAAGTATTTAACAGCAGGATGCTCAGGATCGCCTCTGAAAACCAGATCAGCTTCAAGCTTCTTGTCTGGTTTATAAATAGACTCCAATGTCAAGATAGCCAATGGTCTGTTATCTCTCAAATCATTGAGAACAATTTTTTCTCCTACTGCATAAGATTTAGCAACTTCAGAAGAAACATCCAAAGTAATAGGAATGGACCATAATAATCCCTTACCATTTTCTGTGACAGTGCTTAATCTCATGTCCTTCACTACACTCAAGTAGTCATCTTCATTTAAAAATCCAGTCAAAGGTGAAAATCCACCATTCAAAATAAGCTCTAAATCACACAATTGTCTAGCAGTAAGAGTTAAAGATGGCAAGTTTGCCGCTTCTTTTAACAATTCAGTACGAATGTTGGCATCTCTGATAACCAAGTCTTGGAGTTTACCACCATGTGGAGTAGGAATAGGCATGTTTTTGTTAATGGTTGGAAAATTTGATTCAATCTAAGGTTTGGTAAAAAAGCAGCACTATATATTGAAGGATGTGTGCAGGGTGAATTATCATACCATCGCACGTGAGTATGGGTGCAAATAACGACAAATCCGGATGAGATAGCGGAAATTTTGACCAATGCAGTGCCTTGTAGTAAATTATATTCGGGAAAGCGGAAATGCAACTACAATATGTCATATTTTTAACGAAATGATTTTGCATACTCCTAGATATGTTGGGTTCATCAATATGGTTCTCGAGGTGGAAGGTGTAATATTTGCCACAAATTTCAGTATATTGCCAAGTATTGGTACATGTTAGTGTGGCTGTGAGGATCTTGGCTTGCAACACAACTTGATATTTGTATTGTCCAAGGAAAATATCTACACGCTATACATGAACCTTGAACAACCAGGTAGTAGGACCCTTTCTTTATTCCATTTATATATGTGTTTAGACGATAAAAATTATGGCTCTTATGCCTGCATGATATTGCGACAGGACACATGATGTTCTGCACACAGATGTAAATATCGTGCAAAAAATGTTGATCTTATAGTAATAGTAAGTAACATACATCAAATCATTCTACAATGGTATCATTATTGTGAATTAGAAAAAACGACATCTATTATGGAGAAATTTTATTTTGATTTGGTCTTTTTATACAAAGAAAAAAAAATTAAAGCTAGTTGGATTTAATTTCAAAAACTATACCTACAAAGAAAATATTAGTTTTATAATGAACTTGGCTTTTCTTATGAGTTACGTTTGATATATATATATATATATATAATATACCTACATTACAAGTTTAATACGGTCAAACAGTATCCCTCTTATGTGGGGTAGGATACTTCGTATTCAACTTTTTTGCAACAAAGGCTGTTCCCCTCTCTCCCCCACGTTTAATCAACGTTACGCGCATATTCGAAGAAAACACACGAGCATCATAGTTGAGTTGTTTACGATTTGTTTGACACCTAGCTATGTTTTGAATGTCTCTATCGTATCATAAAGGAATAAATTACTTTTATATAACTTTTTGGTGATTCTATAGATATGTGAAATCTTAATCTCATCTTTTTGACAATGCCTCCTCTATACTCACAATTTCAGCTAGACATTCTCGGATAAACTGAAATTGAAAAAAAAATGTGCCCCCACGAATTCCCCCACGGACAACTGCCCCCCCCTTCATATTTTTACTAATTAAATCAGTAATCTGCCAACCTGCATACTAATCATGATAGTTGTCATATCATTTGGTCTAGACCTACAGTAGGAGTTATCATAAAGCACATACAACTAATTAAAATTTAATGAAAGACTAATGAGAATGATATTAGGCAGACCAAAACAATATCACGTCCCTATAGGAAGTATAAAATGATATATATGAAATTAATCCGGTCTTAAAGTCGTGGCCCAAAAAAATAGCCATGCCCAATATTCCGATTCGGTTCTCACACGGCCGAGCGCGCAAAACATATAAAGTTAATTGGATTCCACTTACTAATTGAACTTTTTATAACTTCACTTTTACTACTCTATATACTAACTATGTCTGCTCCTACGTATGTACAACAATTTTTTTAACCATTGATTGTAATAGAATTGAAATCGAGATCTATTTACGCGACCCAGATTGCCTATATTTAAGAGCTTTCCAGCTTGTCGTATATTGCCAATGATTGTGGGGATTTACTGAAATTTTCGGAGAGGGGTGATCAAAAGGAGAAAATAGTTTAGTATTTAAACAGTTGCTCAGCACTGTTTTCTGTACATTTAATCTGAAACTGTTTAATCTTTTTTTTTCAATTAATTGTTTAAGGATTTATAAAACTCTTGGTGATTGCTGACTCATACTCTCAATAGTTCGGAATTTCATAATATTTTTTTTTTCTTGCGCCGATATTCTCGTGGAAATTCATAGCAATAGATTTATACGTTGGACAATATTATATCAATGAACCGCTTACAATCAATTTCAAGACATCTCACAACATCTACTAACATTCCTAGTGGTGATATTGGTTTGATTGGCTTGGCCGTCATGGGCCAAAACTTGATTTTGAATGCTGCTGACCACGGCTTCACTGTTGTTGCTTACAACAGAACTGTCTCAAAGGTTGATGAATTCTTGGAAAATGAAGCCAAGGGTAAGTCTATCATTGGTGCTCACTCCATCGCTGAATTGTGTGCTAACTTGAAGAGACCAAGAAGAATTATCATTCTTGTCAAGGCTGGTGCTCCAGTTGACGCTTTCATTCAACAATTGCTTCCTCACCTTGAAAAGGGTGATATCATCATTGATGGTGGTAACTCTCACTTCCCAGACTCCAACCGTCGTTTCGAAGAATTGAAGGAACAAGGAATTTTGTTTGTTGGTTCTGGTGTTTCTGGTGGTGAAGAAGGTGCCCGTTACGGTCCTTCTTTGATGCCAGGTGGTGCTAAGGAAGCTTGGCCACACATTAAGGATATTTTCCAATCTATTGCCGCTAAGTCCGATGGTGAGCCATGTTGTGACTGGGTTGGTGATGCTGGTGCCGGTCATTACGTCAAGATGGTCCACAACGGTATCGAATATGGTGACATGCAATTGATTTGTGAAGCCTACGATCTCTTAAAGCGTGTTGGTAAGTTCTCCAACAAGGAAATCGGTGACGTCTTTGCCACTTGGAACAAGGGTGTTTTGGATTCCTTCTTGATTGAAATTACCAGAGATATTTTGTACTACAACGACGTTGATGGTAAGCCATTGTTAGAAAAGATTTTGGACACTGCTGGTCAAAAGGGTACTGGTAAGTGGACTGCTATCAATGCTTTGGACTTGGGTATGCCAGTTACCTTGATTGGTGAAGCTGTTTTCTCCAGATGTTTGTCTGCTTTGAAGGGTGAAAGAACCAGAGCTTCTAAGATCTTGGGTGGTCCAAGTGTTGAAGGTGAATCTCCAATTCAAGACAAGCAAAAGTTTGTTGATGACTTGGAACAAGCTCTTTACGCTTCTAAGATTATTTCTTACGCTCAAGGTTTCATGCTTATCAGAGAAGCTGCTAAGGAATACAAGTGGGAATTGAACAACCCAGCTATTGCTCTTATGTGGAGAGGTGGTTGTATCATCAGATCTGTTTTCTTGGGTGAAATCACTTCCGCTTACCGTGAAAACCCAGACTTGGAAAACTTGTTGTTCCACCCATTCTTCAACGAAGCTATTACCAAGGCTCAAAAGGGTTGGAGATCTACTATCGGTAAGGCTGTTGAATACGGTGTCCCAGTTCCAGCTTTCTCTACCGCTTTGTCTTTCTACGATGGTTACAGATCTGAAAAGTTGCCAGCTAACTTGTTGCAAGCTCAAAGAGATTACTTCGGTGCTCACACTTTCCAAGTCTTGCCAGGTCAAGAAAGTGAAACCTTGAAGAAGGATGCTTGGATTCACGTTAACTGGACTGGTAGAGGTGGTAACATTTCTGCTTCAACTTACGATGCTTAAGGTACCCCATCCAACTCGTATATATAGTATATACTATATTGTCAAGTAAATGAAATAATTTGAAATATTTTTAATTTTGTTGTAAGATTTTAAATTCTATGTCATATGGATATGGATACTATAATGTATGGAATTATATTGAAACAGTTATTTCCTATACCTAGTTCTTAAGTGGGTCTCTCTTCTTCCATTCAAGGATCAAATCATCCTTAGGGAAAATAGTAGCAAATACCTTGATTTCTTCAGATAATGGAGTAACATGGTGAGTTAATTCAGAGTTCATAAGGTACTTACCAAGCATACTGGTAAATGTCATCAAAACATAGTTCTTTCCTAAACAAACATGTGGACCGGTACCAAAGACTAACCAGTTACGGTTGAGCATTTGTGTGGTTGCATTTTCCCATCTTTCAGGTTTAAAAGATTCTGGATCTGGATAAACTTCAGGGTCGTGCAAGGCTGGATATAAAGTTGGAATAATCATAGCACCCTTTGGAGCAGTGTATGTATCAGTGACTGGGAAATTCTTCTTAACAACATATGGAACCATGAGGACTGGAGGACGGTAACGCAAGGTTTCCTTGACAACATTATTAGTGTAAGTCATCTCGTTAATCATTTCCAAACTCAATTTCTTTGAAGGGTCTTGGTTACGTACTCTCAATTGTTCTTCTCTAACCTTGGCAGCAACATCAGGACGGTCAGCAACAATTTGGAACAACCAACAGGCCAATGAAGAAGAAGCGTCTTGGGAAGCAAAAAGGAAAGTGAAAATAGCTTCAGAAATTTCTCTATTGGAAAATTCACGAACCAAAAGCTTCATGTCAGGATCATCAGTTTGCTTTTCTCTAGCATCCTTCATCAAATGAATCCATTCATCCATAACACAGGCTGGTTTACCGCCTTCTTCAATAAACTTCTTTGACATACCGGCGCAGGCTTCAAAAATTTTCATAGTGTCATCAGCAATTTTTTTACCATACCAAGTCTTTGAGTATGGGATAATAATTGGGAAGTTGACCAATTCCAAAGCAGCAGTAATACGGAAGTAATTGTCAGCAATAAGTTTAATTTGTTCTTCAGTAATGTAATCACCACAGAAAGTTCTCAAAGAAATAGCACATAATAATTCTCTAAACTCTGGGAAAAACTTTTGTGGAGAGTCAAAAGAAATAAACTTTTCCAAATAAAGATCCATATATTTTTCTTGCACTGGAATATAAATTTCTAATGCCTTTTGAGAGAATAAACCATTAAGGGCACGACGGTAGTCAGTGTGAGCCTTACCATCTAAGAAAACCCAGTTAGTAGGTCTCAAGATTTTAACGGCGACATCCACTACACATGGCTTGACATATTTTGAAGAAGCCAAAATTTTACGAGCCAAATCTCTTTCTGATGCAATAACAACAAACTTGTGGAAAATAGAAACACAGGATAAAGGACCTGAATCCCACTTAGACTTATATTCTTCGAATTTTGGATCCAATGACTCCAAAAATGGTCCAATAATAGGCCAAACTTTAAAACGAGGACCTGCAATAGAACCCTTACGGATTTGGTACATAATTTGATCATAGGACAAAACAATTACAGTAATGGTTGCAATGAGTTGCAACCAAGACAAGTCTTGGTAGAAGTCCAAAGCCTTCCCACTAAGAGTGCTCTCAGTTAAAGGAATGGTGGAGTTGAAGCTCATAATGCCAGTTAACCAAAGGTGCTAAAGAACTAAAAAAAAAATAACTTAAGTAAAATGTTCCTTTGTACTTCCTAAATATAAACAGGATATAACCGGGAATGTTTTGTGTAATCTAAACTTTTTTTTTAAAGTTCTCGTTTCTATACGATCGTATACTTGGGATGACGCGATTGTGAGGGTGTTGCGATGTTCTTGCTAAACGAAGTGCGTAGATTACTGTATTCGTGGAATGATTTTCTATGCAATACCTTTACGAAGGAGTAAGAACTTGGACATTATTAATCAATCCGATTAGATAAATCCACGTCCAATTAGAAAATTCTAAATAGTAATATATCATAGATGTATACTCTGATGTAGGGATACAAAGGAGTAAAAAGAATGAAACCATTGGAAAATATTGGAAAAACAGTATAGAAACAAGGCTACAATACTTTATGAGTATACAATGACAAGATTCGCAATCGTAAAATAACTAACGTACCACTAAAAATATTGAGCAACATAATCATAGTTAGGTAATGAGATAAATAATCATAAGGAGATTGAAGTTTTCTTGAAATTGCGGAGTTAAAGGAAATAAGAAAATGTCGTTCTTGTAAATGTCGTTTGAAATATGTCGTCTAACTCTTTCGTATGTACAGGATATATGATATATACAGGAGCCCATCGCGACATCTTGTATGGTAGGTGAAAATGTAGTGAATGAAAGAGAGAAGCCAAATCAAATTACACCAAATTAGATTAGACAGTATGGCTAAAAGAAAGCAATCCAAGGAGATAGAGACCAGAAGAAAGCGTGCTCGTGAACAACTGGACGCACAGTTGGCATCTGGTTCTGGTGTATTTGGTGCAGCAAAGCAGCAACAAGGAAATGAAGATTGGGAAAATGAAGAACAAGACTATGAATTGAGACCACGTACCGCTGCTGCTAAAGTTGTAGAAGGATTACCGATCAAGAGAGCTGATGGTAAGATCGAACGTGTTATGAGGGAAGAACAAAAGGAAGCAGAAGCAGCTCAAGAAGTTGCAGCTCAAGAAGTTGAACAACCAGTGGTTGAAGAAGAAGAAGAACAAGAAGAGGAAGTTGATGAAGACGCCCACCTTTCTCCACAAGAAAAGCTTTTCAAGCTCAAGGAAGAAATCGCTGACTTGGCTTCAAGTTTGATCGAAGATCCAGAGTCAAACATTGCTAACCTTACTAGATTGAGAAAAATGTCATCTTCTCGTAACCCAGTGACATGTCAATTATCCATTATGGCCCTTATACCTGTATTCAAGTCTCTTGCTCCATCTTATAAAATCAGACCACTTACTGATGCAGAGAAAAGAGAAAAGGTATCCAAGGATGTCGCTAAGCTTCGTCAGTTCGAACAATCCCTTGTGGGAAATTATACTGAATATGTGAATCATTTGGGCCAATTAGCCAAAGTTTCATTTACAAACTCTATTAATAATAAAAAAATCACCCCAGAGCAAGTGAAAATGGGTCAATTAGCAACAAAGGCAGCCTGTGAATTAAGTTTGTCATCGTTACGTCATTTCAACTTCAGAGCTGAAGTTTTCAGCATTGTGATACGTCGTCTTAACAGAAAACCCGCACATCCAGAGGATTTACAAGTGTTTACCAAATGTTTAAGAGTATTGGAAACATTGTTGAAAGATGATGAAGAAAATGGGGACATTTCCTTTGATGTGTGTAGAATTCTCTGTAAATCCGTTAGAGATAAGAAATTCAGAGTTGATGAATCTGTGATCAATGTTTTCCTTTCCCTTTCAGTGTTGGCAGATTATGATCCACATGCAAACAAAGATGAAAGTAAGCCTAAACTCAAGAAAAAGGATAGAGTTCATTTGTCTAAGAAGGAAAGAAAGGCTAGAAAAGAACGTAAGGAAATTGATGAAGAAATGCGTAAGGCTGAACAGGCATTAACAATCGAAGAAAGAGAAAAATTCCAGGCTCAGATCTTGAAGATGTTATTGATGTTGTACTTGGAAATCTTACGTTCAGGTAGTAGTGCCACATCAGAAGATGGGTCTCATTTGATGGCACCAGTTCTTGAAGGACTTGCTAGATTTGGACAAATGGCCAACTTTGACTTACTTGGAGATTTCCTTGAAGTCTTGCGTGAGATCATGTTGGATAGCATGGCTGAACATGCCATCGATAGTGAAGAAGTTGGTGATGAATTTGGGGGGATCTTCGATGGTCAACAAGTCCGTACAATTTTGCTTTGTATAGTAACAGCATTTTCTCTTGTCACAAACCATGCATCTACAGGAAGACTCCCTATGAGTATCGACTTGTCTAAATTTGTTACTACACTCTATGGAATAATTGCGGACTTATCTCTTGATTGTGACCTTGAGTTCTCTCACAAATCCTTAAGACTTGCTGATCCATTATCTATTCATAACGAACAAGAAAAGCCATCTGTGAATGTTTCCACAAAGGCAGAATTGCTTTTAAGATGTTTAGATTTTGTGTTTTTCAGAACCAAAAACGGTACTTTACCTAGAGCTACTTCTTTCACGAAAAGATTATATGTGGCACTTCTTCAAACCCCAGAAAAGACTTCCCTTGCTACCCTCAAATTTATTGGAAAGCTTACTAGTAGATACGACGAGAGTCTTAAGGGTCTCTGGAACACCGAAGAAAGAATTAGTGGAGAAGGTTCCTATGTTCTTGGAACTGAAAGAGTATCTCTCAAAGAGGTTGAACTTGAACGTAGTAATGCCGGAGCTGCTACTCTTTGGGAAACTGTACTTCTTGACAAGCATTATTGTCCTATGGTTAAGTACGGTGCTCGTTCATTGATGAAGAACAGTAAACCAAAGGCTGCATAAGTACATATCATTTAATACACAACATTTTAGTCCAAGTTTTATTCTATGTAGAAATAAATAAACTATTAGATATCCTTTGCTCAAAATAGCAATCGGGTATATACCAAAATTTTTATCAAGACAAGTATGTTCTTATTCTTGTTATACTTCTAATACATATAGCTAATAATAAGTATTTATCAAATAGGATCGGCTGACTACTAGCAAGAGCTCTCTACCATACGATACACACCTAAATACAATTCCTATTCTTTCTGGTTGCAACTATATCCGTTAGTGGTCATCCTGCATATCCTGGTGAAAAAAAGACATCGTCAATTGTCTGGACTATTTTTTTTCTCATTCACCGATTCAGCCACACGACAAAGTGAGAGTGACTTTAGGAATCAAGCACAAATCTTTAGGACGAACAAGGATGTCGACATCTTCAGTTCAAACGACGGAACTTGCAACCGGCGTCTTCATATCAATAATTGTAGCTGCAGGATTGGCTATAGTTATCCTTATATTCGCATATCGCTACTTTTTCCGTTTATCTAGCGATTATACAGCATTGTCAGATGGTACAAGATACAATTCTTCACACGTACCACGCGAGTTTTTGAATGACGAAGAGTCATTGGTCCACTTATCAGAAGAATATGATTTTACTTTACTCTCAGCAGAAGAACAAGTGGCATATTTGAAAGCTGAGGAGTTTACCAAGAATTCACCTCCGAACTTCCACCATGCCAAGGGATCTTCATACACACCAGTTGACGACCTTGCAATTCGCGATAGAGGACTTAATGCCTTTGAATTTGAACAAGACCTGGATTTTTTACAACCAAGGTATATAGTTGAGGATAGAACGGAGATCAATTTTACTAATAATGATACTCCATATTCTTGTGCTACTTCTGTTTTAAATTATAGTTTACCAGTGAAAAACAGATCTATTGCTGACACTGTATATTTTGAAACTAAAGTTTTTGAATTCAACCCACAAAATGATTCACATTTTGCTATTGGTCTTGTAACTAAACCATACCCATCAACATTTAGATTACCCGGATACAATGGATTTTCTCTTTCATATGAATCCACCGGTAACTTGAAGATCAATAAACCATTACCTACTCCATTACAACAACACCAGGGTGATAATAGTGTTTATAATGCGTTAGTTCTCCCACCATTACAACAATCGGACGTTGTTGGTTTTGGTTATGTTATCCCAACTGGTACATTGTTTGTAACTCATAATGGGAAGAAACTTATGGATATCATGAAGGGATGTTACGTTGATTTATATCCAGCAATTGGATGTTTCCAAACTAATGCCAAGTTTCAAGTAAACTTTGGAGAACTTGGATTTGTATGGATTGAAGCTAATGTTAGAAAATATGGATTTATTTCTAGTAGTGATTATAAGAAAATCAAGGGAGACCGTGGACTTGCGGCTCTTCCAGAATATGTCACTACCAATGGTGGAGATAAGATATTGGACAAAGGAGAGGAATTACCACCTAGATACCCAGAGGAAGAATTGGACTTTTTTGGTAGATCTACATCTAGCATGGCTCCAGGTACTTCATCCCAACTTCAACGGTCCAATGATAGCGAAAAAGGTGGAAATGATGAAGTTTCCATTGAGGAAGAACCAAAGCCAGAAAATGATCACACATCATCTACAATCGTTACACATGAACCTGAGGAAGTGATGGATCTCAGAGAGAGAATTTATGAACAAAGTCTGGCGCCAACTGTTGTTGAAGAAACAACTCCATTGATATCTTCTGACCCATCTCCAATGTATGAATCTGAAGACAAAGAAATTTCCCTTGATGGTGAAACCTCCAACAATGATCCATCCACTGATGAACCATCATTCAACAGTGACCCATCTAGAGAGACAACGCCAGCAACCAATCAAATGACCAACAATTCCGACTCCAATGTCGCTATTTCTAATCCTTCTGCAACCACTCCCCAACCTAACAATTCAAATAAGAAGAAGAATAATAAAAAGAAGAAGAATAAGAATGGTAAGAAAAAGGGGAAGAGAAAGTAGAATGCATTGTTGTTTCAATAGGTTATATAGTAATAAAACACCTTTTTTTTTCAGGAATTAAACTCATTGGAACGGACTATATAAAAATACTTCTTAAATAACGTTGTTGGCTTCACCTACGTCTAAGTTGACTATTTCGTTTACCTATATTTCTAATATAAAAAATATAAAAAAGAATAGCGCAGCCAGGTTTCGATCCTGGGACATCAGGGTTATGAGCCCTGCGCGCTTCCACTGCGCCACTGCGCTCTATTCTTGTTTATTTTGAAATTTTGTATAGTGTAGCTTGACGTAATATCAATCACATCTCGGCAAATATTGAAGATATGAGGCTATAACCAGTGTCAATATGATATTTCGGCATTTTAATATGATATATTCTAATTTCAAAGATGTTTGTTTATATAATTTGGCTCAAAAATCTTTAAAGTATGTTCAGAATATTGCTAGCCATCTTTGATTTTTTTATCGCATTTATTATTCAAAAATGTCTGAAATGATTAAAAAGTAGTATATTTATCTATTATAATAGCATTTTAATCAGATTATTCTTGTTCAATAAGAATAATAATATAGTCCATTTGTATAGAATTTTAATACCATACATTTATATTTTCATATATCATATTTATGGTGAAATAGAAATCCTTGAACAAATATGTATATATTTTTTTAACTGATAGAAAATATTCATTCTTTGAAATAATATCTACTTATTTACTATTCTACAGTAACTTTATTTTAACCGTTTCTTATAATACATAATATCGCAGCAGCACTTCACTTTTGCTGTCATTCTAAAGAGAATACTCTAAGAGTACATACTTCTGTGAAGTCCAATATCATCATTTTCCTTCAATTGGGCGTTCATGTTGACCATGTCCGGTTGAACCTTCTTTGGTCTACCTCTTTCGCGCTTGACAACGCGTCCCATTTGGGCATGGTACAAGTCATCATCCTTCTTTCTTCTCTGCTTCATGGTACCATTGACACGGATCCCCTTAATAGTTAATCCAGTTTGTTCAACTGGGAACTTTCTTGGACGTCCTCTTCTATCCTTCTTTTGCAATAATTGTTGGACAGCTTCATCACCCAAAGTTCTCATATAAGTTGGTTGTTCAAACAACTTTGAAATAACTTCTTCATTGGAAGGACCCAGAATAGGAAGTGGTGCTGGAATAGCAGCTCCAGATGGAGAACGAGAAACACTGTTCTTCAAGGCCTTGTTAAGAAGCTTAAACTTAGGATGAGAAGAGTCAATAAGTTGGTTGGTGGTAGGATCCAAGAGCAACTTCTTAGGTCTACCCCTCTTTCTCTTTTCATGAACTTCATCACCAGTTAATTTGTCAGTTTGAGACTCCTTACCTTGTTGAAGTTGATGAACTTGTTGAGCTTGTTGAACTTGTTGTTGAAGTTGCTGAACTTGTTGAACTTGTTGAAGTTGCTTCTGCTGTTCCTTATGTTGTTGGTGTTGAAGTTGAACATGTTGTTGAGCTTGATGTTGTTGTTGATGTTGCTCTTGTTGTTGTTGTAATTGTTGTTGAGCTTGTTGTTGTTGTGAGAATCTAATTTGTTGTTGAGCAACTTGTTGAGGAAGTTGGTGTTGTTGTTGTTGCTGCTGCTGCTGTTGCTGCTGTTGTTGCTGTTGTTGAAGCTGTTGCTGCTGTTGCAGTTGTTGCAGTTGCTGAGCATGCATAGGATGCTGGAGACCACTAGCATGGTACTGAGGAGGCATCTGTTGCTGGTGCTGGTTGCGGTACATCATTTGTTGATGTTGGTAAACCTGTGGGTTTGGAGGTAAAGTTTGTGGTGGCGGGTACTGAACAAAATTGCCATTGTTAATTGGCTGGTTGTTACGGTCATTCTTACCGTTAAATTGGGGTTGGGACATGTACATAGTGGAGCCACGAGACAGATACAACGGATTTTTAGCGATCAACTGAGTCCAAGTAAGGTGGATTCAAGTTTATTAGATATACTAAAAAAAAAAACAAACACAACTCGTTCACTGGGAAAAAAGTAATGAAAGTTTTGAGGTCAATAAATTTAGGGAAATCGGGCCAGAAAAAGACTCAAAACAGGCTCAAAGCTTGGAGGGAGTAAAGGGCGGGCGCACGGTCGAAGAGGCTTGCAAGCTAGGCGGTTTGATCAATGGAATCCAACGACTAGTAGCTGTATTTGCAACTAAAGAGAAAAAAAAAATAAAAAAAACAAATTATAATTAAAAAAAAAAATTAAAAAAAAATATAGGGCGAAAAAAATTGGAAGAAAAAAAGGCGAAAAAAAACAGGAGGGAAAAAAAGGAAAGTTGGTGATGCAAGTCCCGCCCTCCTACGCGATTTTTTTGTGATAGGTGGGCGGGGACTGTGTATAGTTGATACACGGGTGAAACTCTCACCGTAATACAAAATCTTCAATAGGTATTACGACAATAATCAGAGAGTGGACTGCTCTACGTGAGGAAGGAGAGTCATCGCCACGTTTAGCTGATCATTTGAGTATTAAAAGTTATTTACCATTTAATGAAATAAGTCGCTGTCTGTCTTTTCGTTCGCCGTACATTTTATGTCCATTAGATTTTGATACTATTGTTTATTTTTTTTTAATTTTATTTTCTCACTTTTATGCTATTATTTTTTATTAATTTTTTTTTTTGGACTAATTTAGACTTCGGGACATTTTTGAGTTGTATATGTCAAATATCTCCCTTTGGTGCAGCAAAGAACTCCACTACGAACTACAATTTGATACTGTAGAAGTGCTTTAAAAAAATTATTGAATATCATATTGAAAGGTTTAATCGCCCGAATATGTTTGTATTATGGTCTGGTAGATCTCTGTGAGCAACCAATCACCTAGATTCAACACATTCCTTTGTAAAGTCAGTAACTGATCCTTAAAATGACTGGGTCAATGTATAAATCGTAGACACCCTCAATTTAATTAGTGAATTATAAAGTTTTGATAATAAGAGGATCTTAAGAGAGAATATAGAAAGATGCCACGAGAGAAACAACTCAATGGCACTAACAGTCATAATGAATTTTCCTATTCTGTAGCCCCACAAGGATTCGAATACATCTTGTCCTAATTCTCTTAATAGAACTATAGCTTTATTTAAATTTATTTCGTATTGCCATTTAAGCACCACACACTCCCAATGATAGATATAATCATCCAAAACTTAAGCAATCACCTATCAACAACATGTAAAATGTATAGTTCCCTTCTTACAATATACATTTTGCACCCTACAGGACTAAGAATATCTCTTTTTGTTGCTGATGATAGAAACTTTTCCATTTTTATACTTCAATACTACATTATACCACTTTATATTTTCCATTTATTGTATTTCATTTATTTTAGTATCTGAATATGTAACCTTCATACCCTTTGCTCCATTCCTCAAGCTTCTATAATTTCACGGAGATTTTGTTCAAACAATGTAACAAACTCCTTTGCATCCGGTAACTTTTCATTGATCTTTAACTTTAAGCCAATGTTCACATGTGTTGGATTTCCTCCTCTAGTGATAAAGCCTGGTTCAGAGGTGTTTCCAATGATGTCCAAGAAATCATCCTCAACAACAGATGAAGTAGTCATACCAACCTTCATTCCTCCAAAGAAGTCAAACTTTACGTCGGTAATTTCAAATCTCTTTTCTGTTACTGATGGTGTGATCAAATCGTCAAATAAATCAGTAGTAACATATGGAGATGCAGTTGGAGATAATTCATATTCTGGGAATCGAGCTGCATAAGTTTCGTTTTCAACAAGAGAAATAAGCAGTCTGAAAACTTCTGGATATTCACCGGCTTCCTCAATCTTGGAGTTCAACTCCTTATTGAGCTTGAATTCAACGATGTTAGTAGGCTTTGGTGGTGCGACAACGGCTTCTTCAACGGAACCTTCCTTTTTAGACTCTTCTGGCCTAGCCAAAATGATATTAGACAAATCCATATGTTCTTTGGACTTAATCCATTCCGCAATCTTGGAAACAGATTCAGTCTTAATTTCTCCCAAGTATGCTAAAACATCACCCTTCAAAATTCTTCCCTTAGGTCCAGATGCTTCAATTTTAGAAAAAGCATCTTCCTTTGAGATGTGATGTTCATGTAAAAGTAATTCAACAGCTGGTGAAAGCTTTTGGTTTGGATTAGCAGTGTTGAAGACATCCTTGTTGGAAGAAGTAGAGGTGGATTCTTCCTTGACTTCCTTCTTGGTTTCCTTCTTGGCTGGCTGTTCTGGTTCTGGGGCAGAAGTGGAAGCAGAAGAAGAAGGAGCTTGATCATCCTTTGGCTTTTCTAAAGTGGCTAAGTCATCTCCTTCTTCTGCAAAGAATGCAATTGGTTCTCCAACTGGGATGCCCTTGTCTCCGTCGTTTCTCAAGATTTCCCACATAACACCATCATCCAAGGCTTCAACATCAATAGTTGCCTTGTCTGTTTCAACCTCCAAAAGAACATCTCCAGCAGTGAATGCATCACCTGCCTTGTATTTCCAAGATACAATCCCACCTTCTGTCATGGTAGGAGACATGGCAGGCATTCTAAATATGGATGCTGCATTGGAGACTCTGGTGACGTGGAACGCTCTAACTGCCCTCACAGAGGCCCTAGCAGATGCTCTCAACATTATTAATTGTTTGAAATGTTTATTGGATTCACCTTATAGTGTTAATCTCCTAGTTTTTGATGAGATACAACGGACTCGTACATCCGAATAAAGTTCGGGCGCGACATTTCCGCTAAAATACGACATTTGATCACCCACGACATATATATTTGCAACAACAGAAAATTGGATGGGGTAACCTCCACAATAAAAAGTAGAGTGATGATCCTTTCTGAAACAACCGGATATTCCTTATACTTCAGTTTATTCAATGCCGTATTTCAAGGATAAATACGGTTTGATTTTCTTTTTCTTGCTCTTTTTGCAAGTGACTACAAATAAATTCTTGTAGACTACGTATTTACAAATAGGCGCCTATGAGGAATAGATCTAGATATCAATAGGAGGTAGAGGAAGTGTGGTTCGATATATTCAATCAGAAGAGGAAAAAACATAAGTTACTACAATTCTTTTTAATATAGTATTAATAACATTTCAAGTAATCATTAAAGTAAATAATTCTTTGTATTGGCATTACAACCCCATCTACAATACACGTTGATTCCGGCAACATAAACGGATTAGACAACCGGAACTCTGCAATTACTTGCTAACTACTTACTCGTTCGAGGATTGATTTACAAAATTGAACCAAAAAACAATAATCACAAATGTGACCTCTCAACTTCACTAACTTCACCCTAAGTTCACAAATAAATATTATGAAAATATAATATATCCACCAGCTACTACAACCTACCCACATATATAAAGAACCCTTCCTACAGTCTCTAATTGTTAGTACCACCCCCTAAAAATACACTAAGTCTTGTCTATCTTTTCTTGAAATAACCTGAACTACATTGCCTCGCGCTCCGTTTTCCTCCGGGATCTCGGAATTATGGAAGAATCTATACAATGAAACTCATCACAAGAGTATGTTGTTCTGAAATCAGGAACAACAGCCCCTTCCTTTGACTAGCTTTTCTTTAATTATACCATAGTTAAGTAATCAAAATTTGTATACTTGGCATCTACTAATTCAAAGGGGAAAATCCAAATCACTAGCTCGTTACTCTGCCCCACACAAATAATAGTTACTAAAAAGAAAAACGCCGAATTGTTCGCAAAAACAAAAAAAAAAAAAGGGCGTCTTAAACATCTTTGCTACGTGACAGTACTTTCATTGATAGAACTAAAGTACACATTATTGGAAAAAAAAGTGTAAAGGCAAAAAAAGAACAACCAAATTTTTATAGAAGGACTACACACTCTTTATATACTGCTATAGGGCCTCATAACTTCCATACAGTTTCATTTTTCATTGATCTTAGATACCTAAAAAGTTTGAGTTCTACACCACTACATATCCATTAGCATAAAACAACTCATCTCCATTAAAACTTTGAACCAACGTTCCACTATATATAATGTCCCAAAGACAACCTTTCCATTATAACGACTCAACTATGACCATAGATGATACTATTGACCCCCCTATAAGGCCTTCACAACTGGCCCAAACCCCAAGAGACACCACAAGTACAAATAATGACGCTACTCTCTGGAATAAAATCACAGGAATCCTCAAGAAATATTCTCGTTTCATTGGCCCCGGATTAATGGTTTCTGTTGCCTACATGGATCCTGGGAATTATTCGACAGCAGTGGCTGCTGGTTCAGCCTACAAATACAAACTCTTGTTTCTGATCTTGCTTTCTAATTGTCTAGCCATCTTTCTTCAGATATTGTCAGCAAAATTAGGAGCTGTCACGGGATTGGATCTTGCAGCCAATTGTAGAGCCAACCTTCCTTTCAAATATAACATTATTATGTATGTATTGGCAGAGATAGCCATTATAGCTACTGATTTGGCCGAGGTGGTTGGAACTGCAATCGCCCTTAACATCTTGTTCAAAATTCCACTTTTACTTGGTGTTATTGTCACTGTAATTGATGTGTTGATTGTTCTTATGGCATACCGTCCAAATGGACCACTTTTGTTCATCAGAATATTTGAAGGATTTGTTTCGGTTCTAGTTGCACTCACTGTTGTCTGTTTCACAGTTGAGTTGTATCAAGTTTCTCATGACCCAAGTGTCAACTTTCTGGTTATTGAAGTTTTTAAAGGTTTCTTACCCAACGAGAAAGTAGTTGATATGAGCGATCGTGAAGGAGGTAACGGGTTATTCTTAAGTTTAGCTATATTGGGGGCCACCGTAATGCCACACTCTTTATATTTGGGATCTGGGGTAGTTCAAGCCAGGCTCAAAGATTTTGACGTTAAGAATGGCTTCTATAACCCACTTTCGAAAAACCAAAATTCGATACTAGACGAATTAGAAGTAGAACAAGCTACTGAACAACAACAAGAAGAAGAAGATATTATGTTACCACGTGAATTAGTCGACCTGACTGGCCCTCAAAAGCAAACAACAGAAGTCCAAGAGGAAACTGACGAAGATGATGAACAATATAGACCATCTATTCATGCTATCAACGACACTATGGTTTATACTATGGTTGAGTTGGTTATATCTCTCTTCACAGTTGCTCTATTTGTCAACTCAGCAATTCTAATTGTCGCCGGTGCAACTTTGACCAACCAGAAAAGAGAAGATCATGACGAATCCGACGAAGATTCTGATTCGGATGACGAAACGTATCAAAATGCTGACCTTTTCACTATTTATAATTTACTTTCACTGCACATTTCTCCTACTGCCGGGTTTGTATTCGCCTTGGCGCTCCTTTTCTCGGGACAAAGTGCTGGTGTTGTATGTACTTTAGCTGGTCAAATGGTACTGGAGGGATTTTTACTGTGGAGTTTTCCTCCAGTCACTAGAAGACTCATTACTCGTGGATTGGCAATTCTTCCATGTTTAGTAGTTGTTAGCATGACTGGACGCGCTGGTTTGGCTAACGTTCTTAACGCCAGTCAGGTTGTGTTATCAGTGTTACTTCCCGTCGTGAGTGCCCCATTGATTTGGTTTACATGTTCCAAGAGTATCATGAGAGTCCCCTTATTTGTGAGGGATGGAGACGAGGATGCAGACTTAGTGTACGAAACAGATGATGACAACAGTATCTATCTTGTGAGCAGTTCCCCATCTACTATTGTTGCCAGTGGCCCCAGTGCCAGAGGGCCTGTGAAATTCAAAAGTACAGAACCTGCTATCAGATTGCAAGATTTGCGTAATTCACACCCTTGTTCGGGTTGGGATGATGAAGAAGAACATGATGAAGAACAACAGAGATTAATAGGTGCAGCAAACTCTCATGCGGTGGGAAATTCGTCTCGACCACATGTAAAACATTATTCTCCAGATGCCGCAGACTCTACTCCAAAGAATCCTCTTTTATCCTCTGGTGATGATGGTAGCATAACATCAAACTCTGCTCGAACATTTGCTACGGACGCCTTGGATAATAGCTACCGTGTCAAGGGATATAAAGACATGAGTAACGGACCAATTGTTACCTTTCTTGCGGTTCTTGTGTGGTCATTCATCACTGGATTGAACTTATTTTTAATAGGAAGTATGCTTCTTGGTAAAGAAGTCCCCCTTTAATATTTATAGACGTAAAATAGCATCAGTAGCTCAAAGCTACTAACAATAATCATTTATTTGTACAAGATTAGATATTCTTTTTGTAGGTGTTGGATGCAAAAATTGACTATAAGAAATATTTGGTAGTAGATGTTGCATATAAACATCACCATTAAACCTGCATATAATCGACGATTTTTCCAATTATCTGTCTCTCGTGTGGGTAACTACATTTAATATTCTATGAAAAGTTACATAGACAGGGGATTACTTTAAACTCATTAATACTGAAATATAAAAGATGTCTGGTACCAACGGAGTAGATTCATTTATTGAATACTCTTCGAAGTTATTGCTGGCTTACCCTTCTACAACACTTTCTATAACTTACGCGAACGTAGAGAAGAATCATAAGAACGCCAAACAAGTTGACACAGAGTCAAAGAGGGCTACCAACAAAGTTACATTTAAGTGTTATGAACCACATTCTGGAAAATGTGTTAAATACTCAACCACAAAAGTCAAAGAGTTTTCTAGACTTATGACTTTTGTGGGGCCACGAGGTGTTCTGGTAAGTAGACCTAAGAGAAAATCTGAAGTACTTGATACCGAGACTTCAGAAGAAACATCAGACAAGAAAACGAAGACTGATCTTGTCACTGAAAATAGAGCTGGATTGGCTAGTATTATGAGTAATGTGAAGTTTGAGGAGGAGACTATAGTGTCGAAAGTTGCCACTCCACAACCAGAAGAAAAGGATGCCACTCCCGTAAATACGGCATCAAAGAATAAGAAAAAGAAGAAGAAGGGTAAGAAATAAGATATGGGGATATATTAAATGTATAATTAATCATGACAAATTGCATAGTAAGCTGAGATCACGTAGAATAGTAGTCACTTGAACACTAACTTGAATTAACAGTACGTAATATATCTGCAGCCAACTGCTGTACACATAAACAAAAAGAAGAATTCTATTTGTAGTAATAATCACCCATTTAAATGGTAGCTCAAGTTGATATTAGGCACTAATTTCAAATGAAAAAAATGCAAAAAAAAGTGATTTCGCCCAGGATCGAACTGGGGACGTTCTGCGTGTTAAGCAGATGCCATAACCTACTAGACCACGAAACCAACTTTCTTGAACTCGAAAAGGGACTGGTTTCCCTGACCAAATTATATGAGTTTCCCAGAATCCGCAAAAATGCACATAATTTCTTGAAAACCATATCATTGGCGCTAGAGTAACTTGTGTTATCCACTTGAAGCAAATAAAGACATACTTGCCTATTAATTAAGCTTAAGAAAGTACAAAATAATACTGTAAAGTCCTGCATATAATCATATTTTGTTCACTGGTGTATTCAGTATTCTAAGGAGAATAGTAAAAATCTATTCTCTTGCAACCATTTCTCTACAACCAACTGTCTTACATTTTACACAAAAAGATTCATAAATAAGAAATAATTACTATAAAATTAATGTATGCGAAAGAAATTGTCTTACCGTACTTGACGGTCGAGTTGAATACTGTTTCTAGTATGATAGGAAAGCAAAGTTTCTGCTTGTGTAATTCCTGGAAGTTCATGCGTTGTATTAATTCTATTCAACGATGCACCCGAATGTTCATAATCGCCATTATTTATTAATTGTTGGCGCAAAGTCTCAATATTGGATGGTTGTAATTGTAACGTGGAATCAGTAGCCTTACTTCTTGTAAGAGTTGCTTTTCTCTTAATCGTTTTCAAAGTTCTTGAAATTGGATTGGATTCTGGCAGAGTATTATTTTTTTCAAGATCTTCAGTATTTTTGGGAGAGTCAGGGGTAGGTTGATCAAGGCCAAGACGATGTAATTCCAAATCTTCCTTATTAGTAGGATCATAACCTTCAGGATACCCATCATATATATGATTTCTAACCTGTTCCCTGACAATATCAATATCGGCAGGTTTGAAATTCCTCAACAAGAAATCAGCAGTGAATCGAGGCAAGACACTCAAGAGGATTCCAATGAAAATACAACACCAACAAGACAAGGTTCCCAAAGTTTGAGAACCAGCCTTATAAAATTCTCCAGCGTATACACGGTCACTCCATACACCAGTCCAGAAAAAGACTAATAATACGGATATAGCATCAATTAGCAATGTAAGCCAATCCCAACGGTATTGCTTCAATAACACATAAAAGTTACAAGCAGTCACCGAGATACAAGCAGAAACGACACCAATCCAGAATCTATGATCTATCTGTAACCCCAAATGACTTTGGAATGACTTGTAAAACAACAAATATGGGAAGAAAAATGCAATAACAGATTGATAGAGACCATCAAGCATATACCAAGCAAACTTGTACTGCAGCCATTCCAATCCTAAAATACCACTTCTGTATAATTGCGGCACTAATAATGAAACAGTATCTGAAACATCTTGGTCTAAAACCGCAAGGAAAATAACTGGTAGAGATGTAAATGCCAAATTATAGAACATCAAGTAGGTGTACTCATAAAGATATGAACCATCAAAGTTGTTATAGATACCAAACCAGAAACAAGTCAAGGTGAACACAACATTCTTATAAAAGAAACAAGGGACCATTTCAGCCAACCTTTTGTATGACCAACGCCCATGAACTAAGAGTAAACGTGTTAAAAACCGGAATTGCCCAATGGCGTAATCTGAGGACATCACTGCCTGTCTTCCTTCTTCTCCTGCAATACCCACACCAACATTTGCTGCTTGAATCATAGCAACATCGTTGGCACCGTCACCAATAGCAAGGGTCATCACTTGTAAGGAATCACGAACCATTTTAACCACTTGGGCCTTTTGCGACGGAGAAACACGACAACAAAGGACTGACTTACATTGTTTACCCAAGAGTAAAAACTTCTTCTGTAAGGTGGAAGAAACTTTTTGTTTCTTAGCATCTTCAGCTCCCGAATATATAAGGGAAAGAGCAGCACCATCAATAATAAGAGCGTACTTTCCAGACGGTGTCGAGTGGTCATTCTTTGCCTTTTCAAGCATCTCATCAAGTACATTTTCACTTAAATCATCATCAAAATCAAAGTTTTCTTGAAGATGCTTTGTTACCAATGATTCAACGAATTGCTCATTCTCCATATCATTCTCATCCGGACGTACTACAAGCAACAGCATTGTAGTTTCCAATAAATTACACGAGAATCCAATATTGATTGCAGTTTCAATTCTATCACCAGTTAAAACCCACAATTTGATACCTGCATCACCCAAGACAGAAATGGAGTCTGGAACCCCATCTTGAAGCCTATCTTCAATTGCAGTCCCTCCTAAGAGTTGTAAATTTTGTTCTAATTCATCATCTAATCTCTCAATCTCCAAGTCACGGTTATCAGAAATTGATTCATTGGCTGCTTTATATTTACGAAGCCATTCTTCTGCATACTCGTTGTCCAATTCCTTTTGAGCAATGCATAATGTTCTTAACCCTTCGTTTGCAAAACCCTCCAAATGTAAGGCAGTCTTTCGTACCATGTCTTCATCATTATTTGATGCTAATCTCAGGAAAATAACATTATCAGCACCTTTGGTAATGAGGTATACTTTACCATCTGGAGCTCTGATAATGCTAGACATTCTTTTTCTTGCTGATGTAAATGCTATGGTTTCAAGAACATGATATTCTTGAGGTGTACCATAAATTTCTACAATCAAGGATTTACGAAGTCTTTCTTTAAAAACGATTCCAACGTCACGTGCAACGGCAACTAAAGCCGCTTCATCAGGGGATTCCGCTTTAAAATCACGCAACAGAGGGTCTTCAGGATTCTCTTCAGTAACCACTGTATGACATAATGCAAGAGCAAGCATGAATGATTCATTTGCAGACTTTTGTTGTACTTTGATTTCATTTGGAACGATCGTATCTTTCACATATTGACTGGAACAAAAAGTAACAAGGTTAGATCTTAATTGATCACCATGAATATGATTTTGCAACTTTGAAATCATATCTTCTTTATCAGCTTCAATCCGTTTCTTCCACTTTTCCAGTTCGACTACCGGATCAAGGCCATCTCTTTTATCTAAACCTTGCTTCGCTTCCGTGTATGCTAGACCATATGCTACACCATTAACAGTACATTTTTTAAACTCCATAACATTCTGAGTCAATGTACCGGTTTTATCACTGAATACATACTCAATTTGACCTAAGTCGTCAGAGATATTCCAAGATTTTGGGACACAAGGGAAATCTAATCTTTCATAGTACATTTTCACATCCAGGTAAATGAAAAGAGCTTGCAAAGTTTTGATAATTTCAACCGAAATATAAAGGGAAATCGGAACCAAAGATTGATAAATAATTAAAGCAACAAAAAATGCAATAACACCACGGGATGCATCACTTGATCCATATGGCTTAAACTCATAGAAAATTCGAGAATTATCCTTGACGTTATAATACAATCCATTAAGCAAACCAGACACAAAACACAAAACGAACAAAAGTAAAAAGTTGATAATAACTGATAAGTTTAACTCTCTTGAGATACGGGATTGCTTAGTTGGTGTAATACCAGAGTTGATCATGATCTTAGTCTCATCACCAGTGTAGATAACCAACCCAATAATTTGCTTAGTGTTTCTTAAAGTAGAACCACGCAACAAGACATTATCAGCAGTCACTGCTTCTCTTTCATCCGCATTGATTAATTCCCCAGTCTCACTGTAATTTTCATAGTGAACAGTTCCCTTAAATGTATAAAGGGAACCATTGGGGGCATCACATTCTACCCAGAATTTGACAGCACCTAAATCACTAGAATGTTTGAGATTTCCCGAACCACCACAACGAAGAGCATTTTTATTCTTCAAGTTTGATTCACCATCCAAGTTTTTGGTTTCAATATAACAACCACCTTCAATGTCAGACGTGGAAATAATGATAACATCAGCAGGAATTTCCTCGTTAGCCCTCACTCTAATAATATCACCAACTGAAACATCCTTCCATCTCCGATTCTTAAATCTAGTACGTTCACCCGAGACATCCTCTACATGTTGCTTTTGTAATACTGGATTCAAAAGCGTATTTGGTAGTGGTTGTGAAAGAGGTAACCGTCTACTAGCAGTGGATGGTCTACCCATAGTAGGAGGTCTAGTAGTCGATGGTCTGTAAGAATAGTCAGAAACAACAGTTGAAACCCTACGAAGAGCATACTCATCTTCAGCTGCTTCCTCGCGTATAATTTGATCCTTTTGCAGTCTCTTTCCAAAAGTGAAAATTGCCCCCTTCTTCACACCTCGAGTTGTTGCTTTGGTAATACGAGTACATTGTTTCTTGAATTTACGCCATCCACTAACATAATTTTCTAAAACGTTGCTATTAGGCAATCCATTCAATAAATGAATAGGTGAATTATTCAAATCCGAGTCTGAATCAGCTCTCTTATAATCTTCAAATGCATCTTTGACGGCAGTGATACACACGATAACAATCAATGGAACAGCAGCCATCCCAGGACTAGCGACTCCAAAAATTTGAAATGCACCCAAGATAACTAAAATAAGGAAATAGAAGTTTGCGATATTCGTAAATTGAAAAAGAATGTTCTTTGGTAAAAATGAAATTGGGGTATACTTTGTTGTTCTAATTTTGTTTCTTGGGTATGTTATAAGAGGGTTCCCATTTGAGTCACATAATTCTTCTGGTAGATTTTGGTTAACATAAATCTGTCTCTTAGTTCTAAGATAAATGTTCTTCATGAATAAAGGCATTGGTCCCATCCCCTTGTTGTAAAGAAAAAGCTGCCATTTGTCATTAAAAGTTTTTGGCTTAGCTTCAAAGACATCTCTAAGTTTAACTTCACCTTCAAACAGTCCTTCATATGTATTGGACCCATCTGAACCTTTGGTAGTTGTTGACTTTTCTTTAGCTACTCCCGTAGCGGCCAGGGATGCTTCCTCTTCCACAGTATCGCTCTCATTCTTCCGCAGAGTTAGACTTGCGGTTTGATCCGCAGCTTCTGTAGGCATTGAACAGATGTACTTTGGAAATTAGCTAGATTTATAGTGCACCAAAGAAATGTGTGAATGTATCTTCAAATGTGGTATAGATTGAGATGACTTTAGTTGTTTCGTTTTTTATTGCCGTACCAATATGGTGTTTATGATTGTACTGCACACTATTGATAATTGTTAATAAATTGGTTCCGTTTCGGCCGGATTACGTAATACCTCACAACAAAATATGCAGTATGGATTGTTCTATTCTTATTTTGCTTTCCGGCTTATTAATACTTTAAGGCTTATCGGATGGTAAATTTAAGTTTCAAAAGACTATGTCCATGTTACTATGTTTCTTATTTTGTTAATCTATTATCTCGATTATATATATATCTAAATAGGAACGTAATATTTTGCTCCAGGTAATTGTTGGCAATACCTTCATTTTTTTTCTTATTGCCGCACTGATAGCGGTAAGAACAAGAGTCTTCGCATTAAAGTAAACAATGGAAAATACGAAAATCTGCACCACAAAGTGAAGGCTAGATTATTACTAAATAATATCAATACTTCGTACAAATGATAACTCTTCTACATCAATATCTTCAGATGAGGAAAAGGAAGAGAATTGATTCCAAATTGCCCCCCCCCCCCCCCCTCCAGAGTAGTTACATCACTTCAAAAAAAGAATTTCCACATGAGTCTTTTGTCTAAATGTTCAAAAAATCAGAAAATAAAACAGAGAGAAAATAGCCTATCGACACCCCGCGATATAGCTAATAAACTATTTCGTGCGCTTATGTAAAACAAACATCACATGACTAGTCTTGGAAAGAAAATATGCGAATTTTTACTTTCCAACTGTTGTCTTTGTGTAACGGTGCGTTGTCGACAATTTCCATGAAAAATTCCCAATTGAACAAAACGTGATTTTTAAATAGATTGTTCTTTATTATTACAACCAATACAAATTATATAAAATGTCTATCGAAGAAATCCCACAAGGCGCCGAAGTCCAAGTCATCTCCAAGGACGAAAAGAAGGCCAGAGACTTGATCAAGAAGCTTAACTTGAAGCAAGTTCCAGGTATCACCAGAGTCACCTTCAAGCAAAAGGGTAACTTGATCTACGCCATCGACTCCCCAGATGTTTTCAGATCCCCAGCCGGTACCTACGTTGTTTTCGGTGAAGCCAAGGTTGACGACATGAACAAGAGAATTGCCGAAGCTCAAGCCCAAGCTGCTCAACAAGAAGCTTTGTCCAAGGCTGCCACTGCTGATGACAAGAGCCCAGAAGCTATCACTGCTGACCTTGAAGCCGCTTCTTTACTCGACAAGAAGGAAGATGACGAAGAAGAAGAAGAAGGTGAAGTTGACGAATCCGGTTTGGACTCTGCTGACATTGACATCATTATTGAACAAACTCAAGTTTCCAGAGCCAAGGCTGCCAAGGCTTTGAGAAAGCACGATGGTGACATGGTCAACGCCATTATGGAATTGTCTTAGATTTAAATATAAATTCAATGGATAAATCTTAAAATTTAATAGTAATTTCGTAGATACAATATAAATAATTAAAGGTTATTAGTTACTTCATCTTCAAGTTTAAGCTCTGGTTTAGAATTGGATTCTACTTCAGTAGAGGTATTTCCGCTTGCAGACTTGATATCTACTTCAGCCTCACGTTCATCGGTTGTAAAATCTTCAATCTTTTCTTGTTTTCCTTCAATGGCGATATCATCTTGTTTCTCTCCTTGAATTTCTTCTTCACTTTGTCCATTTGTATATCCACATTGTGGACATATGTATCTGACCTTCCAAGGATGTGTACATCCAGGAGGTGCAAGACCATTATGACGGTTACATCTCACACAAATCAATGCGAATCTATTCTCAATCGATTCATTATTTTCAGACCCAATAATGAGATCTAAAACTCTGTCTTGAAATGTACGGGTACGAGGGGTTGGTGGTACTGCTTGAGGAGAAGGTTTAATAGGAGATGGAGACTGGACAGAACCAGAATGTTGTTGTTGCTGTTGTTGTGATTGCTTTGGCTTGGGTTGTGGGTTAGACCTTAATTGTTGCAGTCTCATTTGACGTTGAATTTCTTGTTGTGCGTGAGTAAGACCAGTAGAGTTTGCCCCATCCGATGGGACAGGCTTGGACACAGCCACAGATGGAGATCTTGAATTATCAATTGCCTTATCCCCACCACCATATTTATTCAATACATTATGTATCGAATTATAATTGGTCTCCTTCTTCATCTGCTCAATCTTTGCATCACGTTGCTTCTTCAAAGATACATGACGAGCTTTCTGTCTCCTCTTTAATGCTGCAAAGAATCTTGACATCAATTTCACAATTAAAATCAAGACAAGTGGGTATCCCACAAGAAATGCCCAACGTTCATAGCTTTGGTTCGATCCAAAATTCCTCCACCTACTTACCAGAGTATTCCAACCCAGAGTAGTATAGTACATGTATGCAAGAACTAAGAAATATACCAATCCCGTGATCTCAATAAAAGTCAGTTCAATCTTACGTCTAGAAACATCTAATTTCAATTGTTGGTTATGTGAATCATTTATCTGTTCAGCTAGAAAATCAAGTTCCTGTTCGAAAATAGTGGCATCAAACGCCTTCTTTGTTTTAAACAAACCCAATACCATATCTATAAAATTATAAGAAGTGATGATGTGGTATACATTAAGCAACTGTGTCCCCAACTGTGAAATCGCATTTAATATGTAAATATGGAAGGGTGTGCATATGAGTAGGAAACTTATCAAATTAGTATGTTAATCAATTACCATACACAAGCAGACAAACTACCAAAAATATAACCATTAAATCACGATAAGATTATTATTTTAGAAAATATCTCCTTTTCTTTTGGTTAGTTTCCCTTGCCCACGTTAATCATATGGTTTAACTTCATCATTGTATATTCATTGTGTCCCTTATCTCAAACCTATATACAGATATACAGCCATATAAATAATCCGGATTGATCATCACCTTCCGTCATACAATCACGGTCCCCGCACTACCTGGTTTCCAGTCTGAATTATTAAAAACCCACCATTGACGTTCAATATATTCAATGGATAAGAGATTAGTTAATTCATTCAAGAACTTGGAAAAAAAAAAAACGCTCGACATAGAGAGAAAGATTCTATAAGCACAAGGCTTACAGAAGAATTGCACCAACTCACTTGTGACTTAATCGGCCCCCTATTATATATAAATAATTTTTTTTTTTGCATCTTCAATTTTGTGGTTAACTTTTTATTGTGTGGTCACGAGATTAACTAGAGGCAATCCGAGTAGTATACAATTGACATTCTTAAATTATAAAGTGGGACTAACCTCAAAGCGAATTATAATGACATATACGGTGGGAGATAGGCGGATTTCGCTTGAACATGATCCACTGGAAGAAACTATACAACTTGTACTTTCACATCCAAAACTATTTAAATATTGTTTAAATGGCGCGTGTTACCGATATTTAATTGACTTAAAGAAGATTGTACATCTCTATGGGGATATATTGACCATTTATAGTACATTATTGAGCAAAATTCCAAAATATGATGATGTCACTTCCATGACAATCCTGACTCAAACCCGATTATTACGACTCGAAGACTCGATGAATTCTCTTCTTGGTGAAATGGTTGATGGGAATCCCAAGAATGGTGGTTGGGATGATCGTTCATATGAGAGAGAAACGAAACAAGTATGTTACCTTACGGTGAGGTCAGCATGTGACGTGTTTCTGCTTGTGGTTAAATGTTTGAATTGTATTGAAGTGTTTTTTTTATCATATGATAATTTGAAGAAACTCTTAATTCCATATTCATTGATTCAAGCAGAAGAAATCCATACTCTGTTACTTAACATTCAAAATCTCTTTGCAGTGGTAACCATAGTTGATAATATAAGAGTCATTGGTAGCTGGGAACCTGCACTTTTACAACAACTCCGTAAAGTTGAAAGAATTACCACCGGCATTGAACGTGAACTGATTGTATTGGGTGCAGCATTCCGGACGTTTGACCTTCTGCTTCAACAATATACATTGTTTTTATTGGGTAGAGCCATGTTAAAGCGAGAAATAGACCTGCTGCAATGCCAAATAATACGACGGAGAGAAATCTGTTTCCAGGCAGCAGAACATGTGGTGAATATTCCATTAAATCATGAACCAATGGGATATCTCTTTGTGGCTGAATTAAACACATATGTCATTATATTTATATCCATACTTGTCTTTTTGATGTTATTTGCAACTTTCCGATTGATTATGTTATTGAAACTGGAATAGAAATAATTATCATTATTCCCTCAAAACTATTCATCAGAGAATTATTTGTCAATTGATAAAAAGAATAGAATATGGTTCAATAATAACAATAATTCTCCAATTATACTGTACATTATATCCCCTGGAGTCATCTACATTGTCAGGTAATTGATACACTACACATGTTGGGTTCATATAAAAGATTCCTGACCACTTTAACAAATCCAATGGACACCATTAATTCATATAAACAATACAATTATTTTCCTTATATAAGATATATTCATATTATTACCCATTTCATTAAAGTAGTATTAATCAAAATTGTCTAGATGTCAATATATAAGAGCAATACTGCATATACCCCCTTTGTTTGTTTGATAATCATCACCAAATATTGAGTGTTTTCGTCTCGCACGCTCACACCGAAATGTTATGAAGTTGAATATACACCACAAACAAGAATTTACGACAGTAATTGTTATAAAAGTTAAAGCCTCTAATTGAGTTGCAGGATAAGACGTACGGGTATCAGCACATAGAATACGAAGCGGGCGCTCGACACAGATATAGCACATTTGAGCCCTTTGGTACTTGAGAAGAACCCTACAACATTGCAAAGGCAAACCACAACTTCATTTCCAATACTTTATACAACCTTTTTAACCCTCTGTACCACATCTCGACTAGTGGCACCAGGGAAACAGGCGATTAGTGATACACACACCTGTGGATAGATCTGATCAATCTCAAAAACAACCTTTTCAATTCCTCTATAAGGACCCCTTGAAGACGGTCTTGTATATTCTTTACCCCCCCCTTCTCCCTAGAGTGAGTGTTTGATACCGCCGTGTGGAATACAAAACAAAATCACATACTGAGTCTATACGAATCCACCATCATGGACAAACAAATATATTCTGCGACATACTCGAATGTTCCGGTATTCGAGTATGTGACTAGTGAAGGGTCGGTGATGCGCAGGAAGCTGGACTCTTGGATCAATGCCACTCATATTTTGAAGATTGCACGGTTCCCAAAGGCCAAGAGAACTAGGATATTGGAGAAAGATGTCCAAACAGGTACACATGTGAAAGTTCAAGGAGGTTACGGGAAATATCAGGGAACTTATGTGCCGTTGGAGTTTGGTGCTGAGATAGCGAAGAATTTTGGCATTTATGATATTTTAAAACCTATTTTCGAATTCCAATACGTTGAAGGAAGATCACAAACACCCCCACCAGCACCAAAACATAGCCATGCATCTGCCTCGAATGTTGCCCGGAAACAAGTGGCAGCAGCCGCAGCGGCGGCTGCTGCAACGTCAAGTGGACTGGGAGGTGCTGTAGCAGCCAGAAAGACTAAAAGTATGCCTGCAGTATCAAGTGGCGACCCACCAAGGAAGCGTGGAAGACCAAAGAGAGTGGATACAACATTGCAAAGTGTTGCCAGTGGTGTGTCACATAAACCAGCAGTGTTATCGAGAACGGATACAGCCCCAATCAAGGCTGAAAAGGGACCTAGTATTGGTACTTTCAATAATTCTAGAAGCAATAGTCTGTTGGGAGGTCGAAATGGTCCTATTTCAAGACAAGATACAGATCAAGATGCACTCCAATTGATGGTCAATAGCTTGAATGTTCAAAACGATGACTTGGAAGTTGCAGATAAAAGTAGCGACGACGAAAATCATAAAAATGATATTCATAGACAAGTGATAGTACAACATGACACATCGCTTGATGATGATGAAAATGATGAATTAATGACCGGGAATGAACTTTTCGGTAGTCCAAGAAATTCTTTCGAAAAGATTGTACAATCTCATAACAGTCATATTAATGGAGGGGTACCGACCTCTTTTACATCCCCAAATGATCCATATGGATTACTGCAATATCATCATTCTATCTCACACAGTAATAGTTTGGTAGAGCAACCAACTATCTCGTCTGCGGTCGTATCTGCCACAAGAACAAGTTCAGCAATAGATAAAGATGCTCAACAAACCAATGTTTACACCGAGTATTTTACCACTCTTTTGAATTTCTTTTTAGAAGATACTAATAATTCCAAAATACGTACATTGGCAGCTGCATCTTCTTCCACTCCATCCACCAGCTTACATAGTACAGCTGGCCCATTACCTTCGTCAATGACTCACCTTGAAGATAATACCATACCAGAACATATCCTTAACCCGCCACAACCACTTGCTAAAATACGAATAGATCAACCGGTTGATAATGATGGGAATTCTATTCTCCATTGGGCTTGTGCCATGGCTAATACCAATATGATTGAATTCCTTTTGGAAATCTTTCAAGATTCATTGAGTGCAACGATAAAGAATAACGCTGGCGAAACACCATTAATGTTTCTTACCAGATTTAGTAATAGTTTCCAAGTGAAAAATTTTCCCACATTGTTGGATTTATTATTTGATTCAATTCTTTCATTGGATAATAATGGCAGAACGGTATTACATCATATTGCTCAAGCATCTAGTAGCAATGAAATCCCTAAAATTGACTCGAATCAAACAACAAATTATAAGAAGAATAAAGAAAAGTTTACCAGATATTATATGGAAACTCTTTTCGCCAAAATCATTGAGTTTCAAGAATATCAACAGAATAATCTGAGATCTGGTAGAACTGAATTAATTGCAAAAGTTATTAATCATCAAGATATCAATGGGAACACCGCATTTCACATTGTTGCATATAATTTGAATAAAAAATTGATTAAAGTTTTCATCAGTTATCATAAGTATATTGATTTTACTTTGAAGAATTTGGTTTCATATACAGTGGAGGAATATTTAGCATCTCATAATTTTGTGTTGAGGTTAGGAACAAATGAAATTAGAGATTATAAGGAGATTGAACAGGGGAATTCCGAGGCAATTAGTGGTCCTGGAAATGGCAAAACACCAAGTTTCGAGAATCAACTTCATGTAAGTAAAGCTGCAGTCAATTCAATTTCATCAACTACTGGTCTTCTAAATGAAAAATTAGTAGAATTGGCTTATTCTATTGATAAGGAATTATCTGAAAGAGATAACAAGTTATTGATTTATTATAAACTTTTAAATGATTTAAAGATGGAGAAATTGAGTACTCAAAAATATATATTGAAGTATTTCAAACTTGATCAATTATTAGATGATCCAGAGGAGGAAGCAGCAGCGGTAGCTGGAAGTAACGATGAATATCATGATAAGAGAGATAAGATAATCCAAGATGAAATCAATAGATTGGTGAATGATTTAAGTTATGAATACTTGAAGAGAAGAGAGGAATTAGAAGTTAAGATGAGAAAGTATAAGAATATTATTGGGGTAATTCATAAAGCTAAAATCTTGAAATTGAAAGAAGTTGAAGGTGAATTTGTTAAGGAACAAGTTGAAATTTTAGATAGCCCACAAGAAAGAGTGAAGAGGAGTATTGAATTGCAACAAGAAATCATCAAGAGAAGAAAACTTGAAACTAAGATGGTTGTACAACAACTGACAGTCCCAGTTCCAGTTATGGAACAAGAAGAACAAAAGGAAAATCAAATACAGCAAGGAGAAAAGGGAACATCTATCGTATCTCGATATTCCAAGGATGACAAACTCAGTAAATATTGTAAGCTTATCTCACTCTGTTGTGGGATGAACTTCAACGAAGTGGAAAAACTGATTGATCTTATTGAACAATCTCTTGCCAAATCTATGTCTGGAAATTCCATGGCATAGCTATTGTATACTATGTAATATACCAAAAAGGCTCTCGATGGGTTATATAAATATATTTGGAGAATACGGAAATAAATAAGACGAGGAAAGATGATCTAATTGTAATTATTAAAAAGATGTGTCAATTACGCAAGTTTCATCTTGTGTGAGTGTGTGTGTATCTCAAATTGCATCTCAAATGATACAGAAAGATTGGGACACTAAACGCGCACCTTTGTAAAGGTTGAAAACCATCCACATTCATGCATATGATAAAAATAAATGTCACGCGACATAAACTAGAGTTTGTTAGATTCCTTCTACTTGTGAATATGGAGTACGGCTAACATCGTTTCATGGCATGTTCTGGAAACTATTTTTATCACCGCATGGAACGATTTCCTGTGAACGGCGTTCCTTTACTGGATGTTCCACTCTGTTTATTCCGGTATGTACTATGAGGTTTCGACGGAAATAAATACAATAGCCCATATGCTTATTGGGTAGATCTTCGGTTTTTATTTTTTTAGTTTTTTTAATTTTTTATTTTTCTGCATGAAATGAGATTAGAGATCGAAGGTTTGTATTATTCCTGAATAACAAACCCTCCCTTAAAATTCTTTTCGCAAAAAAATAAAAAAAGCAATATCTTACAACAGTATCTATCTCTTTTTAAGTAAACATACGTATTCAGAAATGTATAGCTTGCAAAATAAGAGATATGCCCGTATGATAGCCGGTGCTGGCCTAGGGTTTTTCATCATTTGCCTTCTCATCACCATGAGAAGTTCATCTAGCCACCTGGTGCAACATTTCCATGACAAAGGGAATGTGGCTATGGTGGAATATCCTCAAGATGACGATTCATTGGATAATCTTTCGGATGAAGGCCATAACCAGGGGGTAGTTGCAGACTCTCAAAAGGCCCAAGATCTGCAGAAAGCCGCCAATGATATATCTGCCCCTGGAGGAAAAAATGATGACATGGAAATCAAAAAGGGGAAAGGTGATAAGAATACTGGTACAAAGTCCTCTGGTTCATTTGCATTCTCCGATGAGCTTATCAAGGAAGAATTCAAGGATATGAATATGAAGACATTTTCTGATCCAATGCATTTGGTAGAAGGAGTTGACAAAGATGGTGAACTCTCACAAGATGAATATTGCCCCAAGCTTGCCTTCACCGATAAGGTTGGTGTTTCTAGACAACGTATGTTGGACGTTCCCTTTGAGAGGATCAGAGCTGCCATCAAGAAAATCCCAGAATTTGAGAATTTGGTTCAAAAGGCCTACAAGAAGTTCAATTCGAAATTCCCAGAAGAATCTCAATGGCTTAGATTTGGTGGATCTTCTGTATGGTTGGATGAATTCCAAGTTCATTATATGGTCAGTAGAGTCTTATTTCTGCATAATGGTGTTCCTAACAAGGGTTATGTCAGTTTCTTTTACATACAATTATTTGACCAGAACTGGAAAGAACTCCCACCTACCAAACTTGAAGTTCCATAAGAGAAAAAGACTTTGGTTAAGGTAATTCAACCAGATGGATCCGTACTTGAAGATGTTCTTGATTCTGTAGTTGGTCGTAGACAGGTCGAGTACCCATCTATTCTTCCAATTCCATTTGATTCGGAGCTTCAATCCGCCGATGACCATTACTATGGACCAGAAGATCCTCGTATTGTTCTTAGAACAAACTCCATGGGATTTGAAGAACCTTTGATTGTTTTCAATATGAAGAGCAACAAGCTTGTACAACGTGTAATGCACATTTACTTACCATTCTCCACTCACCTTCGTGTTTTGACTAAGCGTAACACTCCATTCACTCAAGTCGAAAAGAATTGGACTCCATTTATTTCTGGTAGATCCAATGAAGCTATCGATTTTGTTTATTCACTTGACCCATTGGAAGTTATGTCTTGTAATATTGAATCTGGTATTTGTGATTGGCATCAAAAACCTTCCGGTGGACGTGTAGGACAACTTCGTGGTGGTACTCAACTTGTTGAATTACTCCTGTCTAAACATTTCCCAGAATTGGCCCTTCCTGAACATAGAAAGGTTTATATTGGAATGGCTAGAGCACATTTGAATGGTTGCGGATGTGGAGAATCCATGTATAGACCAAACTTCATGATTCTCATCGATGATTACAACCCGGGTAAGGATAAGCATTATTTCAAGGTCAGTCATGTTTCTGAATATATTGATTTCTTTGCGGAAGTTGGTCCATGGGTAATTCCAGAATTAGATGGTGACGGTAAATTGAAACCTATCAACAAGGGGGTTTGTGTTGGTCGTAATGTCCTCATTCCAAATTCTATCGCTTACTGGGGAATTGAATCCGTTGAAAAGGACGGTAAGGTGTACAAGGCAAATGAATTTGACCTGGTTCCACAAAATGATTCACCTGTAAAATTCAATGATTATATGGCGATTACTCTTTCATCAGCTGATAGAGATGTTAGTGTTGTCCATGTTCGTGGTCTTCTTTCATATATTATGAAACTCCCACTGATCTTTGATTCAGAAAGCCAGGTATACACTGACGCCAAGTTCCAACCAAGGGGATTTGATCTTAACATTAAATGTGCTATGAGTGCATCAGATAAATATTGTAAGAATTTTGGTAATGTATTAAGAGAAAAGGAAAAGGCCGAGAAGGAAAAGGCTGAGAAGGAAAAGGCTGAGAAGAAAAATTAGTGAATTTATTATTACATTATAGAATATAGACCCATTAAACAAAAGACATCTACTTTCAGTAGTACAATATATTCACACAAGAACAAATAGATAAAATTGAATTTATTAAAAAGTGTAGCAGTCTTTTAATGACCATGGATATATTGAAATACCTACTTTGACATAAATAAAAGACCCCTCGATTTTAGCCATAAGACCTCACGGCTTGCAAGGGTTACCATCGCCGCACTTGTGACACGCCGTTACACGTCGGCCCAAATAAAAAAAAAAAACAAGTGATTCACTCACCTTTCAGCCTTTTTTTGTGTACCCGCGAATAACCGAGCCCTGAAAATCAGCATAACTACTAAAAAACACATAGAAAAGTTTTTCTTACCAGGGCGTTCCCACCGCGAATAGCCGCGGTTTTCCGTTAATATCCACACTTTTGGGTGCAAAACAAAAAAATCCGTGTATACATATATAGACTTGGGGATACCCCCCCCTTCTTTATATTGACAATCCAAACTTATTCAATATTATATTTTTAATTTTCGTACCCGATGTCAGACTCTTCACTCAAGAGTGATATGCATAGAATGAAGGAAGATGAGTTGTATAACACATCTTCTGCCGAAACTCCCAGGGCATTCCATGGTGCCGTAGAAAAAGAATACACAAACGAAGGAGATGACACTCTGCTTTATCGTAAAAACACCAGTCAGTCAGCATACTCGACTAACCTTTCAGTTAAAGATATCTATGGTGACATGGATAGTGATGAAATTAAGATGCAACGTCATGAAACTAGAAAATCTATTCTCTCTGAACTTGTAACTAGAACTCAAGATGCCGAGGAAGGTATATACGATACCAAGGAAGACCATACAATGGCTACATACTACGAAGACTTGCCAGATACTTCAGTTCCGATCAAACACGATGGTGAAGAGTTCACTGATATCGACCCAGAGTTGATCACCTGGAAGGGAACAGATGATCCGGAAGACCCAAGAAACTGGCCCTTCGCAACCAAGGCCACACTCACTGCATTGGTATCTTTATATACTTTGGTTTCACCTATGTCTTCATCTATTATTTCTCCTGCAATGTCAGAAATTTCTAAGGATTTTGGAATTAAAAATGAGATTATTGCTGCTATGGTTGTGTCTATCCAATTACTTGCATGGGCAGTTGGTCCATTGATTCTCTCACCATTAAGTGAAAGTCATCGTTTTGGTAGAAAAATAATTCTCGATTTATCTATTTGGATCTCCTTTTTCTTTAATATTGGATGTGCATTTTCTCAAAATACTGCTCAAATGATGGTATGTAGATTTATTGGTGGTATCTTTGGATCTTGTCCATTGAACGTTGGGGCTGGTGTTCTCTCTGATTTGTTCGATGCCCAACATAGAAATATGGCATTGGCTTCATTTTCATTGGCTCCACTTTTAGGACCTACTATTGCCCCATTGATTGCAGGATTCATCGTGGACAACACCAATTGGAGATGGGTTCTTTATGTGTTGTGTATCTTTAACGGGACGGTAGCGTTGATCGGAAGCGTCTTTTTTAAGGAAACATATTCACCAAGATTATTGCGTCTCAAGGCAAAGAAATTGAGAAAGGAAACAGGAAATGCCAATTTACATACCATTTATGAAATTGCAGATGGTGAAACTACCATGGGGAAGTTGTACTTGTCTGTAAGTAGACCAGTTGTTTTATTGTTTACTCATCCAATGATCATTGGTTTGGGTGCTTACATGGCTTTCACATACGGGTTCATGTACTTGATGATCATTTCATTCCCTCAAGTATTCCAACAGCAATATGGGTTCAGTAAGAGTACTACTGGATTAATGTACATCCCTATGGGTATGGGTTTCTTGATTGGTGTTCTTTTCTGGACTCCTACTATTGGTAAAGTTTATAACAACTTAACTAAAAAGAATGGTGGTGTTTCAAAACCAGAATTCAGATTGCCATGTCTTATTTCCACAGGTTTCATTATTCCAATTGGACTTGTTTGGTATGGATGGTCCGCCGAGAAGGGATTACATTGGATAATGCCAGGTATTGGATCTGCAATCTTTGCCTTTGGTATTGTTTGTGTTTTCCAAAGTATGCAATCTTATCTTATTGATATGAATACCAGATTTGCAGCCAGTTCTGTTGCAGCTGCAGCATTATTCAGATCCTTATTTGGGTTCCTGTTCCCATTATTTGCTGACAAGATGTATGCCAAATTGAATTATGGGTGGGGTAATACCATGTGTGCATTTATTGGGTTAGTTTTGGGACTTCCATTCCCAATTTTCTGTTATTTATATGGAGAAAAGGTTAGAAACTGGGCCAATAAGAGAATTGAAAAGAGTCAATTGAAGAGAGATCAAAGAAATCTTGAGCGTCTTACCAGACAAGAAAGTCGTGAGATGAAAAAATAATCCATGACGATATAGCATGTAGACACACAATGTCTAAAAACAATACATAATTAATAGCATTTTAAAAATTTTATAACTCATGTAGATGACAAAAACTACCTATACTATCAAAAAAGGATTATGAGCAAAAATATGCGAAATTTACCCAAAATTCCTAAAAAAATCTATAGCAGAGTATTTTTAAGGAAATTAAATTGTGGGGGCATAAAAGTAACAGCACACAAAATAAAGAAGATACTATTCTTTCTGGTTAATATATCTATCCATCTACATCCATATATAAATCTATACTTGATTCTAGAATGTCCACGCCACTCGCAACACAGACTATCGAACAATTAAAGCCATTCCCACTTCAAGAACATTTGCGAGTACTTCCTCAATCAGTACTTGAGGAGTTCAGTCAACTGTATGATCTAGTGGAAGGATATGTCAAGTCTCTTTCCACGTACAAAGATCACGAAGTAGAAGTGGTGAAAGAATTAAATGCACAAATTGAAAAGTTGAATGTGTGTTCCGAGTTACTCGAAAATTATAATAGAGTTGGCGATAAGATCCAACAACAAGTAAGAGAGTTGAATGGTATATTCGAAGAATGGACAACTTTAGAAACTATACAATATCAATTACTATCAGCTAATTTCAACCAAGACGCCTTGAAACTGAAGTTTAAGCGCATGCTCGCAGAAAGTGAGCTGGCACTGACAGAGAGTATCAAGAAGTTCAAGACATCAGAACAATCCGAGACGGATTTTACCGAGTTGGTGAGTCGGTTTAGAGCCGAAAGAAAATTGTATCACATTAGAAAGGAGAAATTTAACAGATGGAATGAAGAACGGGTTAGTGGGTTTGTGTGAGCAAACCAAATATAAAGCGGGGATTGTAAATGAGATTGCACCATTCCCTAGTTTATTTATGTGCGAGTTTACATACAGACTCTACGATAAGGAGACGTAGAAAGATTACACACTTTCTATTGCTCATGTTTGGATACGGAGAATTCGGTTAGATTGGTTCCGTTTTTCGGAGCTTACTATTCCCTCATTGTTTTTTTTTTACCTTTTTTTTTTTGTTTTTCCAGCTTGCACCATCACTTCATGAGAAGTTATCACCCACCCCTCGCCGGAGAATAGTTGGCCGACGAAGGCGGGGCACATCTCAGAAAAAGAAAATGGTTCTGTTGTTCACTTTTATTCACTGAGAGACAGCTTAGCAATTGGTCTACTAAAAATTATGAGACTCCCTTAAGGCCGATAATTTGAACGAGAATCTCCTGAAAGCAATTATGTTCCTTTGGTCCACTAAACTTCGGAGCTTGTGTGCCGCAAAAAAAATAAAAAAAAATTATTTGTCCGAAAGTACATCTGCGCACGCGCACTCTATCAGGAGGTTCACACACCAGAAGGAGTCACAATGAATAATTTTCCTTCGCTTGTTTTTTCTAGTGCATCTTGCAATCTTTCACTTACTTGTTGTCACCTATTCCATTGACTTGCAGTATGTTCCAGACTGTACAAAGAAGAGCCTTCAGCTCTGCTTCTAGGGTGTTCAACAGTGCTAAGGCACCTATTCCTCCACGCAAGCCATTTATTGGTACCAGAATCTGGAGAACAACTAAGCGTGTGACCTTATTATCAGTTGTTGCTGCCACTGCAGCAGTCGCCTACAAGGTCTACAAGGAATCTAACCCAGCTGATCAACTTAAGCAATCTCCTACCTTTGAAACTGGTCAAAAGAAGAAAACTTTAGTCCTTTTGGGTTCCGGTTGGGGTTCAATTTCTTTATTGAAGAACTTGGATACCACCTTGTATAACGTTGTTGTTGTTTCTCCAAGAAACTACTTTTTATTCACTCCATTGTTGCCATCTTGTCCAACTGGTACTGTCGAATTGCGTTCTATTATCGAACCAGTTAGAAGTGTTACTAGAAGATGTCCTGGTGAAGTTATTTACTTGGAAGCCGAAGCTACCGATATTGACCCAATTAACAACACTTTGACCATTAAGCAATCTACCACTGTCCATTCCGGTCATTCCGGTAAGGACACTGGTTCTGCTAAGTCTACAGTTTCTGAACATTCCGGTGTTGACGAAATCGTTACTTCCTTGCAATATGATTACTTGGTAATTGGTGTAGGTGCTCAACCTTCTACCTTTGGTATTCCTGGTGTTGCTGAACACTCAACTTTCTTGAAGGAAGTCAGTGACTCCCAAAAGATTAGAAAGAGATTGATGGACTGTATTGAAGCCGCTAACATCTTGCCAAAGGGTGACTCTGAAAGAAAGAGATTGCTTTCTATTGTTGTCTGTGGTGGTGGTCCAACCGGTGTTGAAGTTGCTGGTGAATTACAAGATTACATTGACCAAGATTTGAAGAAATGGATGCCAGAAATTAGTTCCGAATTGAAGGTTACCCTTGTGGAAGCATTGCCAAACGTTTTGAACATGTTTAACAAGAAATTGGTTGATTACACTAAGCAAGTTTTCCAAGACACTAACATTGACTTGAAGACTAACACTATGATTAAGAAGGTCAGTGACAAGAACGTTACCGCTCAAGTCACTTCTCCAAAGGATGGCTCTAGTGAAATTGTTGAAATCCCTTACGGTATGTTGATTTGGGCTACTGGTAATGCTCCTAGACCAATTGTTAGAAACATCACTTCCAAGATTGACGAACAAAAGAATGCCAGAAGAGGTCTTTTAGTAGATGATAAATTGTTGTTGGATGGTTCTGATAACATTTATGCTTTGGGTGACTGTACTTTCACTAAGTATGCACCAACTGCTCAAGTTGCTTTCCAAGAAGGTATCTATTTGGGTAAGCACTTTGAAAAGTTGCACCAAATTGAATCTTTGAAACATCAATTGGCTCATCCAAACCCTGAAGATAACCAAGAAAGATTAGGTAAGAAGTTGGCTAAGTTACAAGAAAAGTTGCCAAACTTCGTTTACAACCATCAAGGTTCCTTGGCTTATATTGGTTCTGAAAGAGCTGTTGCTGATTTGGTCTGGGGTGACTGGTCTAATGTGACTACTGGTGGTACCCTCACCTTTTTGTTCTGGAGATCTGCCTACATTTACATGTGTCTTTCTGTCAAGAACCAAATTTTGGTCTGTTTGGATTGGGCTAAGATTTCCATGTTTGGAAGAGACTGCTCTAAAGAGTAAGCTCATGATTATGTTTAGTATGTTATTAGTTAATAATAGAGTGAATTAAGCTTGTATAAGAGTATTGTAATTGTACCAAAGGAAGTGAGGCGCAAAACAAAATTTGTTAATGTGAAGTATATAGTATCGCACATCTTGTAAGAATAAGGAAAGAGATGCACAGCTGCTTGGTGACTCTGTGTAGAGCCCGTTGCATCTAATCACTAACAATCTCAACATTTTCTGTATAAAATGACCACTTCGCAACTGAAAAAGGGAGGTAGTATTCAAAGTATTTTTTTTTACTATTGTTAAACCACAAAAAAAAATGAATAGTATTATACTACTATAATATTCTCTAGATAAAGAATCAACATGTTCTGTTCAATAAATAGGAAGGGGGGGGGGGGGGGGAATTACCTCAAGTCTGTGAACTTTTTTAAAAGTAAATAAAGCCTTCATCGCTATTATTCGTAGTTAAAAATTCAAACTACAAATAAGAGCTTCAATTATGCCTCCATGTTCATATCAAACTCTTTATCGACTCGTGTACTCAATAACGTAATGGAATCTACTATTATATAGAGAGATATTAACTGATATAAAAAAAAATCCAGAAAAGATATATAATTGATTTGCTTCTGTACTGCTTCCAAACGTAGTGGAAACCCTGCCTTTGTAGCGTAATGGTTAACGCGTTTGACTTCGAATCAAAAGATTGAGGGTTCGAGTCCCCCCTAGGGCTTTTCATTTTTTTTTTTTGATTTTTTTCTAGATATCACAAGTGTATCTACAAGAAGGATAGAAATTCTATACCAATAATCAAGTAAAGCCATTTGAAATACAGTTATTGAAGAGAAGAACTAGCCCTAAGTGGTTTGAAAAAAAAATAGCATGGTTGCATAATTATGACATATTTAAAAGTAAAAAAAAAAAAAGAAGATTTAACAGCATGCCGAGACAAAGTTAAAATCTAAATTCATCTTCATCATCATCATCGTCTGGAGCTATCTTGCCAATTGATTTCGCAGTTACTGAATCCTGGTTGGGTGTTCTTAAACTAATGGATTTGGTAGGAAGCGAGCCATAATCCTCAGATAGTTCATCGTCGGAATTGTAATGAGACTGTTCGGCGGTTATTATTGATCGAACTATCTGTGGAAGAATATCGGGACGGTAAAACCTCAAATCAATTCTTCCAACAATGAAAAGGATATTGATTATTACTTCCAATAAGCCCCACATGATATACATCACCACTGGCTGGCAAATCTGGGATTGGTATCTCTGCTGCTTTCCTTGGAATAGAACCACTGACCTAAGAATCGCGCCCGCGCAAATAAATGCACTGGAAATGACAATAATAATCAATGAGGTATTGTGAGTTAGTGATCCTCTTTGATTAGTTAAACCTTCAACCATCTTATAATGGTGATGTGTGGCTGCGATTACTCTTATCGCGTATCTATGGTTATGATTTCGTTTCATGAAGGTCGCATTTGCTGCACGCGCAGCATGGGGCTCAACAAAATATGTAGGACTAAATGATTCTATCCACCAAGGTTGATAAGTATGTAAATTTTCATCCTTAGAGGTTGGTTTGAAAAAATATGACAAATTAATAAGTGCAATCCCTGTTACAGAATACAATACAATAAGAATCGAAGTTGCTCGAACCACATTTACCCATATATCGTATTTTTCCTGAGACAAGAAATACAAGTATGGCCATACATTAGCAACGATTGTGAGACCCAATAACAAACAAATCACAATATAAGCTCCTATCATAAAGTTCCAAAATAGATCTCTAGATCCTCCAACAGGATGTCTCCAAGTGAATAATCTTTGAGCTAAAATAAGATTTACAGAAATAAGGACAATTGATGCAACGATTGTAAATACAGTATGTACTATACCAATTCCAATCTTGGTGACATCCATTGACCACGGGATTCTTGCTGCCCAGCCAATCACTCTCATTATACTATAGAGTATCATTATTGCCAGCATCCAAAAGTAATGGCCTCGTGAAGTGTTTATTGTGAAAATGATAGTATGTAAGATTCCAATAACTGCAAAAGCTGCGCAGAATATAGCACTAGGTATAATGTCACGACTTGAAGGATAATCTCCAAACAAATTAAACTGCAAGGTCGTCATATATTGAGATAAAGCAATTGGAATACTAGGACCAGCCGTATTATGAGAGAATTGAATTAACTTGTATATTCCTGTTCCTTCGGCGGGGTTGTTTTGAAGTGCGTATATCAATGCAAGAAAGCCGTCCAAGGCATCGTTGGTATAGTCTGGTAAATCAATTGTCATTTCCTTAGTGATTTTGAAGGTTTGTAACACGAAAGTCCCTGAGTTAATATATCATTGGGGTATTGTACTTGGCCAAGTTTCTCTGGTTTACCAAATCCAGTAGATGTGCAAAATCTCTTAGACAATGCATTGATGTACGATTCTTAAATTCGATGATCCCCGCAAGACTTTTACGACTACATCCTCTGATATTTTTCATCGTAATATATGTGCCAAGGTTATTCTCAAGGTAAGGCGCCAAAATCTAATCTTGTATCATATGGACATTATAAAACCCATGTGGTTCAGAACACGAAAAATTCTTACAGTAAAATTTTGCATTAATCTTATATTTTGTGTACATATATACATATGGAGCACTATTAATTAGTTTGTATTCTGTGCATTGGAATTTAATGATGAGCTTTCAAATTAAAATTTAAAATCTTCTTTGTTTTGGACAGCAGTGCTTGGCTCATGTTCTGGGGCAGAATCTAATGGAGAAACGGTCAGTTCCTTTTCTTTGGTCATAACTTCTTCTTCTTCTTCTTCAGCTTCAGAGTGGACAGCAGATTGTTCAACCGATTGATTGGCAGTAACGATTTCACGGACAGCCTTTGGTAAAACGTCAGGTCTGTAGAAACGCAAGTCAACTCTACCGACAAGGTAAAGAACGTTAATGATAACTTCAAGTAAACCCCAACAGATATACATAGCAACTGGTTCGCAGACTGGACCACGAGTAGCATCGGTACGACCTTGGAATACCGCAACGGCTCTACAGATAGCACCAACGAAAAGGAACACAGATGAAATAACAATAATGGCCAAAGAATAGTTGTGTTTCAAGTCACCTCTTTCATTGGAAAGGCCCTCTACTTGATTGTAGTGGTGGTGGGTGGCAGCAATGACTCTAATGGCATGTCTATGGTTGTGGTTTCTCTTCATGAAAGTATCAGCGGCTTCAGCTGCAGCACCCTTCTTAACAAAGTATAATGGACTGAAGCTATTAATCCACCATGGTTGGAAAGTGTACAAGTTTTCATCCTTCTCAGTTGGTTTGAAAAAGTAAGCTAAAGATAACAAAGCCATAGCGGTCAATGTGTACAAAATGATAAGAATTGAAGAAGCCTCGACAACCTTTTTGTAAGCCAGGAAGGCGTGTTCGGAAATAAGGTAGAGGTATGGAACTACTGAAGCAACAATAGTCATAGCAATAACGGCACAAACTACAACATAAAGTGCAATCATGACAGCCCAGAAAGTTTTTCTGGAACCACCAACTGGATGTCTCCAGGTGAAGATACGTTGAGCCAAAATCAAATTACCAGAAATAAGTAAGATAGATGGTAAGACCAATAAAACTTCATCGGCGATACCCATTTCAGTATTGGTGATATCTTTACTCCAAGTAATACGAAGGATCCATGCAATCCATCTCATTACACAATAGAATGCCCAACCCAAAGAAAGCCAGAAATAGTGGCCTCTAGAGTAGTTGATGGTGAAAATAGCGGCATGTCCAATGGACAAAATAATGAAGACAGCAGCAAAAATAGCTGATGGTACAACATCCTTACTGGTTGGATAACTACCAAACAAATTGATTTGTTCGCTAATGGTAAATTGAATAAGCGCTTCTGGAATTTGTGGACCCATCAAGTTGTGGGCTTGTTTGACAAGCACATTGATTCCTGTACCTGGAGCAGGGCTGTTGTTAACGGCAGAAAGAAGGTTCATAAACCCTCCAACTGCTGCATCTGTCCAATCTTGATTACTCATTATACTAGTTGGTAACTCACAATGAAGAGAAGACTTTAAGAAATTTCTTTCACGCAATATTCCTTCTTTACATCGATTCAACGAGTGCCAACATTTCCCAACAGAAATGCCAAAAAAAATTTCTACTCATTCGATTAGTCTCATTAAGGTTATTTTTTTGTGATGTAGTACATGAGTTGCCTATTTAGGCCACTTTTTGTGCGTTGAATGCCCAAAAGGGATTGCGCGCGTATGACGCTCGGCGTTATTCACAAAGCCGTGAGATTGAACCAAACTATTTACCACCACCTGAAATAAGAGTGACCCATATATTGATGATTCCTTTAGAACCAACAGTAACATGAAATGCAAATCCCAACATTGAAAAGTATAATTGAATTTTAAGATTAAGCTTAGATCATCAAACGGCGGATATCTTGATTGTTGTGACAAATAATGCACAATAATGCCGTAAGTTCGATGCATGACAGCAGGGGTTCGTAGCCTTGTCTCAACCGAAAAAAAAATTGGGGTAAAAAAAAATATTCAAGCCGACCTCCTCATTGGTATCACGGGATCAGCTGAGAAACTTGAGGCGGGGACATAAAATATCTGACTTTGACGAGTCAGGAGATAAATAAAAAAAAAGACAAAACACAAACAAATAAAATTAGGCAACAGACAAACAGGCAAACAAAAAATAACGAAATAAACAAAATATTTTAGTGGAAGAACTGTCACTAAAATCTAAATTCACTCTCGTTGTCTCTGATGACCGGTTTTTCTGAAACTGGTGCTCTAAAATCAACATTAGTTTCACTGTCAGTTCCGTCATATTCTTCACTCTCACTTTCAACATCAGAAACGTTAAGGGATTGTTCCGCAGTAATAATGGAACGAACCTTCTTTGGAAGTTTATCTGGTCTGTAGAAACGTAAGTCAACTCTTCCAACTAGATATAAAACATGAATGATCGCTTCAAGGGCACCCCAACAAATATACATAGCAATTGGGTTACACATGGCACTGCTATCTTTCTTGTAATTTCCTTGGAAAACAACTATGGCTCTACAAATTGCACCAACAAAAATGAAAAGTGTAGAAACCAAAAGGAGTCCCAACGAGTAATTGTGCTTTAAATCACCTCTTTGATTGGATAACCCTTCAACCATGTTAGAGTGATGATGAGTGGCGGCAATGACTCTGATTGCATGTCTATGGTTGTGGTTTCTCTTCATAAAAGTTTCTGCCGCGTCAATGGCTGCATTTTTTTTGACATAATAAAATGGACTGAAACTTTCAATCCACCAAGGTTGGTAAGTATACAAGTTTTCATCCTTTTTGGTTGGTTTGAAAAAATATGCCAATGACAATAACGACATGGATGTCAAAGAATACAAAATGATAAGAATAGCAGAAGCTTCAACAGCCTTTTGATAACATTTATATCTTGCTTCAGAGAGGAAATAAATGTATGGAACGGCTGAAAAAATAATTGTCATCACAATCACACCAATGACAACTGCATAAATGGTAAACATAAAACCCCAGAAAAGTTTTCTGGAACCACCAACAGGATGTCTCCATGTGAAAATACGTTGGGCCAAAATCAAATTTAACGATACAATAAGAATAGAAGGCAAAATTAAAAACACTTCACCTCCAATACCAACTTGAGTATTAGTGATATCATTAGCCCAAGCAATTCTCATGGCAAATCCAATGATCCGCATAATACAATAAAAGATCCAACCAAGTGAAATATAAAAATAATGACCTCTAGATGTATTCATAATGAATACAAATAAATGGGCAATTGCAATGATTCCAAACACTGCAGTGAAGATTGCGGAAGGAACAATATCGGTTTTTGTTGGATAGTTACCAAAGAGATTGATTTGGTATCCTAATGTATAATCAATCATAACGTCAGGGATGTTAGGTCCCAACAAGTTGTGAGCTTGTTTGACAAGCAAGTTGATACCGGTTCCATCAGCAGGGGCATTGTTTTGATACCTAAGAAGCTCCATCAAGCCATGAATGGCGGTATAGTTCTGATCTGACATTATAGACGGTTGTCAGAGTAACTGATGTTAAGAAAAGAGAATTCAAATTAATCTGATCTTAGGAAATTAGAACTATTGCCTAGTTAATATGGGAAATGAATTTTGAATTCGTGGGCCATCCAAATGCACTTTGATATACCTAAAACGGAAAAGAGTGTGGGGAACCTGTATCCAAGAACTTCTAAAATTATTTTTTTATTCTTTTCTGCGTGGCTATTGCTCCAACCTTCGTAAATGATTTGGTGTTACAATTATTTTTCGGTGCCAATTTCTTGGACACCTTGAAACTGGTAGAGAACTTCTTACTTTTGGTATCTCTACATAGGTCAACTATGACTTTACTTCTCTCTATGGTTTTATTCTTGATCAGTTTCAACTACTTTCTCGTGTAAAGCTAGCTCGCGAAATTTTATTTTTCTTTTTATGTTTGATTTTCGTTGCAATGATTTCCCTTTGAGGAAATGCCCCTCTATGTGACAGACCAGATTAGGAATTATCCTTGCCTTGAACACTATTCAGGAAAACCATAAAAAAATATATGCAGTGTGAAACTTTAAAAGAAATGAACTATACGGCTACATATTATGCCAAGCGACTTGTTACAAAGGAGGGGTTATAAAAACAATCACACTAAACAACCTGTCACACTCAAGTTTCCACCTGAATCCTTCCTCTAATGGAAATCTCCTTGTGACACATGAAGATCTCTATTATATGTTTTAACCATATACTTGATGAAAAATACTTCACACGTCAATTTTTAGATTCATGCCAACGGAAAGGAGTATTGGAAGGTTAGAATGACACCTAGCCAAGAGTTATTAACAATTCGATGTCATTCTCTGTTTTGACCCCTCTGCGTTTTATTATTATATACCGGAGCTACACGATACAAAGGTATAATAATACCGTGAAAGTTGAATCCGATATGCCGAAATGAAGTGGGAGTGGTGGAGAATTGTCTACCACGCCATAATTAATTTGGTACGTAACTAATTATGTGTAGCCTTGGCTAATTCATTAAAGAAAAAAGTGGTATTTATTTTGCAATATCTCCCCTCTTTGCGGGGAAAATAAAATACAAACTACAATTTATTTACTCAGAATGACTCTTCTTAGCCCATAATTTAAATGGATTGCCCCTCATCACAAATATTCATACTCTATCTACTCTATATCCTGCAAGTGTGGTGTCTCTTTAATCAATATCATATTTATGGATGATACACTACTGATATGGAAACTGTAATATATTGTTATCTGCAGTATTTTCATTCATCTAACCTTTTTCAATTGAAATGAGTACAAACGCGTTGTAGATAGACTAGGCATAGCACAACAATACCATGCCTTGTGTCGATATAGATTGCTCTAGTGTCGGTAGTACAGCTACTGAAAAGCCACCTAATGTTATTTCTACCCCGTTGGGACTTGCTATAGTGGAGATTCAAGGTGAATTAAATCTCCCACAAACCCAACCTTCTAGAGACGCGAACCCGGAATATTTAGCGAATTTCGCCACGGTAGATGATATATATACAGCCGTAAGATTTGGATCTCTTGAACTTGATCCGAAGGATGAGGAGAAAGCAGTAGTTTATATTGGTAAGTCGCAACGTTTGATGGGGAAATTGGTTAATTTGGATACCCCATTAGGAGTGCTACGTCTTGGATCTAAAGATATAAAAATGGTTGATATCATTTATAAAAAGTTGATTTTCAAGGATAGACCATTACCAATTATGTAAACACTGTGTGGTCGTTTTCAAAAATAGGAGACAGATTGTGTAAAATAAAAAAATGGGGATAACTTTGAAGGTGGGCTTTTTCTTGTTGCAAAAAATCTGGTGCAAAATAAAGACAAGGTATTGCTTTCCCATTTTTACTGCTAAAGTTTATAAAACTATGAATTTTTGCAAGTGTAATATTAATAATACAAATTTTTATATAAATATAAATGATATGTATATTTCTAAATCTTGGATTGACCTGGTCTATGGTCCCATTTGACAAATGCACGATCAGCAAATCCATCTGCTACGTCAGCATGGACTAAAACTGAATAAATCTTTGTCAAATCTTCATCACTAAATCCTAAATAGTTCTTCATGTAATTCACTATTCCTCCATATTTGCTGTTGAATAACTCAATCGTTGATAGCATAGCTTCGTATCTCAGACTGATTAAATTGTTAAATCCATCTTCTTCAATGGTCCAGTTCTTCCGGCCTTGACGAATAGATTCTTCGTAGTTTGAAGATTGACCAACTGCTGCCAACTTCGACTTAACCTTCTCTATCGTTGAAACAAATTTATGTTTAATTGATTCATGATCAGGTTTTAATCCATATGTGGTTAGCTCATATTCACGTGCTACTGTATGTTTATCAACTCCACAAAGAAGAAGCATAAGCATTGCTAATATACCTGTTCTATCCTTTCCTGCCGTGCAATGAAATACAAAGCTTCCGCCCTTTGGTACTTCATCTCTAATGTATTCAAAAATCAGTCTGAATGTACTGGTAGCATCTCCTAATAGCTTGTCATATACTTGAACATAAGTATACCAGCTGGTCATAAGATTAGTATAGCGCATAGCAATAGCCTGAGGTGAATAGTCTGTTTGAGTGAATACTGGAGCATGTACTCTACGAATTCCATATTGAGATAAGTTTTGTGGAATTCCATCTTTATTACATTCACCATCAGATCGAAGATCAAATATTACCTTTACTTGTAAATCTTGAAGTTCTTGAAGTCCAAGATCAGTTACATTAGCCATATTCGCACATCTAAATGCTATTTGAGGCTTTACATAAAGTTGACCAAGTCCTTCAACTGGAGATTTGATGTTTTCTGGGAGAATCAACCCCCTTGGAACCAGTATAACATTCCATCCCCCAACATCCCTAAAGTTGGAAATCCCTTCTACATGTTTCCAACGAGGGACGTGACCAATTGATGAACTGGAACTTAAAAATCGTTCAAACTCTTTATCTGGGCTGAGATAATCAACAATTAGTTTTACCACTTTAGGGTTGAAGTTCACTAAATTCTTTTTGGTCAATGGTAAACCTTCTGAATTGAATTCTTCATGATCGAGTTCAGTAATAACCTCGTCAGTACCATAGAAGTTATGGTCTGCATGAGGGATTAAAACCAATTCATGAGATTTGATCCCTCGATTCAAATGGTTGGCATAGTGTGCTGAATCTTCAACGGGTACAATATGGTCATTAAGACCATAAATACTCAAGACCGACATTTCGCGAGAAAGCTCAGAAATAGCACTCACATCAGGTGTCGCCAAGGATAAAAGCTCGGCCTTTGGAACCCAAGTTCTTTCAAACTTCCCGTATCTAAGACAAGTCTGTTCTACCCCTATAAACTCATCATCAATTGCTGGGTAACGGTCAAGAACAGTCTTCAGTCTGAACCGCGCCAGGCAGTTTACTAAACTAGGGACTATAATGGCAGAACTGGAACTTTCAGTTGATCTCAACAATCGGTTCTGTTCAACTGCCCATAAAAACATTGCCAAAGATCCACGAGAGTGGCCAATAATTGCAGACAATGTGAATGCTATATCCACAGGATTTTTTTCTGCATCAATCAAGAACTCAGCACAATGTTGAATATCTTCTACATCATGTTGTATGATCCTTCCCAACATTTTTGGGTCCGGACCATCAGGTGATTCTCCACACCCACGGAAATCGATTCGAAGTGTGTACATACCTAACTCTTGCGCTAGTGAATGAGCTAATGCTTTCTGGTAGCAATAGTTTCTATGACCAGATTGACCGTGCAAAATCAATGCAGCCTTGGTCGTTGCAGGAGCATATCCAAGTCCAAGAGCATTTTCAACATCAACAGCAGGTGGTACCGTAAGAGTTCCCTTAAGTCCATTCGGACCAATTGTGACTTCTATTTCTCTCGACGTCATTTACCCTCTTTGTCAAGCGCAGGGATACTAGTAAAAGGACTGTGGAGGCTTATTAGTTTATATACAGTGGGGTGAATCTGTGGACCTGCACATATTGAAAGCGGCAGTTAATGGCCGGGTTTTAGCTGTGGATGGGCATGTGACACGACACAAAATAGAATATTCGACCGAGAGAGGGGTGTGAAGATGTGGGGCGAGTATCATATACTCGGCTCTACCAAATTAATCTAACCCCAACATTAATGTGATTGCAAAAAGAAGAAATATCCCTAAGAGATTGGATAATGGAGCTTAAGGTCCTCTGGAATATTGATTAATCAATTAACCTTATTTTTCGGTGCAACAGAAATGAAAAAAGAAAGTCAAAAAAGAATGCGCAAACCCGGAATCGAACCGGGGGCCCAACGATGGCAACGTTGGATTTTACCACTAAACCATTTGCGCTTTTTCTTGATCTTTTGATTCGGTGGTTTAAATAGCAAACTGTGTTTTAGAAATTCGCCTATTTTTTTTGATTTTGCTGGTCTTGAAAGAGTGCTATAATCTAGATAAGCTCATAATTAGGGGTTCAGCCATCAGACGTTTACGGTGTGAGGATAAAATCTGTGAAAATTTAAATTTTTATGTGCATAATATCAAATCATAATGTTTCACTGTAAATCGTGGTGGCCAATGTGCCCTATTTGTGATTCCAGAATGATATAATTGTGTTTGTATCAGCTTCACTTATGCCTAGTATACCTAATTCCCAATACTCACTTGCTATTGTCAAAAATAGAAGAAAAGTAGATATATTAAAGTTTAGGTGTGGGTCGAATTTTACTAAATAAAGCCAAACAAGGAATAATAAAGGAGGGTTCTATCGATGTCACCAAAACAAACCTCTTGGTGAGAATACCTAAAGTCAACGACTGAGGGGAATTCATGTATTAAATCTGATAGTGGATAAATTGTATCTGGGTTATTCGTTTGTACATTGAAAGTAAAACTTATATTTCCAAAAGAAAAAACTATTATTTTTTAGGGCATCATGGTATTCTGACTGCTAATGCATACTTTAGTTGACAATATACAATCCAAATAATTGGTACATGTCTTCTCCGGGGTAACTATCTGATTTAGATACGTTTCCATCATCTAAGGTCGCAAAAATATAATTTGTATGTTATCGCAGATATTGCGAACATATAATTGTGGAGGGTGATTCATTCTACACTGCTTTCTTCCTCATTAGATATCAAATGAACCTTGATCACCTGAGGGATGCATATATACAGCTTGGGCAGGACCTTAGCCGACGTCAGGAAGACCAGCTTGCTACACAGTTGGCGGTTTTCCGTTCTGCCTTAGTAAATTTTGCATGCGACCATGGAGAAGAGATCAAACATAACTCAGAATTTCGAACTAAATTCACTCAAATGTGTCAACTGGTGGGAGTAGATCCATTAGAACTTCAGCTTCATGCAAGTCGAGTAAATGGAGGGTTACAAACTAAGGCCAATGTACCTTCTTCTATAAAGACTGCGGCAGAAGAGAACTTTCGACTTGCTCTTGCAGTGCGAGTAGTGGAAGTATGTCATCAAACTCGTGAACTCAATGGTGGCCTTATATCCACTAAGGAACTCATATCTCGGCTTCAAGAGAGTGAAATTGCAACTTCTAAACTTACCAACTCTGATATTACGGCAGCTTTGGCTGTTCTTGACACGTTAGGTGGAGGATATGAAACTCTCTCCATAAATGGTAAAACTTGGCTCAAGTTCACAAACAATGTAACAAATGATCATAAACGTGTATATGAACTCTGTGAGTTTACTGGCGGCTACGTCACCAACCGCCTATTGCGTGATAATTTTGGCTGGGATCCGGTGCGATGTAAAACAGTTGTGGAAGAAATGATTATGAATGGGTTCCTTTGGGTCGACCAAGGAGAAACAGAATGGCAATATTGGGAGCCATCGTGGATATCAAGCTAAACTAAGATTGGATTTCGATCTTAAATTTCTCTGATGTTTCCCCTTGCCGAACTCGTGTGGTTAAAGAAGTCCACTTCATGAAGTCGCTCTGTTTATGAGTCTGTTAAAAGCAGGCAGGCACCAATCCTAATCTATCATCTTACTAGAGGATCCATATTCAAATAACAAAATGTAATTGATCCATTTACACACATATGTGATCCTAAATGATATATAGAAGGACGTTCTACATCAATAGCCTAATGAACTGCTGGTTTGGCCTACGAGGGTTACATGTGTGTGTGTGTTTTTTCTTTCTTAATGTGTAATTAAATAGTATCATACATGTACAAATAGATTATTGAGCTGACTCAGTTTCAGCACGTTCTAACCGTCTTCTCTTTTTCTCACGGTGCTTGGCATTTACCTCTTCGTATCCAGCGAGTCTCTCACGGGCCAAAACATTGGTATATTTCTTATAATTGCGGCCACGTCCATCTCCTATGTTCACTGCTCCACATCCGTCAAGATTAGTTATCTTGGTCTCATCAAATGTTGCTACTGTGGCAAGCATGTCAGAGACTATTGCCTTAATTTGCACTTCGGTGAGTAATCCCATGACATCGGCGTTGTCTCGCACAAGTTTGGCACCCTTTGACATGTCTACACCTGGAAGCCATTCCATTTCTGGGAACACACAATCATAAAGAACAAGGGGAAGGTCGTCAGCCATTTCGTAAACTGGACGACCAGTAACCTGGGTGACGTCCAATAACTTGTCTATAATTTCAGGCAGTTCAAGTTTTTGACCTACTAGGAAGAGAATGGCCATCATACAACGAACTTGGTGCCATAAAAAGGCAGATCCTTTTAAGTCAAAAACATAAAAGTCATCGATTTGTTTACCAGATTCATTACTATTCTTCTTGAGAGGGAGAATTTGTGCTGATATCACTTGACGACGGTAGTTTGTAATTTGCTTACTACCATCGATCTTACAGAAATTGCGGAAGTCGTGACCTCCTTCAAATTTGAGAGCAGCTTGACGCATCAAGTCAAGGTCAAGGTCAGGATGGTGGCGGAATACATACTTGTAGTGACGATGGTCACAAGAAAAACGAGCATCGAATCCTTCAGGTGGACGTAAACAAACTGCAGTAACACGAATATCAGTAGGAAGGAGAGTGTTGAGCACAGTAACGTAAGGGATTTCTTTGGAGTCGTTGCTAGCAAGCTGTTGTTCTTCGGTGGAGAGTCTGGAACGAACCTTGAGGGAAATAACCTGGTTCAATGCAGATACACCTTTGTCAGTACGACCACAACGCGAAAACCCACAACAGTGAGGTTCAGGAGCAGCAATAAGTTTAGCAGTTGCAAGGGCTTTGAGAATGACTTCCTCCACTGTTGGAAGAGGGGTTGGCTCATTCTGGAAGGCAAGACCATTGTAGTTCCAACCGGTGTAGGCAAAACGTAAGGCAATAAATCTACGGTTATGGTCAGTGATATTGAAGGGCTTCTTTGTACCCTTGGTTGTGGATGTTGTGACGGTTGAAGATGTATTCGTGGTCTTTGTAGTGTCTGTACCGGTAGATGTGGCAACAGTGGTACCTTCTGACTTCAGGGAAACGCAAACAGAGTCCTTGTTAGGTATAGTCTCTCCTGAAGAAGTATTTGAAGTCGTATGTTTCTCAACTGATTCACCCAGACAACCTCTTTCCAACTCGCGGATTCGATCGATAAGTTGAGCACGGCTCCAACGCTCGTAGTCTGCGGCTACGGCCCTTTCGGTGCCCACCAAAAAGCTAAAGGCACGTTTGAGCATAATTATATGAAGGCGAAAATCTAAGTAGAGTATTGGATGTCTTTCTTCCTTCTAGTATGTGAAGAGCAGAGCAGGTGGCTAGCCCATCAAACTTTTTGTTTGTATACACACCCCCTGTTTTTTGTTGAGTAGTAATAAAGAAAATCTAGAGAGTTAAAATTTTACTCTAAAACAAAGCAATATTAAAGGTATAGAGCTAAATTAGAGTGTATAATCTATGAGAGAAGATCATCTGAAGACGTCCCCTAGAGTGATAAAGGATGTCAAATACGGAACGTAAATATTCCTCTGTGATGGAAACGGCTGCGAAATTAATAAAATACAAGCAGGAACAGCTTACTACAAACGATAAAATTATAAAGTGAAACGTTGTTTTATATGAAATAAAGTCATTACGTTTTGCTTACCCTATAGTTTGAAGACATGTTTATATATGATTGGGATAGGAAGAACATCAAACAGAAACTATTAAATGGTGCACGTGAGAACTTTTCTCAGTCTATGCACTCCACTCGCATTCCGATGAAGAGAGATGAGAGCAGAGCATCGAAAGTTTATAGCATCTCTCCTGTAACAACCATATATAACCCATATTTCTTCTAGATCCCATTTAGACTACTATAAAAATGGAGACAGTAAAGGGTTCGCTTTCTTGGGAGAATTTGGGCTGTGAGCTTCACCCATGGCTTGTTGAAGCCATCAGATCTATGGGGTTTGCTACCATGACACCAGTTCAAGCATCAACTGTCCCCTTATTCTGTGGGAATAAAGATGTGGTGGTTGAGGCTGTCACTGGATCCGGTAAGACTCTTGCATTTGTTATTCCGGTGCTTCAAAAATTGTCACAAGTTTTATACGCTGTGGAAAATGGAGAACCAAGTCCTTCCAATCCGTTCACAAGAGGTAAAATGTTCTCTATAGTGATCTCTCCTACTCGTGAACTTGCCAGTCAGATCCAAAGAGTATTTGAATCTGTCTTACAATATCTTCCTGAATCACTCGGTCCAACCATTAAAACTCAACTTCTTGTTGGATCTTTATCGAGTGTTAGAGAAGATGTTGATGCATTTCTCACACAAAAACCACAAATCCTTGTGGGTACTCCAGGTAGAATCTTGGACTTCTTAGGCTCAAGCTATGTCAAGACTTCATCTGTAGAAATGGCTGTACTTGATGAGGCAGACAAATTGTTGGATATTGGGTTTGAACAAGATGTAGTTGGTATTTTGGCTAAATTACCAAAGCAAAGAAGAACAGGACTTTTCTCGGCCACCATTTCATCAGCTGGTGATGTCATTTTCAGAACTGGGATGTCTAATCCTGTGAAAGTGGCTGTGAAGTCTAGAGGGGCTGCCGGGGGTAACTCTTCCAATTCTCCTGCTGCCTTAACCATCAGTTACATGTTGGTTGACCCTGAATATAAACTTTTAACGATGGTGAAACTTCTTACTGAAAATCAATATAAAAAGGCTATTGTATATTTCCCAACTTGTGCATCAGTGAAGCATTTTTACAATGTTTTACATCATGCCCAGAAGAATTCGAATTCTTTTGGTTTAGATGCTCTCAAGTTTTATTCTCTTCATGGTCAACTTTTGACCAAGGCAAGACTTAAGACTCTTCATAGTTTCGCTGACGGTGACATAAATACCCACAAACACATCTTACTTACCACAGATGTGGCAGCAAGAGGTATTGATATCCCAGACGTTGATTTGGTCATTCAAATAGATCCACCTACGAATCCAGACGTATTTTTGCATAGATGTGGTCGTACGGGCCGTGCCAATAAGGTTGGACATGCAATTGTGATGTTGAACCAAAATTCTAAAGAAGAAGATTACGTTGATTTTATGGAAGTTAAAGGATTGAAGATGAGACTGGAATTAGCACCAGAAATCACAAAGAAAGATCTTCTTTTTGTTGATCATCTTCGTCAATACATGTTGAATGATAGAGCTAGACATGAAGTTGCCCTTAAATCGTATGTGGGGTTCGTCAAATATTACCTGAAACATATGGCCTCGTCAATTTTCAGAGTTTCACTGTTGGATTATCTTGGGGTTGCTAAAATGTATGGACTTTTAAGACTCCCTAAGATGCCCGAATCAAAATATGTTGGAGATCGTATGCCTGAAGATGGTTGGTTGGGTGAAGTTATTGATATGGATGAATATGCATATGCTGATCAATTGAAAGAGGCCGCTAGAAAAGAAGGTTTAGAGGCTGAAAAGACTCAAAAAATTGCCGATGCAAAGCGTAGAAAAGAATTAAAGGCTAAAAACGAAGCCTGGTCCAGTAAAACTGATCATAAGGAAACAAAACAGGTGAGAAGAGAAAAGATGAAGCGTAAAAGAGAAGCTATAGAAAAACAACTTTTGGAAGAAGAAAGTGAAGATGAAGATGCTGCTGCTGTAGATTGGAAGGAAGTAGTAAAGAGTAACAAAAAGGCCAAGAAACTGCAATCAAACGTCCAGGGTTCGTTTGATGATCTTTAGTTAGAAAATATACAACAATATAGAACTAAAATAATTAAATGTGATAAATGCTTCTCTAAGATTAGATCTCCAGTTCGACCGGCACTACAGAAGTATTGGTTAAATTATTAGGTGTTACTATATAGTAAAGTGAACGGAAGGATAATAGTGAGCCTGTCACATAGACAATATAAAGTAATATAAAGAAATATCCTCCTTTGATTGTTGGCATTTGTTAACATTTTATCTGATCTATATTTTCCATTTCTCGCTCAAGCAATGAACCCCATCATAGACGTACAAATTATCTAACGGACGATATTGACGAGTCACCAACTTAAGTGCTTCCTGTCCAACAATTCCACCCATATAACTACAAACATTGTGATATTGGATTGAATAGTGGGCCAAAATCTCTTCGATGATTTTACGGTATTCCTCCGATATCTCTGCACCTTTGGTTATCAATTCTAAATCCCCAGGTTGTGGAATTCTTCCCTTATTAGATGAAAAGATTCCCACATTGATCACTGCGTAATAAATTGCTAACAATCCATCAGGAACCATATCTGAAGTGAAGTCTGCACGACTTCCACGAGCGACATAAAGGAAGCGACAACTCTTACAGAAGGTTTTTATGGACTCATCATCTAAAATGAGTCCCGTTAATTCAGATGCTTCTCCCGTTCTAGACTCAACATCTTTAATTGACTCTGATTCTAAAACTTCCTCTATTTCGGAGCGTAGCGCAGCTTGATCCTTTGCAGCCTTTTCTCGATATATGGCTTGTAATTCCACGTACCTCTCTGTATCTGATGCCATGTCTGGAAGCACACCCAGCAAAGGAAGTAATCCATTGTTTTTCACTAAAAACCTTCTTAATGCGCAAATGTATACCCAAAATACACTTTTTAAGTTTCCTGGTTGTGAATCTATATCTTCCAAAAGTTCTGTAATATGTGCGGGAACGGTTGTCACTTGAGAAGCTCTCCATGCAGAATTGTATGCCTCTTCAAAGTTTGCTTCACTTCGGAGATCTCTAGACATGTCCAGTATCATCCTTTTGAATTGTTGTTTCTGTTCATATGTATTTGGACTAGTTCCCTTTTGTCGTTTCCATTCTTGGAGTGCTTTAACAAGGATCACTACATATGGTACATGGGCATGGTCGGTATTGTCTAATTCAATTAAATCGACGGAATCACAATACGCCTGTAAATCATCCCAAGGCTGGTCAACTCTGAGATCAATCAATGATTCTGGGTGAGTTTCCACCACAGTTATTTCACGTGCTATTACTCGGACATATCCATAAAATCCCATAGAATCTGCTATAAGGAGAGGCACATCCAATCTCCATAATATATCTTTCAATTTGTCCACTATATGAGTTGTATATCTGTGCCTCTCAGTAAGAACAACCAACTGAAACTTTTGCCAGTATGAATCTTCCTCGTCTTGCAAAAGTTGTTCAATCAGCCTAGTCTCGGAATATCCAGCAGTATCTGGGTTTAATTCTGAAAGATTCTCCACCATTGCGATTGAACTGTTCAATCCTATATCCAGATGGCCCAAGAAGAAACCACCTTGAGCTTCTTGAGGACCCACTATGCGATCATCAATAACTGTAAACTCACCAACTCCAGGAAGAATCAAATTCTTCATTGCTTCACTACCCAATACAGACGCATTTAACAAACAAACGTGGGAATTCTCCAAGCTGTTCTGTCCAGAAGCAGCCCACAATCTGAGTTGTCTATCGTATTTATTCTGTTTATCCATTTCAATGCTTAGAATATTCTACTATTGTGGTATGTAATCAGTATGGATTTTTAGTAAAATAAAGTTCGCGCAGAACTGTTTGACGCCAGTACTATCTCTCAAACACGGGGTACAGATGAGCAATTCAATTCATTTACTTTAACAAAATAACTATATATGAATTAAGAATTTTTATCTAGAGAAGTTGTAAATTTAATTTCTAAGTCTAATGATAATGCATTTTTATGTCAGATAGAGTACTTAATTGATCATTGGCCCACTTAATCTCAATAAGTTAAAAATTGAAGAATTGAAATGCTGGATAAGTTTCTGATATATATATACAAACAAAGAAACGAATAATTACAATTAGAAAGAGTAGTAGATTAAAGTAAAGTATTGCAGGTTATTAGTCAATCATTGCTGATCAATACAGATCATTGGTTAATTTAGTTCTATTGTGTAATTGGCTGCGAATAATTTCACTCAAACTACAGACTACAAGCTTTCAATGTGCTCTATTATTATTATTATTATTATTATTATTATTATTATTATTATTATTATTGAACAGCACATTTATTATGACGATTCCCATTACCCACCATTTCATCATATCTTTCCTTGTCACGTTCACGTAATTTTTCCTTAACTTCAAGTGGGAAATATTTTTGCATCAATTCTAATTTAACCAAATCTAAATTCAGACTATCAGCTTGTAAAATGGCTCCTTCATGTCTACAAATTGGACAATTTGTTTTATCTTGACCTTTTAATTTAACAAGACATCGGACACAAAATAAATGCCCACATAAAAGTTTTATTGGTTTGAATGCAACCAGACAACAAATTGGACATGTATAATCATCCAATTGTGGAATAAGTTGTAATAACAGATTTTGCATTACAAAACATATACTTTGTGCAAGAGAAGCACCAGTAATAAAGATATGATCTGCCAGTACAAGTTTTGGGAATACATGACTTACTCCCAAGGAAGTTTGTTTATCAAATTTTTTCAATATTTTTCTCATTGCTGTAGTATTAATGGCTTGAAATTGTAAAACTTTTAATAAATGTTCATTCATTGCAACAAAATTATTAAATGCAATCAAAGATTTTTTATTATGAAATTGTGATAAAATATCCAGTTTGGTAACTCTATCCATAAATTGTCCAAATTTCTGTTTAATTTGACCTGAATTACGTTCCAGATTTGCAATTGATGTTTCATTATATCTGAAAAATACTTCCAGATCCAAATAAATTCTAAAGATTTCTCTCCATTTATATAAATCTGATCTTTTCAAGGCTTTTACTGTTGATGGTCCTGCCAACGTTTTCACTACTCCCAGTATATTCTCCACCTCTTGCATAAGCTTCCCCTCTTCATCTTTTTGAAGTTTATCAAGTGCTTCTAATTCACTATCAAGCATTTGGAAAAATTTTGAATCTGAATTAAGGACAATAATAATTTCATTTTTCTTTTCTCTCTTATTGTTCAGATTATTAGATTGTATATCACTATGTTGATCATCTTTTTGACTAGTTTGTGGAGATAATATCAATACATTATTCTCCTTTAATTCAACAATATTCCGTTTCAGTAAATAAACTCCTCCTTCTTCTTCATCTTCTTCAGAATTTAATAATTTTTCAATCTTTTCCTTTAATTCAACTCCAAGCTCAACAATATGATCATCTGTATAGTCTTCTTGGGAATAATCAATGGTAATCTTAAGCATTGGTTTAATCGATGATGACCCTTTAGATCTTGTAAGTGAATACTCAGCAATCACCGGGTTGGTTGCAACAGCTGCAGATTCATCAACCTCTATAATACTTCGACTGGTTGTATCCTCTAATAAAACTTTGAGGGTATTCTGTTCTAATCCAAGAAATTTAAGTTCATCAACAACTTTATTAATACACTTCTTTAACAATTTATATTGAATAGCAGCTCCAACCCATGCATTTGGTATCTCCTCTTCAATCAACGTTTGTTCCAATACTTTGGCAAACTTCATTGTTGATAAATATTTTTATTTATATTACAAGTCTTTGCTATATATTCATAAGTGGCTGAAATTTTGGAATTCTAATCAATTAGTCTCACACAGAGAGTGTTTTTTTTTTTTTCGTATGCAATATGTACAGCTATATATATATATATATATGATAGTATCTTGTGATTGTAATAGTCGCCCTCATCTCTTTTTCTCCACGATATCCTGCACGAGTCATTCAGCATGATAAAAAAAAAAGCAGAGTATGCAAAAAATTTATTTCATAATTCTTGCTGCTACATTTAATTACCGCACTGCAGTCCGTCAAAATTTGTACTTGTTTATTCTGGATTGTCTAGTTGAAGCTAAATCAAGATGGTATCGTATTAATTTCTCGCACTCGAGATAAATTTCCTCCTTTGTTAATTCTTGCAACAAAATGAGTTAGCGCCTTGCCGCCCTCGTGGGCAGGTCGTGGATATCTGGCCAGATTATTTCCGTACGCGCGTTCCCGTCAAATCTAAAAATTGCTTTTTTTTTTTGCGTCGTAATTTTTTTTTTTGTATTTGGAAGGTTCCTCACAAACTGCCCCTAAACCACGCAAGGCTGGCACCTAAGCATGACCTATGTGGGTATGACTGTTAGAAATAATACCGCTGAATTCTTTAAATGAGTTTATGGCTCCATGAATCCTTGTAGTTTTCTACTCGCCACAATATTTCATGTACACAAATTATAGGAGGGTGGCTCTATGAAAATGATGCTCTAGTACCATTTCTTTTAGAATCTCTCCATCATACAACACTTGATTGTAGGAATTTCGTAGACGTTAATTGGTTATATTTGTTTGATGTAAGAGTCTATTAGATTGTCGCATTTTGCAACCATCTAATAGACTCTATAAAACCTGCACCGGTTAGTAGCCTTTAACTGAAGGATCAACCACCAAGTCAGGTTTTAAAAGTATATCTTCTTACAATATTGATTTTTAATTGTAATTAATTATTAATATTTTGTATTCTATACATTTCTCTTATATTATTCCCGTAATCACTAATAAACCGATCAAAACTCCTCTCACAAAGTAAATCGATTCTTAGACAATCAACTATTAATATTTTCTCTGTTTTTTTCTTGTTTTATTTTAGAATCTACTCGATAACAACCACAAGGTCTCCCGCGTCAACCATGTCACCATTCTTGTGGAAAATCTTGACAACCTTACCGGCCTTTGGTGAAACAACTACCATTTCAGTCTTCATGGCTTCCACAACAACAAGTCCTTGCAGTTCCTTCACTTCATCGCCGACACTAACAAGTGGTTTCCAGAATCTACCTGAGTATTCAGAGTAAACCATTTCAGCCAGTTCACCGAATTTGTCATCTTCAGATAATTTTGGTCCATCACTTACTGCTAATTCCGCATTAGACACCTGGATCAAACGATTAAATTCTTCCAATCTATCACCACCTTGATTCTTTTGAAATTCAGCAATTGATTCAGAGTTTTCTTGAACCCATTCCAAGTATTGAGTATGGTCGAAAACAGATTCAACAATATCAACTTCGAATTGACCAGCACTCATTTCATCGGAAAATCTATCAACTTCTTCTTCGGTAGCTGGGTAGAATTCAACTTGATCAAATGGCAGCAATAACCATGGCTTCTTGCTCAGATGTTGTCCCAATGACAACTTGTCCCAGATAGGAATAGTACGACCAACCAACTGGTATCCACCTGGTGATTCCATAGTATAGATACACATGTAGTTACCACCAATACCAACAGTACCATTTGGTGTGAAAGTACGTGATGGGTTGTATTTAGTTCCAAGCAAACGGTGACGAGGGTCTAATGGAACAGCACAAGGAGCTCCTAAAAACACATCACCCAATCCAAGAACCAAAAATCTAGCAGAATACATCATGCTTTGAACATCATTACGATCAATTCCGTTAATGTTGGCCACAAAGTCAACATTGTTTGGTAACCAAGGGGCATCAGAACGAATAGTTTCTTGATAACGCTTAACTGCTTCCAAAGTTTTCTTGTCCTCAAATGCCATTGGTAACTTGATAATCTTTGACTCCACCTTCCACTTGTTGACAAACACAATTTCACGTTCAAATGAAATCAAAGTGTCCAACAAATCCTTTTGACTAATTTTGGCATCATATTCAATTAAAACTGATCTAACACCACGAGACATCTCAACAATTCCAACAGTCTTGTTACGATCAACCATTTCGATCAAACGATGAACTCTGTAGGAAAGGTTCAAGTCAAGGACATTTTCACCATATTCAACCAAAATGTAACGATCACCAGCTTGACGGTAGCAAACAGTTGGGGCCTTTTCAGAAGCCTTGAAAGTAGCCAAGACTGGGTTTTCAACTTCAGTCAAGATACCAACACCACCATCTGTAATGGATGGTAATGATCCAGACATTTCTTCGATGACAGTATCTTGGTCTTTCTTCAATTGCTTGGCAGTGGCATAAGTTACTGGAACAAATTGAATAGCATCACCAGGCTTAACTTGTCCAATCTTCCACATTTCAGCTTCAGCAACGACAGCTTGACAAACAAATCCACCCAATGATGGACCATCACAAGTCAAAATAACAGGTTCATCACCAGTAAAGTTAATAGCACCCAAAGAATAGACGTAATCATGAGCATTAGAAGGATGTAACCCAGCTTCACCACCATCGGCACGAGCCCATTGAGGCTTAGGACCAATCAATCTAATACCAAAACGGTTAGAATTGTAGTGAACCTTCCATTGTTCAGAGAAGAATTCCTTGGTAGATTCTTCTTTAAAGAAATCAGGGCTACCGTGTGGACCACAAGTAACACCGACAGTCCATTTCTTACCAGCACCACTAAATTCATAACTTGGAATCAAAGATTGTTCTATAGCCTTTGGCTCCAGAACGGGCAATGGTAAGGAACAACTAGAAATTTCTGGTTGACCCAAAAATAAAACGTCACCTAACTTCAAAACTCTACCATTGTAACCACCCAAGTTACCCAAAGCAAAAGTGGATCTAGATCCCAAGTATTCAGTTACATCAATACCACCTCTAATGGCCAAGTAAGCACGACATCCACTTGACAATTTTCCAACTGTCAACTTGTCACCACTCTTAACATGAATTGGCTTCCATTGGTTTACCTTCTCTCCATTGACATCAACAGGAACCTCACCACCAGTGACAGCAATAATAGCATCATGATGGAACAAAATCTTTGGCCCAGTCAAGGTAATTTCAAGTCCAGGAGCCTTTTTGTCATTACCAACAATTCTGTTGGCCAATCTAAAAGAGTATTCATCCATACATCCTGAAGGTGGGACACCTATATGCCAGTAACCCTTTCTACCAGGATAATCTTGAACGGTAGTGTAAGCACCTGGAGACAAAATTTCAAAAGCAGTTGGCTTGTAGTCGTAACTGTCCAAAACCTTTGTTGCAACTCTAGCTTCAGCAAACATGTCAGAGTTAGCAATAGATCTTAAATAGTCAACGTTCGTAATACAACCATAAACGACAGTTTCATTCAAAGCTTGACGTAACTTTTGCAAAGCATCAGCTCTGTCCTTACCATGAACGATGATCTTAGCCAAAGTAGGGTCATATTCAGCAGAAATTACAGTACCCTTTTCAACCCAACTATCAATTCTTGCCCACTTTGGAAATTTAACTTCAGTGAGTTGACCTGGACTTGGCATGAAATCCTTAACAGGGTTTTCAGCGTAGAGTCTAGCTTCCATGGAAGCACCAGTAATGGTGATTTCTTGGTTGAAATCTGGAGCGTTATCAGCAGCAATATACAACATCCATTCAACCAAGTCTAAGCCAGTTACCATTTCAGTGATTGGATGTTCAACTTGTAAACGGGCATTGACTTCCAAAAAGTAAAACTCGTCACGGTTGGCATCATAGATAAATTCAACAGTACCAGCACACTTGTAGTTCATCAGAGCACCAAGGGATTCAGAAGCCTTTCTCATCTTTTGTCTAGTCAGCTCTGGCAAGTTTGGAGCTGGAGTTTCTTCAATAACCTTTTGGTTACGACGTTGTAAAGAACAATCACGTTCTCCCAAGGCAATAGCACGACCGAAACCGTCACCAAACATTTGAATTTCAACGTGTCTAGCATTCTCAACGAATCTTTCCAAAAACACACCAGAGTCACCGAAATAGGCCTTACCTTGATGTTGAACTGTTTGGAAAACACGTTCAATGTCTTCTTCAGAATCAACCTTTTGCAAACCAATACCACCACCACCAGCAGTAGACTTTACCATAACTGGGTACAGCAACTTGGCAGCAACTTCCTTAGCTTCCTTAGCATCCTTAATCAATCCTGAACCAGGAACCAATGGGACACCAGCCTTTTCGGCAATTTCTCTGGCAGAATGCTTCAATCCCAACTTACGGATAGCATCACCAGATGGACCCACAAAGACAATTCCTTCTTGAGTACATCTGTCTGAAAAGTCAGCATTTTCACTAAGGAAACCATAACCTGGAATAATGGCTTCAGCACCACTTTCCTTAGCAGCCAGGATAATTTTGTCGATAGAAATGTAGGTTTCAGCAGCCAGGACACCGTGCAATGGGATGGCAACGTCAGCCAAAAGAACATGAGCAGCATATTGGTCAGGGTCTGAGTAAACAGCTACACTCTTGATGTGTAACTTTTTCAAAGTCTTCATAATTCTAACAGCAATTTCTCCACGGTTAGCGACCAAAACGGTATTAAATGGCTTCTTGGCCTTAGTTTGGGATTCTTCTCTACGAACAACCTCTTGATATGCTCTCCAACCACCAAATTCGGTAATATCTCTAGTACCCTTTTGCTTGTAGCCAAATTCTTCGCAAATAAAGGATTTAACCCATTCACCAGATTCCAATTCAACGGAACCAATTCCTAAAGGTTCAGGGACCATAGAAATAAAAGCACCAAAGTGCTCAGTAGGTACCAGGTATGTTTCAATGGCAATGGCAGAACCAGTGCCACTTTCAACTCTTCTAAGACCAGGTTTGGCAATTGGACCAACCTTTGGCAATGCATATAATTTATACGACTTTGAAGTTGTAGTAGCCTCTACAAAAGTGGCATTAACCTTTTCCAATTGCCAATGGAGAGCCATACCGGATAAATGAGCACCAACAACTGCTAATTTGACGGATGTGGCAGGGTTTGGAGCTGGGATCAGCGCCAAAAGTTCATCACCGGTGGTAACTGGGTAGTCCTTCAAACAACCAAGGAAACGTGGAGAAGACTTGGTATACTCTTTCATATAACGATGAGCATAGTCCAACAATGCATAATCATTGAACTTCTTACTCAACAAGGTGATACCAAATGGAAGACCATCTGATCTGAAACCGGCAGGAATTGACAAAGCAGACATGTCAGCCAAGTTGACAAAGTTGGTATAAGTACCTTGGCAAGAGTTGACCTTGACTGGTTCTTCTTGAACGGACTTAATGGTTGGGTTAAGTGGAGAAGTTGGAACAACTAAAACGTCAACATCCTTAAGAAGAGATTCAACCTTTTGAAGAATTCCTTGACGCTTGTATTCATAGTCAAAAGCATCTGCAGCGGAGAATTTTTCACCACTCTTGATGATGGAAATGACAGTAGGATCCAAAGACAGGGCTGGTGGGTTTGTAGCGAGAAACTTCTTAACTGCAGTATAACGTTCAGCAACCCATGGACCTTCGTAAAGACATTTAGCAAGGTCAAGGAGTGGTTCAATGTCAATAGAGGTCATTTGAGATCCAATATTAGATAAACTTTCAACAGCCTTGTTGAAAAGTTTTGGATTTTCTTCTTCTCCATACCATAACAAGTTTGAAGGAACAGCAACCACTGGGCTACGAGGGAACTTGACAAGTGGGTTAGAAGGTAATGGTCTCGAGTACTCGTCATTTTCACCATCTGGTTTAGCCAAAATACTGAATGCTAATTGAGCATCTTGTAAATTGAGAGCGAAAACAGAAACACAATCCAATGACTTACAAGCAGGAACCACACCAGCACATGAGAAAACACCCTTGGTTGGTTTCAAACCAATCAAGTTGTTCAAACCAGCTGGAACACGACCGGAGCCGGCAGTGTCTGTTCCCAATGCCAATGGAACAATTCCACGAGCTACGACAGAAGCGGAACCAGCAGATGAGCCTCCACTAACATGATCAGGAGAAAAAGTGTTTGGGGTGATACCATAAGGAGAACGAGTTCCAACTAATCCAGTAGCAAATTGATCCAAATTAGTCTTTCCTAGCACAATAGCACCAGCATCACGAAGAAGACGGACGGTGGTGGCATCATCCTTTGGGGTGAACTCAAACAGAGGACAAGCAGCAGTAGTGTTGAAACCCTTTGCGTCTATGTTATCCTTGACGGCCACTGGGACACCATAAAGGGGGAGGTTACGCTTATCAGCACGCGATTGAAGGAATTTCCATTGATGTTGGAGATTTTCTTCAGATGAGAGAGAGATCCAAGCCTTGTCATCTGATGATTGCAGGGCCAAAAGGTCTGAAAGTTTGGCATAGGATTCATTTGGAGTGGCCTGGTAATGGAACTGGACCCATTCACGAACAGTCCAGGCAGTCATGACTTGGACGTTGTCTTAATATGTGGTTGGCTAGCTACAGATCAGTAGTGAATTAGCAGTAATTGCGTATTAGTAGTAGCGTGTAGATATGATATAGGCAGTAGTGGGTAGTAGAGTCTTCGAGGTGAGAGAAAAGACAATCTAAAAGCTTACTATTGCAATTTGTAGTTGATACAGGTATTCTACACTATTGAAAGCATAAAGCGGCGGGATTTTACTTTTATATATCTTCTCCATCGGGGTGTCAATCATGGAGATTTCCGAGCTTCTTGATTTTGTGTTTCTCTCTCTCGGTTTCCGTATCGGGCCGCCCGATCACATCGCCAGGGGGCCCGCAAAGGCCCGCGATAGGGTTCCAAAATGGAAACAAGCGAAAAAACCATTAAAACAGCAAGTGCCGGGGGTCAACCATAATGATGTATAGGATCTAGCATATGTAAAGTGGTTGACATAGTGTCACCAATAAATAACAAGGCAACCATAGGATAATTAGTATGGTGTTGAAGTATGCACCATTATTGCCGTAAGGCATTCAATCTTAGAAATATGGGGGGAAAAAAAATATGACTATGTCCTACATTCATAGAATAACATTTTAATCTTCAATTCCGTTCTTTTAGATTTAATCTTTTATGAGTCTTATAACAAACTTTTAGCTGTTTCATATCGTGCACAGACTTTTTGAAAAAACCTTGGGGGTTTGAGATCCATATAGTAGAGGTTCCCGCTTTCTGTCTAATCGTAGACTCATTGCTCATAATTGGTTCATGATTGTAGATTGGCACTTGTGCCCGATAGAAGAGACTTATTTTTCCCAAACCTGTCTAATCCAGACTGCCGTTAGTCACGTGCCCATATAGAAAAACTAACTTTATTTTTTTTTCTGGATAAGCGCGATAAAGATATTACCAATCTTGGCGCCGTGGTGGGGTAGATAACAGTTTTTTGAGAATTAAAAGATAACGAAATAACAAAGTATAAGGAAAATTTCGGCGGTATATTCGATTGCATTAAAGTGAAGTTCAACATATGTATAGATGGTACTCCAGCTGCACTGATGGTACCTCAACCGTTATTTTTAACGCCCCTGTACTGTACAGCCGATAATTCAATTTTGTTTGTTTATTTTTTGATGTTTTTGGCTTCGTATGGTTCAAACCTTTGCCATGACTTGGGTGTGCGGATGTATGTTAATAACTCACCCTATAGATCAACAATACTTGTTAAATGGTATTATTAGTAGTAAGACTTGTATGTAGTAGTAGTAGTAGTAGTAGTATGTTGAAAGAGTAATTTTTCTCTTACGTAATTGAATTGCCATATCGTAAGACAATTTCAAGAATTTTGAATAAAATTGTAAATTGGTTGCAAAAATTTGTAGACAATTAGATTTAAGAAACATTAGTGAATAAACTACTAACAATTTATAAAACTTCATTGATATGAATCAACACTAAAGATTAGACTACCATTTGAATAAATTTCTCACATAATTATTAAATTAAACCATCACTTATAAAATATAAATAAATAAAATTACTCTTTTTTAATATCATCTAATTGCTCGTCAATACGAGGTGTAACATATCCTTCAGGAGACACTCCATCAATATGTTGTTTAGATAATTGGGCAGAGAGTTGCGACTGCACTGCATGCAACTTCTCTGGGTTTTGATTTTGCCATTCTTTCAACTTCCAAGTTTGACCAGTACAATCCCAATAGATTCCTCTGCAAGCATGTCCAATACCTTCAGCTGATTCATAAAGTGGATAAATAATAACCATGAAAGCGGTGAAGAAAATCCAGATAATCAACACCGAAATCCAACCAGTAAAGAATTTTCTCGAGAAAATGTATTTGGAACCATACATTGGCATTGGCCAAAGAATGACCAAACTCAAGGTAAGACTAACACAGATAATGGCTGCAATTTTGAAAGATTTATTCAACAATTTAGCTTCTTCTGCAGCACGTCCCAGATTTGCAAGTGCCAATTCATGAGCGGCAATTGTTACTTGAGACTTAACAGGGTGAATTTTTTCTGGATCTTGTTTACTTTCTAAATGTTCAGCTGCAAGAATTTCTTCTTCTTCATCAACTCTAGTAACAGACTTGAGAATTTCCCAATCAAAGTTTTGTGGCTTAAATACAAAGGTCAAGACTGGTACCAAAACCAATGGAGATAATAAGGCAACAACATTACCGGTCAACATGGCATTGTCTTCAAAAGTATTTGAAACAGAAATAGAACCAAATTGAGTCTTGGTACAAATCAACCAAGACATAATGGCAAGTGCAGTAGAAATAATAGGACTATAAGTGGCAGCAATAGTATTTTGTTTGGATGAAAGTAAGGTCAAAGCAGCTGGTAAGACACCACCACCAATGATAATTCCCATAAGTTCATAAAGATAACCCATAGAGATTCCAGCATAGTACAAACCAATAGCGAATCCAGCTAAGACATAGGCAAAAACCACGACAGAAGCATGGGATGTCATGATCAAAGTCTTTCCAGAGGCATTAGGGTTGACGTAGGTACGATAAACATCATAAGTGAAAATAGTAGACACGGCAATAAGTTCAGCAGACATGGCAGAAGTGACAGCCATAAACACAAGAAGTAAAGAACAAACAGCACCACCTTTTCCAAGCAAGGCAACTGCAGCGTTAGGTAACACAAGACCTGCACTAACTTGTTCAGCAGTCATTTTCAATGGATAAGTTGGCCAAGCTGGAGTATCTTCTAAAGCTAAGGCAGCCAATCCCATAGTAGTAGCAGTCAAAACTGGGATAGCAAACCATGCTAAACCTCCCAAGACATAACCAGGAAGAGCAGCAGCAGGAGAAGAAGAAAATGCCTTGTTGAAGTACCCATTATCCAAGAAGACGGTACCAAAGTTACCAACAATGTTGATGACAAAGAAAATACCACCAGATCTAGAATGCATGGTCAAATAAGAACCTTCAGCGTTACCTTCTCTTGGATTTGATTCACCCAATTTGGTAACAATGTCCCAAACAGCACCTGGAGATCCCAAAGTGGACAGAGTTGCAAATGTGGTGAAGGCAAAGACAAGGATAATGACAATAATGACCACGGTATGGACATAATCAGTCAAGAAAGTAGCCTTGATACCTCCAAATAAGGTATAAATGACCACACCAAGTGGTAAGAGTAAAGTTGCAGCAACAACATGCATACCAGTCAAATCATTGACAACAGCAGCACCACCAGTAAGTAACATGGCGGTAACCAAGATATTTGTGGCAATTCCAAAGAACATGTAAACAAAATGAGTAGTGGTACCATAACGAGCCTTGATAATTTCAAGGTAGGTATGGGCCAGGGGACACAATTCCTTGGCCTTGATAGCCAAACATGCAAAGAGAACAATTTGACAAGTTGCACCAGCAGCATAGTAGAAGGCACCAGCAACACCATTGTTGTATGTTTGAGTAGTGGAAGTTAAAAGAGTAGCAGCCCATGTCCACGAAGAACAAACAGCAGCAGCAATAAGACCAGTCTTCACTGATCTTCCAGCGGTTGCAAATTCTTCAGCAGTAATAATTTCTTTATTATAACGACGAAGAATATAGGTTGTGAGGATCATACCGATTGCGAAAACAAACCCTAAACCAACCACGACAGCATAACCAGCACCTTGTGGGAGGGGAGCGACAATTGTAGACATGAGTGTATTTGACTAGGAAGCAGTATATAAGATGACAATTGAGATAATAATGCTTTCCCTGAATGTGACTAAGAGACTAAGAGAGAGTTTAGTCAATTGAGTCAATTGAGTCAATAGAAAATGGTTAGATGAGTAGTAGTAGTATTAGTAATGGTACGATGAGAAAGGGTGGACTTTATGTCATACTTATAAGGCCTTGGGATCTCCTGGCATCGCTGTTTAGGTACGGCTAACTCATGCATCTACATACGTTATTTTTCATTTCTTTTTATTATTTTTCGTTTATCTATATGATAAAGTACTGCGAGTAATCCACGGCCCGTTTCGGCGACGAATTGTGTTTCAGTATGCTTTGTTAATCAATGCGATAGTGAGAAATGTTCTGCACAAGGACTGTAAGATCAGGATAAAGGATACCATGCAGTCAAATCTTGCACCCTGCATATACCAAACAGGAAAATGGTGAGGCGGCCCGAACAAGGGCCGGGGCGACCTAAATATGTGCTCAATAGTGGTATAACTTAGGAGAGATTTCAAACCTTAGACTTTTAAAAATCAACCTGGGAAGAGGATACCTGAAGATAAGAAGAATTTTCTCGGCAGGTTGTAGACTAGCCTCAATATCACAACTTTAATGATAATTCTGGATTGATAAGGGCTGAGATAAATTCTTTTTTCCAATGTTACACAACCCTTTGAATTTCCATATGGAGGTGCGCTATCTGGAAGAGGCAAGTGTGATTTGACGAGGCTTTTTTTTTTTTTTAATTTTAGATTACACGGCACTTTTGATCACACGCAACTATACATATGTCATACGGGGGTAGCGGAATTTCTGATAATATATCTTTATACAAATCAGAATCAAGAGAAGGATAATATATATTTTTAAGGTGACTGAAACATGCCCGAGAAGCTTAAAATATGAGGTGATTTTTTAGTGCCATAATTTTGTGGGGTTGGCTCTGTTTGTTTTTTCTCAATCTGTATATTAAAGAGATAAGCATGTGGGAAACATGGCTGCGAAACATTATCATTCTGTTCTAAAAATTGAGCCCTTCTAGTTCATTGAGGGTGGCAGTTTTAGTAGAGCTTTCATTAGTTGAATCCAGATGTGGTACGTTTGTTGGTACAATCGGTAATGATGCCACTTCTGGGTCAAATATGGGGGCGGCAGGAAGAGAAATCGTATCTCTCACCGCCATTGAGTTTGTTCTCTCATCTAATTTCCCTTTCTTTATTGCAAAATGTGATGCAGTTGTAAATGTTTGTACTGTTTCAATCTCTTGTACCTTTTTCTTGATTGGTTCAATTGGCATTACTATTTCATTTTTTACCACTTCTGGCTTTGGGCCCTTATCTAATTCTTTGTGTACTTCCTTATTGAATTTATTGATAAAATAAAACGTACCTCCAATATTTTCATCAATGACAACTGTTGCTTTATCCAAGCAAACCTGTAATTCCTCTAATGCAATGCCGTATGACCATTCAAAATGTTCTGCAATTTCTCCTACTGTTTTCCCCCTGTATATGGCATCCTCTCGTGTCCAACCCAATTCATCATCTATACCTTGAACTGCTTGAAATGAAAGCTCTTGTTCTATTAAATATTGCAGAATGAGACTTGCATAATCGTTGGTAGAACGTGGGGTAATCACTACTATTCCTGACTGTTCATAACGTTTCCGTTTGAATGGAAGATTCAATTCCTGGAAAAGATCAATTGCAGTCAAGAGGTCCGCACTTAATATCAAATCAGTTCCAAACCCTTGACTGGAACTAAGAAATCGGTTATAATGAGCAAATAAATCTTGAGTTGTCACCATGGAGGTAGATTTGGTAAGTGCAAAGTTTGCGAGATATTCAGATATGTGTCTAGAGAGTTCTCGATGATACAACTGAGAAGTCTTCTTAATATGCAATGGTGGAATAAGAGTGCTGGATACCTTAACAGGCTTTAGAAGTTTAGAGAAAGATTCTGAGAGTTTGATCAAATCTTGAGCTTTATACATTAATTGTTCCAAATCTTCCAATGAGGTAGAGAGAACTAGTTCATTGAGTTTACGTCTTTGTTCTCCAATCTGTTCAAGTCCATGAATTCCTAGTTGTCGGTGCTCTTTCGGACGACGGTCCTCTGTATTATTGTCATCATCTTCATTTGGTGTAAATTCTACCCCATCCACTTGAACCCTTTGGATAATTTTACGGCCATTTTTGTTTATTTTACCACTTTGAGCGAGGGATTCCCATTTGATATGGTCAACTTGTTCTTGTAAAAGTTCTTTAAATTTTGTTTCACCACCCTTATGGAAACTGAACTTGATATACTTTACATTTGCATCCTTGGAGTCCTCTAACTTAATAGAAACTGGGAGTGACTTCCTTGAGGCGTTTTGGGAGGCCAGATATGGTATAGTTGATTGGCTGGAAGAGTCAAGGTTGGCTTTTAAATCTGAACCACATATTTCACAGAATCGCATCGTTGGATGATTATGAAAGGTACAATTAGGACAGGTCAAAGTATCATTTGCATCCGGAATTGGTGCTGAAAGAGGAGGTGTTGGTGTGGTAGCTAAAGGAGTATTATTTCCAGTCAGTTGTTGCAGAAGTGGACTTAATTCTCTCCTTTTTATCCCACATGACGCACAAACTTTCGCAGTGGAAACATTATTAAATGTACAAATCATACAAATCCAAGCAGCTGGAGTCGGATTTGAATTTGGAACTTCGGCTATATTTGACAGTTTGGTTGCCGCAACGTTGTCAGAGGATGACAAGAAAGATGATTGATCTTTAAGGAATGCTTTGATCTTTGGAGAGGACCTAAGAAATCTATCCAGAGCTTCTAAGCGGTCTACGTCCAAAATATTCACCGCCAAACTATTCTCGTGTATAGCATTATCGACATATATGATTCGTTTATTTGTAAGGTAGATACGTCCATTCTGACGATCTAGTAATTTCAGCCGGCCTTGATAGAGTCCTATATCATCACGAACATATACATTGTGTTCACCTTCATCTAGAATGGGCCGGCCACTTCGGTTGAGTAATACAGGCTTCCACACTTCCATAAGTGTTACAATTGGTGCTAAATTCTTTACATTGGAAACCGTTTGAGAAGTTTGTGGGTTGTACTTGAAAGCGATAGCGTAAGTGTCACATGACCTTTGGGCACATGATGACAAGAATCAACAAAAATGTTAAATTCGGTAAATTGCAGGGTTCAATAGAAGAAAAAACACATACATTCCTTTTTCGAATCATACAAACTACAGTAAATATTTATTTTGAAAATCTATCAATTAAGGAGGGATAATTATTGTATAATTGTACAAATATTTTACGCTTGGTACACGTTTAATTATGGATTAGGAATTGTAATATCCATTCGTATTTATATGTTTGTTGTATATCACGTGATCAAATTCCGGACTGATCACAGCAACATGCAACCAATTTTTTAGAAACGTATTTAAAAACTAGAAATTCTTAAAAATTTTGTCAAGAGTATCAATTTTAACTACATAGATCAACAAATTAATCAGGATCTTCCACTACATTCACTCATAATTGGCTTTCTTTGTTAATCTTCTACATTGCATTTCACTCTGTTTATATAATTTTGTATGTTTTTAATTTTTAATTTTTTTTTTGCATTTGTGTAAAACCGCAAAACTGGACTTTAGAACTATGCAGGCGAGCCAGTTTTTACAACCCGTCAATACACGATCCACAATATCAAAAGTATAATATTATTGTAATTCCCAATCGTATATTCTGGCTTTACAACAAGCAACTTCCGCAACAAGCTGATACACGCACCTATTGCGACTCAGCTGTGAAGTTAGAATTTTCCACTTATCCCATCTATACTGTGAATCAATCACTGTCACACTTACCCCTTCCAAACATTTCAGTTCTGGATCATTCTTGAGAACCCCTCCTATTCAAAAACACATTTAAAACATCACTCATCTGTCCTTTTCGCCACGCTTATAACTATTTTTGCCGGCCAATTATCTTGTAACGTGTTAATTTCATTTCTAATTACCCTGGAAAAGAAAAAGAAGAGTACATCATGGCATTCCTTTTCAAAAGAAATCCTAAAACACCTCCGGAGCTCATCAGAGCACTTAATGATCAAGTGGCAAAGCTAGACTCGACCACAGATAACAAGAAATATCAGGACGAAGCATCAAGATACTTACATCAAGTTAAAGTCATTCTTCATGGAGATGATGAAAATGATCCACAACCAGACCAAATTTCTCAATTAGCTCAAGAAGTATACACTACAGATTGTCTTTATCATCTTATTTGTAGTTTAAGAAAATTAGATTTTGATTCAAGAAAAGATGTTCTTATACTTTTCCTGACTTTATTGAGAAGACAAATAGGAAGCAAATCACCAACCGTGGATTATTTACTTTATTCTAAACCAGAAATCTTAATTAAATTACTTCAAGGTCCTGAACATCAAGAAACTGGACTTATTTGTGGTCAAATTTTACGTGATTGTATAAAATTTGAACTGATAACTCATTATGTTTTATCTCATCAATTATTTTGGAATTATTTCAAATATTGTCAAATATCAATCTTTGAAATTGCAACTGATTCATTTGCAACTTTCCATGATTTACTTACATTGCATAAAAAATTGGTATCTGAATTTTTAGCAAATAATTATGAATTATTTACTCAAAATATTAATCAATTATTACAACTGCAAAATTATGTTACTAAACGTCAAAGTGTACGACTTTTAGCAGAATTAGTATTACAAAGACAAAATCAATTTTTCTTAAATCGTTATTTTGATGATCCAAAAAATTTAAAACTTATTATGCTTCTTCTTAGTGATAAACTGAAGAATTTACAAATTGAAGGTTTCCATATATTTAAATTTTTCGTTGCAAAGCCAAAGAAATCACAAAAAATTTTAGATATACTTATCAAGAATAAGGAAAACTTTCTTGAAGTATTCAAAACTTTTGATGTGAATTATGCAAATGATCCAAATTTGATTGATGAACGAGATTACATATTATGTGAAATTCAAAAGCTACCCGATATAGAAAAGATTAGATCAAGCTAGAATAATTAATAAGGTATTAAAAGATATATTTATGTAGTTAAAACATTGGAATACTAATTCTACAATATATGCTAAAAAAATATCTTTTCAATTCATTTGATAGTGTGAATACATAGTTACCTATTTAGCAACTCTGGACCAGTCCTTGTATTCAACTTCACCGTATTGGATAGCACGGATCCATTCAGCAACAGATTTGGTGAGTTCACCAGAATCACCTGCAGCCAATGGAACTTCAATGTCTTCACCCTTCCAACCGATAATCTTGATTGGAGAAACAACAGCAGCGGTACCGGCACCAAAGGCTTCAATCAATTCACCCTTGTCAGCTCTTTCCTTAACTTCAGCCATGGTGAACTTACGTTCATTGACAGTCCATTCAGAAGACAACTTTTCTTGACATAATTGAATGATGGAGTCTCTAGTAACACCTTCCAAAATGGTACCATCCAATGGAGCAGTAACCAATTCCTTGGTGCCATCAGCATTCTTAAAGGCAAAGAACACATTCATGGTACCAACTTCAGTGATGTAACCTTCTTCGCCGAAAAGCCACAAGTTTTGTTGGTAACCTCTCTTAGCGGCTTCCAATTGTGGCAAGATACATGGGGCGTAGTTGGCACCAAGCTTACGGTTACCAACACCACCTGGCCAAGCTCTGACGGCATAGTCAGTGGCTTCAAGAGCAACTGGCTTGAAACCAGTACCATAGTAGGGACCAACAGGAGATGCAATGACGTAAATCAAGGCCTTGTCTGGAGTACCAACACCCAAAGAAGCAGTAGTACCAATCATGGTTGGTCTCAAGTACAAAGAGTAACCAGCACCTTGAGGAACAAAGCTTTCATCAGTCAAAATCAATTGATCAATCAACTTCAATAATTCTTCTTCATCAAAAGTTGGCAAAGCAATTCTTTCAGCAGATTTGTTCATTCTTTCCATATTCTTAATTGGTCTGAAAGTTCTGATGTTGTTGTCCTTGTCACGGTAAGCCTTCATACCTTCGAAAAGTTCAAAAGCATAGTGGAACACACAAGTGGATGGGTCCAAGGAAAGGTTGTGGTATGGAGAGATCTTTGGAGTTCCCCAACCAGCTTCAGCAGTCCATTCAATTTCAAGCATGTGGTCTGTGAAAGTCTTACCAAATACTAATTGGTCATTTGGAAGTTTTTCCTTAGGAGTAGTAGTCTTGGTGATTTGCACCTTTGATGCGTCTAATGCGGCAACCATTGTTCTTATAGACTGTTTGTTAGTAAGATGTTGACACATTAAGCTAGATTGAGATCTTGCACTTAAAAGTGATCGGAATTGTCTAAGAGCGTGCATGGCCGAAAATTATATATGTAGGATCCAACGAAAGATTCGCTAATTGAATTAATTAACTAATATGGAAAGGGTAGGTTGTTGGTTGATTGACAGGATGACTTTCAATAATTTTTCACCTCACAATTAATTAAATATGATTTAAACTTTGTAAGAAATTCAGAATCTAAAATGTCTAAGGTATTAATCAAAAATATCTTGCAATGATAGCAAAGTGGTAGTGGCGCTATAGCGAATGACAGTTGAGAAAGAATACCCTATATATAAATAAATAGTAGAGTTTTTTTTTCAGTAAAATTTTCGGCTTTCGAACTCCTGAACGGCTTATCGATTACTCACCAGTTACGATTTTGTTCAATTGGAATGGTTGAAAATTCAATATCTGGTAGGATTTGCGCGCTTTTATACACACGACTTCTACCGGTTCCGGAGGGTGGTGTGGGCACGGTAAATCGCGGCATGAGTCAACGCTAACTTTGTTTCGTACACATTCTTTAAGCTTAATTCAATGTTCCATGCCATATGATGCAGTACGAGAGATGTGTCATAAAGGGTTATAGAATCTTCCATTCACCTACTATAACCTTCGAGTTTTAATTCTAGACTAATTATGACACATTTTCGAAATATTTTCCCCGTTATCAATGAAGGTTATGATGCATGGAATAGTTTTGAATAAACAAAAAACTATTATTCGGATTGCAACTACTGTATTTAGTGATTAAATATGACGAGAACTACATTTATACTCCATTTACTTATATATAGATATGTTATGAAAACTAATTATTTCATTCATAAATTTACTGTTCCCGGAACATTTCTTTATTCCAAAATTAATCTTCTAACATAATTTCATTGTCATTTTATCCCTACATATTAGCGCATAGCAAGCAATATCCGCCTCTATCATATTAACTATACATAATGGCAAAACAATTTGTTTGAACAATTATATCTTGTTTCTTTTTTTTCGCAGCCACTGAAATTTACTACAGACTCTAAGTAACTAACACAGAAAACATTTTTTAATTGTATCCTTTATTTTACTCTTCTATATACCTACACTTACCACCATGCATGTAGGTTCTCCACTATATAATCACCAAATAAGACAATGTCTGGATTTGCAAACAGACATACATCTCCAACATACGGCAGTGTCCATACTTTAACCCCTGGTGCAACATCCACCCCATTAATTTGTAATATCCGGAAAATTGTATCCAGATTTGGTGATGCATTTTCGGTCAATACCCTTGTATTATTCTTTATTTGGAATATATCTCCTCTTGTCATGAAGTACTCTATATATTCAGGCGTAATATCTTGGTTTCTTGTATCAACATTCAGTGGTTGAAGTTTTTCAAATCGAATTCTAGCATTTGCAAGATTGGGGATCCAGAGATCATGCGTATGTAGCGTATAATCTTCATCGATATTTTTAGCTCCAATTACTGCAAATTCAGTCACTTCAGTTTTTGGAACAAACATCATTTCGCCAGAAAACATATCCACAAACGAGGTAGTCACTTTCCTTGCACATTGAAGCAATAAACCATGGTTTGGTTGCACTAAGGAATAACGTTCATAAAAACTTGATGTCAATTCGAAATCACTTCTTTCACCCATACATTCTGGTCTTAGTAAGAAATATTGGAATAGGTGTTCCGCTTGGAATAAATCGTTCATACGATAATATGCAGATGACATAAATGGAACTGATGGAAAAGGGTTGACTTCACAAGTTGAAAACTTAATTTCAAACGGGTCTCGTTTCAAAATATTCTTTTGTTCTTTCATAGTATATTTAACGAGTTGAACTGGTTCATTGGGTGAAGAATGAACCAAAAATGAATTTGAACTAAGTTGAGAAGTATCTGTAAGATAAGAATTGTCTTGCCCCATATCGTTATTCAGAGGGGATGGATTCCATACCGGATGAGCTTCGGTGGAAAATACCCAACTCTTTCCCTTCATCACCTCATTATCATGCAAGAAACATCGATCTTCTTCATCAAATAACAAATATAAATACTTTAAAGTTTCACTTAAAACAAATGTTTCCATTCTATCTTGCATTTCTCCAGTTCGTACATCTTGGAATCCCCTAAAGCCACATTTGGTTTTAAATTTTGTCTGTAATAATTCCAAAATACGTGCCCCAATTTGCAAGTAGATGGGGTCTCTGGTGGCCCTATATAAATAATAGGTTGATTCAATGAATTCAGGTCTAAGTGGATACCATTCTAAAGTGATACCCAACGCTGTTGACAGTGTAACATATTGCAATTGTAACATTTCATGTCCAAATATATTTACTCTTTCAGGAATCAGATCGTAAGCATTCCACACTTTCCAATACATTAAATGAGTCTTAATTGCATCACTGACTTGCCCTGTTAACACTTGAAGTCCAGTCCAAAAGGCCCCCAACAGATCAATCCAATGAACAAACAATTGTCCATCTGCCACTCCCACGTTACCAAACAACATTCCAGTCCAATGCAGCCTCAGATGTGTTCTCAATGCTCGGTACAGAGTAGTGAAGACTTTCCACATGTTTTCATCATCAAAGATGATTGCCAGCTTAGCGGCATATTCGTAGAATGAGTCAATCGATGCTCCAATTCCAGTATGAGTTTCAAACCATTTAGATTCTATAGGATCAAGGCTCATGGGCATTAAGTCTAGCGTCAGTCTCAGTCTCCAAATCTTATAAAATGCAGCCTTTGCATACTTCTCAAAGGAAGGGTCTCCTGTAAGTTTCGACAAAAGAGTAAACTCCAACACGGGGGAACCAGCACCAGCGGTGTTTGTCTCTAATTGCATTCTTGCTGGCACTGCTCTCACTCCCTTAGCAAGATTTATTCTCGGCACTGGGAGTTCAGTAGATGTCTTGAACGCTGGAAGGAGCCTAGATCCTAAGTCTTGGGCCAAGGACAATAGAAACCCGTCATAATTTGTAACGCAAGGTATATTGGAATATCTTTCTTGTTTAGATAATAAATCTAAAAGTAAATGAGATGACATCAAACCACCCAATGATCTAATTGTTTGTTCAAACACTTGTACTATCGTGTCTTGTTCAAAGAGTTGTTCCTGTTCGTCGTGTAAATATTGTAACACCACTTCCAAATCATTCCACCTTTCCATGATTATGAGAGTATCCAAATTATCAAGTACTGTTGATGAAGTATTTCCCATAGCATCATTTCTAACAGTATTCTCTATATTGATATAGTCCGGTCCATGTGGTTGACACGTCAAAGGTGTAACCTCATCTGCAGGGAATCCATACTTCATGTATGAATCCCAAGCATGTCCAAAAAGATCTCGAGTGGCATTTCTAAGTTGTCGAACACCTTCTTTCGAGATTGGATCTGGATTGCCAACTTGTGCATTGGCAACCCCACACAGCCCTAGGATGGTTAAAAGGAATGCAGATGTTAGTATATACAGAATACCCACATACTGTGTCCTACCGTCGTTGTACTGAGAGATCCACATTGGGTACAGATGGAAAAGCCACATCATCTCCCCCGAGCTTTTGGAACCCTTGGATAATCTTATGCGCGACCATTCTGGAAAAAGCAAAATAAAAAAAAAAATACGATGATTGAAGAAGGTAACAATGCAGGAGGAGCAATGTATAGAGATTTACATGTACTACACAAGCAATGAACAATAAATAAAAACCACTTAGATTTATAAAGATAGATAAGGCTATGGCAATATGTATGAATGGTCATACTCTCACTTAGAGGGTTTAATGATTGAGAAAATAACCTCCCAATTATTTCATTGATTATTTCGCAGCCACTACAAAATGTTAAACCCTATACATCAACTGTCTACTTATCACATGTCTATTATATATAATATATACTACTTACCAAAAATCCGGTTGACCTGAGCCATGAGTTTACCTGTAGCAAACAAAATCGTTATAAATACCAAAATTGCATTCATCAAGAGTAAAAGAATTCCACTCAACATGAAACGTGGCGCAAAGATCTTCCACACCATCAAGTGTCGCCTAAAATGTGCTGCAAAGATGAAACTAGACACACTTACTACTGTTTGATATGCTAATAATGATGTTGTGTTTGCGACAATTTGTGAAAGCACGGTGATTGGCTTTGAAGATGGTGCAAGTTTCCATAATGTGATCAATGGAACGGCTACGCATACTAGGATGAAGGACCCAAAAGTATTGAGGACAATGTTTAAATGTGTAAAGGGGAAAGTAATAGTCTCCGTTGTTATGAATCCCACATCCCATTGGATCGATGGAATAGTAGCCTGGTGTCCAGTACTGAAGTAATGTTGATATGCAAGCATACCAAACATGGTTGGAGCAATTAAATTGTTCCGAAGTCGTAAAATGTCAAAAATCTCTAACAATGACATAATTTGAATTAGAAGCATACAAAGTGATAATGCTCCAAGTGGCTTAGTGACAAGCATGATTGGGACTGCAAAGTTAAGTAATAAAAGGAAGTATGATGACCCATAAACATTTTGAAATCCAAGAATCACAACCTTCTTTTGAAAAAAGTTTCCTTCATCTGCTTCTTCAGCAAGTTTAACACATAATGGGCCTCTTGACCAACTATAATTAGCAAGAATAAGGGTAATAAACATTGATATTCTTGCGATTGCCAATTTCAAGGACAGGAAGAGTGCTTCACTAGCAACTAACCCTTTCAAAATAATACTTTCTAATTCCTTTCCATCAATTTGTTTGATTAATCCAAATAATCCACCAATTGCTAGTGATATGTTCTCACTATTGCTACCAATATATTCCAAAGTCCAATAAATAGCATTGGCGAACAATAAAAAGGTTAACCCAGTTCCAATCCAAAGAGGTGCAGCAGAATGATATGAATCACTCAATCTATAAAATGCCTTTAACATGGCAGGAAGTGCAAATGCACTCACGTATAATAATGCAACTGACCACCAAGTGGTAGTGAAGGTGGCTTGACAATATGGCTGTTGTTCTTCCCGACATAAATTTATGGTGGATATTATTCTTGAAAGAACAAGGAAGGTGATACTATGTGATAATGCCAATATCTTCTGTGTTTTATCCTCCAATGAAACTAAACTTTGAATCAAAGTATAGAAACCAAAAGTTGAAATAAAATACAGAATCATCTTATCTTCCCAAACCACAAATGAATTGGATGCAAAAATAATAGAATGAGATAAGATGAACGTAATGGCCATAACAGACCACCCATTGAAGTTGTAAATGAAAAAATCATTGAGTTGATGCCAAAGCCAAGCGACACTGAATCGGTCCATTATGGGTGCCCAAAGACCAACAAAGATCCCGATAGATGATCCAATAGCCACGCATTGCTTGAAGTTAAGCCCTACAGGTCTCAATACAACATAGACCAGAAACAGAAGTACCAAACCCAATAAAACCATCGCTACAACTGACCCAGCGAATTCGAATGACATAGTCGACACTCTAACACTTGGGATAAGTCTTGCGTATGTAACAATAAAGCTTAATGACGCCACAAGGATAAGTATACCAATAGTTATTAATTTAAGGTCAAAAGTAGCCCACATTTCTTTACATTGTGCGAGGAATTTAGCTTGGAATTCTTCTGCATCTTTGTTATATGATGTTGAACCTTCATTCAATTTTGAAGCCATGGTATTAACTTCTTCGTCATCATCAAGATTAGAAGTTTTCCTAAACAATTGGATTTGTTCAACTGTTTGTTTGATTGCTTGACGCCATTTTGAACCTTGGAATGCTTCTTCAATAGGGAATCCCAAATTATTGAATGGGATTGGTACTCCCAAAAGAAGTGAAAGTGTTGGAACTAAATCGATTTGGTTAACACGTCTATAATTTTTGGCAACATTAGAAATACTATAAGGATCAACCGTATCTCCCTTTATTCTTCCAAATTGTTTCTTCTTACTATACATGAAAAGAGTACTTTCCAATTCATCTGGAGAATCCCCACCATGATTTCCTGTGCTATCCATACCATGATCTCCCATCACTACAAGTAATGTATTATCATCAATCTGGTCCATGACTTTCCTTACAACGTCATCCATTTGATTAAGTTTCTGCTTTATCAGTTGATGGTTTGGTCCAAATCTATGTCCTACATGATCCAAACCAAGAAAATGTCCAATGAGGACATCCCATTTCCCCATTTGATTTTTTTGTAACAATGGGAACAAATGTTCAATTACTCCATTATCAACTGTGTGAAGATCATGTACATTCAATGAATCATATGGGAAATGCAAGTCTTCATTGAAATATTGCAGAAATAATGCCTTCCATGTATCATCACCCATGAACGCCACACTCTTTTGAGCACGATGAAGTTGCAATAACCAGTTATCCTCATCAATGGCATCCCCATCAAAGTTTGAACCTGCATCAATGAACGTTGGAAGTGATCCTGTGGTAATTCCCTTGAGTCTTTGTAACGTTGTTGTAGGTGGATCAGCCATAAATTTCAATAAAACAGAATGGTCAGGATATTTCTGGGACATCTCGTACAAAACAGGGAATTCATTATGATAGGGCCAAGGGGAGTCTTCAACGGGGACTGCAAAGTCAAACCGAAGTGCATCAATCACCAAAAGGACCATTTTGTCGTATGTGGCACATTCGGCAGTTGCACTAGTTACTTCGGAAATATCAGGGAGCACATTTCTGGAAAGTAAAAATCCTTGAGTGAAAACTAAAACTCCAAGAAATTGAAGTAATCCAAAAAACACCAATACCATGACATATCCAATAAAAGTCATTTTTAATTTTTGTTGTCTAATACGCATACGGCCTTGCAGTTGCAGTTGTTGTTGCGGTGGAGAGCGGACAAGTCTCGGACCGCCTTGCAGCGCTGGTGTTTCCGAACCAGCCCCTACTGGGTTAATTTGTGCACCAGAGGAGCCAGTTGCATTAGCCGCTAACGAATCAATGGGGGAACTGGGGGTTGGATCAGATCCAGGACCCAGTGCTGCCCTGTCGAAGGTCACATCTCCATCGGCACCAGAACCACGCGGCGACCCTCCTGTCTCACGTTCAGTAATATCTTCAACTCCCATCTCTGGTATATCCTTGGAGAAGTTGACAGTACTAACGGATCAACAGATTCTTTTGTATTTGTTCTACAATTTGATTTGTATTTCTATTATTTTGGTTTTCTTTGTTTTTTTTTAAAAAAAAAAAAATATTGACGCGATCACGTGAGCTCGGGGATATCACGGCAATAGGTTTGGGATATGTAGATTGAACTGTTTTGATCGACTTGAAGCTTGGATTGTAGGGAAATAATAAATATACAGAATGTAGGGAATACTATATTAATTATTAAATAAATAAAGAATCATCTAAGGGTTTGTGATGAATAAGAAAATCAATGAATGGTTGCGAAAGAGAAAAAAAAAGCAGCTGAGCCGAGAATACCATCCTAATTTAATAAATGGAACTTCAATATGCATATGACCTAAATTACCTAATAAAATAAAGTTAAGACTAAGAATTTAGATAATACTTTAAATGTATGTTGAAAATTTGGTTGTCAATGCCAGGAGTATTGATTCAATATATTCTTCGCTCTTCACTAGATCACAAAATGAATCAGTGATCACAAACCTTATTTATTTAATTACATCTTGTGTATTGAATTAATCTTTATTTATTATTAAAGTATATTTATTCCATAGAATGGTCAATTTGACTTAAAAAGTCTTGATCAAATGTACCCCCTTCCATCAAGTCCGCATCATCGCCTTGGAAATTAATAAGATTATCCATATCATCATCCATTATTTCATCTTCTGGAAGTACACCATTTTCCTCATCGAACAAATTGTTAAGGTCATCCACTTTTGGTGGCTCTGCCATCATTGCAAAGCTGCCTGCAGCGTTGGTACTTTCTTCTCGGTGATGATCATGTACATCTTGTGTATTACTAGGTTCGTAGTCTTCCATAAACTCCATTCCATCTTGGTAAGGTTCTGAAGTTCCTGTTCCAGATGCAGCTTGGTCAGCCACTACTGGTGTAGTATCATTATTTACAGCAGGTACAGGTGGTTCGGATTCGGGAATCGTTTCGGGTACAGATATAGATGCAATGGGCGAAGCAGGAGCTCCAGATGGTCCAGTAGTTGGTCCAGACAAATCACCACTTGGCAAACTGGCCCCAGATTCAACAACAGGAGCAGTAGAACCAGCATCAGCATCCACAACATCACCAGTGCCATTTGGACCTTGCTCAGAATTCGTTAAAGTAGCAGAATTCTCAGGACTTTTGGCTTGAACAGGCGTTGGAACAATCAGAGCAGAAACAGAACCAATATTATCCACTTCTATAGTATTAGATACATCTCCGCCAACATTATTAGACGTTTGATTGCCTTCACTTCCAGTTCCATTACCACTCCCACTTCCACTCATAGGTACAGAAACAGCACCATGATCGATGTAGGAATGAGAAGAATTAATGGAACCTACAGAACTGGTTACTTGCATTTGCTGGCCAAGAGGCACTGCATCACCTGTTGGTCCAGCCAAACCAGGATCTCCTCGTTGGATATTTATCATTGAATTGATCAGTTCTGGATTATAATTTTCTGGAGCTCTTGTAACATCGATATTAAAGTTGGCACTAAACCTTTTATATTTTGGATACGACTTAAAAATCCGTTTGTAATTTGATTTTAAATGATTGGTTGTAGAACGATATTCAGAATTTAAATCTTCAAGCGATTGCTTGGTTTCAAGTTTATTTTGAAGCAGGTAAAGTTTCTTTATAGCCTGTTGTTGGAAAATGTATTCCTCATTGAATGGGATACTTGATGATTCTTTACGCAATTGTTCAATTTGTTCTTTTAAGAGGTTCAGCTTTTCCTTCATTTTATCCAAGTTACCAAAATATAATTCATTTGATTTATCCAATTCACTTGGTTCTGGAAAGGCTCTAGGAGGGATGATTTTTGAAGTATGTACATATTTGGATGTGACGTTTTCCAAGTATTCTTGGTTTGTTATGAATCTAGAAAGAGCATCTGAGCGGAAGGATATGAGGTCAGCCTCGTCATGAAGTTGTGTAGAAGGTTCTTCCTTGGGGTGTGCCGGGGCAGCATTGGGCGCAGCATTGGGCGCCATAGTTGCAGTGTACCCTGGACGGCTACTACGACGTCTCCCTACCTTTGAGTGTGAAGACATGCTTTGAAGGATTGATTAAGTGATCGTTTGGTGTAGTTTTGTTTAACTGATTGTTTTTCCTTTGTATTTCAATTTGACCAAAAAAAAAAAAAAATAAAGAGGTCCGTTTCCAGAAAATGGGTTGCGCACGCTACACGATAAGGTGCTGTAGTAAGGATAGTAAACAGCAAATGCCCGAAAGAACTGATTGATAAGGGATAGAGAGAGTTAGGATAGTGGGGGAGGGGATCGCTTAGTACCATCAAATTCTTTACAAGAAGAATAAAAGAATGATCAGGTATCTAATATTTTCTTGTTGAATACATTATTTTGATACATTTTTTTAAAAGCTGCAAACATAATATAAACAAAAGAAGAACATATCTCCACTACATTAAATGATTTATTAACGAATATTATCATTATCTACTTCAACTATTTTACCTTTCTATCTCTGTCTTTCTGTATTTATATATTTATTATTTATTATTTTTTATTATTATTAACATATACTTATACCCAGACTAGTTATATAATTAAGTAGCCTTACCAAAATTGAAAACATACAAGAAAAAAAGGAAAAATAAACGATACATACAATACAACTTCACGCTTAGGTGAATACCATCTACATGTCAAATCTTCCATTGACAAACTCTTCGTCATCAAGACGATCATCATCGAGGTCCATTTCATCATCCTCATCAATACGATCGTCATCTATGGCGTCTTCATCTGGCGGAAGATTAGGATTCCCGTATACAAGACTTCCAGGGTTTCTGTACTTGTGACTCTTGCTGAAATGATCTTCCATTGTGGAATCATCAACATATGTAAATCCCTTAAAGTTAGCCTGGATTCCAGGAGAAAGTGGTGTTGATGCAAGTTCTATATGTCTTTTTAATACTGAAGTAGATTCATTAGTGAATTCAGGATCAAAATTCGAAGTATCAGTTTCAGATGTTAAATGTGGTTTAAATGGTGGTGGAATATTCTTCAGTTTTAATAATTGCCAATCAATGTCTGCAAAAAATGGATGTGCTCTAAGTTCTCTGGCGTCATTCACAGACCCCAATCTATGTTTTGGATTTCTATTCAATAACCCTTTAACAAATGATCTTCCTTCACTACTTAAAACTTCTTTAGGGAATCTTACTTTCCCAAATGCAATGTTCTTATACATTTGTTGAGTATTATCAGCGTAAAATGGAGACCATCCACAACACATTTCAAATATAAGAACCCCCAATGACCAGAAATCAACCATCTTGGTGTAACCAGATTCATCCAATAATACTTCTGGTGCCAAATACTCAGTAGTACCACAAAAAGTATTGGTTGTACCATCATTATTCAAGTTTGCCTTAGACAATCCAAAATCACATAATGCAATGTGTCCATTGGCATCCAATAAGATATTTTCAGGCTTTAAATCTCTATAAACAATATCATTATCATGTAAATGTTCCAAGGCTAAAATTAATTCTGCAATATAAAATTTGGCTCTTTCTTCAGTAAATCTTCCTTCTTTTTGTAAATGCCAAAATAATTCTCCCCCTGACATATAATCAGTAACGAGATACAAATCAGTTGGTGTTTGAAATGAAAACTTTAATCCAACAATAAATGATGAAGCTGCTGCTGATGTTCTAACCAAAATATTTCTTTCCCCAATAGTATGAGCAATCTCCTTCTTCTTAACAATCACTTTTTTAGACAAAACTTTCATAGCATAAATTCTATGAGTATCTTTCTTTTTAACTTGGAAAACTTGTCCAAAGGTTCCCTTTCCTAAAAGACGCAAAACTTCGAAATCATCTGGCCCATACAGCTTTTTGGAGTCAGTCAATGTATATTCCCATTCAACCCTGATTGATCCTGACACTCTTTCTCCAATAACTCTGGCCTTAAGATCGAGCCATTCTGATTCTCCAGCTCTCTTGGCGCTGGTGGAGGGAGAAATTCGAACTTGTCCTAAAAATGAATCGTCAGTGGCTGCATCATATACAGAAATGTCCAATTCAGATTTACTACCAACCACATCGAAAATGGCTTCATGGTTCCAAATAGGGTTAGCTGAGCCAATATTGCTGGTGTTCGAGTTCATGTGTTGTGTTGAAGATTGTCTTTGATACAAAGGATGTCTATTTTTGGAATGCTTCTGTTGTTTCATGGGTACTGCACCAATAGTCTTGTTACTATGGTTGTAAGATCCAGAAGTGTTGGTAACAAACTCGGAACTTTCAAAAGTACACACAACGTATGGTTGAGAATGGGCAGAATTAATCAAAAGATTTTTAGCCTCAACAATTTTTACTTTAAGTTTACCCTTTGGTTGAGAAGATTTTTGTGATTGAGGGTTATAAGTTTGTCCAGTTTCATCAGTGGTGATAATAATTGGAGTAGCAGAGTCCAGTTGTTGATGATGTTGAACCGGTTGCTGAACTTGGTGTTGTTGATTAAATTGTTGCTGTTGAACTTGTTGTTGCTGTTGTTGCTGTTGTTGTTGGTGTTGTTGGTGTTGGAGTTGCTGAAATGGAACTTGTTGATTATTATTTCTTATGGTTTGATAAAGTTCATTTTCAGACTGATTGTTCTTGGTGGTAGTTGTTCCATAAACTAAGGAATTATTGGACACTGCTGTAGTTGGAATGGCACTTGCCAATGTCTTTGGGTACAACCGTGAAGGTTGTTGCCTATGCTGGTCTTCTGTCCCTTCCATGGGAGAAGAACCACGAGAATAACCAGATCCATCTTCATTCTGGCTATCCTTCTTATTGAATCCACTGAATCCAAAAATTGATTTTGCAAAATCGGCCATTTCTATTGATGTCTACAAGACAATTGGCGAATTAAAATAAATAGAGAGTAAATCTGAATTGTTAGTAGCAAATTTTAGATATGATACACTGGCAAGGGTTAAGAAGACCTTCATGCAATGCTTTAGAAACCTTTAACATGAAGATATTGATTGCCTCCTCATAACAATAAATCCCGCCCCCTGTCAAAAAAATCACGGGCAATTATGGAGAGATTGACAGGTACTAATGTCAAACCTTCAGTAACTTCAAAATGATACATACTACTCAGAAAATGCAAGCAGAGACACCGAAACGACACCGTGAACTGATGAATACAGTCTAAATGCCTATCAATAAAGCGTCGGCGCACAAAAAATGATAGCGATGATAGGGATTTACTAATAGCACAAAATGCTTCTATGCAAATGCACACTCAATTGAGCCTAATGGAAAAAAAAAATAACAAGAAAATAAAAAGGCTCAAATCAAAAGAGAGAAAAAGAGAAATGAGCCTCACGAAGAGAAAAGCGGTCTTTCAAAGCTGGTGAAGACAAACTTCGTAAAGATCAAGTGAGGGGGGAACAAGGTGGGACCACGAATTGGAACCCTCATACGTGTTAGGTTGATAGCCGCTAACCCCACCTTTACATTAAATTTAGAGCCAATGGGTACCTAGGATTGGGATGCAATGATGCCTATTTCAGTATATCGTGGGACAAATCCATGTCTGTATTGCCCGGACCGACGTCGTTAACCGTTAGCGTCAACATTTTTTTTTCCGCTTTATTTTTTATTTTTACAACAGGTTTTTTTTTGATGATGATAATATTTGCGGGTTTTTTTTGATGTTCTCAATTTTATTTTTTAATGAATTCTTGCGGTGTTTTCTTGGAATTACTAAGAACAGAAAGGGTGTAGTAACCGCAAGTATGGTACCGATAAACCAACGCGCCATGTATTTAAATAAATATAAGAGAGAAGGTGTGTGTGTGTGTGTGAGAATAGACGGTTCTCATTGATATAAGGGGTAAATGATTTCTTTTGGTATGGTGTGAAATGAATTCGCTAGTGCATGAGCGGCAGAACAAGAGAGATTCAATGTAATGTGGTAATTTCAAGATTTTGTAAATAATTACATATGTAAAGGATATACAAAGCAATAGAAGCAACTCTCTATCATGTGATTGCTGGTATATGATTGACCCACATTCCAATAACAGTACGTTATCACAATTAAAATCTGCTGCTGGGGGCCACCTCGTTCTATGTACAGGATTGACTGCAAAAATGAACACTCAGGAATGCAAGTCAATACGAGGCTGGAATATACAGTATTTTAGTACCAAGTGTGATAAGTTAGAGTGCGATATGTGGTATATTTTGAACAGTTTATATGCTCATATATGTATACGAAAATAATTGAGTAAGTATTGAAGTTCCCCTGTTGGAATTCTAAAGATCTGCATATGTAAGTTGAGATACCCGATTGAGGTACCAGTTAACTGGTTAAGTTCACAGGGTAGATTTCCGTTAAATACAGAAATAAAATATACAGAGCTTTAAACCATGATATATACTAGATAATAAAATTATATTCTAGTAAATTGGGACCATTTTACTTAACGGGCGCACGTCATATTCATTTAGAGAATAGAATTGTACTTATCATTGAAACGCGTGAGATTGCGATTTTCGTATCGGGAATTCAATTGAAATGAACTAACAAAATAAAAGTTTTGGGGTATGATATTAATACGTTAGTAAATATAAGTTAGATAAATTAAATAAAGCTTGGTAAGATACTGAGAGGGGGAGTACCGTGCCGTCATATTATCTAATGGAGATATCTAACACACGGAAAGAAAAAAGTAATTTTTGTCAGTATATATATATATATATCACTTTCTTTCTCAAAAGTGTATTGATGAAGAGATGTGAATATAATAGAGTATTAATTAAGAGTATATATTGTATAGTACCCCATTAATACTTTAGACTACTAATTAGTCTTTATTTTTCAAGTACTACATTCAGTGACACTACGAGAAGTACTTCCATGAAGCAAAATGCAAAATTCAATTCATCTTATTTGGTACGTAGGAAGAAAATTACATAGTCACTTTCAATTTAGTTGTCTAACAATTGTAAAATTCAGTTTAATTATTTTAATATATCCATAGTTTAATGTAATTCTATTCTTGAAGTTTTGCAACTCAATTGAATCTCGTCTTTTCATATGCACTCGTTCATGATTACATAATCCATATATATGTATATATATATGTATATATCGAATTTTCATGAAAATGTCACAAAATCGAGTTTAACAATTTTGAGGTTTAATTCAAAAACTTGAAAAAAGTTAATGATATACAACCAAGGATATATTGAATCATAACATAAGATGATGAACACATTCAGATCTGCATGGTCTTTACAAACCAGATCATTCCACCTGACTGGTCCATCTTTACATAAAAAGTCCAAGACTTACAATAGACTTCTTAACTATGTTAAGAAAGTTGATGACACAACCACATACAAAGCTGGAGATGAAATAGTGAAAGGTGTTAAGATTCCAGCCGAAGTACCAACACTCCCAGTCTACCAATACGAAGCCCGTTACTTCAAGCGTCAAAATCGTGGGTTATATGGTGGATTACAACGTCGTTCTGGCCATACATGTTCAGAAGCTGAAAATAAAAACAAAAGAACATACCTTCCAAACATTGTAAGCAAGAAGTTATGGTCTGAAACATTAAACAGAGCATTCAAGCTTAGAGTATCCACCAAGGTCTTGAAGACCATCACCAAGGAAGGTGGATTAGATATGTACTTGACCAAGGATAAACCAGCAAGAGTTAAGACCTTGGGATTGAAAGGTTGGGAATTAAAGTATAAGGTTTTGAACAGAAAAGAGTTCAACAAATTACCAAAGTATGAAGGAGGTGTTCAAGTATACCACGTACACCCAGATGGGAAGGAATTCATTGTAGGTAGAAGAAAGTTGGTGGACCAATTATGGCCATTGGTTCAAAGAGATAGTTATACTCCATTGAATTATGAAAAGTTTGTTGAAACCTCGATGGTTTTAACCTTTGAAGAATTGGTTAATAAATTAGAAAGTTACGGTTATGACTTTACTAATGTTACTGTTCAAAAGGGTTCTAATACTGAGTCATTTGAACAAGTTGCTTAATCAAAGAACATTAGAGAAAGAGATAATCTTTAATGAATTGTTATACGTCATAACCAGTTCTACAATGATTTCTACATTCTTTAACATCTACCTAGTCATTATCACCCACCCATATTAATTGGATTTCAATAATACTAATTGATCCTTCAATCTATATATATATATTATCCATATAGTAACTTAAATAACCACCACCTGTATATAATGCACAGTCCTCGCAGTCACGTTATTTCGGGTTCATGCCCTCACCTCATGTTTGTGTAAATATAAATGTCTTTGTGCAGTCTTAAAGAACAAAAGTTCCTTCATATAATTCCTTTTTCAAAATATACCTGTATATTGAGTCATTTTTGTGTAACTTCAACAAGAAAAATTTCCTCGCTTTCGGGGAGTCTCATTGTGAATGTCATAGTTTGAAAAATTTTACATTGAATCTTTTTTGAAATAGAATACATTTACCAAACATAAAACAAAATGGCTAGATCAGGTATTGCAGTTGGTGTCAACAAGGGTCACAAGACCTCCGCTAAGGAAGTCGCCCCAAAGATTTCTTACAGAAAGGGTGCTCTTTCCCAAAGAACCTCCTTCGTCAGAAACATTGTCAAGGAAGTTGCTGGTCTTGCCCCATACGAAAGAAGATTGATTGAATTGATCAGAAACGCTGGTGAAAAGAGAGCCAAGAAGTTGGCCAAGAAGAGATTGGGTACTCACAAGAGAGCCTTGAGAAAGGTTGAAGAAATGAACAAGGTCATTGCTGAATCCAGAAAGCACTAAGTGTTTGTATAATTTAATAAATTCTACGTTTTCATACACCAATCGTAGGTGTGAACGATTAGGGAGAGAATAGAATTACTATGGAAGTTTTTGTTTGATTACTTCGTTCTTATGTTTCCAGAAACATGAAGAGGACTGAAATGTGAATGATGATTCTGTCAACACAAGGAATCCAAATAAATGGGAAGAGAGACATGTATTTACATCTTTGTGTAAAACATGAACTCATGACTTGTTAATGGAAGATTCTCCAATTTCGCCCCTTTCATGAAGATGTTACCATAGAAGAAGAACTTGCTAGTAAATGCTATTAAACAACCTTATTCAACGATTCACAATTGTAGAAATTATTGTAGATATTGTACCCCCTTGGATTGAACTACTAAATACTGGTATTACTATACATATTTTAGAAGGCTCTTGTGTAGTGAGTACATTTTTGTCACGAATTATATACTGCGGCAAAAGTTGGTTAACAAAACAATTGTTAAATAGATTGCGAATGATACAATCTATTCTTCTCTCCACTTATTACTACTCTCTTTATTAATATGCTTTCTTTACATTCAAGACGGCTATTCTCCTCCTTCCGTACATTAAAGAACCAGGTACCTCCTACACATTTTTCTGATTCTAATCCTACGAGATATACACCACCGAAGACTCATTTCCATGATCAACATATAGAATCCAAACAATTACCCGAGGACTCATCCCACAACACCAATGAAAAACCTATAAAGGAACTTACTGTCCTTTTAACCATGGTAACGCTATCCTTCTTTGCGATAGACAATTACCTCAATCGTATCAAGGCAGAGAAACATGTAAATGAAACCGTCATGATAAACCTCAATACTTTAAAATCCCAACAAGTGAACTTCAATAATTTAAATAAGAGGAAGAATTTACAGATCTTAGCAGAGAGAAAGGAAAATAACAAGAAATTGGCTAAAATGGCTGTACATATAGCCTTGTTAAGAAAGCAACTTAAAGAGGCAGGCCATGACCCAGTCAGTATTGAATATGTTTTGCAACAATTTGATACACAAGTAAACGTTAGCACATCCATTACCAATGTCACCGACCAAGTACATTACGTAAAGGATACTTCAGGTGAGTAATAAAGGGAAATATACACATTTTCGAAATGATTTACTAACATTTTTACAGATTTAAAGGAATATCTTCCCAATCTTCATGATTACGAAAGAACAACAAATAATAGACGAAATGAATAATGGTACTAAATGACCATATCAGATACTTTCTTAACTTATAACTGTAGATATCGTAACCTCTTCATTTGTTCTAATACGTTCTATTGGTGGCAGTAAGGAAATGAAAATAGTAGAAACTTAGGGAAGGAATGAAAAAAATAACGACTTTGGTAAAAAGGAGAACAACCTAATAAAATGATATCCCTACTTTATACTTTATTTTAATATCTAATTTATTGTACTGTTAGTATGGGTTATACCAACTCTTTAAAAACCCTTACATTAATTATTGGTAAGTATTTTGATACCAAAAGTGTACTTACCCGGACGCGCACCAACTATATAAGTAATGATCATAAAATTTTTTTCAAGATTTCTTTATTTTTCTTCTTTATACAATGTCTTTTACATAGGAGCCCATTAGAGTCACGGATTGTATGACTTCTTCCACATGCAATCGATAACTACTTTGTGGTTTTATCGTGCTCGGGTAATCCTTAGATCGATAGTTTTTACCAGCCCTGTTCTGTCATGTCTTACTTTGTTTCTAGTATTACTATGCGGTTCTGAACTTATATTTATATATTTAGTAGATGTAATTTAAGTGAATTTCTACATTGATCAATGTTAATTTACTTTAATTGCAAATTTCTCTATTCACCAATAATTCTCTTGTAACAGAATATGTTATATGTTTCTTTATAACGTTCATCCCAGATGATCTGTTAGCGGCTTAGTATCAATTTCTCCAAGTTTTCTTTGCTTTAATTTAATTTGAAGCTTTTCGAATATTGGACAACAAGTTGTTGTAGCCGAAGTTCCAGTTGTTTTATAGAATTCTTTGCAACAAAGATAAAGGTTATCTATAGCCTTGGAGCATTTGGTTTCATCATAGTTATTGGCATTTAAACAGTTTTGAATTGAGCATGCTTCAGATTTACAAATATTTTCGCCTGTCATGATTATTGAATGAGTTTTTTTCTTATTCAGTGTGAGGAAGAGTAAAATATTACATAAATTTATTTTACTTGCAAAGTTCACTCGTGATAAGTAGGTTTACAAAAGATCGTGCGCTTTCACTAATTAACAAAAGTGGTAATTAAAATAGAATGCACACTGACATAATACGATCATTTTCATAGCAATGTACTAAAACCACTCACACTACTCTACAAGCTTACTTCACTTTAAAAATTTAAGTTAGATTTCTAAAAATATTTTTAAAGAGTAATTTCATTATATTGATAAAAGGAAATGTAGGCTTGACCGTAATATTCCATACTTCAATATTACATTATATTCCTTAAGTGATCAAGGTTTTGTCTAAATCAGTATGATAATCATCTTCATCAAATTCACTTGGCTCATAGATGACAAGTGGTACAAATTCGTTACGAGCGTTTTGTCTACGCATTGTCTTAATCTTGTACATGTAAAATGTGGCACAGCCAGCAAATACTGAAACCAAGATAGCCATGATACCCCATCTAGAAATATGCCATCTTAAACTTTCAATTTCAGATCTCATTGCAGAATTAAGTTCTGTTGTGATCTTATGGTTTGTTTCTTGAATTCTCAAGCTGATTTTCTTTGAATGAAGTGTATTTTCTGAATTTTGATCATTAACCGAAACTTGAGTATCATTCTTCATTTGAATAAAATCATTATTTAATTCGTCAGATATTATATTAAAATCTCTCTCTAATATATGAATCAAATTTATTAATTCATTAATATGTTGTTCACGAGATCTAGTTATATCAACTCTCAATTCTTGTTGAGCACTTTCAAATAAATATCTTTCATTTTCAAGCTCATATAGCTGTGAATATTTCGTAGATAATTTAGATACTTTGGAATTAATTTGAGTAATAAGATAATTAATAAGTTCATCTGCTTGAGCTGGTGTGAATCCAGCTTTAATGAATTGTTGATAAACTTCATATGTATCAATATATGGTTCCATTTTCTCAAAAATAGTTGTAAGGTATGCATCTTTTTCATCCATATCTTCCATAGGAACCTCTTCTCCAGAAGTTTCTTCGCCTTCAGTCTTTGTATTCTTCATAGGTTGAAGCTCGTTGGTAAGATCAGGAATAGGTGTGACTTTCACACCTCCAACAGTTGTATCATTCGTATTACCTGTATTTAGTAGTCGACAACTTGTAGATAAATATGCAATTTGATTCTTCTTTAATATTCCAAATATCCTTTGGTTATATATATTTGCTGTTGATTTCAGTTTAATAAAATTAAATCTGATGTTGCGTATAGCTATATCTAGCGACGTAATACCATATTTGAACATGGTTTTTTGAAATGACTAAAATATAAAAGCAATAAAGCGAAAAAAAAAAAGATTATAATTTAAAACCGGTAGAAAACACTAATAAGGGATTTGCGAGGGATAATAATTTATTAGTACGAATATACTATTTCTTGATCTGTGTTTATTTTTTATGTTAATCTAAGCCTATTGATAAAACAATTGTAAAACAATCATACTCAATTTTTATTTTGATATTCCGCCTCATGACACAAAATTGGATCTGTCGTCTCAACTGTTTCTTTACTTGAATTTAAATCAAAGAATCTTAAGTTATTAAATCTTCTCCAAAAAGCATTAAGATAGTTTGAAGTACTTAGAGAAGAAGTATCACTCTGCTCAAATAAAGATAACTTTAAATCAACTTGCCTTACATAGAAATATAAAGATTTTGTGAAGAATCTGAATCCAAATCTCAATTTGGATGCAAAATAGAATGATTCTGGACCTCCACAAGTTAAAAATCCTTTAGTATTACATGGTAGGATCTGGTTATGAGTATTTGCAAATAATAAAATATCAGGATTTGGAGGGAATCTAATATTTGAAAATCTTTCATCTTCAATTATCTTTTTAAAATTAAATGGTTGAACTCTTAATCTTTCATCAGATATGTAAATAATTAATTCTTTAGAATGATCCATTGATTCCGAGTTTATAGATGAAATATCAAATCTTTCTAATGTAAAACAATCAATTAAGATAATTTTAGGAAATTTAGATATAGAATTTATACTAATAGGAGATGGTGAAAATGTACTTAATTCTACTGAAATAGAATTATGAATTTCTTCAAGCAGTGTAGACCATAATATACCTGTTCGCTCATAGATTGTAATGTAGTCTACTTTTAATAAACAACTCCATAATACAAATTTAGTTATCTCATTTAAAACCCTAATTTGTTCAGCAGCAATATGGATTCTTTCCTTTGTTAAATATTCATTTTTCAATGATAATGCAACTTGAATATCTCGTTTACCAGGTACATGGATTTTTTTATCACTTCCAAGATATGGTTGTGGAATTTCATTTGGTGGTTTAATATTGAACTTTTCAATATCAAATATAACTCCAATTGAAGATGGTTTAACTTTCTGAGGGAAAGCATCTTGGTACTTAGTTGGTGAAAAATTAAGAATTTCAAGTTGAAAATACCGATACATTGCATTGTAAACAATAAACATTACTGAATACCAAGAAGAATCATACCATTCTACATACAATATGGCTATGAAAGTTGATAATATGTCCTTAATTGACCAATAAATTGAATTCAAAATTCCATAAATTGAAAATAAGAAAATAATTGAAACCCTACGTAAATGAGCCCGAAGGATATTCCAAGTGGTAAAATCTTCCATATCTTGTCCAATAACATTGAGCATGTTATTGGATTCACCTAAGTTGAAACCTACCGGGTTAAATCCTTTGAAATCTTGTGCCAACAGATTTGCAAAATTTGAAACTTTGACATTGTCTTGCAATTCATTAGGTAATGCCACTACTGGTTCGAAGAGAAGGCCATTAGATTCGACAGATTCAATTTCATGTATTGATTGCGATTCCATAGTTGAGATTGGTGTTGAAATTAGTAATGTTTTACTTATCAGTACTTGCAACAAGGGGTAATAATTTTTTGTATTAAAATTGATTTTTGCTGCAAAAAAAACAAACCGCCTCGCTTCACTACAAGGTTAAGAAAAAAAAAAATAGACGAAGAAATCACCGCGATCCTTAACATCCGAACGAGGAAAAGGTCTACACGTTGAAGTCCTTAATACGTTCGGTAATTTGTACTTCATGTCGCCAAATATCTCGATTCTAAAGATAAATGGAAACCTTCTGGTAAGAGCTTTATTACCGAGTGGACCTTAAAGCAAGATATTTTTTTCATCCATTCGGATCCGGAGAATGTGAGCCCGCCTCACACCGACACACTCCCAAAGTTAAGTTTCACTCGACCCCATATCCTAAGACATCATTCCCGGATTAGGTGGATATATTGAAAATCGCAATGAAACATCCTCATCGGGATTAGACACATTCTAGAATCAATAATCTGCAAGCAACCTCTAAATAGTAAGCAATATTAAATGTATACAGGGTCTTGTTTGCTCTTCGGAGAATATTTCTTTAATTTTAGTTTCCGCAATGGTTGAACCCATGGCTTCCGTTACCGCAACCTCTATCTAATTCTCTTAGAGAGTGCCTATCAAAATGTTGACATTACAATCAAAAGGTCGATTTAAAAAAAAAAAATTGGAAAATGTTTCAAAAAAGACTCCACCACACAGAAAGGGTTAACTTCTATGAAACAAACATAAACCCGATTTTCTGTGTGGAGAAGACGGCTCCCGCAAGTTTCATAACAACTGCAACACCTCACCATATGCCTAGCATACCCTGACTATCGCAGCAGTTATCCCCTATTACTGTGAAAGCCATATCTTACTAATAAGTATTTCATTAAGGTTGGTAAAAAATTAGCTTTATTGATTAGTAAAAAATACAAATTCCAATATCTAAGCAATCTAAATGAGGCAACTCTCCAATCTTATGCGGCTGCTTTTCGCGAAGGATCTGGATTCTTCTCCCGAAAACCGTTTTTCTCTCCGGATTTTATTTATTTTTTGTGAGGAATTTATTGAGTATATACAGTATAGTGGTACTCTTGCATTTCCATAACGAACTAGACGCAATGTGAATGAGCAAAAAAAACCACTCACTGATCCGCGCTACTTCACGTAAAAATAGTTTCATTTACGAACGCTTCTATTCTTGCATTCTAAAATGAGCTCATATATTGTACCTTGTAAGTTAATCTGATTCAAATGAGGGAAATAAAACAAAATTGACAAATTTACTTCCGGAACGTTCTTACCCCAGAGTTGATGGTACCATATTCTAGAACATAGACTATCTACTCCGAAATAATCTCATTATCATGACTGTTTCATTGCCTGATACATCCAAATTTGAAACGATGATGACAAAAAGCTTAATTCATTTCAGTCCTTAATAATGTATGAAATTTACGAACCGATCGGCTTCAAGTCTCCGAATGGAACACAAAGCCAAATCTAACTCCATAATAAATTATCTGTAAGATTACAACTGTGTGGGATTTCTATTGTCTGTATTAGGATACTTCCACCGACATCAGTTGATGGGGGTATCGCATTATGGAACGTTAATTATTATACCCGAGTGGTTTTTCTTCCTGCCCATAAACATATTTCTTTTTGGCGGAACGGAACCTCCAGATTTCTGAAATTTTATGCCCGCTTTATTTCCGGATGATGATTCGGATTAAGCAACCAAGATTTCATTTTTTTTTTTTTTTTTTTTTTAGTCCCGCGCATGAGTTATATTCTTGATTTCTAATATCCGTTTGTCAGACCGATGACTAACCATTTATACTTAAGAGTCAGATAATTCCTTAATTTCTACACATAATTTTTCATATTCCATTGCATTCAATAAAACAGACTAGTTTATAGATCGTGCATCCACAACTCCCTACTTTATATCTATAAGTGAACATTATCAATTAATATTTGTTCATTGTGCAACCTCCGATTTTTATTTTTCCCAAGTATTTGCCCCTATTACCGCCAAGATTGTACGTCGGTAAAATATTCGTACTAGAGAAAAATATATAACATTTTACTTCTCCACATTTAAAAACATTCTATCAAGACTTATACAATTTACGAAATGTCATCTTCAATGAGTTTTGCAGAATCATACGTACTTGCCTCCAAAGTGAGGTCTAAGCTTACTAAAGAAGCTTCCAACCCAAAATCAAGTCTTCGCGTCTTAGTGACTCAAGCCAATATGCTTGACAACTTAATGGATCACATTGCTCATGAAACCGTGAAAAGAAACAGAAAACTTAACACTGTTGTCATTGATGAACTCCCACAAAATGACTCCACTAATAATAACAAGCACATAAGTTTTTCTCTTCCACAAAGAACCATCCCACAATCCACCAGTGTTGCTGAATATGAAGTTGATTCCGATTCTGATTCCGATAGTGATTCAGACTCAGATTCAGATTCAGATTACTATTACTCATCAGATGAAGAAGAATCTCAAGATATCTCCCAATCAATTACTTTCAACTCCACTCGTAACTCAAGTCCAATCAAAAGATCTAATCTGCAATCCATGTTTAATGATGTTCCATCTATAGATTTATCTGTTCAATACGAATCCGACCCTTACCTTTCTGTGATCATGGAAGAAGAGGACTCTGATGCTTCTGAAGATTCTGAAGAAGATTCAGAAGAAGTACCAGCACAACATGAAGTTCCTGAATTATGTCAAAGTCAATCCCTCACTGATGATGAAGACACTGACTTTGAACAGCTTTACACTCTTGAACTGTCGCAAATTCATCATAAGCCGCGTTATGTGGAATCTATAGATAGTAAGCTAGGCAAGAAACACTATGCCCATGAAAATAACAACATACATCAAGCACATCATCAAAGACATAAAGCTATTATGAGTATGAAGGAAATTTTTTAATGCTATGTTTCTACTGCTACGATTTATGATGCTTACGACTTACGACTTACGATTCACCTTTACCCCACTCATATGATTAAATATTAGTTAACTTATTTATTATAGATTATGATTTAGATTCATTTAATTAACTGTAGATACTCTATGGCCGCAAAAAATCTAAATGACTAAAAAAATAAATAAACACGAAAAAAAAAAAAACATACAGATACTAAGATTTTTTTTTTTTTTTTTTTTGGAATTTTTTTTAAAATGAATGGTATCGGCTCGGAGAAAACGGCTATAAGCAAACAGTCGGCCGAAAACAGAGGATTTACTAAAATTCATCTATATCAAACCAGTAAGGTCATGTACACTTGGCCTTGGAGAGGGGTGGCTTGTTCTTCTAATGGCACCACTAATTCGCTTACATTTACTTAACTCATTTTCTATCGTCCGTTAATCCCTTCTCGTACGATTAACTATTGTATGAACAGTTTTTTTTTTTATTTCCCGCATTTCGGATCCGGTCCCCTCATTTTCAAACCATATTGTCTCAGAAAAAAAAAAGCGAATAAAAAAAGGGCACGACGCGGCTATGACGGCCCGGATTTCATTATAATTCACACCTTCTCATGTCAAACAAAATACGATATTTCACGTACAGAAGAGATAAATTATCTCGGATCTCGGAATAAAAAACTACTAAGGATGAGACGAAAGGATTTATATTTTTCTATATCATTTTATATTTTAGTATATACGCTTAGGGCTTTTTTTATCACTTTATATTATTTATCGCTTTCTCTCTCCATAACCTTAACCTATTTTTTTTTTTTTTGTTGTATTGCACTCAAAGAATAACTCATATTAAGTCTTTGGAATATCCTCCAATTTAACTTTCCCACTTTCAATCCAATATGGATCTATTAATCTACTCTTTTCTTCATACATGACTTTGTATGAAGTCTTAATCGTCCCATCACTGACACCAGTTTTCTCAGCAATCTTGGAAGGTTGCAAATCAGCACCAAAAACTAAAGCTGCCATATAGATTACGGTTGCAGCAATGGTGATTGGAGATCTACCAGCCAATACACCAACTTCCTTACATTGTCTAGCAATGTATTCTGCTGCATTGGTAACTTGGGTAGACAACCCCAAATGAGAACAGTATCTTCTGATTAAATCTTCTGCAGAAGTTTGAGTAGTTTGAATATTGTCTTGGATTAAAGAGTATGCATTTGGGTTTGCGGCATTCTTTTCTTGTAAAAGTTTATGCATAATTTTGAATACTTTACCAATTTCCTTACGAGGAACATTGGTTAATGCCCAAATTTCTTTAAATGTACGGGCAACAGAAGCCTTACGACACCCAATGAAAATAGCTGCTGCCATTATAGACTCTTGAGATTTACCCCGAAGTCTTTTTTCATCATAAACAAGTTTATAAACTTCCTTTGCACCATCTTGAACAATTTTAGGAAGTTGATACCCGTCACACATTTGGGAGATTTTTGCATAGGCTGCAGATAATGCGTTATCCTTCTTATCCACAAGAGATTTGGATTGTGCTCTATTCAATTCTCTACCAACTCTGGTATTTTCTGGAACATACGAAATCATAGTAGATAAATCTTCAGTGTCCATTAAAGGATTTCCTGCATCACCTACACGACTCGGATCGTCCCCATTTTGATCATCATTGGAAAACGTTCTCCATTCTGATCTGGTGTCCACAACTCTATCACTAAGAACTAATCCACAACTTCCACAAACAATATCCCCTTCACTAAACCTTTCAATAAGATCTGGAGGATATATTTTACATTCAGGACAAGTGAGAGTGATATTCAAGTTTGGACCCATGAAGGGCTCTTCAGCAACCATACTCATATTTCAGATAAGTGTTAAACTGTTGTTTGAGTATAGGAGGTATTGAGTTTCAGTGGCAATTAATTAACAATTAAAAAGTATTATTAAAATTTCTTCTCTTCTAAACCACTTAGAGAAAGTTGGATGCGATATATGTAGCTCTTCCCTGTATTTAATATTTCCGTATGCCTCTTCCCAAGTATATGTATGTATATCCTCTCACTCAAATACCCTTATCCCCTAATAGAATCCGCTTACAAAACCAATGTATAAATTAAATATTTTCCTTTTAAATATCAAATTTTATTACAAATTCAATATTTGTGTGTGGTTCTGTATATAAAGTGGTCAGGTGACCAAAAACACAAATTATGGGAAATTTAGTTAGATTCAATTTTTCTCGAAAGAATTAAGACTTATTGCTTCCATATGCTTCTCAGTATTAGTTGCAAATGTCATGAAAATATTCATGCCTTCAAAACTTAAGATATCTTACCTTTACACCCGTTTTGAGGCGAAAAAATGAATTTTCATAATTTCCCACAATCGCATTAAGATACACTTTTAACACTAAACAAGTTAGCCTTTTTAGCTTAGTGGTAGAGCGTTGCACTTGTAATGCAAAGGTCGCTAGTTCAATTCTGGCAAGAGGCAACTTTTTTTTTGTCTCTAATATATAGCAAGCACTGTGTATATGCAGTATAGTTGCCACTTTTGAAATGACTTCAAATCACACTATAAACAAAATGCAATTACTTTTTTCTCTTTTTCAATACACTTAAAGTTTATAAAGGCATGTTTTCTATATTAGGGCTGGGTCGACCTCCTGTGCGAATAGCATTGGAAGGACGCACAATTCTTGGTAGTGTACAAAGATGTCCAACAAGACCAATACATAGAAGTTTCTACATGTTAGGACATCAACACCGTATACCCCAACCAGTGGTATCACGTCACAATTCTTCCGTTGGAATATACCATCGAAATCTCAGTTTCCTCAAGATGGCTGGACGTGTAGTTAAAATTCCGGCATATGTTGGTGGAACATTTGCCGCTGGTGGAAGCTATGTTGCATATAAAGTAGATCAGGCATCTTCTTTTACCCAAGATAAACTTTCTTCTATTAAGGATTTTGCCGATGGATTCTTTGATAAAACTGGGGACTTCTTGAAAGGTATGGGTGGTGGACTGCAAGAAGGCGGAAGTTCTAGTAGTGGAGGAGAAGGCGGGGGAAGTGGAGGTGGTGATACCGCAACAGCAGTGGGGGCCACTGCTGCGGCTGTTGGATTTACTACTGATGAAGAAGAAGATGGTGAAACAACTAATGTAGAAGATGAAGATGACGAAGAAACATTAATTGATGAAGATGACGATGATGATGACGAAACTGAAGACGAAACTGATAATGACATGCTTAACCTTACGAGACAAATGATTGAGATTCGTAACTTGCTTCTTACTGTGGATCGTACTGACTCCTTGAGACTCCCTTCGATCGTGGTCATCGGTTCTCAATCAAGTGGGAAATCCTCTGTACTCGAGTCAATAGTTGGACAAGAGTTTTTACCAAAGGGTTCCAATATGGTTACTAGAAGACCTATTGAACTTACTTTGGTAAATTCCCCAGATTCTGCTGCTGAAGTTGCTGAATTTCCTGCTTTGAAATTAAATAACCTTACTAATTTCGAAGAAGTACAAAAGATTTTATTTGATTTGAATATGGCAGTTCCTGAAACCGAATGTATATCCAATGAACCAATTCAAATTACAATTAGATCTCCCAGAGTACCAGATTTATCCTTAGTGGATTTGCCAGGTTATATTCAAGTTGAAGCCGCTGACCAGCCAATGGAATTAAAGCAAAAAATCAGACAATTGTGTAATCGTTATTTGGAAGCCCCAAATATTATTCTTGCCATTTCAGCTGCTGATGTTGATTTAGCCAATTCTGCTGCATTGCGTGCATCTAAAATGGCTGATCCTCGTGGTGAAAGAACCATTGGAGTTGTTACCAAATTAGACTTAGTTGGACCGGAAAGAGCTCGTGATATCCTCACCAATAGAAAGTATCCTTTAAAGATGGGTTATGTTGGTGTGATCACTAAAGTTCCTAGTAAGGGTTCAGGTGGTGGTAGTGGGGGTGGATTGTTCTCCAGAAAACAATTGACTGGATATCAAGCATTTGTTGCTCAACAAAATTTTGAGTTATCTTATTTGAGAGAACATAAACAAGATTTTTTTGGGACTACCACTGGTACTCGTAACTTGAAGAAGAAATTGATGAAAGTTTTAGAAAAATCAATGGCTGCTTCCTTAAGACCTACTCATTTTGCAATTCAACAAGAGTTAGAAGAAGCTTCTTATCAATTTAAAGTTGAATTCAATGATCGTCCACTTACTCCACAAATGTACTTGGCCAACAATATTGATATGTTAAAGTTAGCTACTAAGGAACTTAGTCATAATTTCTCTAGAAAAGAATTAAAATCCTTGTTGAAAAATGAGCTTGATCAAAAGGTTTTGGATTTATTAGCTGAAAGATATTGGAATAAACCTTTTTCTTTGAAAGTGCAAGATTCAAATATCAATGAACCAAATTTGAAAGAATTGTCACAAATTAAAAATATTGATGATGATATTTATTGGCATAAAAAATTGGATCTTGCATCAAACTCTTTAACAAAATTAGGAGTCGGTAGATTATCTACTAGTCTTGTTACTAATGCTCTTATAACAGAAATTGGAAACTTGGTAGATACAACCCAACTTCGTAATCATCCAATGGCAAGAGAAGCAGTTAGAGATGCTGCCAAATCTGTACTTGGTGCCAAATTTTATTCAACGGCAGATCAAGTTGAAAATTGTATTAAACCTTATAAGTATGAAATTGAAATTGAAGATCGTGAATGGGCAACTAGCAAGGATAATGCTGTTCAATTGTTAAGAGAAGAAATGAGACAATGTGATGAAGTATATAACAGTTTAAAGAAACAAGTTGGTGGAAGAAAATTACTGCAAGTTATGACTTACTTGGAAAAATTGAATCAACAACAAAACGCTGATATTGACTTAAATTCTAATGAGGCATTGGGATTTTCGCAAAATTTGATTAAGAAAGGACAAGATGCAATTTTCTTAAAGGATAGATTATCTTTATTACAGATGAGATACCAATTCATTAAGGGATCAAAGAAATGTAAGAGTAAGGAAAACAAATATCAATGTCCAGAAATATTCTTAGATGCCGTTTCTACTAAATTAACTTCAACGGCAATTTTATTTTTAAATGTGGAATTGTTGAGTGACTTTTATTATAATTTCCCTAGAGAACTTGATTCGAAATTCTTTAACAATCTAACTAAAGAAGAAATTGAAATTTTTGCAAAGGAAGATCCAAAGATCAAGAAGCACATTGAATTACAAGAACGGAAGGATTTATTGGAATCGGCTTTAAATAAGATTGAAGGAGTATTGGCCATACAGAGAACAAAGGGGGGACATGTTCAATCCAAGGAGAAGCCAGATTCTCTATTTAGTTGGTAATTAAGTGCGAGATGGGAATTTTATAATATATACATATAGGAATAATATCTACTTCATGTAAAAAATGAATGCTCGTGTTTACTATACATGTAATTTATCTATCTTGTGATTTTAATGATGCGATCGAATAAAGTATCGATTTGAACACTTTCCAAGTTTTCAAAAACTGGTTGGAAGATATTCACATCTATAACCTTGTTGAATTCTATGCCCTTTTCTGCGTCGGAAACAGTGTTGCTGTGTACACCATTACCATTTGAAGTTGCACCAATTGTGATGGAACGATTGTTAACGATATCTGCTGTAGCTTGTGCGTTAAGCAACATACTGCTCATATCTTCAGCCAAGTTAAATTCTTGTTCTTTTTCTTCTTCTGAACCTAATGCTTCAGCAACAGAAACTGGAGAAACTAAACCGACACGAGAATCTAAATCCACAAAGATGAACAGAGATCTGAAGTGACGAAGAGATGAAACACCTTGGTCGTGATGAGTGGTGAATACAGGCTCCAATTGATCAGGCTTGAACATTAGAATTTTGGATTTGACACCAAGTCCATTGTTTTCCTTTTCATTATAATAATTAATGGCCAAACAAACCAATTCATTAACCTTGTCAACAGCGATCAAGTTACGGCCGCCCAAAGTAGTATTTACCTTTGCAACTAAAGGAGTGAACTTACCTGAAAGTAAATCCAATGAAGTGATTCTAGTTTTTGAAAGAACTATCAAATGATGGCCGACAATAGACAATGAACGAATTCTTGAACCAGATATAGCTGGAACTTGGAAGGCAATCTCTTCAAAAGTGTGGGTATTGAAAGCAGTTATGGAACATTCATGACCGAGAACAATTATGGAACCATCGTCAGACCAACAAGTACTGACGGCATTAGAAACGAGAGCTCCACAAGGTTTAGATTTTCTTAAAGTCCATGCGGTTTGTTGAAGCTTATTGTTTGGTTGTTTTACTGATTGATATATTTCTTTTGGAATTCTTGGTCTCCAAACTCTTAATCCACCCTTATCATCGGCAGTTAAAAATGAAATTCCTTCATGGAAAGTCAGTGGTGCAGCAGTAATAGATAAAATTGGGTTAGAAGGACCATGAGGATCGATAATCTTAGTGGAAAGTTCCCAGTATCCACCAGTTTTACTGCCTGCGTTAGCTGAAGCACCAGAGCTATTCTGAATATACTTCCAGAACTTCAATGCATATTGCAGGTCATTCTTAGACAACAAGTTGTCAACTTCGGAAGTAGCGATGGTATCAAATGTACACATCCATTCACCATCTTGGGTGAAGGAAATGGCAGATATTTCAGGGTCTACTAATTTGTTTTCTGATCTTACTTTACCAATAGATAACATTGGTGCAGCATTTTGAGTGAATGCTTGTTCATTTCTAACAAGATCGTAAGCTTGAATGGTTGCACCACGAGGGAAGTATAAGTTTTGACTCTTTGGGTGAACCTCAAAAATAGAAGTATAATCATGCTTCAAACGAGATACATCATATTTACCTCCAGCTTTAGCGAACTTCTTCTTAGTCTTAGCCAATGTACTCTTGACATTGCTATTTACAAATTTTGGTCTTATACCATTAACAGAAAGTCTGGATACCAAGTCAACTGCAGATACAACCAAGACTTCGCTACTAGCTTCATCTTCTTCTTCAGCTTCATCAGTATGAGAAGTGGTTGCAATTGGAATGTTTAAAACCAAAGTATAATAGTCACTCTTGTTATAGTCAATAGAAATTTTTTCTATAGTACCATTTAATCTTGGTAAGAATTGAGTCTTATCGGTTTCTAATTGCCAGAATACTAATACTTTTTCTAAACCACCAGAGAGTAAATAATTATTATCTGGAGTAAATTGCAAAGCCTTAACTTGATCAATATGCCATTTAAGTAATCTTTGAGGTCTATCCTGGGCCTCTATTCCTCCATAAAGGATTTGGATGGCACCACTAGATGTACCAATTGCAATTACTGAATCGTTAGAAACTGCCAAGGAAGTGATTTGAGATTTATAAGTGAATGGGATAATCTCTCTAGGAGCTTCACCATTATCACCAATAGATTCGCCATTTGATTCACCAACATGAACATGCAGAGATAAATCAATTAATACCAACTCATGGGATGCAAGAGCAAATGCTAATTTCTTTTTGTTCAAAGAAATAGAATACTTAATCACATTTGATACTTCAGCGATTGTTTCTGAAGATAATGTGGCACGGTCCACTTTAACCACAAATCTAGTATGAGGAGAAGAAGTACTAGACTTCTTGTCCTTCTTCCCTGTTACAAGGAAATATGAATCATGGTGAACGGAAATCACTGATAATACAGAAGTTTCATCAACAAGAGTTTCAGTTGAAATAATTGGTTGTGAAATCTTCTCTCTCCAATTAACGACAATGATCTCACCGTTGTTCTTGAAGGCAATAATTTGGTTGTTGTTATTGTTGTCCAAGCGAGCTTCTACAACGCCAGACATGTCTATAGACAATGTACGGATACATTGACGGGTTGCTACAAAGTAGACTCTTACTTCATGGGTCATGAAAACGATGGAATAACGTCCATCATTTGAAAATACAGTGACAGACCCGGAAGGAGAACTCATACAATGAGGCTTCCCTCCTGAGGCCATCGACATGCTCCATTCTTTGGATCCAGTCATTATTGTACTTGAGTGTATTTGATTTCTTGGAACCTTCCCGTACTGTAAGACCATCTTCTCTTTATGTTAAAGTTTTAAATTTTCGATATAATAATTTTGACCGATGAGTGTCACGTGAACCTGGGTTTAGAAAGAATCACAAAGACATTTTTTAATGATTTTTTTTTGTCCTTTTTTTTTTTCCTCCCTTCATTTGTAAGTAGAAATAATAAATCGCTTTGTCATTATATTGAAAGGTTTTTTAGTATTTGTTTTCAACGTATAATTTATACTACTATATATTCAGTATGATTATTCCTGTTCGTTGTTTTTCCTGTGGTAAGGTTGTTGGTGACAAGTGGGAAACTTACTTAGAATATTTGCAAGATGATAACATGACCGAAGGTGATGCATTGGACAAATTAAAGTTGAAGAGATACTGCTGTAGAAGAATGGTGTTGACTCACGTTGATTTAATTGAAAAGTTCTTACGTTATAACCCATTGGAAAAGAAGGACATCAACTAGAAGTGTTGCTAATGAATTAAGAGTGAGGGGGGAAGAAAAGAGAGAAAGAGAGAAGGTGCCTCAGGATTGACCACTAATTTTCATGACAAATTGAAAGTTTGTTTTGTCGACAGAAGGATGGATAGAAAAAAAAATTAAAAACGATCAACATACTTGCCGTGGGGACCACTTTAAGTCACTGTAGTGTGGTTTTCACTGGTACATCATATACTGTATTTTAGAAATTCTTTGTACTTAATAAAAGAAAACATATTGAGAAATTGTTTGTGTATGAGTATTATTACTAGACAAAAATAACAGGCGGGTTGGGAAATGATTTGTACCTATGAAATTGTAGTAGATGAATCTAATCTATTGTATTATCGATAGTATTTATTTTAATGTCTTACACATGTATCTAAACTATTTATTATCAGCATCTGGAGTATCAACTGCTTGGATATATTGATAAAAGAATGCTGTGAGTTCCAAATGAGCACCAACTCTCACACGTTCATCAACACTGTGGATTTTGTTTTCAATCATCATATCATTAGAAAAGAATGGTGAAAATCTGTAGATATTCTTTGTCAAGTTCCAATAGTATCTAGTATCGGTATTACCAGTCATAATACCTGGAGCAGCTACAATTGGATATTCCAAGTCTGGGTAAACCAAATCTTCAAATACATGTCTAACAACACCAGTAAGATATCTCCAAACAGTGTCATCAGAAGGTGAGACAGGTGCAGGTTCTAAAGCGTTACTACTGTAATCAACAACAAAGTTACCCTTTGTGGTTGGTTCCAAAATAGTTTCTCCAAAACTTTCCAATCCCAAGTCATGCTTTGAAGCAATAGTCTTTACTCTTGAAACGAATCTAGACTTAGTTTCATCGACTGAAGATTCAAGGGCAATTCTATGATTGACAATCAATTGAACTGATTCTGGCAAGGCATTGGCCTTTTCACCACCCTTAATAATATCTATAGCTTGAGCGGTTGAAATCAAATATCTAGTGAGTGGGTTTGCAGTAAGACTTTCTACAACCTTTGAATTGGCTAATTTGTCGAAACCTGCTCTTAAAATAGTTTTTCTTGTGAATTTAGATAATTTATCACCAGAATGGACAGCCAGACATTGTAAATACTTCAAGATTGGGTTCTTTGTGGTCAATATTGGTTCATAAGGATCTTTTTCGATTAAATAGGCCAATTCAGACATTAAGCCAATAGAAGTATGATCAGGAGGAACGGATGAATGTCCACCTGGGGTCTTCAAATTAACCTTAACATCAAGGTATCCCTTTTCGCCAGTTCCTGGAACGGCAACTATCTGACCAGTGGATGCATCTTTAATTAAACCAACCCCTTCGTCAATAATGGCATACATTGAATCCTTGCCGAATTTCTTTTCTAAATACTTTGCCAACTTTGATGCACTAATGATTCCAGAAGCTTCTTCATCAAATCCAAAGGCTGCAACAATACCTCTCTCTGGTTTGTATTGTTCTTCGATATATAATTCAAAAGTTTCCATAATACTGATCAAGACATTCTTACAATCAGAAGACCCACGTCCATAAAGATATTCACCATCATAATGACCTTCAAAAGGAGGATATGACCAGTCACCCAAAGTAGCCTTTTGGACAGGGACGACATCCTGGTGGGCAGTCAACATAAGTGGTTTGAGGCTTTTATTTGATCCCTTCCAATATAAAACAATACCATAAGTATTTACATATTCAACTTCAAGTAAGGCAAAGACGGTAGGGAATGTAGTTTGCAAATATAAGTGAAAGTCGGCAAACTTTTCCCATACTTTTGGATCTTCAGAAACATCTGGTTGATTGTCGAAAATTGTAGTATCAATTTGAACAGCACCAGACAATTTTTGTACAGACTTCAATCTAAATTTCTCATCGTTAAGGATTCTCAATACAGTTGTATTATCTTTGTAGAATGAAGCAGGGGCCAATGGCTCCAGTAAAGGACATACAGAGACATCTTCAATTGATTGTAAGGCTATCTTTAAGTAGCCAATGGCTCCAGTCAGAAATAAAATAATTATAGTTAAAAGAATTGCAAGTCCTCCAGCAACAACAACCTTCGATTTTTCGGAGGCTTTTTCTTTCAAAGATTTGAAATAACTTTTAATGGTGCTAACACCACTGTTATCATCTAAGGGAAGTGAAACCATAACGCTTCTTATGGTATTGTATACTTGAAATATTGAAGCAAATAATGATAATCCCCCTCATAATCCAGTTCATTTATAGGGAGCTGAAATAAGCTTTATCTCCGATACCCTTCGCGGAATTCACACCCTGAAATCCCGCAGAATCCTGCACCAATGGTGACTCTGACCCGCAGATAAGTTATCTCCCCGACTACTTAACCGGTTTGAGATTGATGTGTCTTACATTCAATTTGATAACCAATTACTGATTCTTAGTCAATTTATATAGATAAAGAAAGTTTATTGCGACTTCTACATGAGACCATATCAATTGAAGTGACTCACGGAACATTTCTCTGTTTCTGTCAAAATGTATTTTTTCGCAATCGTCATTTGATGTGTTTGCTATTCTACATTGAATACTTATTCTATGCCATGTACTTATGTTTTGGGAGTACTTATTTGGATGATAATTAACCTTCAAATTATTGAATGATTAAAGGTCCCTATTCCTGTGATTTTATGTTCCCATCTCGTCTAAATAAATTATTCTCATTATATTGCAGGATTGAAAGCTGCAAGGAATTTTCTTGCTTGCAAGAATAGTTTTAAGTGCAAATTTCTTATATATATCTTGATTTATAACTTATTTCTCTAATTGAATGTTTGCCTTTAGTGCTGATTTGAAACGAATATGATATTAATAGAAAAATTCTTACAAAAATAATATCTTATACAAATTTATGCATTTTTCTAAAATATTTTGTTTCAACATTTTTATTCGATATTACCATTATATTACTTTATACACTGGTAGAATTATACATTTATAGTACCATAACCTGGTAAACTCTACATTAGAGAGATCCGGCCCGGCAATATTTTAGAAATTAAAAGTTTGACTGCACGCACTGGAACGAAATCGGTGTATAACAAAATCCGTGATAGTTTAGTGGCTAGAATTACCGCTTGTCGCGTGGTAGACCGGGGTTCAATTCCCCGTCGCGGAGTTTATTTTTGCCACTCTTCACCAGTGGAAGTTTTTTTTATATACATAGAACCAATATAGGGTGTCAAATTGGTATTTCTACATTTGAAGTTATGTGCAAGTTTAATTACTAGTGTGGTGTTTCAATTAATGTTTAATCACGGGAAACTTGGATTTCGCACTCAATCACCTTTACACCAACCAAAAAATAAAAGGATGGCTTGGAATTACCTGCAAGACTGCAGATCACGTGAATAATGGGTGGCGAGAAAGCCCCTCAAACCCCCCCCTTTGATTCCTCAGTGTACTTAAAAGCAAAGCAACCCTTAGATCTTACACATATATTTTTTTTATCCTTACTCATAAACTTCTTTATAATCTCAAATACTACAATGTCTTCTGCTTTAAAAAACTACATCATCACCTTGAAGGACTCTGCCTCTGATTCAGATGTCACTGCTGTTAAGAACAAGGTTTCTGAATTGGGCGGTAATGTTACCAGTGATTTCTCTTTGATTAAGGGATTTACTGCCAAGTTACCTTCTGTCCACTCTGCATCTTTTGGCGCCCACGAACACGTTGCTTCAATTGAAGAAGATGGCGAAGTCAAGACACAAGCTTGAGTGCTGGTACCTCGAGACTTTGATCCAACTGTCAATTTTAAAATTTGAGACTCTGATTCTCAAAAATTTATAGATACTGGATTTTCGCAACTAATTTAATTATACTTTAGATAGTCTATTATTTCATTTTATAGTTCGACCAACAATTACTATTATATTATTACGTTATGTAAGAGAAATCTCTGTGTATATCTCTAACAACCAGTATTGTATCAAAAGTTCCAAAAAAAAAAAAAAAAAAAGAAGGGTTATGTGCGTTATCTACTAAGTTTTATTACAGTACAATTCCGGATAAAGCCCATATCATTTGGAAAGTTATACTTAATTAAATCTCTATAGATATACAAACATCATATATATGTATGCCATATACCCTATCATATATATGAATGCCTTACCATAGCCATTAATTTTGAAATGATGAAGTATTTTAAAATACGTCTCACATATCTTGAAGGTTAAGTGATAACACCTGCATACCAATGTACAGGATTTCTCCACGTTTTGGAGCTTGTTCTAGCCCGAAACGGCCTAGCAATTTGGTCATTATAACTCCTTTTTTGGAACTCCTCAATTTCCATCACCTTACAATCCCCTTTTTCTTTATAAATTATTTACGAAATATTTTCTCTTTTAACCATATTAACAAACTGAATACGGTATTATTTGTAAGAGAATGGTCAATTCCGCTTCATCCGAACCAGGGTATGCTCAATTCTCATTGCAACCAAATTTTAAGCCAGTTGATTCTCTTTTTGAGAATAGATTGAGACAATTTATTGATAATGGTGGTCAATATAGAGAATTGAATTTACCACACTTTTATGATAAAGACAGAGTTGATACCAATACTGAATATATCAACATTAAAGTGTATCCAGTCCCAGACATTGATGGCAAAACTCAAAGACCCCTTTTTAAAGATATTAATTTTAAAAAAATTGATTGGGATGATGCAAATAAAGGGTATTCATTTGGACCATCATGGAAAACATTTTGGTTTAAAGTTGAATGGGAAATCCCAGAGAAATGGTTAACCGAAAAGGGAAATGGGAAAGATGAACAAGAGATTCATTTTGAATGGGATTGTGGTAATGAAGGATTACTCTACACTAGTGATGGGCTCCCACTTCAAGCATTTTCTGGTGGAGGGGAAAGAATTAGATATAATATTCCTAAGGAATATCGTATTAAGGGTAAACAATTGTTCTATTTGGAAACTGCTTGCAATGGTATGTTTGGAGTTGGAGACCAGGGTAATCCTGATCCAAATAGATATTTTGGCCTTGATAAATGTGACCTTGTATTACCAAATGTTACGGCTAGGAAGTTGTATTATGATTTTTGGATCATTTCAGATGCTGCAAGGGAATTTTCTGGTCAACAATGGCAAAAATGGACTGCTAATCTGATTTGTAATGAAATAATGGACACATTTGACCCAGAAGATGTGAAAAGTTTAGATAAATGTCGTGAAATTTCTAAGCGGTACTTGGGAAAAGACATTGATTCTGATGATGTATTCCATGTTGAAACTTTTAAAGGAAGAATTGATGTATTTGGTGTTGGGAATTGTCACATTGATACAGCCTGGTTATGGCCATTCGCAGAAACCAAGAGAAAAATCGTTAGATCTTGGACTACTCAATTGAAAATAGCTGATGAATATCCAGAATATATTTTTGTTGCTTCTCAAATGCAGCAGTTTAAATGGTTAAAGGAATATCATCCTGAAATTCTCAAGTTGGTTCATGAGAAATTTGCAGCCAATCAATTTTTACCAATTGGGGGTTCTTGGGTTGAGAATGATACAAACTTACCCAATGGTGAGTCTCTTATCCGTCAGTTTGTATTGGGTCAGAACTTTCAATTAAATGAATTTGGTGTAAAGGCTGATATTTTTTGGTTACCTGATACATTTGGATATTCATCTCAGATCCCACAAATTTGTCAAACAGTTGGAATTGAAAAGTTTGTAACTCAAAAATTGTCTTGGAATAACATCAATCAATTTCCATTGAGTACTTTCAACTGGGTTGGAATTGATGGATCTCAAGTTTTAGTTCATATGCCTCCAGCTAACACTTATACCGCAGATGCTAATTTTGGGGATGTAGTGAGATCACAACAGCAACATAAGAACTTAAGAGATGTTCCCACTGGATTATTACTTTATGGTAAAGGTGACGGAGGTGGTGGACCTACAGAAGAAATGTTGGAGAAGTTACGTCGTTGTAGAGGTATTGCAAACGAAAATGGCTTGATGCCTACTCTTCAATTGGGAGTTACAGTGGAGGATTTCTTTGACGATGTATTGGCAAAATCTAAACAAGGATCTTCGTTGCCAAGTTGGGTTGGTGAAATCTACTTGGAATTCCATAGAGGTACTTACACAACTCAAGCAGATATTAAAAAGTATATGAGAAAGGGAGAGATTAAATTACATGATTTAGAATGGATTGCAACTTTACTCTCATTACAAGAGAAATTTGATTACAAGTATCCAAAGAAAGAATTACAAGCCTTATGGGAGGATTTATGTTTGTGCCAATTCCACGATGTTTTACCAGGTAGTTGTATTGGAATGGTATACTACGAAGAAGCTAAGCCAATGTTGAGAAAGTTATTATCGAAAGCCGATGATTTGATTAAAGAAGCATTGAAAGCTTTAAAGGTCGGGTCTGAATCTAATCAAACATCTACAGGTTTAGATAACTTGGCTTTTTTGAACACTTTACCATGGACCAGACATGAGGTTGTCAAGTTGACAAAAGACCAAGTTCCTGAATTATTTACCTATGGAGAATTGGATTCCAATTACTCTGGCTATGCCATTCAAAAGTTAAACGACTCGGTGTTAATATCTGTCAATGTTGGAGCTGATGATGTAAAAATTAACAAGTTATCTGATATCAAGTACCATGCCTCTGTAAAGGATAATAAAGATGGAACATTTATTTTATCCAATGAATTAATCAAGGCTACCATTACTAAGAATGGTGTAATTACTTCTTTATTTGACACAGTGAACAAGAGAGAAGTTATAGATACAAGGTTAACCAAACAAACTGGAACTGGAAAAGACTCATCAGTTGTTGGAGGAAATCAATTCGTTTTATTTGACGATGAACCTTTGAATTTCCCAGCTTGGGATACTGAATTATATTCGTTAAATAAATTTAAATTTTTAACGGGAGGTGAAATCTCTATAGCTGAATCAGGTCCATTGAAATCTTCTTTAATTGTTAAGCATTCAATTTCAGAGAAATCATATATCAAGACAGAAATTTCAATTGAAGGCCTTCTTGATGCCACATTTACTCAAAACAATTATGTTAAATTTGTCAGTGATGTAACTTGGCATGAAACTTACAAGTTTTTAAAAGTACAATTTCCAACCACTATTCATACTGCTCAACAGGCAAATTATGAAACTCAATTTGGAATTACTCAAAGACCGACTCACTTCAATACTTCTTGGGATGTAGCTAAATTTGAAGTTTGTCATCATAAATTTATGGATCTTTCTGAATTCAATTATGGTGTATCTATTTTAAATGATTCAAAATATGGAGGTGCCATTCATGGGAATTTAATAAGATTATCATTATTGAGATCACCAAAGGCTCCAGACGAAAAGGCTGATATGGGAGACCATCATTTTGAATATGCTATCTATCCACATAAACACTATCTAGGCTCAGATACAGTTAAATTGGGTTATAACTTCAATCATAAGCTTGAACATCATACTTTGAAATCTGACGATTTAACTCTGTTTGGAAAATTGATTTCTCTAGAGAGTGAAAGTGAAAGCTTAATTTTATCACAAATTAAACGATCTGAACACGATGAAGATCTTTTGATTTACGATAACCTTGAGGCTAAAAACAAGGGCCATAAATCCTTTGTTATTAGAGTTTATGAAGCACTTGGTGGGTACTCACTGGGTACTTTAAAGGTTGATCTAAACAAGTTACAGGTAACTACAGTTTACAAAACCAACTCTTTAGAGGAAGAAGATTCGGAAATTGAAATTAACAAAGATGGGGAAGTTGAAATCGAATTACGTGGGTTCGAAATTGCAACCTATAAGTTTGTTTTGAAATGATTATATTTTGTTTATGTTAGTTTATATATTTGTTTTGTCTTTACAATTTTTTCTCTTTTAAAAGTGAATATGCAATTTTACCGCATGCAAATGTTTTCGTTTTCTTTAATGTGCTTTACCGCATGATTCATCTAAGTGGAGTAATAAGATGCATTATCTGCAATATTGGTGTAACTTGTCAACAAATAAACACATTAGTAAAGTACACAAAAACACGATTTTTTTAGAGGGGAGAGTACAAAATTTTTTATTTTATAGTGACAATAAAAATATTTACTACAGGTGAGGAGAGAGTGTTTATTTGGATTGGACGCGCAGGGTTTGAAGCACGGAAACAATTTTACCCTTTTAAAATGACGTAGTGTTATAATGAACTCATTGAGCACTAAATCGAATATATGTACTGAAGAAGAGAATAACAATAGATATTAATAGACAAAAATTTGACTACTCTTCTTAAAAGAAAGAAATAGGTGCTCATGACGCATTGAAAAAGTTTTTGATGTAGTTAAATTCTCCTAACCACACAAACAATGAAATTCAACAACAAAAGTCGTTAAAATATTCGGTATGGGGTCAGGGATTGTAACCATTCGACGACGTTTTGGAAAATTGCTTTAGGAAATGTTGCTCGGGCGTGCGAAACTCAAAGCTGACACGGGTCAAATGCTTTATGAAAATATTTTTGACTACCAGGATAATTTTACTTATCGATTACATTTGATAATTTCTTACGGATTTGTTCAGCAGGGGTGACTGTTTGTAAACATTTTTATGTTTTTCTTTTGGGGCTATTCGTATTTATTTGTAATTTCTTCTAATTTTTTTTTTTTCAATGTATTAAGTGATCCCTTCATCTTTTGATAGAAGTCTATTGTATTCCCCAACTTTAGAAGAAACTTGAATCAATCAGTATTGTTATAAAACGTAGTTTAAAAACTCTCTAGTAGTAATTGTTTATCTAGTGGCTGGTTATTTTTAAACGATAGTAGACAAGTGGTACTGGTCACGATCAGGGGTAATGCGTGTAGTCAACATCTACATACAGGAACGGCACACACCCCATCCGAATGCCAAAAGTGGTCAGTGCTAAATTTACCGGTTGTAGAGCACGACCACGTGAATATCCTAACCTCTCCTTTACAAGAAAAATAAAAAAAAATGATTATTTTTAGAAATATTGTGCCCTGTAACATAATCTGCCTCTCCTCTTTAATAATCACTAATATCAATTAACAATGAAGAATATTTTTCATACATACCATTTAATCCACATGCGAGTCACCGTCTAGGATTTCAAGGTTCTGTTTAGGGTTGCCCACTGATTTCTCTCCGCTTTTCGGTTCGGAATTGGTAAATATCAGCGAATTATTTTTGGCAATATCCAGATTGTTCGATGTTTTGGAATTTTCGCGATTTTGCCAGAAGCCCTGCAGCTGACTCAAACCTTGCATGAACCCGCATCATGTTGCCAATCCTTTTTTTTTTCTGCAAAATTTGCCCTTCCTTTCTCGATTCCTGAACTCATATAAATTCTCTTGTATTTCTTCTCTTTCAATTCGTTTTATTTTATTCTTTATTCCAACTTTTGTTTATATCAATCAAATTTCACTTTCGCTTACAATGAAGTTCTCTACCGCCATCGTCGCCGCCGCCGCCGCCGCCCCAGCTCTTGCTGCTTACACCAACGGTACCATCACTGCCACTGACATTCAAACCACTGTTGTCACCATCACTTCTTGTTCCGACAACAAGTGTACTGAAAAGCCAGTCACCACCGGTTTGACCACTGTCACCGAAAACGAAACCGTTTACACCACCTACTGTCCATTGTCCACTGACTCCACCGTCACTGAATCTGATGTCAAGACCACCGTTGTCACCATCACTTCTTGTTCCGATGACAAGTGTACTGAAAAGCCAGTCACCACCGGTTTGACCACCGTCACCGAAAACGAAACCGTTTACACCACCTACTGTCCACTCCCATCCACTGAAGCTCCAGCCTCTTCTGAAGCCCCAGCTTCTTCTGCTGCTCCAGTTACCTCTTCTGTCCCAACCACTGCTGCTCCAGTTACTTCTGAAGCCCCAGCTTCTTCTGCTGCTCCATCTACCGTTGCTCCAGTTATCACCTCCGCTTCTGAAAACGCTGCCGGTAAGGCTGCTCCAGCTTTCGTTGCTGCTGGTTTGGCTGGTTTGGCTTTGTTGTACTAGATGTACTTCATGTCACATTTTTAGGTAGTGTTGGGTATTCATTTTAACACTTTCGAAATATAAAAAAAAATATAATTGGTTATTTTAGGTAATTTTACATTCTTCTGTAGAGTATGATTATTTTCGATAATCTCATACTTCATTAATACATATATTTAAAAGAATTTAATAATCTCTTTAAGAGTAATTGTAGAAATTAAATGGAGTAGTTAATATTTTTTTTCCTTTGAAAGTGTGAATTAGTTTGTTGGGTTGATTATTTACTATACAATAAATTCCCTCATTAAAGTGTATAAAATTTATTTATATTGAATACTTTTTTTGTACAAATTGTAATCTATTCATTATCTCTCAACATAGTTGTAATATATAACAAATTAAAAGATTAATTCATCATCATTTCCAAGAACCTCATCAAATTCAAATTCTGTCTCGAAACCTCCATTAATATTAAATGCTTCAGAATTGTTCTCAACTTTATTATCATCTTGAAACATTTTACTCACTAATAAATCAAATTCATTATCATATTTGTATGAATTGAATTCACTTATTCCATAAGCTTTAATATTATATAATCCACATTTTGTACCAACTTCACTTTTAACATGAATATAAATATCCTTTATAGGAATTTTTAAATTTATTAAGCTAACCGGTAACTTAATATTATTCATTGAATTTTTAGGATTTAATTCCATTTGTTTTATTTTAATAAATTTTTTCAAATACTTGTTATTAGTATCTGAGTCTAGATCTTGTTTAAATCCATCTTTAAAAGTTGAAATTCTTGATAATATTGAATCTCTTTGATTATAATTTAATGGTTTAATATAAATTGAAATTTCTTTTGGATTGGTTATCTCCTTGGATGGAGGGTTTTTAATAATAAGATCAGTTAAAATAATTGGATTAAATAATCTTATTCCAATTGAACATTCATTTGATTCACATTTCCAATAATCACCTCCATCAATTAATGCATTATTTGCATTAAATTTCCAATTATTAACACTCCCATTAGAATTGGTAATAAAATAATCATACCAACCAAAAATTGCCTTATGGAAAAATGATTTATTGTTAGTATTATTATTGTTATTATAATTACTCTTTGTAAGAAAGCCAAGTATTCTTGAACCTAATTTATAGTCTGCGTAATTAACTTTAATTGAACCCTTGGCAAATATCTCTAAAAGATTATCAAGTAAAATATGATTTGTTGTATTGGTAAACATTTTCGAATTTGTTGTATCATCTTGATTAATTGTAAGTTGATCAATTAATTCGTTTACTTTATTCCAAACATTTTTCATATTTAAATCCAATTGATTTTTAATATATTTTTCTAATTTATCTTTTGAAATTGTTGACATATCAAGTTTGGAATTCTTAATTACTTGATCAATATATGAATTCAAATTTTTTTCATTTTCATTTAAAAATTCATCCCATTTTAACTTTGTTTCTGAATTTAAGTTTAAATTCTTTTCATTTAAATATTTATCCATAAATGAATACAAAAATTTATGAAATTCTGGAATAAAATGAATAGTTTTATCTTTAATATAGATGGGGATTTTATTTGGTAATACCTTTAAGATATCATCAATTAATTCATTTTTAATACTTTCAATATCATTATTAATTTTAGAAAGTTCATTCAATTTTAAACTGACATCATTTAATTTTGATTCAAGTTTATTTGGATCTGAATTTTCAAAAATTGATTCAATTTGATCCTTTAATTTATTGAAATCTTCGAAGATTGTCTTTGGTAAATTATCTCCAAGTTTTAAATCAATCTCTTTAAATTTTTTATGAATAAAATCAAATTTTGTATTTAAATTATTCGTTATAACTTCTTGATTTAATTCAATAATATTTTGACGATTTGAAATGTCTTCATTATTTAACTCTAATTTTATGATTTTTTCATTAATCAATTTAATGGATGATGAATTAGAATCTGTTGTGGATGGTATTAATTGATTTTCAATTTCAATTGGATTAAACCAAATGAAGATATTTATAATAATGAGTACTAAAAATAATATGAATATTATGGCTTTATTATCAGAATAGACGCGTTTATCATTTTTTATTAATTCATTCTTATCATTTGAATCTTTTTGTTTATCATCTTCTAGTTGTTCTTCTACTACTTCTTCTTCTTCTTCTTCTTCTTCTTCTTCTTCCTCATCTTCTTCCAGGTCACTCACATCGAACTCAATTACTTTTCCTGATTCTTTAAATTGTCGATAATATAAATTAAAGTCAATATTCTCCTTCTCTTCTTCTTCATTTAAGATTTTTAAGATATCTTCTTCATATTGTGATGATTTTGACAATGGTTTTGCAGGTCCAACCTTATTATAAAGATGAATTGAAATATCATCATCCGTATCACCACTTACTCTTGGTAATTTAGGAAACAGGAAGTTCATTATTGAACAACCCCACTTGTTTATTATACAACTTCTACTTCGAAAAGAATAATCCAAAAAAAAAAAAGGAAAAACAAAATAAATAAAAATTAGTTTTTAAGAATGTCACAAAATTTGTGTTTCGTTAAAACATATATTAATACATATACACTCATTTTTTTTATTTCTCATTAAAATCTTGAAAGAAGACTTTCAGCCTTGGTAATATCAGAAAATCCACCAGCATCTTCATTTTCCAAAAATGTAACCTTTCCATCTTCAACAATAGCAGCATATCTATTGGTTCTTAATCCAAATCCAACCTTGGATAAATCAACTACATAATTATCACCCAATGAAGATGATAAGGCACCATTTGGATCAGTTGCAAAAATAATGTAATTTTCTTCATCTTTGTAACCCAATGCCTTACCCCAAGCAGCATTAACAAAAGGATCATTGGCAGTAAGAACAATGATCTTATCAACACCTTTGGCCTTAAAGTCCTTAGCATGTTGAATGTAACCTGGAATGTGTTGCTCGGTACAGGTTGGAGTGAAAGCACCTGGTGCAGATGTGATAACAATAGTCTTACCTGGCAATTCTTTAGCTAAATCATATTCGATTGGGTTAGCACAAGAAGCAATTCCTTCGTGTTCCTTAGAATATGGGACATATTTCAACTTAACATCAGTTGGGAAAGCGTCAGAAACTTAGAAATTGGTTAGTAAATCTAGATACACCATGAAAGAAATCCTGGGACTTATTTACTTACTTTCAGTTGGAGACATTGTATTGTTTAACTTAGTTTGGAAAAGAAAGTTATATAGCAAGGGTGGCAAATAATGTAAAGATGCAATTCAATTCTCTTTTATAATGGCCGCAAACAAAAAAAAAAAAATTAGCAACAAGGGGAGTGTCGGAGTTTCGAGTTTCAAATTACAACATTCGGAGTTCGGCTTGGTCACTTTTTTTTTAGCTGAATAATAATCCGATGTTCTACAAACCCACGTTCACACTACTTTATTAATACATTCCCGTTATTATTAATCTATTATATTTGAATTCATTGATGAAGTGGCTAGGCTACTATTGTAATATTTAGATTATTTTCACTAATTATTAGAATTGTTTTCGTGTACATTACGTGATTGTACAATCCCCCCTTTTCCATCACCAACAGTTTTTTTTATGCGTTTAACGGGTAACACTTTTGCAGCAGTTGGGTAATTTTTTTTAGATTTTCCCCACTATAAAAAAGAGTACACACTTAAATTGCTGGTACTTACTAATTGTCTCACTGCCTCTTTTCGCTTGACAATCATCCGAAAAGTTTCCACCTTTACATATTGTAAGTTTCCATTCTTACACATTGTATTTTTTTAGAATACCCCACCCTTCTGTACTAGTTTTGTTTATATTTTTCGTCTAAAAAGGCTTTGTTATATTTCCGTTATTTTATTTACTATATTCTATACTATAATTTTTTAATTCCCAATAAGTAAAGCTATAATACTTCCAAGAAAATACCCGCCATATCCACCGATAAGGAGAGTAATTGGCCATTGTTGCCAATCACGATCCCAATCAAGAGGAATTGGGAATACTCCAAACCAAGTACCAACAATTCCACCAATTGAAGAAAGTAAGATTTGATTCTTGTATACTATTTGTAGTACTTTATCCTTACTAGTTGGCGAGAATGAACGAATCAAGGCGTTAAAATTTAATTTATATCCAACTAAAATTGGATAAAATATAACAAGTGCCAAATGTGTACACAATAAGAATGTCTCATATACATGAGCATACAATGGAGCACCAAAAAGGATTACAATTGCAAAGAGTGGAGTAGTAAGAATAAGTGAAATGATTAAAGAACCAATCAAAAGTAATGGTGTATTTTCTGATTCTTTTTCTCTCTTACCTGCCTTTTTCGATCTCGATGATTGGAATTGAGTTGTAATAAGGCACCCATATGCCACTTGGGCTGCAATCAATGTAGGAATTCCTTGCAATAATCCATTCAATGGATTTGATTTAAGTTCTTTAAATGTGAATAAAGCAAGAGCAGGTAAATGTAATGGTAATAACAACATTGTATTCTTTGTAGGAAACAATAATGCCTCATCAGTATTGGTACCATCAGTTCCTTTGACACCTTGATCAGAAACAGATTTAAACGATACCGTCTTTCTAGGTTTAGGTTTGGTCATTTCTGATTAAATTTAAAGTAACTTTCTTGACTTTGTATTCCACTCATTGAACTTTTATGTTACCCCAATCGTGAATTTGCAAAATATGTCACGTGACCAAGTTATATATATAAAATAATATAACCACTACAACCCATATTACAATAACTATTATTATTATTATGATTATTATTATTATTAATATTATTCTTTATCATTATTAATATTAGAATTAGAACCAGTACTCTTAATATTTATTTAAAGATTCTTTAAAACATTTTCGAATTCAATAAGATCTTTCCAAATTTCTTGATACATATTTGAACCAGCTTTTGTAGAAAGGTTTCTCTTTCTATCTTCTGTAAGATGGGCAAAGACCAGAATGACATCATAATCTAAGAGCGGTTTAACATTAATATCATTTGCAGTCACTCTTAAATCACCAAATCTATTTAATCTTGGATTTAAACCACAGAAATGATATTCTTTATCAATGATTTGTTGTTGTAAAATATACATTCTTCTGTAGGTAGCCTCACTAATTGGGAATACAACAAAGAATGAGCCGTCTATAGTAGATCCAATACATTGAAAGTTATCTAAGCTCGTAGGATTAATTTCTTCATTTTTAGGAAGAGATCTCAAACAAGTTGTATTAGAATTAACATTAAATGAAGACTTTTGAATAAGTCGTTGACCATTTGATGATGATGGATCATCAGGATCATATTGAAGAACATGCAAAACATTATTCAGATCGGCAAGTAAAATGAATATATCTTCATCTCTTACAATAAAATCCGCACAACATACGTCTAAAGACTGTAAATCTTTACCCAACATAATCATTCTAAAAGGTTCTGCATCAAACCCAGCAAGCCAAATACTTTTTAAAGAATCACCCAAGATTAAAAGATTACCAAAACTTTTAGCTTCGGATACATAAACAGATGTATCTAAGAATGCAACTGGAATAGCGCTATTATCTTGTAAATCTCTAATGATGATTTTTTGACCCTGACTGACCAAAAATCTACCACTGACTTCACAAATTGAAGTCACTGCACCTCTTGTATCTTCTTTGAAAAATTCTTTGAATTTATGGTTAGTTTCTGGTTTGCCTGGTTCTGGAATAATGTCAATAATTTCAATGATTCTATAACTTCCATTGGCAGCTAAATCTTCCATACGATACTTCCCGGTACCAACGACTATGAATTCCTTTTTATTCTTAAACCTTTTGGATGAAATTCCAACATCAAGAACCATAGATTTAACAGACATACCAACTTCATTCTCTGCTAGTTCAATTGTATCAATTATCGACCAATTGAACGTCGATAACAATTTGATATATCCTTTATAAGATGTTGCAGGAGGTTTTGTATCATCAGTACCAACGATAGGTTTACCTTCTTCGTCAATACAATTATATGGAATTTCGGTGTATGACGATATAACAAATGTATTGGACAGTTCATGGAAAGTAATACTCTTGACTGTTTCTTTCATTTCAATCCGTTTCAGCGGCCAATTATTATCATAGTTAAAGTCAGTAGGAATTTCACCAATTCTAGCGTTCTTATTATTATCAAGGAAGACAAATCCATTTGATATTTTACTATCCGAATAAGATGAAAATGAAATTGCTGGAATTTTGGAAAATTGGAAGATTCTTGGAATCGAATGCGACGTTTTTGATATCCAATATGGGACAGTACCTGTTATAAATATGGATGAATATCCATTACAATTAGGGATATATACTAATCTTCTTTCAATAGTAGTCCCTGCAGGGTATGCATTTTCCGGGGCACCAGTAATTCTTAAATTTTGTTGCTTAATGAACTGATAGTTTTCTCCATCAAAATACAACTTATAAAGAATAACTTCACCTCCAATAGTAAGAACAGTTAAATATTCATCATTGATAGATTGGTTATCTCCCAACCCACCCAAAATCACTTGTTTGATAAACGGGTCTGGGAAAGTATCCTTAGGTTCGAAAAAACCTAATGATAAATGCTTAGAAAATTTATCAATATCATTTAATTGATAACATTTTTCATTATGGAATCTACTGAAGACAATAATTCTATTCTCACCTGTAACTAAAACAAATAATTTAGTCTTTGGACCTAAATCAGAATTCTTTTCTTCATTAACAGCCGTGGTACTATTATGTCTTCTTTTCACACCACGGTTCAATAATATATTGATATCCTTCAGTACAGCATTAAGTAAATGTGAGTTTGTAATATAACCAGTTGTAATAATTGTATCTGATAAGATTTTAGGTAAGTTTATCTTTGTGAAAGATTCACTATAAGTATTGACGGAAAAGATCATTGCTTCACCACTAGACAATGTAATCAATAAGAACTCATCACTTAACGTACCAAAGATTATATCTTCCAGTTCATAGTCTGATAACTCGTTTTCGAGTGATGCTACTTTTTTGAATTTATGATTATACAACACAACATGTTTTGGGGTTATTTGAACACAAAATTTAGCATCATCCATTTCGAACATAGAAATTGTTGATTCATTATTAATAAAGTCTTTAGAATCTAATCTTGCAAATGACTTATTTATTTGGAAAATTTCTGATTTAGAATTAATATCATCAGATGTTATTAAGTATTTCTTGGAAATAGTCCACATTCTGTTAATTTGTGAAAAACTCAAAGAAGATTTAATAATAGGTTGTACACTTGGAGTAAAGATGTTTAATGCACCTTGAGAACCTGAACCTGAAGTACTAACAATTGAGATTTCTTTATGGTTTGGATTTATTAAATTTGCTTTGAATTTTTCGGTGGAGAAATGTCCAAGAGTAAAATTTGAAATTGGTCCATTATTTCTTAAAGAATCGTGCAAAACAAACTCAATCAGTCCCTTCTTAATGACAGTCTTCTGAGAAACGTTGTCTTCTTCATATAAATCATCATCATCATCGTCGTCTTTGACGTTACCATTACCTTCCAGAGATTCGTTATTTTCCACCAGAATGTCATTGTCATACTTCAATTCTAATAGATGACTATCACCATTCTTATTACTAGCAAATATCAAGCTATTATCAAGTGATACAATATGTTCAGGATAGTTGAATTGTACACCTTGATATGAATCAGGACTCACCATTTCTAAAAAGATTTTCTTGATCGATTTCCCATCTACTTCAAAATTTATATAATAAAACTCTCCATGTTCTAGAATCATCAATAACCTATTATCGTTAGGAATTGGTGCGATTGTACAATTTTCAAGTTGTAGATTCAAATCGGTTTGATCAAGGTAGTTTTTTGTTGAGACAGTAATACTTTCAGTATATTTATTCACAGCTATTCTTCTGGTGATCCCACCATTATCGATGTGAATAATTTCATTTGCTCCTAGTAATAAACTACCATTAAATGGTTGAGGTAATGCAATCACTCTATCTATATCATATGGAAGATTTTCAACCTTTAAGACTGTGGTTGTTGTTTTAGTTTTCAAATCAAGTGATAAAACCATAAAATTAATATTATCTTTAACCTTGGGCAAATTTCCAGCCCATGTATAGGTATTGACATATATAATTGCAAGGGTTGGTTCTCTATAATTGTATAAAAACTGCATATCAATGATATCACCAATAGATGGATCTAAAGTTTGAGCATCCATTAGAAAACTTGAACCATAAAGGTCGAAATTGTCACCATGAGTATTTCTAGGAACCAATGAAGTATTCCCAACATCTTCCATGTCACTATCCTCATCTTCGAGAGTTTCAAATGGTAGGAATGTCAATAAATTCTTGAATCTCATACATGAACATGAATTATTATTTGGTTCTAGAATTAAATGAGTTCTTGTAAGTTTCTCAAAAGTAGAATCACGAATAGAATTTTCATAATAATGAAGCGAAACAGTGGAAATCGAATGGAAACGGTGATTCCATTTGATTAATGACATTTTGGCAAACTTTGTGGCTACAAGAATATAATCAAGCTGAGGATTTTCGACGGTTCTAATAGCCTTTAAGTCCGTTACCATACCATGAAGCTTGAATTGTTCAATGAGTCTAAGATTGTAGGATCCGTTTGATGAAGGGTCAATCACTTCGAATACTTGAAGTAACGTAGCCTTAGCGACAACAAGATGTTTCACTGTAGGCGATATGAAATTACATCCGATACAGTGTGAAACCCTAGTGGGCTCAATGAATTCACGATAGGCGTCCATATTAGTTACCAAGCACCAATATCGTAAGAATTCTTGTAATCACACACGAATAAGGGGCGAAGATCAAGGTTATATATCTAGCAAGAATGGCCCTAGATTTTGCTAACAAACCTATTATCCATGTATATCGAGGAATAGTTTGCGCGCACGACTTTACTTAGAGATGTAATTTATTCATTTTAAATTTTTTTTTTAATTTTATTTAGAATTATTTCCCTCGCAATTTTTACTATTCTCTCTCTCTTAAGCATTTGCGCTAGTGGGGGGAGGAAACTTATGGAATTTGGAAATAATGTAAATGTGATCGATTACTAGCTTTCCCTCATATCCAGCCAATTTTAATTACTTTTTTTAGTAGATCTAGGTAGCTACCTCTTTGTAAATATGTATGCAATATGTGTATTACAAGGATTCACCTTGGGCAGGACAAATACCCACCTCTTGAGCGCATAAAAGGAATAGCTGAAAAAGTGACGAGAAAATCCCGGCAAAAAACACAGGGACATGAACACAATTTATTAAATTTTATATTTTGTAGTTTCTTTGTATATTGACGTATAGAGAAAACTTATACGAGCAGAATTTGTATGGAATGTACCAGCAAATTACCTCTATTAGAACATCTAAATTGACACTATATTAACGAAGGAAAATGGATGAATGGGAGTACAAAATGCCAATTGCGACAATCTCAAGAAAAAATTTGGTGAACTTCTTAATATAACCAATGATCATAAAAAAATATGAATTTCAATTCGGAATTAAGGATATATATATATATAGTATGTGGGTCATTTCTAAGTTCTACTATTAAGTTTTACATCATATTATTTTTTCTTATGTTTCTTATTATTTATTTGAAGTCATTAGTATACAATCATGAACCTGGGTACTCGCTCTGATATTCCGGTTCGCGCCACTTCAGCTTAGTTTAAGGACGCATTTACTCGAAGGACCAATGCAACGTTCTACCAGGTATAGGTAAAGTGTAGAGTTGAATAATTGGCTCGTCTATTAACACTTTGAGGTCATTGATGGTTCTTGAATTTGGGTGCAAAATTTAAACTCATTACACAAGAGCAAAGACGAATGGAATAATCAATCCAGCAACACCAACAGCGTTGACTTTACCGACACCGTTGTAAGAGCTGATGCTTGGAGCTTCAGATGATGGTAAGGTGTAGAAAGTTTGTGATTGAATGACTGGGGTTTCGGTCACAATGTTGTTAGTGATAACATTGACAGTAGTGTCAGCAGTGGACACAGTCTTAGCAGTAGTTGGAACAAATGTAGAGAAAGTGAATTCAGTTGTAGCTGATTCAGTAGTGGTAGATTCAGTAGTAGATTCAGTAGTAGTAGATTCAGTAGTAGCTTCAGTAGTAGATTCAGTGGTAGAAGTTGAAGAAGTGGTAGAAGATGAAGTGGTTGGAGTGGTGGTTGGGGTGATCACTTCGGTAGATTCTGTTGGAACTTCTGAAGACAATGGACAGAAAGTGGTGTAGTCAGTAACGACATTGTTAACGGTGGTTGTGACATGAGTCAAACCGGTGGTTACTGGAACAGCAGAACACTTGTTGTCACTACAAGAGGTAATAGTGATAACAGTGGTTGACTTTTCAGTTTCAGTAATGGTAGAATCTGTTTCTGGAGTTGGAGTAACAGTAGCAGCAGTTGTGGTAGGAACTGGAGCCTTGCTAGCAGGAGTAGTTTCAGAGATTGGACAAACAGTAGTGATAACAGTTTCAATTCCATTTTCAGTGGTGGTGTAAGTGGTCAATGATTCAGTTTCAACAGTAGTGTAACATGGTTTTTCAGCGCTGCAAACAGTCTTGGTGACCAAGGTGATAGAGTTGTCTTCGATAGTGTCAACAAGAGTCTTGGTTTTCTTACCAGCAGCAGAAGAGGTAACGGCAGAAGTGGTAATAGCAGAAGTGGTAGAGGCACCACCAGCAGCAGCAGCCTTAGTAGAAACAGCGGATAATTCTGGCGTTGTCGATACTGGAGTAACAGTAGTTAACACAGTCAAAACACCATCAACTTCAGTGGTAAGAGTAGTTAAGCTTTCAAGATCGGTGGTGGTTACACAATCACTGTTTTCATCGCAGATAGTCTTGGTGACAACAAAGACAGAGTTTTGAGAATCGGTTTCATATTCGTATAAAGTAGTCTTGTGACGAGTGGAAGTTGAGGAAGATGTGACTGGAATGGAGTTGTTTGAGTACACGAAAGATTGTGGCACAACAGAAGCTGATGATGTGCAAGTGGACGACACTATGGTTGACAGAATAGTAGATAAAGATTCAGCAGAGGCAACAGCAAGAATCGAAGCCAAAGTTGTTATAGGAGCAAAGTACTTCATTGTATATGTATGTATTTGTAGATGTGGTATTGATTAGAAAGTTTTCTATGGAATGTGTAAAGTTAAACTCTATTGACGTGGATTCATATCTCTTTTATATCCACATGTCCTACCCCCAAAGTACCCGTTAAACGAGCTGGTATCAGTCCCACTTTGATCTGCAAATATGGTAAGGTTGGGGAAGGGTTGTGTCATGATTCACTAATTTCGTCTACTTTAGGGTGCATAGCCAGAAATATGCTGGTGGATATACCAGAAAGGAACAATCTTCCAGCAAACCCTTTAGGCAATCATGCTTTGGTTTTGATACCAGCCATTTCTATTTCCCTTCGAGATCATGCAACCAGCCATGTTTGGTTTGTCATATGCAGGATTACAGCGTTTTAAACTTTTCTAGATGTGGTCGTTAATGATGCGAAAAAATACTACAAACAAATTTTTTATCTTTTTGATCAATTTTATGCACAGAAACGAATCATTACATTAGATTACTGTATTTTTTTTTTTAACAAAGTCTAGCCCTCATCGATCCCACAGGTGTGTGTTTATTATCTAGAATTTTACAGCTTGCCGGCTAAGCGAGTTTGAACCCGTACATTCCAGAGATCGAGTTTTTTTTCCCTTTTGTTACTATATATAACCTGACGAGATGTACATGGGTCTAATATTGATCCCATTCTTCAGTGCCTTGGCTGTAGTTAATGGCAGTTGGTGGCAACCCTTCTCCTTCCTAGCTGCCACTGACAACCAACTTGAAACGACTGCGCCGCCTCGGAAGGAAATTTCAGATCTGGATGACTTCAAAGAAATTCTTTCAAAATCTAAATTTCTGTTGATTTATTTTTATTCTGAATCATGCAAATATTGCACAGAATTTGAGATAGATTTCCAATATTTGAATCAGTTATACAGCAATAATGATGAGATAACAAATCAATTTCAAATCCTTAGAACCAATGCCAACAAAAATAAAGTTTTATCAGAATTATTTGGGGTAAATCTGTACCCCAGTATTAAATTATTGAATTTTAAAACTTTGGAAATATTTAACTTTGATAAACAACGATCACTTGAAAATTTAATAGAATTTATTGGATCACACACTCAAGTGGAACCTAACTATAATACTTTCAAATCTTCGATAATCACCTTAACACAATCGAATTTCCAAGAATTTTTATCCTTCAATGGTAAAGATAAATTAATTGTATTCATAGCATCATACATGTATGATTGGAAGAAATATACTTATCCACAGCATTTTTATCAATATTTTCCTGCAAAATACAATAATATAGATTTTGGTATAATTGATATTGAAGATGAAGATTCTTCATATCTTCGAGAATATTATAAAGTTAGTAATTCACCATCATTAGTTTATGTCGACAAAGAACTTGAAAAGATTAAAACTTTTCAAACTATCGCCCAAAATCATTTGACAAATAAGAGATTGACAGATGAGAATTTACAAGAATTTATTCTTAATATTAACAATGAAGATGATTCTTATGGGACTTGGTATAAAGATATTTCTAGTCTTCAAGAAAGTGTTGTTGGAGAGTTTGATGGATATAAAAACATGAAACTGCATGGCTTTAATGTTGGATCTTACAAGAGCCATCAAGATACAATACAATCATTAGAGGATGAATTCAATGAGATTCTTCTCTCAAATGAATTATAATATAATGAGATTAAGATAGATACTCATAAATATATATAAATATAAACCAAACAAGTTTGTATAATCCTACGTTATGCTTATGGTTGCAATTAAATGCTATACAAGGCGTTTCCGGCATATACAAAAATCGCGAATTTCAAAAGAAAAAAAGAATATGACCCTCCCACCTGCAAACCCACAGCTTTTGACAGCGTGTAAGTGTAAATTCAATAGAACGTTTAAATAACTATTCTTTTTATTCCAGCCAAATCCGTCGACCATGTTGAACATATTCCGTATTACTGGAGATCTCTCGCACCTTGCGAGTATACTCATTCTTCTTTACTCAATTGAAGCAAACAAGTCTATCGAGGGACTCTCTTTAAAGACACATTCACTCTATGTGCTTGTGTTTGTTACTCGTTATTTGGATTTATTCACCAAATATATTTCGTTATACAACACCTTAATGAAGTTGTTCTTCCTTGTCTCATCCATTTATACCGTCTACTTGATGACTTACAAGTATGAGAAGACAATCAAACAAAACATTGACACTTTCCCTGCTCGTTATTTAACTGGTGCTTCATTTGTGTTATCACTTATCTTCACTTATAAATACACCCCAGGTGAAGTTCTTTGGAGTTTCTCCTTATGGCTTGAAGCTTTTGCAATCTTGCCACAATTGTTCATCTTGCAAAGAACAGGAGAAGCTGAAAATATTACCGTTCATTATATTGCTGCCTTGGGTTTATACAGAGCCTTGTATATTCCAAACTGGATTTACAGATATTATGGTGAAGGTAGATTTGAATACATTGCAGTTTTAGCTGGTGTTGTCCAAACTGTCATTTACTCTGACTTCTTCTACATTTACTACACAAAGGTGATGAAAGGTAAGAAATTCTCATTACCAGTGTAAATCTATTATTTTGTAAAATTATATCTTTGTTTTTATATTTAGAGTTTAATTGACATTACATACAATATAGATATACATATATGATATCATTCTAATCTCTCTTTAATGGGAAGTACTCAGTTCTAATTCCTTCCTTTGTAACAATCAAAATTTCTAATCCATCCCCAACTTGAATATGTCTTTCAGTAGCAGAAGAAAATGCATCTTTAACTAATTGTAAGACTTCATCCAAACTTAAATATCTTAATTCCCTCTTTTTGGTACCATTTGAACCTGGTTGATATTGATTTTTGAAATTTACTTGGTTATCCAAAAATGGCATGATCAATGAAGCAGCAGCACCTCCGGCTCTACATTGTTCTCTTTCATAGGATCCCACTGGATCGTAGGAGTACACAGCACCTTTACCTTCGTCATCCAAACCAGCAATCAAGGTACTGACATAGTATGGGAAAAATCTTTTACCGTAAAGTAAATGTTGGATATATCTAGCAGCACTTCTAATACTCAATTTCTTACCTCCATTGTTGAACTTGTACCACTTCAATTGGTTCTTGAACTTATCTATGAGAGCTACACCATCTGCAGCAAATCCATTGGCAGTCATGACTATATCATCTCCAACATTGAACACTTTTGGTTCATAACGAGAGTTAATGGAGTACCCCACCACTTGACGAGTATCACCAGCAAGAACTGCAAAATCTTCACCAGCAATCCCCAATACGGTACCACCATTATCACTATATGGGTTAAATCTGTGTTCAATTGGGACAGAATGGATTTCTGACGAGTATTCAGATGCAACTGTAGAGTTCATATTGAGATCCTTATGACAATTGATGTGTTGTTTTGCAAATAAAAAAAGTAATTCGTTTCAATGAGAAAAAAAAAAGACAGTTATGTATGTGGAAGTTTTCCTTTCCTTATAATTGTATAGAGTTTAAAACAAAACAAATTAATAATCTCTTAGATATATGAAATCTAATACCTATAATAATCAAATACTTATACTATCTATACTCTCTCATTTACATTAAACATAGTTTCGCCACTGGGGGTAAGTGCACGACCAGGACTGCACATAGATGGGAGATTTTATGAATTTACTGACATTAATGTCGTGACGAAAAAAAGCTTCTGTAGTTGCAAATACTATTTATTGCATTCTATATACATATATTAACAGGATAAGGATTAGACTGAAAGAAGTAGATAATCAGTAATATAGATACATGTAGAAGTTATAATTCCCATTTCTCAGACTTTTTTCAAAAAGAAAAAATATAGTAATAACAAGAATAATAAATATAATAAAGACGATTAACAAATGTTCAATCACTTTAATAAATAATATCTGAGAAGAGAATATTCTTCTCCAATTTAATGATTAATCTTAACTTTCAGTTTAATATTTGAATATTTCTTAATTGGAAGAAGATTGTTGGATTCTAGTAATGTAAGATTTTGAAATAACGTTCCAAGATCTCATGTACTTTTCCAAACATTGATTCACACAACCATCTTCTTGTGGATTCAACAGGATTTGTGGGTTAGTTACACACTTTTCAAAGCAATTTTCAGTGATTTTGTTGACAAGTTCAGTGGCATTAGCTACTGCCAATTCTTGTGAGATTTGGTCTTGAATTTGTTGCTTCAACTGTTGTGATTGAACAGCATTAGGAGTGGATGTGGAAGTGGAAGTTGATGGAGATCCGAATAAAGCCATGTTTGTTATTTATGAATTTGGTTAAGAAAGAAAGATTTCTGCTTTGTTAAGATTGTGTCTGAATCACCAAAAAAAAATAGAAAATAGAAGTTGCGGTAGTTTTGTGTCGAAAAAAAGTTGAGAGAGTGCAAAATCAAATCCCGTGCATTGTGGCACATGACCACCACAGATTCCCATTCAATTATATGAAACGTGGATTTATTTCTCACTTTTTTTCAACCTCGGATCGGTTTATCAATTAGCGATCTAGACATAAAAATGAGAGAGATTCACCAACAACAACGTAACACATTTCACATACTCAAACAAAAATTTTACACAATTATTTCGAATTGTTCTTGTTACATTTCTACCTTATGGTTTACATGTACATTTGCAAGCCCAAGGACCTCCCCCCTGTAGTTGTCGGGTTGTTGGTTGTACAAAAAAAAAAATAATTTGTGGCCATAACTATTTATATTCTGTTATCTTTTCACATATAAGCAACTCATAAGACTTTTTTTTTTTTTTTGAATATTTTTCTTGTACACAATCGTTTTTCTTTTTTTTTAGAAGTAACCTGATCCTATCCTTGCAATCGGAAAAGAAATTACTAGCGTAGTTTCACTGATTATTATAGAATTGTGATAGAGAGTGTGAAAGTGTGTGTGCGATAACAATAACCATGTCATCCAAACCAGTTCAAGACGCTCATATATTTGTTTTAGTTCATGGGCTTTGGGGAGGTCCAAATCACATGCTAACGATTGAAAAGTCGATAAAGGAATTATTAGATAGTGATGATTCCAGCAAGGAAAAGATTGTGACAATTAGACCATCATCGTTCAGATTTTGGAAGACATACGATGGGTTACAACTTAATGCTGAGCGTGTGGTTTCGGATGTGTTGTATGAAATTGAAATGCTCAAATCAGAAAACAATATCAAAGTGACCAAGATCAGTTTTGTTGGATATTCATTAGGTGGATTAATCTCTAGATATGCTATTGGAATATTGAATGAAATTGGGTTTTTCGATAAAGTCCAACCAATGATTTTTTCAACATTTGCTACACCTCATGTTGGTGTACATTTTTTCCAACAAAATGCTTTTGATATTCTTGCAAATGAACTTGGGAAATATTTATTTGGTAAATCAGGGAATGAAATGTTTATGGGTGATGATGAATTAATTCTTAAAAAGATGGCCGATCCAGAACATAAATTCTATAAAGGGTTAAAGAGGTTTAAGAAACATATTTTATTGGCTAATGTCAAAAATGATAGAACAGTTGCATTTTTCACCTCTTATATTACTGATTATTCTCCCTTTGAAGAATGGGATAAAGTTAAAATTAAATATTTTAAAGATTTACCACAAGTTAGAATTGGTACTAGTCAAGTTAAACCAAAATTTGTTGATTTTGAAAGATCTCATCCACTTGAAAAGGAGAATGAATTTAGTAATGTTCAAGAAGAAACATCATTTTTAAGATCAAATAAATTGATTAGGTTTACCTTGATATTCATAGTTACCATATTGATCTTGCCTATTTGGGTACCGCTAGTATTGAGCAGCAGTTTATTTGCATCTATTTATAGTGGAGTTAAAATTAAAATTATTAAATCACCAAAAGTTTCTAAACATTGGGAAAGAGTTTCAAGTTTTGTTTATGGAAGTTGCAAGATTGATGCAGAAGATGCCAAGATTGGACAAGATAAAAGAAATCAAAGAAAAAACCTTAGACATCATGAATCATTTAAAGGAGATACATCTGAGATTACTGAAAATGCTATGGAAAATTTTATGTATGCAGAAGAAAGATTTACTGGTAGATCACCACCTCCAATGACTACTGGAGATGATGAATTTCCAGGGGATGATGATGACGATGAAGATGATGACGAGGAAGATGAAACTATTACAAATAATGTTACAGATCTTAAAGTGAAGAATACTAATGATGTTCAAAAAGCTAAACCTAAACAAAAGATTATAGATGTTGATATTGAAGCAAATGGTAAATCTATTGATACACATTTACTGAAATTATATAACAAAGATTACCAGAAATTCCCCTTATTTACCAAGGATGGGATATTGAAGATGGATCCAAATAGAAGATTTATTATTGATTCACTCAATGAATTAAATTGGATAAAAATCCCCGTATATATTGATGCATGGAATGCACATGATGGAATTGTTGCTAGAAGAGGGCCGCGGACAAATCCTAAGGGAACTGCTACTATTTTATTATGGGCAACATTGCTTAGACGATTCCTTCAAGAAGAGTAGAAGAATATTACCAGAATTATTTATTTATAGGAAGATATATGTATAGGTTATATTTATCATTTGTAGAGAGTAATTCACATGGTATTCATGATTATGATGACTGTCTGCAGTACTGCCGAACTAAAATTGGCGGCACATATATTTACTTTAATGGTTGCTATTTAACTCAACAGCAATCAAACCCATTAGGATTCAGTGATGAAGATGAAAGACTTTTTAAGGTCAGGAAACATGGCAGGATCCATGGCACGGTATAGAGCTGGCCTTACTCCGTTAAGATCTTCATTACGAACTAGAAATTTACAAAGCATCCGATTGATTTCTCAATCATCAGCTACTTCACAGACAAATGGAAAATTGTTTGGAATCTTAGCACTTTCTGGAGGGCTTGTTACATCAGGAATATTCGTTTATAAGTCTACAATCTTTAATGATATTTTACAAAATGTTCCCCGTCGAGCCATTGATACCAGCATCCATGAATTACATCCTGAAAAGGATGCAGAAACTTATGAGATGGGACTTTTCGAGGCATCTAAGAAGGAAGAACATGACCAACAAGTGGAATATCGTCGTCAAAGGTTATACGAAGGGAATTTCATATCTAGAGTGTGGTTCAGAGTGAAATTCCTTGTATATGATTACTTTGTTGACCCAAGTATTACCTTTTGTAGATTTATTGAACTTTCATGTCTCTTTTTACCAGTACTTTTGAGTGCACCAATTTGTTGGTTTGGAAAACGTGATAGGAAAACTGGCCAACATATTAGATCTGGAGCTCAATTATGGTTTAAATATTTAAGATGGTCTGCCGAAATGGCTGGTGCATCTTTTATTAAACTTGGACAATGGGCAGCTTCAAGAACTGATATTTTCCCCAAGGAAATGTGTGATGAATTAGGTAACTTGCACTCAAACGCTAAGCAACATCTGTTGAAGGAGACCAAGAGAATTATCTCTCAAAGTTTTGGAAATATGCCATTTGAAGAGATTTTTGATGAATTTAATGAAAAGCCTCTTGGTGTAGGAGCGATTGCACAAGTTTATATTGCTAAACTTTCGAATAAGGCATTACAAAAGGCAAACCAAGAAGATTTAGAACAGAAATACCACAAAGAAACAACTAATAAAGCTGAGCAATATTTTGAGAAAGTATTAGTTACTAAACATAGTGATCCATTGACATCAAATCAACGTGTTGCAATTAAAGTATTGCATCCAAAAGTTGAAGTGAAAATCAATAGGGATTTAAGAATTATGAAGTTTTTCGCTAATATCATCAATGCTATTCCAACTATGGAATGGTTATCATTACCTGACGAAGTTGAACAATTTTCATTATTGATGAGATTACAATTAGATTTAAGAATTGAAGGTTTGAATTTGGTTAAATTTAGAGAAAATTTCAAAAATAGATTGGATATTCATTTCCCTAAACCATATATCAATTTTACTACTAGAGAAGTTTTAGTGGAAGAATTTATGCATGCTATTCCAATGAGTAAGATGTTATCATTGAAGGATAATTTTGGTAAGAATTTATCCAAAGAAATTAGTGACAAAGGATTGGATGCATTTTTAAAGATGTTGATTTTAGATAACTTTGTACATGCAGACCTTCATCCTGGTAATATGATGGTTAGGTTCTACAAGAATGAACATTTCAAACATGAAAAGGAATATAAGATTGTTAAATCAAGTAATGAACAAGAAACCAATAAGATCACCAATGAGTTATTGGCTTTAGGGGATGATAATAAGGCATGGTGTGCCAGACTCTCCAGTTTATATGAAGAAGGATATCATGCAGAAATCTGCTTTTTAGATGTTGGATTAATTACTGAATTAAATCATAAGGATAGAGTTAATTTCATTGATTTATTCAAGTCCTTAAGTGAGTTCGATGGATATAAGGCTGGTGAATTGATGATTGAAAGATCAAGAACTCCTGAAACTGCAATTAATAAAGAAATTTTTGCATTAAAGGTTGAAAAATTAGTTGATAGAATGAAGGAAAGAACATTTACTTTGGGAAATATTAGTATTGGAGACTTGTTGGATCAAGTTTTGGGCATGGTTCGTACACACCATGTTCGTATGGAAGGGGATTTCATTACAGTCATTGTTGCTATCTTACTTTTAGAGGGTATTGGAAGACAACTTGACCCAGAATTGGACTTGTTTGCAAGGTTCGTATATGCATTCTTGTTTGGGTTCCCAACTGAAGCAGATTTTGGGACATTTTTCATCAATTAATTCTCTATTACTAACAACCATTTAAGCGCGTTACCTGTTCTTAGAAGACTTGGTGTTCTGAAAGAAGGTCGTGAGATTCTCAGCAATGAAAATTCGCTCAGTATGATAAAAGTCTGGTTGGCTTTAGAGGTCAGACTGTTTATTAATGCTTCAATTCAAGACGTATGTATAATGACCAAATGGATTGCAACATAACAAATCTGTTTTTTTTTTCTTTTTTTTTCTCTTTCTTTTCTAGATATTTTTTGTGAGCAACGATTTTTGCAACAATTTTCAAATCACAATTTTCCGTTACTAACATTTCAGATACATTCATTAGTTAAGGCAGACATGCTTAGTCCAAATATTTAACTTATTTTGAATACATCAGAGACATTACTATTGTTTTCGTTTTTAGTTTGTAGGGGCGTAAATAATAAAACTCTTAGATTCTGTTGCTGTGTAAATATTTTTTAATTTTATTTTTTTAATAAAAAAAAAAAGAAAAATCTCGGTAGCAAAGAAGGCCGAGTTCTGCATATTGCAGATGCGCAAACTAAAGAACATTATTCTTTCTTCATAAGGAAGTAAAATTAAAGATAACAAAGGAGTAAAAGTACTACATTAAGAAGAAAGTTAGCGATAATTTAAAAGGATACATTTTAGAGTACGGTTCTCATATTTATTGTTTGCATATAACACCACCTCGAGCATACCATCATGGCCCAAGTGGGAAAGATATCTTCACAAGAGGGAATTAGTTCTCTCGAAGATGATGAAGATACTTTCATATTTAATCGTAGGGAAGCCATCGAGATAAAATCAGCCAAAGAATCTGCTGATTACGAGTTTAAGAAGGAAAGAACATCCAAATACTGGATTCATGGAATAAAGCTTCCTCATACAGTCGTGAAATATGTACCCGAAGAAGAAGGTACGAAAATGAGAGTATATGGTGACAATAGTGATAGTGCAGTATTCGAGCCACAAATCTTTGTTCAACCTATTGATAATGATGTGTTTGCAGGAACTACTACTGCAACCGCAGGCATAAAGAACCACGCGGTCCTAGACGACTTACCAAGTGAAATACTTGCGAAGGCAGAGGCACCGCAGGGATTTTCAGGATACTACTCTATCCCCAAGGCTACAGTAAACTTTCCACGATCACCTAAAGACCCTGTATTGAATGCAAGAATGAGAAAAAAGGTCCCAAAATTGACTTATCATAATTATTTCAATTTAAATGGTTTTGTATATTCTTTTGGAGGATTGTATACTACAAACTTCTTGGATCTCAAATATTTGGGAATTCCGAATGATGTTAATCTTGACATGATTTCAGTGCACCTACCATGTGATTTGCCGCCATATTTGGATAGAAATATACTCATGAATCCATTTATGAGAACGAACCCTCATTTAATTGAAACTCTGAATGCAAGAGGTACCATTAAATACTTGGATGAAAATGCATCTACGCCATACCCAAAGCATATATCTGGAATGACGGCGTGTCAATTATCAAAGGCACAAATTTTCTTTTATGGTGGGTTTGAAATAAAAGTCACATCTACAAAATATAACCCAAACATTGATAGATGGATTATTGAAAAACAAGTCTTATTGAATTCAAATGGCTATATATTTGATACATTCACCTCATCATTTTCTAAAGTGGAACTCAATTGGAAGAATGGGCAATCTGTTCCGGGAAGAATTGGTAATGCTATTGAAGCACTGATTTATGAACAATCATTTGAAAGTATTACACCCGAAGTTCCACAAAGTTATAAGGAGAGTCATGTTCCACTGCCTCCTGTGTTTGGAAATAATAGCAGTAGTAGCAGTAGTGTTATGTCTGATGTGTCAACATACCCAAGAATGCAACTGCCACTCCCATCGTCTCCGCTTCAACATGAATCTACACCCCCCAAACAGACAAATACACGCTTGAGAGTCCAGGAAATTGAAACAAATACAAGTACAAGTAGTGGCTCTTCGTCTCGACTTGAGGTAACAAATGTCACTACTATAAATCAAGTTACACAACAACAACAACAACAACAACAACAACAACAACAACAATCATCAAGTCCAACGACCCCTGTTCCAGTAGAAACTGGTGGTGCAACAACTCAAGGACCTAAAACCAGTTCGCAGTCAGCAGCGGTGAAACAAACTACCGTTGAACAACTAAAATCACCAACTGTGAGTAGACTAAACAGTTCCGCATCAACTGGGAATTCTAAGGTCGCCAATGTATTGGGTAAATCTGCTAAACTCTTCCATAGAAGTCACCAAAAGAGCACATCTTCATCGGCAAGTTCTGCTACTTCTTCGAATCACTTGAAAAACACATATTCGAAACAGGTTAAACAACATCGGTCAAATTCAAATCATAGTAGTAGACCAGTTTCTCCAGTTTTAAAGGTTGCGCTGCCAACACCTGTACATCCCAAACAGAATATGTCTCGTTTGAATACAGATCAGACATGGCAAGCAGGTACGTCGTCATCTTCAGCTAGTGGCTCAGTAAATAAGAAGGGTATTCCAGCATATTTATCACCCACAGGTGCTACTGATTTGAGTTTTGAGGTGAAATCGCCCCCAGGAACCCCAGCTGTACAAGGTGGTAGTAACACCCCAGATCAAAAACTAGCTGCATTTAGTCCTTTATGGACACACGAAAGACGTTCCAAAGAAGCCACTACTGAAAATGCTGTGAATACTACAGGATTTGTGAGTGTATGTGTATTCATTTTTGGTGGCTTTAAATCAAAAGATGGAGACTCGCCTTATGTTACAGCTTTCGAAGCTACAGATGAGTTTTTGAAGATAGATTTGTTGATTCAACTGTCTTCGTATAATTACTTGGATTTTGGTGATCTGGCTAATGTCTTTAAAGTGGGAACCGGGGCCGATATAAGGAAGGAATTATGGCCGACCCCAAGAGGATATTTTGCCAGTGCATTGATTGATGTGAATTCTTCCATGGAAGATAATTGTCAAATAAAGTTATACGCAGCTTCATCGACAAGTGATGCGATTGAAGATTCTGGAGATGAATTAAACAATTCAATACCATCATCATCGAGACAATCTACCCTGTCCACTCGCAAAAATGTAAGAACTTTAGAAAATTATTTTAGTGGGAAGGCTTTACTCGTACAAGGTGGTTGTAATGAAGATTATGAAACATTTAGTGATTTTTATTTATTTATTTTTGACACTGGGAAATGGCAAAGTATGTCAACATATGCGTATGATTACTTTGATTCGCCACTTAAGCCATGGGAGGATGAAAATATTCTTAACCTCACACCAGAAAAGATTGAACAAGATGCAGATTTAGTAGAAGCTGAACTTCGGTCATGCCATCATCAAACATTGTACTTCAAAAACGAAGAACGAGATTATCTTTTCTTCATTGGTGGCTTTAATAACGATTATTTACGACAATATGATCCAGTACCATATGAAAGTGATAAATTTGATGTACTGAGGTTGTCAAGATTTCAATTTGCGGGACAAAACAATTTCATATCTAGAATTATGATTTTAAATCTACAAACTCAAACATGGAGGTTTTTAAGATATTTCTACGATGTGCGGCATGTTATTAATGACTCCTTTTTAACTCAATTGAAGGAAAATCCTGGTTGGATTAATGCTCGTATTTGTAATGTTGGGGGTAGTATGTCATTAAATGGTAAGACACTTACCATTGGTCATGGATTAATGGTTCCTGTTCCAGAAAAAACAGAAGATTTTGAGGCATTTAAAGAGAGATATGGAAGCGCATTGTTATGGGGAGGTCATTTTACTTGGACATTCCCTAGTTTATAGACTGCTAATTAATATTATCATGCAAAATGCATTATCAAGAGGTATTGTAATTTTCCCTCTTTGTGTAGTGTTACATAAGCGTTGCCGAAATTCTTTGATGAAAAATAAAAAAAAATTAAAAAAAATTAAAAAATTTGGGGAGAGAACTAAAGTGATATTGCTGTGCGAGAGTTGAACTGAACAACATATAGTTTCTTTTTAACAATAACAAATACCAATTAATATATAATGTTTGGATTAGGTGGATCTGCTCCTCAAGTTTCTTCTCAACAAAAGTTGCAAGCCGCTGAGGCTGAATTAGACATGGTCACTGGTATGTTCAACTCTTTGGTTGAACAATGTCACTCCAAGTGTATCAACAAGGCTTACAGTGAATCTGATGTTTCCAAGCAAGAAGCCTTGTGTTTGGACAGATGTGTCTCCAAGTACTTCGAAACCAACGTTCAAGTTGGTGACAACATGCAAAAGATGGGACAAAGCGGTCAATTCATGGGTAGACAATAGATATTTGCCGCCCTAGGATAAATGAAAGAATAAAAAAAAAGTAAAACGACCCCCACTCTCCCTTGACCAACCTCCTTTACATTTGGCTGGTTTTGTATATATAAGGTTATGGAATAGACAATAAACTGTTTGAAAATAGAACTTTACAGTGTAGCTTGTAGAAAGTCAAATAAATAATATTGAAAAGGTTCTTTACTATGTACAAAGGATTATATGATATATTGATTGTGGATTACAGCCATCCAATAGCTCTACCCATTCTTAATTTGAATCCTTCCCAGCTATTTATTTTAGGTCTGACATCCAAGAAGAAGCTGGCACCTTGTCCATTACCTCCGTAAAAATCAATTACGTAAGGTACTTCAACTCCACATCTGTCCACGGTCCAATCATGTCTATCAAAAGGTTTATCATATCCAAGTACAAAGGAGTTGAACCATGCTCTTGGGGTCAACTTCTTCAGGTCTCCCTTAAAACTAGTAAGCTTAATACCACCACATTGTTTTAAAGATTCTTCATAATGACTACGTTCCCACATTAAAATATGCAGCCATGCCTTTTCATTAACCGCATTATGGATAGGAACCACGGTTTTCATGTCTTGTTCTTCGGGGTTCCAGTTCTTACGTTTCATGGCATCGAAAAATTGCTTTTGTGATGGATATACCCAATTGGATGTGGCATCAGTTCTTGGAATCGAACTGATTTCTCTTTCTCTTGAAAGATTTGTGTTGTTATTATCTTGAATACTTTCGCCAAGCTTGTCAGATGAGCAAGTATCGGAGCTGACTTCTATAGCTTCTGGTACATTTGCTGAAATAGATACTTTTTGTAACCACAGAGCTCGTGAAGTATGATCTACAGGACAAGCAGGTTGTTGTTCCGAAGTTGGTACTGGGGTTGGGACCGCACTAGACTTGGTTGCATCAGTGTCAGACTTGGCAGTTTGTTTAATCCATGCTTCCCTTGTGGAATGATCTACGGGACACTTGTCAGACATTTCTAAACTGCTTTAATTTGATTATATTGATTAGTAAAGAAATTTAAATGTGTTACAAAATTTGTGAAATTTCCATTCACACATCCAGATTCCTGTATGTATAAAAAGTATAATGACCATAACTTTATTAAAATCTGTATATTTATTAGTTGACTTAAAAATACACAATATACACAATCTTCTTCTAGCACTTATTCCTTCTCTATAAAGTAAGATGGTTTTATAATAAAATAAAAAATCGTATGTTTAGCTATTTTTATCCACTTCCTATATTCATTTCTCTCCTTTCTCACTCCTTAATAAATCTTCTTCTTTTCATCCAAAGATAATTCACCAGCACCTGCATTGACAATAATTAAAAGACCTCCAACAATTGATAAAGTTTGGAAGAATTCATACTTTAAAAAGTCTCTACTAGAATCCTTAGCACCATACTTCCAAAATTGGTTAGCGAAAACATTATAAGTGAATAATAAAACAGTTAAAATGAAAGCAGCAAACTTTGTCTTGTAACCAACAATAATTGAACCACATGAAATGAATCCAACTAAAATCACAGTCAATCTTAAGAATGACCAACTGGCAGAAAATACAAAACCTAAAAATAAGATAACCAATAAAATTCTACCAGTAAGTAAGAAATATTTCTTGTTATCTTGATTGTTAAGCATTGGAAGGCCAGGCATTGACAAGGAACGCTTATCTCTGACCAAAGAATCAGAAAATGCTAAAATCAAACCACCAACCACTGACAAATTTCTCAAGATAAATTGACCATCAAAGATCAATCCATAGAATAAACCTTGGAAAATGACCACAATAACTAATGCAGAAGTGGCAATTTCATTCTTTTTTCTTAAAATTAAGAATGTTGAAGCAATTGACATAACAATAATATTAAGGAACAAGAACAAAACAGTAAGCCAATGGTATATATGTTTGTAATTGTGTAAATAGTAAACTTGCTCTGACCATTGTGAAATGATTCTAAGAGAATCTTCATAAAATGTAGCAACAATAAAGGCTCTTCCTATGGCAGGAACATAAGGTTTGAGGGGTCTAGAGTATTCGTCTATAAGATCTTCCACTCCCTTTGAAATACCTTCAAACTTCTCAAGTGGAGTCTTGGAAGAAGACACTGGACCAATGTTAGTTGGAGGGGAGTTTGGTTGACCACCTCTAAATTGGTTATTAAATTGATTTGGTCCTCTGTATGACATATTCTTGTTTTTGATTCAGATCACAATAAATTCAAGCCTGATTTGATTTTGAACTTTGTTTTTTTTACACACCTCTTTTATTCTTAATCTGAGGTTACGAAATAGATTTTTATCTTAAGTGATCAATTACAATGTATCACAAAATATATGAATTGATACTTTTAAGTGGCTTATTTGATATCTATTTAATGAAAGGAGAAAAGCCTTTTTATTGACACCTAACAATAAAAAACGGATGCCAACACAAATTCACTTCGTGGTATGTTTTATATGCACTCTTAAACATTTCTCATATAATATGGGGCACACATCTGTCCATAAAAGGAAATATTTTGTTTCATGATCTACGACGGGTGTGAATAATTTCATTCTTTAAAATATTGTTTGCTGGCAGATTAATAACATCGATATGCATGTTCAATTATGGCAAGAACTAAATCATGAATATTATTATGGAAAAAAAATAGAAATTGTCTTCTCAGTACTATTAATAACTTTTTTCCGTACATAAAGTTCTAAACACCCTTTGATTCACTATTTTTTTTTTTAAGTTTATCGATTTAGTTATTAGATTTGGGTTCTTGAATTGGGTGATATATGTTGGTCCGTAGAACTCGAATAGTCTGGTTGAATAGAAGTATGATGTTAATAAGTATCTTATATTGTTGGAAGGACTTTCTGATTTCCCCACATTCCTTCGTTTAACCCAATATAAGATATGTGAGTGAGATCTATTTTGATGAATACTTTTTATGAGAGTAATATTAATACATGTTGATAAGCAATGAAAATATATAGAAGATGGAAATAAAGGAGAGTTGAAATCGATACACTTCCCCCCCCCCCCCCCTCCCCCAACATAGAGAAGAAAAAAGAACCCTATTTTTTTCCATAATTATACCCAGTTCTATCTAATATTATGCCACTAAAAATGAAATCCCTTTGGGCTGCAGGTTATACTTGATCAAAAGGATGAGATATACTGACAACACTCCCATATGTGATGGACAATAACTACATTAAATATTTTGTGGGTCCAATTTGTAGCAGGAAACACGAATGCAAAATAAATCTATTTAGCTAGAGTTTACTTTCACCATTCTACTTCTTCATTACTCAAAACAAGTATATGAGGTGAAACACTACCACTAGTAATCACCTGATATTGTTCAGATAGCATATGGATGATTAAGAAGATAAACAAGAAATCCTTCTCCCGATATAATCTGATCCTATGAGATTTCACAATTCTTATTTCCCGATTAATTTAAATGAGTTTCATGATGTTTGTGTTATTCGAACCGTCACTGTCAAATATATCGTTCCGGAAACGGTTGAGTCATTTAGATGAGTCACTTTGATCTCCTTATCCCCTCTCCCCGCAGAGAATATTTAAAATCAATTTCACAAATGGTGCCGCGCACATGCACCCTTGTCAGAGCATTCACTATAATTGAAAATAAGCACTACATGTCTAATGTAAGCAGATTCACGTAAAGGGTATAATGTTTTATGACTATTCATGAATTATTTGATAATTATCTAACAAGTGTAGTATATAACATATCTTGTAGGGGAGTTCAAGATCTTGTGAAATAATTATAAAATTCCGCACTTCTCATATTTTTTAAACTTTTAATTTCCATGGAATGTTCTAGAGATTGGCTGCAAAACCTCCCCACGAAAAACATTTGGCACTATTTTTGCAAAATTGCAATTAGTTTGAGTCCTAGCAACTAATTTCTATAGACTGGTGATTAATGGTGATTAATGAAGTAAGATGTGAGAAATAAGGAATTGAGTATGAAGTACTGCTAAATATTTTAATGAAAATACTTCGTTATCGGGCATAGAGTATTGGTAGTTGCGCAACGGAGATAACCTCAATAGTCTTTCATCCGAATTACTTGCGCACTTTATATTGATAGGTTCTCAATTCATCTAAAGTGAAGTGGTTAAAAAAATATCACTACTTAATGATTCAAAGGATATAAATTCTTGTGATTCTCACCAACAGTAGTTCATTCTGCTTTTTTTCACAAAATTATTCTAAACAAAGGTCCCAATTCCTAATGGTATCACTGTCATTAGAGGACTCGCATGGGTCTAGAACATCAACCGAGAGTCTGGCACAAGTGGAGTTGCATGAACCTTTCTCTTCTCTCGACCCTACTTCAAATGTGCTCCCTCCTATCACTTCTCCGAAATATACCGAGTATGACCATTTGGCAGTTCAATCAAAAACAAATAAAGTAGATCCCCAAGTCTGGAATATTCTTCCTCTGTATCACATGTATACATCTACGGTTTCAAAGAGTCTTCTGGTCTCTCAAGATGACCAAGCTTTTGTACCGCCTACTTACGATGACTCGGCGACTTTGTATTCTAATATGTCCGGGGGGCGTGCTTCTGGGATTTTTTCTATTTCTGGTACCGTAAATACTTCTGGTGATGATAACTCTCCCACTGAAGCGCCTGAAAATCCCAATTTGATTATTGCAGATGAAAGTTCTAACCAATGGCAAAATACGATTCTCGATAATTTGCACACTCTCAATAACTTGTCACATTCTGATAATGAGTATGCTGATGCTTTAAAAATTGATGTGTTCTATACTTCTGAAGTAGGCGAATTAGGTAAAAAGCCTCATTTCATTGACCCACTGAACTACGAATATAAGCAAGGGGATTTGATAAACGGATATATTTTGGTTGAGAATAGATCTGACAAGGTGATACCGTTTGATATGTTTTATGTTTTATTCGAGGGGAACTTTAAGATTACTTCAAATATTTTAGGTTCCAACAAGAAAGACACACTTGTGAACAAGAAGTTCTTAGAAATGTTCGATTTCAGTGCTTCATGGAATTATGGTAATATCAATCGTCTTGTATCGGACTATTCGAATCCTTATACTTCCTTGGCAGTTATTGATCCTCTTGATGACACACATTTATCATTCGGTCAAGAAAGAGTAGTGAAACCATTTGTGAAGCATAAACGTTTCTTCACTTTTAGAATCCCTGATAAGTTATTGGATTCCTCGTGTGGAAATAATTTATCAAGTCACACACAAATCCCACCTAGTATTGGTCTTTCTCCAGAAGAACAATGGGCAAGACTACAAAACCCAAATTTCAAGAGAAGTACAGCGAATGCAAATGATGGTAAATTCAAAGATTTCTCATTTATGGATACATGCATAAGTTACAGTGTAAGTGCAAGATTTATAGGAAAGTCTTCTATGTATGGTGTTTTACCTATTCAAAAGCCAATTGAGACAACCCTTGTTAACACTACTGGTGATGAATTTCTAATACTTAAAGATAATCAACAAGGTATTCGTATTATTCAAGAGACAAGTCATTTGACTCCCTCAGAATTGGTGGCAAAGGAAAAGGGTCATCAGGTTCTTTTTGATAATTTACTATCTCGTATTGACGATCAGATAGCATGTGTCACAGAAATCCTAAATACGAGAGAATCGAAAAAGGAAGAAAGCTTCCTCAGTTCGATGGTATCTCCCACTCGTTCCAGCACTGCTAACACACCGTTGGCTTCTACCATTGCCAAAGAAATTGCAAAATGCCGGCAGATGTATAAACCCAAAAGTTTAAGATCAAAATCCAAAGCTTCATATGGATCTGGTGAACTGGAAGAACAAGAGTATATTAAAGTCTTCCACCCAATTGAAAAAAAATCGATAACCGGAATGACTAAGTTATTGGGAACAATAGCTCTCTCTACACCTAAAACGCATTATAAAATCGGGTATATTCCGCCTCCACAATTCCGGACGGAAGAATTAGAAACCGGTATTTGGAACTTGGAAATTCCTATTGATATGCAATTTGTCCCAGCACTGGTTGTTCATAGCGCAGGAAAGCATGTGATTCCACCAGAAGCAACGTCAATCAAGGCAGATATGGTTGCTTTTACAATCAGGTCAAATGGTGGTAGCATTCCGATCGAGTTTAATCACGATATGTTATTCCAAAACAATCTGCAATATGTAAATAAGCTGAAGATTCAGTATGAAGCAGACTGTTTTGACAATAATATAATGCAGCCTATGAAGACTAGGGCTGAGAAATTGAAAAAGCTTTCGTTGGCTTTAGGGTCTGATGTATTCAGAATGGATGCAAATCTAGCTGAGGATTTAAAGAATATGTGTAAGTTACATACTAAATATATCAAGTTCAATATTGATGGAGTTAAAGTCAAATTTGATCAACATGGACCTGGTATAACTACATCTTTAAAACAAGTTCCATGGGAAGCTAATAAGGGCAGTGAAGGTGATCCTTCTCCAAGTTTTACAAAGAAATTCACAGTGTCACTTGATTTATCTACAATTCGAATGATGTCTGAGAAGAAGGTGTCAAATTCCAAAGCATATGATAACTTTAATTTAGTCCCAGACTTTCAAATGTGCCAGATGTCACGCTTTTACTATTTGAAGTTGACTATTGCCTTTCAAAAAGGTGAAGAAATTATTGTTAGTGTTCCACTTGAAGTTCAGAAGTTGCAATAAAATATAGATATTAGATACTAGAAGCACGACTAATTACGACCCCAATATGGGTTGAATATATAATTATGATTTATTCCACATAATTCCTCTGGGCTGTAAATTAGACAAAAAAACACTGCAAGTGCTCTGCATTTAAGTTCCAAAAAGGCTTTTCTTGGAGAGTGTGCACTATTCCCAGTAGACCAGTTTACTCCAGAACGACTAATATAGGACATCAATTAATTTATACATTAATGTAGGTATTTTAGAATATCTATTACTATAGTCTGGTTGGGCTCTATTAGCCTGATTTTGAGATGCCAGGAGCCGATTACCTAGATCTATCGATTGTTCTGAATTTATTTCGGTTTTGTGTAATTTTCCTGGTTTTCTGAGGCTGGTTGTCCAAACGACAACAATTAACAAGAAATGACGTGGTGGCTCAATGGTAGAGTTTTCGATTCCAAATCGAACGGTTGCTGGTTCGATTCCTGTCCATGTCATTTATTTTTTTTAATTTTTTTATTCAATATATAATTCATATGAGCTTCCAGTCATTATTTTATTTGCCCAATACAACTTCCTACAAGTATATTATACTTTTTTTTTGACGTATATTAATGTACATTTATGCTATCTTCTTTGACAATCTTAAGTTTCCGTGTTTTCTAACTTCATCATCCATAAGATCACGTATTCTATGGCCACCTGCAATACCAATTGCTAACACTGACTCCAATCTATCGAGGGGCATCTTATCTTCTAAAAGCAACAAGGCCAATTTTTCACTCTTCCCGATAACTCCTATAGTTAAGGAGCTCATATCGTTTTCTTCTAATGTATTCAAATCTAATAATGGAGTTGTGTCATATAAACCTGCACTTGTTGCAGAAACATAATCATACATAGCAATCCCTGCATCTATCAAGGCAAGCGTTATAGAGTTGGTAATTCCGGCCAAGAGACCACCATCTTGAGCCAACACGTGTATATTTACTTGGATAACAGTTCTTGGATAAAGTTTACACATAACACTTTGTTCAAAAGTTCTTTCCAAAGTAGCTTTAAGTTCGATTAATCTCTTTTCATTCTTAAGTCTTTTCTTTCGTTCAGTTGTGGAAAAGTTTGAGATATTGATATTGATTTCAATATTAGCTTGGTTTGGATTAGATTGTGATCTTAATGCAGGCTCCATTGGTCCTTGTACCATACATATAATTTTTGAATTCCCTTGTTCAATATATGATGATCCATCGGATGAATTTGGGTGTGTATTTATGCGACATTCGAAACGACGTAACTCATTCCATCTTCTACCATCTACTCTCAAACCTTCGGGTGAGTATAATTCCATACGAGACATATTGAGTTCGGTGTATAAAATTAAAATATTATAATATGTACAATTAAAGGTTGACTTTATTCCGTTTACAAAGTATAGGACTGTGCGATGACAGAAAAGTCCATTGCGTGCATATAATTCACAAACTTCTGAAAGTAAAAAAAAAGTCTAGATTGCCTATAAGGGAAGTGAGAAGCGCGGTCTGTACTTTTATTGTATATGTAAGTTCAATCTATCTTTATTATATTTAACTATTTCTTGATGTAGTTTCCATGAAAATTCCCAAGATCCAACAATTTGTCAAGAAAAAAAATGCTGAAGCTGCAAATAATTCATAATAGAATGTACTTTCACCTAAGAACTCTAATTTGTAGGCGTAAAATAACCATGAACCTTGTGAAACCACCCATAATATCAAAACGAAGATACCCTTGACCATTTGCGTAGTTAATAATTCAGATTCGGATAAATAATGAGGCAAAAATATCAAAAACCAAATGAAATACTGGGAGGTCATCACCTTGTTAAAAATAACAAAGGCAAATGTTTGCAAAAGGAAACAAGAAAGAATATTTTCTCTTGCAAATAATAATGGAATCAAAAATGCTGCAAATAAGAATTGTGGTATGAATGCAAGTTTTTCTAAACTAAGGTTAGAAGTATTTGAAGTTGCTGCTGATTTGAAATACATTGCCACGTTATAAATTGAGAAATTATGTCTATGATCCAATCTTGTCAAATGATAAAGATATGAATGATACAAGAATTCGTATCCATACACATAATACATTATGCCATTGAATACCGCTACACTCGTCATTGTGTACACGAGTAACTTGATATTGCTCGGGTTAACCCATCTTATCACAGGTAGGTTACAATAACTTTTTCCTCTTTGCGAAAGATAAAGCATTATACTTGGAAGATAAATAATGGGGTAGATTTTGAAATGAATGGAAAGTCCAAGAAAGAACCCAGCAATTGGTAATGAATAATCAAGGAAATACACTGCAAGCATAATCAACACGGTTAGGACACTTTCAGAAGAGCCACGAGTACTTATGGTGATGACCATTGGATTCAATAACCAGAGAGATGCAAGAATAATAGTCTTGTTCTCCGACAATTGTTTATTTCTTTGAAGTAACTTCAAAATGATGTATCCGGTGATTAGGTCACAACCCATAAACAAGTATTTCCCAAAGCTATAGAAATGAGTGTTTGGTACTAGCATCCATGCTAATAAGGGAGTATATCTGTATGTTTCTCTATCATATGGAGAATGTCCTAATGCAACGTATTGTGCAGCATCAGAAAATACAAGATAATCGATATCTGTGTACTTTACTGGGAGATACGCATCTTGATAGAGACCAAATAGAAAGAATCCCAACCGTAATATTATTGAGACCAGAAATAAAACTGTGGTGTACATAAGGGTATGTTCTTTTTATTGCAGCAGGTGACGAATATCAAAACTTATGAATCATTAAATATGTTCAATTATATAGTTATATGCCATTTTGAGATATTTTCGCAAAGTGATAATTTACTCCCCCCAAAAAAAAATAAAGACACAGAGACTCTTGTGATCTGATTGTAGTCTGATTTTACTATTAAGTGATTAAGCCATGACTAACCCACAAGAAGAGGTGTATAAGGAATACTTGAACTATGACTGGAAGTCATTTACAGAGTTTCAAGAAGGTTTAGAAGAAATCTTGACCAACTATCTTGAAAATATGAAAGAGCTGGATCCTTCAATAACGTCAATTCCAGCTTTAGATAAACAACAGTTGATTGACCAAGCCAAATGTTTCTTTTACTGCTCACATACTGGTAACATTCTTAATTTGGATGATTTCCAACAATGGAAGATTCATAATGGAGATAAGTATTTCTTAAATCCAAAAATTACTGAAATTCATGAACCTGTTCCAGAAGTGAAACAAGTTGATGACTCCGAAGCAGTTGAATCGGGCGAGCCCCCATATTCTTCCAACTACCAAGAATTAGTAGAGTTGATCGTTTCTGGTAAACCGATTCCAGGGATTAAGGACATTCCTGACACTGTATTATCTGAGCTGAGTTCAAAGCCAGAAGAGAAGCAAAGAGTTAAACCTTGGGAAAAGGGCCAGTCAGAATCAACTGAACAATCTTTAGACATTAATTAAGATAAATACACGAATACGATTATGAGGAAGTGAGAGTTTTATAAAATATGTATTAATGTAAAAATCTCATTACTGCTTCAAAAGCAGCCAAAGCGGCAGCATTAGCTGGGAATGACCTCAAGATTGATGGACCAAACCCACGGGTAAACCCAGCCAACCCACGTTCTCTATAAATATATTTAACGGCATCAATCCATCTAGGGAATTTCTTCTCTGCACGAATTGGACTGTCTGTCATGATTGTTTGTTTTACAACATCAGCAGGATATGCAAAGATCCAAAATACTGAAGCTGATAATCCACCGGACCAGAAATTAATAGAAGGTTTAGATAATTGAGTGTTCTTTTCGAACCATTGAGTAAATAATTCATAAGATCCCCACCAAAATACGAAATTAGTTCTGAAAATCATAGTAGAGCATAAACCTGAGTAAATCCCTCTTACTCCTGATACTTGATAAAGTTTTCTTGCCACATCGATTGGACCACTATATATTTTACTATTGGCATCATATTGAACTTGAAGTCTTGCCTTGAATTGTTCGATAGGTGCAGCCACAAAGGAAACAGTTAAACCAGAACCGAGACCTGCGACGACATGGCCAAATAATGGCAATTTCTTTTCTTCTGGGTAGAAATTTTCTTTTACAAGTCTTCTGTATAAATGTAAAGATCCCAACATCACAGAGTCCATCATGACCCATCCCACCAATGGAGGTGTGAACCCCTTATAAAACCCCTTAGGTCCTTCGTTCTTCAAGGTCTGCAAGACACAGTCCATTGGTCCTTTGAATCTACCCTCAGGTGCAGTTTGTAATCTGACTTTAATTGTATCAAATGGATGTCCTACAACATTTTTCATCACCCCCGAGAACATACCAGCTACGAATCCCAAATATCTTGGAGGAGCTGTTGGAGTATTTGCTGCATCTAAAAGTGCATCTTCTCTATCTTGAACTGCCACTGACATACTTACAGATCAAGAAGAGTAGTATATTTGAAAAGTTGAACTCGCATTAACTTTAAAAGTTGTGTGTTCGTGGGGTCCAAGATGATTCATTCGCGCCGTTATCGGCGATTTTGCCGATATAGGACGGGAGTACAAACCGAACATTTGCATTGTACAAACATACAAGTAAAGGTCTAAAAAGCAACAAATTTATAATCGTGTATCAAAGGAGTATATTATGCGATAGATACAAGTATCCGTCCCTTGTAAACTATCTAGAAGAAGAATAAAAGTGATTCTTTTTAAATGACATTTATGTCTAAATTTTTTAAACGTAGAGTGCCAAAATTTTGAACAATATATATTGAAGATGAAAAATTAAATCTTGGATCAATATTTTTGGACATTTTCCGTTAAAAATAACTACAAAGTAAGAGCTTACATGTAACGAAGAGTACTATGAGTCCGATACAATAGTTTTTCCTTTCGAAATATTTGGTTGTTGAATTGATTGCAAATCTCTACGCACCTTAATTCTAGATGAATTTAACTTTCATTATTTCACGCGCACGACTACTACACATTTTAGATTTCAAATGTAAAGATATTGAAAAGGGAATTTTTTGTAGGTGAGTTTCTTGTGTACGATCATGAGTCAACCTCCCGTAAAGACAGAACCCACTGTAAAGGCGGAGCCTAGAGATGGAATTCCAGCATCAAGTGGTATTACCCCCAACAATAACAGCAAGCAATCCGCAGCAGCTGATCAGGGATGGCAAGATATACCATTGAAGTGTTGTACACCAGAGGAGGTACAAGATATTCGTTATCATATCTTGAAGTTTCAAGCGAAGCAGAATGTAGATATAGCTAAAAACTTTACTAATCCTGTGAGATTACATAGAAAGGATCCAAGAAACATTCAATTCCAGTTAACTAGAGCCGAAATTGATAAACGTAAGCGAGAACAAGAAGAATTAAAGTTGGAAGCTGAGAGGTTAAAGCTCGAAGAAGAAGCTGGTGCTGAAGGAGAAGAGGGAGCAACAGTAGATGGTGTCAAGCAAGAGGGATCCCAAACTCCAGGTGAGAAACCAAAAGTTGCTGGAGAAGCCGATATGTCTCAAGTTGCACCAGATGGAGGAGCTAGAAAACCTCGTAAGAATTTGTTTAAACGTAAAACAAGACAAATTAATCTAATGGATGATGAAAAAAGAAAATTAAGATACGAAGAATATTATCCATGGGTGATAGAAGATTATGATGGGAAGAATGTCTTTGTAGGAAATTATGAAGCTGGTTCATCAGATACTCAACATGTATTATTTGTGTTTGACAAGGATGGATTTAAGATGGTGCCAGCAGAAAAAGTATATAAATTTACTCCAAGAAACAAGTATGCTACATTAACATTGGAAGAAGCTGAAGCGAAAATGGAGAAAAACTCTTCAGTTCCAAGATGGTTGATGAGACATATGGAAGATCAATCTACAGCTCAAGGCGCTGCTCCAGATCAAAGATTTAGAAACGCCAGTCCTGGCTCTGGAAGTGGTGGTATGGGAGGAGGCATATATAGCGGTCGTAGTACTGGTCTTGGTGGTAGCAATGGAAGACTTCGGACAGTTATAGGAGGATCTAGCTCAAACGATAGAGATTCCGATCATGATGATTTAGATTTTGATGAGGAGTTTGCTGATGATGAAGAAGCTCCTATTATGGATGGTGATGAAGAAGAAAACAAGCTCTCTGAACAGAAACTTAAGAAGGAAATGCTTAAAGCTGCTCATTTTGATGGTCAATCTGATGCTGAAGGTGATGATAATGATTTGGATGATCTTTTCGAAACTGAAAAATCAAGAAAGGTTGACAAGGAAGGTGAGAAATTAAGAAAGGTCTTGAACAAAACTGAAGGTGGTGTATATGAATCAGAAGATGATGATAAGCTTAATCCATACCTTTCTAAATCAGATTTAGAAAGTGAGAATGAAAGTGAAGACGATGAAGTAACACAAGTGAAAACAGAAGCTACCGAGGAAAATATTCCTAAGCCAGAACAACCAAGAACAATTTTCGCTGGAAATCTCGGGGATGGTTTTGTTGTTATCAAAGCACCTGCTACATTTTTACAAAACTTCCCAGCGGGTGAATGGAGTATTAACGGCAGAAAGAGAACTTCGCCTGCTGCAGAATCTCCTAGAAAGGCAGCAAGAATTAGTGATGAGAAGACCAATGGTCTGGATAGAAAAAGCGTTTCCCCAACTCCAAAGGCTAGTCTGGTCGGCGCTGGTGCAGTTGATTTGAACTCAGTTGGCCCTGATGGAGTTTTGGTTACTACTAAGGAAGTTTTGGATATTGTTCGTGACACTCCTCTCACAACGAAGGATCTTCTTCAAGGCTTAAAGAATCGTGTCAATGCGCATAAAGACAATAAGCAAAGAATCATTGCGATTGTTAAGCAAAACTTGAAGTTAATCGATGGTAAACTTGTCTTGAAAGAAGATAATTAAGAAGCCTAATTTTTTTTTTTTAAGTTTTTGATTTGCTCAATGAGCGTCTGTTAATTTACAACTATATTATATACTTTTATAAAACTTCAACAATTTTATCATCTTCTTCATCACTATCATCACCATCAACTTCCATATCGTCTTGTGGAGCTTCATCTCTCATTAACATTTGAACTAATCTGTCACAAAGTTCAGCAACTTCTTCAACTTCAAGAGCCTTATGTAATTCCTTTACTAATGCATAAACAGCCTTTTCCTTCAAATACTCTCTCATTTTTCTGGTGGTACAAAGTAAAAGCAAAGATTCCAAATGAGTACAGATAATTGACAGGAGAGGTTCTCTCTTCTTGTCAGCGTCTAATAATTGTAATTCTTCTGGTAAGTTGAACATATCATCATCATCGATTTCTTCTGGTCCAGAAATTGGAAGTAAAATGTATGGCAACAAGTTAAGTTTTGGTTCATGAACCAAAGTCCAGTGTGCGTTAGTATCAAACAATGAGTTCTTAATAGTGGAAGCTACACCTTCTCTTCTGATGTTAGATTCATAGAATTCCGTGAAGACAAGAAGCTTGGAAAGAGGAACAACTTCATCATATTCTTGTTCTGTAATGAAATAAGCTCTACCTTGTTCGAATCTAGAAATATCGGCGAAGAAGTAGGACAAGTAGTCGTATTCGGCTCTCTTGTTGAGAGTACGGTTTGCACCCTTGACAAAACAGTCCATAAGACAGTCCATAGCTTTGGTAGACTTGAAGACCTTGCTGTTTTCTTCGTTATGCTTAATGGTGAAGTCAAAAATCTTGTTAATAGAATCATTCTTAGCCAAGTTTGTAAGTAAGATACACATGATATCGGCGTTGGCATTTTCGATGTCGACAATACTAGAAATCAAGAATTCTAAGAATTCCAAATCTTCTACAATACGGTTACGCATAGTTATGTCGTCACAGAGGTTGGCCAAGATAGTCACAGCTTGGTTAGCAGTGGTTCTACCCTTAGATTTAGCCATCACCTTCAAATCTTTGATGGCAGTGTAGTCTTCATAGCTGAAAACTTGTTGGTGGGCACCAGTAGAGAACCCGACAAGGTTATCCAAAGCAACCTGGGCAATAGCTGGCTGAGGGGAGTGCAAAAAGGACACAAGTTCTTCTAATTCAGTAGGCATATTGGGTATATAGGTTTATGGACTTAATACTAAAATATTTTTTTCTTTATTCACCTTCTTTTGTCTTCTGGAACATCGAATCTTTTTTTTTTTTCTCATCGCATTACTAAGAGTTGCACAAACAAATATCATAGGCATGGAAGCCTTATACATAAACTTTAAAGGATAAAATTTATACTTCTTTGGCAGATAGTGATTAGGTGGGAATGACTTGATATCGTATAAAATTTGAGAATATCCCTAAAGCACACTTATTCTTCAAGACTGTCCCGTTTTAAATTATGAGTTTCAATCTTTTTGCAGCCTACAAATAGTTATCATATCTAGAAAAATTGTTTATTATTTATTGACCAACTCATTGGTTATTCTTCCTTATCAACCACTTGGATGTAATAATAGTAGAAAGCAATCAATTCCAAATGAGAATCAAAGGAAAGTTTTTCATCAACAGAATGGATATTTTCCCCTGGAACAGAGCCAGGTGAGTATCTATATATATGGTTTGTCAACTCCCAATAACTCTTGGTGTCAGTATTACCAATGGAAATATATGGAGCAGGAATAAAAGGTTCTTTTGTTTCAGGGAAAACCAAATCCTCATACAAATATCTTAAAGCGCCCCCAAAAGTTTGCCAAATTTTATCGTTGATTGGGGTTATTGGTGCAGGTTCCAACGGTTCATTTAAAGTATAGTTGAAGTATCCATTTGCAGTAGGATATACAACAACTTCTCCTTCATATAAAATACCAATATCATATTTTTCAGCAAGTACCTTAATTTCGTCAAGAACCTTTTCAGCCGTCAGAGAAACAGTTTCTTCGATGGCAATCCGATGGTTAACAAGAACAGAGGCGAATTCTGGCAAGGCATTCGATTTGGCACCTCCTTGGATAATATCAACTGCTTGTGAAGTTGCAATAAGATATCTAGTCAGTTCCTTTGAAATGTAATCAATAACGGCCTTATTAGAGATTGGATTCAAATGTGCTTGTAAAATATCCCGCTTCAAAGTGGTATCTACGGACTTTGAATGCTCAGCAACACATTGTAATTGGTTTAAAACCGGATTGATATTGGTAAGTAAACTTTCATATTGTGCATCTTCAATATTGGTTATCAATCTTGCAAGTATCCCAATCAGAGTATGGTCTGGAGGAACAGATGAATGCCCACCAGGGGTGTACAACTCAATGATCGAGTTCAAATGTCCCTTTTCTCCTACAGCAGGAAGAATGAAATTAATTCCTTCAATTTTTTCAAACGCTTCATTTCCTTCATCAATAATAGCATAAAGTGAATCTGGACCATATCTCTCAGTCAAAACTTTTGAGATTTCTTGTGCTCCAGTCCCGCTAGATTCTTCGTCATATCCAAACGCCAAGATGATGGTTCTTTCAGGAGTGAAATCTTCTTTAAGAAGAAGTTCAGTAGTTTCTAAGAGTCCAATCAATAAGTTCTTACAATCTGAAACTCCTCTTCCATAGAGAAATTCTCCATCAAATACTCCTGCAAATGGAGCATGAGTCCATTGGTTAACAGTCTCCTTTTGAACAGGTACAACATCCATGTGTGCAGTGAGCATTAGAGGCTTTTTAGAGGAATTCGAACCTTCCCAAGTGTAAATAAGAGCGAATTTATTAACAGTCTCAACTTTCAAGTGCTTATGTACCAAGGGGAAAGTTTTCAGCAAGTATTCATGGAAACGTTCAAATTTTTCCCAGAGAGGTTCCAAACGGTATAAATCTTGCTTTGATTCAGCAGAGTTTGGATTACATGTATCATCATAAATCTCAGTTGGAATACGAATGGCGTTTGCCAACTTAGTGACGGAATTATCTCTGAACTCTGAATCATTTAGAATTTTATTTAAGGTTGAGTTATTCAATAAGAATTCAGATGGATCTAATTTTTCTACTAATGGGCAAAGGGAGTCTGGATTGGTACTAAAAGATGTTGAAACATTAATATTTTTGATCGAATACTTGTTAGATAAGACCACATACAAAAGTATACTAGCAGTTAAAAACACTCCAATAAATTTATGGAAAACATGCTTTCTTGAACTTTTTCTCTCTTCATCATTTAATTCAAAACCATGAATCTTCTCGTGGATTGGAAGCATTTTATATTGTACTTTTTGATAATGAAATTGATTCTAATGATTAAGTAGTTTGGAAATTATATCGCCCCTATCACAAGTTTTGTGTTATCAAGCAATCGATTAGATATCAGGAAATCCTGCATCTCACCAATCTACGTTTCTACAGTATAATGTCTACCTAGTATGTTTATTATATATGTAATAGATATAAGATAAGCTAGTATTGAGCAAACCAGAAAACTTGATCATTGAGAGCCTTTTCCTTGGCATACTTGACTTCTGGGATTGAAATGTCTCCCTTGATGGCAAACCCATGGGAACAGTGGGAGAACAAATCAATTTGGTATCTGTTCTTTCCTTCAATCAAGGCATCTTCAGTTTGACGTCTCAATTCAACTGGGAAGATTGGATCAGTTTCAGCAGCTGAGATAAGAATTGGCTTGGTGATAGCCTTAATATCTTCGATAGTAACAAAAGATGGATGGGCAATGGCACCTGCATCGAAAAGAGGGTTCTTTCCAATAAGTTGAACAAGATATTTAGCACCGAAACAGTAACCAACACCAACAAATGTCTTTGGTTTGAATTCATCCTTGACCTTGCTAACAAATGAATCAATGATTGGAGTTGTAATATCAGCAGTGTGGTTCTTGATCCAATCTTGAAGAGTGGCCTTGTTGGCTTCATATGGGTCTTCATTCAAGATGTCTGGAATCAAGACATGGTAACCAGCCTTGCAGAATTGATCAGCAACCAAGAGGGTGTTCTTAAACTTGTAACCATGAATGTCGGTAATAATGACAAGAATACGTTCATTACCATTTTCTTTACCAACTTGGTAGGTGCTATGGCCCAAAATGTCAACAAAGGAACCAGAAGGTTCACCTTCGTGAATTGTGCTTTGAGTGCAGCATGCGCCAGGAGGATTAGAAGCCATCTTTAGTTAGAGATATATTTTAAGGGTTAAGAAAAGTGTTATGGAAATAAAATGAAATAGCTAAGTCCGAATATCCGAATTTGTACCTGTACAAAAAAATACTGCATATTTATAAACGGGGAGTTAACGTTAGTTAACTCCGTTTTAATTTACAAATATTTACAAATGAATGCACATGTAGTAGGACATAATAAAAAAAAAAAATAGGTAGAACATATCGACATAAGAATTAATTAGAAAGATAAATTGTTTAATTTTAAATCGTTTATATTCATTGGAATATATTTGTTTTGAATATAAGCAAGATTTTTTTTTTGTAGGAGAACTAAGCGGGGAGAGACATTGTAAAGGGGTGGTGGTACCCTACTTAGTAATTTAAGGAGGCATATTAATTTAATTACTCTACTAAATTGATTTTTTTAATAATTAATTGTCCAATTCAATATGTAATATTTAATCTATCAAACTAGTTTCATCATCTTTTTGATTTCCTAGTCCACTTCTTCTACTACCATCTTTTGATCTATCAACATAAACCATATTTGTTTCATCCATTTCAAGTGGAGTTCTATAAACTTCCTTGGAGTTAAATCCAGGGAAATAAGACCATGATTTGCTTACTACTGGAAGAAGGCCCTTATTGTAATTACAGACCATTATAGCTTCAATAACAATCGTACAGATTAAAAGTGCAAGAGTAATTGCACCAAAAGTGATTAATGATTTCCGACCCGGGAAATATTCTCCAGGAACCAACCCTTCATTGTATGCTGAAGTATACTTTGTATAAAGTCTGATCATTTTGAATAAAACGTATGCACATCCACCTGAAAATAATGCAATGCTAGTTAAACTAACCCATAAAAGTTCCCTTGTAGTTGCAAAATCACTCAAGAAAAGTACAATTAATGTAATTGGAAGGACACAAACAGTCAATATAAATTCTACTGAATGCTTATCTGCAACCATAATCACCAAGAATTGAACCGTAAACCCAATAAAGAAAAAGAAATCAAAGATCAATAATGAACGATGAACTTGGAATATGTTATACATTCTTCTGATTTTGATATCTCCTCCAATTTTCTTATATTGAAACCATGATACATCTTTACGCAACACAAAGAAAATTAACCAAGCTTGTGAAATCAAAGTGAACCCCAAGACTGCAATGGTTGCAATATTAGTGGCAGCAGTGGCAACTTTCCATTTCCCTTCCAAGATTTCTGTTATATTATTGTGCACTTCTTGAAATTGAATACCAGTATATACTAACATACAACAATAGAAAATACACAACAGAGTTAATAATAACATATTTTTCTCTCGAAGTCCTAGAATTGTGAGGGCAACTTGATATAATGATGCAAAGATGAATAAGGAAAGGTATATAGACATTTCAGTATATCTTTCCGTACTATTGATATCTTTTTTATGAATATTAATAACAGCGTACATGTACACTTCAAACAAAAGAACTAAAATTGCACTAACAATGGATATAAGTAAAAAGGTCTTGGATCCTTTCCTATATTTGGCACTATTATTAGTTTTAAGATTAGATTCAATATATCCATTCCCTATTGAAGATTCATTTGAAATGGATTGATTTATAGGTTGTAATGTAGCTTCCCCATATGGTTGATAGCTTGGCTGTGGTGGTTGGTAAATTGAATCAAAATTAGTTACTAACTCTTGTTGTTTATTCCTTGAATTGTTCGATTTAGGATCTTCAACTTTTGCAAATTGAAAAAAGTTTTCCTCCAGTTCATTCTCCGAAGGGATCTCATCGTGAAATGGGTCTTGACCTTGATTGCCGATTTGCTTATCCATATTTCATTTATTCAAATTGGTGAAAAAAAGACAGTGTAAAATAAAAGGATGGATTCAATAACTCAAAAAAAAAAGAAAGTGACAAGATAAACGATTTAAGAAAGAGTGATAAAAAATATATATATTTTTGGAATCCTAGAACAAACGAAAGTTAAGTCGGAATGCATAGTTTCAGTTCGAATACAAACGGCGTAATTTCGCTAACCCCCCCACATATATCCGCATTTTGAATGGGAAGGTAGAGAAAAAAAAAAATTATTAAAAAAGAGTAAAAGGCAGTACGAAAGTATGAAGTAGGGTGTGGAACAGTGGAATGAACTACGACCATACACGATTCAAGAGAGAGACTCACTCTTTGAAATTTCATTATCTTTCATGCTTATTATCAATTAAACGTATCTTCTCTTTTACCATGTTTATATTTAACCTTTCAGTATAGGGATTATTTTCGATATTCTATTTTTTTCTTATTTATATTCTTAATTATAATCCATCGTAATCATTAGGGTTTTCTGCAACAATGCCTTCAGATTCTTCACGTAGATCCAACCATGAAACACTACTGAATTCACCAGTAGTATTCTGAATAACCTTTGCAACACTATCCTCAGTTACCAACAAACAAATTGCATCGAACCCACCTGCACCTGGAACAACTCCACCTAAAACACCTGGTAATTGATCACAATTGTCAAGAAGTTTAGTTTGTGATTCTGGCTCAACATCGGCACCAGAAAATTTTGTTAATTTACGAAGATTAACTCGTATATCACCAATAGATTGAATCATTGGTTGGAATGGACCATCCTTGGTGACTTTATCATCAGTAAGACCCGTCAAGTATGTGTCATAACTGTTAGGATCAGATGTATATGCCAATTGAGCTTTTTGTAAGGAATCTATAAGTGACTTATTAGCATTGTTTAAGTCAGTGTAGAGTTTAGTACTTTCTACAACATTTTCTTTTTTCCAGGCATGAACCTTAGAAACAAGTTTTGGAGTTTCAGAACCACCTTCAATATCCCCCATTAATAATCTGATTTTTGGTGGTAATGCTACCGGTTTGGCAGTGAAATCCCATTCAGAGTCAATCAAAGTTCTGAGTTTAACGTGATCGGATTCACCAGTAAGATATGATTCGTCTGCAAATAATGAATCAATGTCTTTTGGATCAAATCTACGGTATATAATGGATCCAAAAATGGCTGCTGCTACATCAAAACCTGATCCAATTTTCTTTTGTGCATAACAATGAGCGATCTGTGCGGTATTGTGAATAATATTCTTCAATGATTGAATATCTTGACCTTTCTTGAAATGACTAAGAAGTGCTGTTGAAATTACAGACACCAATCCAGCTGAGGAACCCAAACCAGTTTTGGCAACTTGATCAATTGGTTTCCCATGGAATAGAAATTCCTTTTGGTTATTGCTAGAGACTTTTGGAATTGCACCTGATTTTGAATGATACCCTGGATCAGAAAAAATTCTAATTACAATATTAAATGAATCTTGAGGTTGAATATACGCCAATACTGTAGAGATAGTAGCTTCAACAAATGGGTTTCTACGATTCTTTTTCTCTTTCAAGTCTTTGGTGTATACCTTGTCTGGGAATGTGTATTCCCATTCACCTTCAAATTGAGGTGAAAATATGGAAATTGTAGAGTTATTATCACCAGTGTTTGATTCTTCTTCTGAAATAACAGCATGCATTCTAGACGACAATGCGGTCACATATGATGGATACTGTGGATCCAAAACGAGGTATCCTCCAGCTAGGAGGGCTTTCCCTGGTGCACTATAAGCTTTCATATCGACTGTTGAAACAAAGTGTTGTGTTCACTAGTAGTTTTTACCTATAATCGTCGTTTAACGTACTAACACACTACCTGCATGGGAAGATCACAAAAGCTGCGAAAAATAAAAAAAATAATAAAAACAACTCTGTGACTAAGACCTCAGTGCATGCGCGCTTCACTAAAGGAATTTTATCTAAATATATAGTCTGAAAGAGAGTACTTAGCTCATTATTCTATAGATATAAAAAAACGCATAAATGTCAGATATAGAAACAGAAATTTCTGCCTTAAAGAAAACTAAGACCATTGGTATTATTGGTCTTGGTGATATGGGCTTCTTATACGCCAAGAGATTTGGCGAAGCTGGATGGACAGTTGTTGGATGTGACCGGGAAGATCAATTTGAACAAACCAAGGCTAAATATGCCGGTGAGCCATTTGAAGTGTTGAAAAATGGACATTATGTGTCACGGATTTCTGACTATATTATTTATAGTGTTGAAGCCGAAAATATTAACAAGATTGTTTCAATTTACGGACCATCAACAAAATTTGGATCAATTGTTGGGGGTCAAACTTCTTGTAAAGGGCCTGAAATTGCAGCATTTGAACAACATCTTCCTCAAGATACCAGCATTGTCTCTTTACACTCTCTCCATGGACCAAAGGTTAATACTACGGGACAACCATTGGTTTTAATCAAACATAGAGCCAATGACACAGACTTCAAGTTTGTGGATTTATTAGTTTCATGTCTTAATTCTAAAGTTGTCTATCTCTCTGCATCGGAACATGATAAAATTACCGCCGATACACAAGCAGTGACACACGCAGCATTTCTCTCCATGGGTGTCGCTTGGAAATCCATTAATCAATATCCATGGGAAACTCCAAGATGGGTTGGAGGTATGGAAAATGCTAAAATCAACATTTCTCTTCGAATTTATTCTAATAAATGGCATGTTTATGCTGGGCTTGCCATCACAAATCCAGCAGCACATGATCAAATCTTACAATATGCTAACTCTGTCACTGAATTGTACACATTGATGATTCAGGGTAAAGAGACTGAATTGAGAGAGAGATTAATGAAAGCAAAGGAATATGTATTTAAAAATGTATCTAATACAGATATGTTACTTGATGATAATTTATTGGAAAAGTTTTCGTTAAGTAAAGTCCCACCAGGAGGTAGACAACCCAATTCACACTTATCTTTATTAGGGATAGTCGATAGTTGGTACAAATTAGGAATTGTTCCATATGATCATATGATTTGTTCCACTCCACTTTTCCGGATATTCCTTGGTGTTACTGAATACCTTTTCTGCACTCCTGGATTACTTGAAGAATGTATCAGTGTTTCTGTGAATGATCCAACCTTTAGACATGATGATTTAGAATTTACTATTGCTGCTAGAAATTGGTCAAAGATTGTTTCATTTGGGAACTTTGACCTCTACAAGCAAGAATTTGAAACAGCTCAAGAGTTTTTCAAACCAATGCTTGGAGAAGCAAATAGAATTGGAAATGAAATGATTAAAACGATTTTAGAAAGAGTTAGAGAAAGGGAACAATAAACAAAACGCTTCAGAGGGGTGAATATTATAGATGATATATACTACATGATAATAATAATAATGATAATAATAATAATAATGATAATAATAATAATATACTTGATAAAATAATGTCCTTTACTTAATTTGACAATTCTCTATATTGAATATATTACGTAGAATTTAGAACGTTGATTTGTTTTTAATTGAAATATGCGATAAGGATGATGACAGGAAGGAACGTAGATAGGGTGTCATTAGGACAATAGAGTCGTATAAATATATGGACGGGATCATTATAATTGCTCATCCTTAATAACGTCCATGAGCCAGTCCAACCCTTCAGTTAAACCTTCACCTTTCAAGGCACTAGATGCGACTATACTCCAACTTCTATCTTTTAAATCAGTCAAGTTAAGAGCTTGGGAAACCTCAGCAGCTGTCATAGCTCCGGCTTGATCTTGTTTATTGGCAAAAACCAACAATGCCGAGTCCAATAACTCTTCTTCTTTCAACATCATATGTAATTCTTTACTTGCAATGGCAATACGATCTTTATCGGTGGAATCAACCACAAATATGACTGCTGCAGTATTACTATAATAACATCTCCAATACGGTCTGATAGACGTTTGACCACCCAAATCCCATATATTAAGGGTTAAGTTTTTGTATTGTAAAGTTTCTACATTGAATCCAATGGTAGGTTTGGTGGTGACCACCTCACCCATTTGTAATCTGTATAAAATTGTAGTTTTTCCGGCACCATCCAATCCTAAAATTAAGATTCTAATGTCTTTGTTAATTCCCCATAGTTTACCAAAGATATTCGTGAAGCTAAAAACCTGTCCCATGATGTATTTGCTGTATTTGATAGCTAGTGTATGCTATTAAAAGATGAGAAAAAAGAATGATCCTTTAGATTGATCTCAATGAAACAAACGGCGGCAAATGACAACAAGAGCCGAGAAAAACCAAAAATGAACAAAAATGAACAAAAAAAAAAAATGAATATTACAAAGTACATACAAAAAAACAAAATGAGACTATGGAGAAAAATTCAGAAATTGGAGTAAAATTGGGGCAAAAAAAATACGATACACGTAAGCGGCAATAATATAACTGGGAAGAATGTGACAATACAATAAACAATGAGAGAAGATATATCTATATATAGATTAGTGTATAAAACAATTAGTTTTTTTTTTAATTGAACTATTCCATAGAATTAGATATTAAATAATAAGTTTCGTATTATGAATGATCGCATTTTATGTCCGTCTAGACTCCAGAGATCATGTGAGGAATCACGCAGCAATTTTGAAACACTGAATTAAATGTGTTAATTAAATATGTTGATTGAACGATTAATTATTTAAGAAAAGGATTGAAACCCATAAAAGCTATATTACGATATAATGACCAAAGGAATTTTAAGAAATAAACTGGAAGTAGAAGTACACCAAGATGTAACATCTGATGCATTGGATCGTCAAGAAGTTATCCGTAACACAAGGCTCAATGCACACTTGACCTCTGAACACACCAAGGGGGACATATTAAGGGCAAAACTTGCTGAGCAAAAGGCACACGAGGCCGAAGAAAATAAAGAAATCAAACCTAGTGAGAATGCAAATGAACATTTGAAATGGGATGAATTGAACTTATACAAAACTGAACAAGAAAAGTGTGCCACTATGAAGATTGATGAACCAAAGACTCCATATGAAGGTGGATTCAACCCCGAGGGTGAATATTATAAAGAAGATGAAGATATTCCCGGGTTTGAGTTAGGTGAAGGAGAATTCAATGGCGATTCGAACAAGATTGAATCTTTGAATGGAGGAGAAATTATTAGAAATGAAGAAGAAGGAGAAGAAGAAGAGGACCAAGAACCGGAAGAACCGGAAGAAACACAAGAAGAAAGACACAAGAGATTTGAAGAAATGAGAAAGAAACATTATCATTTGAAAGGAAATGCTTTAAAACATGGAATCCAAATTTCTGATGATGAAGAGGAATAAAATTGAATTAAACGTATTTGTATTTAATAGTTAATAAAGAATCGAGAACGAGATTAAATGTAGAGAAATCAGTTTAATGAAGTATGAGTTGATTAAAATTGAAAATGAACGCTACGGTATAATTATCGGAGTTAAATAGTCTATTTCTAAACACTTGACTTAAGCAAAGTACTTCAAGTCGGAAACACCCAATTCAGCGGCAACATCAATGAAAGCTTGCTTAACAGTGGCAGCATCGGCACCAGTAACCTTGGCAGCGACAGAAGTCAATTGAACGTCAGAGAACTTTTCAATCAAGTAATCAACATCTTCTTCAATGGCAGCACTCTTGTCAGCATCACCAAAGAATTCGACTTCCTTAACAGAACCTCTGATAGATCTCTTGTTCTTCTTCTTGGCAGCCTTAGCAGCTTCCTTAGCCTTCTTGGAGTTTTGCTTGGAAGAAGCAGCTTCTTCAGCAGCCTTCTTAGCAGCTTCTTCTTCAGCGGCCTTCTTAGCAGCTTCTTCTTCAGCAGCCTTTCTGGAACCAGCTTCACGTTCCCACTTCTTTCTTTCCTTTTCCTTCTTGGCGTTGTCCTTGAACAACTTAATTCTTGGATCTTCAGAGTAAGCTCTTTCAACCAAGTCAATAACTCTCTTGTTATCTTCTTGCTTGTACTTCTTTCTAGCAGCTACATTCTTACGTTCAATGTAACGCTTGTGGTCTCTGTTAGCAGTGTCATCTGGAACATCTTCATCCTTGAATTCGAAAGTCTTCCAAGAATCAAACTTACCCCAGAAGTTGTAAAAGTTGTCAACTTCTTCCTTAGAAGCTTCAAGATTACCCAAAGCTGGAACTGGTTGCTTCTTGGAGAATCTAGCTTCACTGTCAAAGACTGGTCCCCAGGCTTCAAAGAAATCGTAAGTGGACTTAGCAGCTGGTGGTGGAACGTCAGCATTAGTGTCAACAGAGTCAAATTGTTGTCTCTTGGTAGCATCCAACATGACATCAAAGGCCTTTTGGATAATCTTGAAGAAACCATCTTGTTCCAAACCACCACGAGCAGATTTCTTATCTGGGTGATGCTTCAAGACTTGCTTTCTGTGAGCTCTTCTAATTTGATCTTCAGTAGCTCTGTATCTCAACTTGGACAAACCCAAAACAGCGTACAAGTCGGCGTTCTTCCATTCTCTAGGGTCGTGTTGCAATAATTCTTCATCTTGATCTTCATCACCAATGTCTTCATCTTCGTTTTCTTCAACAACAGTGACATTCTTTTCAGCTTCCAACTTTTCGAATTCAGACCAAGTGTGGCCTCTCAAAGTTCTTGAAGCATGAGCAAGGAAGTATGGACCAACTGGTTCAATTGGACGACGGGTTGGTTCGGTGTATTTGTTGACAACCTTGAAGGTTTCAGATCTGGTACCACTTGGTAAGGTAATAGCCATTTTATCTAGTTTATAATATACAAAGTAATAAATCCATCGATATATGTTAAAAAAAAAAGCTTCAAAATTTTTTGAGCATTGATGGGAATCATTCTCAAGGTCGTGCACAAGGGTACAAAATGCTTATACTTATTATCAGGAACCTTAGTGTAAATAATAAAGCCTCCTTTAAATTATTACAATGTATAAAGGTAGCAGGAACTCCTTCATAAGCATCTACTGCACTACTATGTCATTATATCCTTTTTTATTTTATTTTTTATTCCATTAGTTTATATTATTTTCTCTCCTTGAATATGTCAATCACTTCGATGATCAATCTTCCTTTTTGGCAGCCATATCTAACACTTCAATCGACCCTTCATTTTTCTTCTTTTCCAAGATCTCAACAATTTCTCTGTAGTTAACAGGGTCTATAATACCGATACATTCAAACATTTTAGCATTTTGGGTTTCTTCTTCAATACTATCTATCAATGGTTTGATATCAATGTCAAAAGTTTGTTTCTTGATCTTATTCAAAAGTGTGATCTTCACCTTCATTTGAGCACGGGCAATTGGAATGATTTGCTGGGCCACAAGAAGTTTTATGGCATCAAGAGCTTGTTGTTTAGTTGGTCTTGTAGGACTCAAGTGGAATTTACATTGATCAAGAGCCTTTTGAATCATAGATGGAGGATATCTCTTTTTCGACTTTGGATTGATACATTTGGTGGAGATAATAGTCAAAAATTCATTTTGCTTTTGTTGTAAATTGGCATTTCTTTCCTTTTCATTTAGTTGGATTTCTCCCTTATCCAAGATTTCAAGGATAATAGTGTCTACATCAGTACTTCCAAAACATGAAATCATATCTTCATTACTGGCAACTTGTCCCTTGGACACATTGGCAAAGACTTGTGGAATTTGAAGTACTTCATCAAGATCTTTTTCAACTTTCAGTCTCCAATCTTGTACTTTATTTTGGTAGCAAGCAATCTCAAATCTCTTTTTACCCTTCTTCATCCTCACCAACGAGACGTTGGTGAGTTTGATTTGGGTCATTGGTTGGTTGATTTTACCCATATTTTATCTATGTTCTGTATTCTATGTAATTGAAGGAGAGTTTTGCCATCCTATATATATATTTTTTACTCGATCACATATGTCATCTCTCTCACACACTCATCCTTCATATAACCGTAAGGCTTATACATTAAGCAATTTCTACCATGAATATTCAATTTAATTTCTACAACTACATCATCTGCAATGTTACAAGATCAATATAACCTGATATTAAATATATATACCTCTTTGTACGACGGCAATCAGTGGTTTGAGCTACTTTAGATTAGTTTCTTTTATACGTTTTTTTTTTGTTCTATTCTGTGCAAATGCGCTTATTCGTCATCTTCGTCATCTTCAGAAGCACCAAGGTTACCCTTGATATCCTTCCACAACTTACCCTTGTTGTGGTTTTCGTACCAGTTGGTGACGGCAACATCGAAAAAGCCCTGGAAGACAAAGGCACCACCGAAAATAGTGGCGACGTAAACAGAGTTTCTCTTAAACAAGTTAGATACAAAAGACTGCTTCGTTAGTAGATGATTAGACTAAAGAGGGAAAATGTGACATATTGGAAGTAATGGTAAGAATATATGATCCGGTATCTGTGAATCACTTGAACATAAAACATTCATGGAGTGTCTACTTTATCTCGTTCTCATTCTCTTTTTGTACTTTGCAATTTGAATAGTTTATAAATTTTGTATGATGGGTCAGATGGCCATATAGCAAGACTCATATCTATTGCTTGTGGTTGAATAAATCTTGAAGGTTGTCAATTTTGCGGGAACCCTTAAATTTAATAACGGGGTTAAAAATACATTCAATATTAACAACGGGTTGCCTCAAATTCTAACATATGAACCGATTACTACAGCCAATGCATATCCAGCGTCACTATACGATGTGTAACTTAATACATACCATTTTTGTTGCTTTCTATAAATCTTTAAATGAATAAATTAAAGGTTTGATGTTATATTCGTTTTAGTTTTCTCGTCGAATTGATTGGTCAGACTATATACAGGAATATGATATATACACAACTTATATTTTTTACCCTATCTATACATAACCTCAAATTCAACTCTACTGATGGAAGTGTTTAGTTAATTTTATTTATTTTCTTAATAATCCTATTGATATTGAAATATCGGTAACATGTTATAGCAAAACCAAGAAATCAAAAAAATTTAAAAAATTTGTTTATATATATATATTAAAATCAAATCGAAGTCTATCTCTAGTACGATTATTTAACACCATTTGTTCCCTTTCCATTTAGATTAAACTAACCTTCCAACTTGGCGTCCTTTAATTCTTCAGTAACCTTTTCAACAGAAGCAGGAGGGGTTTGGGACTTACCAGCACCTGGGTAGAAAGTACCCTTGTTCTTGACCTTCTTTTCCTTCTTTTCCTTCTTTGGTTGAGCAACTGGGTAACCTTGAGCTTGGATCTTTTGGAATTCTGGGTCGGCATCAAATTCGGCCTTAATTGGTTCCAATAAAGCAACGATTTGATCAGCAACTCCAGCCTTCAAGTCAACTGGCAGCAAATCACCAGAAGCATAATCGGCCTTAACCTTGTCAACAGAATCAAAAGAAATTGGACCACCATATTTCTCTGGTCTGTTGATTTCAAAGCTGAAAACACCTTCCTTTCCGGCTTTGAGTTCTTGGATTGGTTGAACAACATATTCAAGGAAGGCGATAAGACCATTACCTTCAACTTCACCAGGTGCACAGAATGCACTGTTAACCTTCTTTCTAATTTGCTTTGGTTCTTCCAAGATATCAATCTTGGAGTTAGGGTCAGAAGCACTCATCTTACCACCTTGACCAAGACCTGGAACCATAGGGTTCATCAAATGAGCACGCTTCTTGTATCCAATACTATGAAGGTTTTCTTCGGCCATAACGAAAATCTTTCTTTGATCTATACCACCGAATTGAGCATCACAACCCAAATGTTCTTCATCAAGAGCTTGCATCAATGGGTAAATCAAACCGGACAATAATGGGTTAGAAACTTGCTTAACAACATCAGCACCAGCTCTCTTAGCGTCATTTTGTGTCATAACGTTGGATAAACGGAAAATATCCATGGTGTATTGTTGAGATAATTGGTAAGAAGAACCAACCACGAAACGCAACTTTTCAATAGGAACACCAATAGAACGTAAGATTGCCTTAACAATGTATTCGTAGTATTTGGCTCTGAAGTTAACCACTTCAAGTGGAGCCTTCATGTTGTCCAAGAAGGCGTGCAAGTCAGCAAGAAGAACGGTGACTTCACATCCAGCCTTCAAGAAATGAGCAAGTTTGATCATTGGAACAAAGTAACCACAATGTGGCTTACCAGTTGGAGCAGTCCCCCAGTAAATCTTAAGTGGTCTCTTTTCCACTTCCAAGACATTCTTGATGATTTGACCATTCAAGGTTTCTTGAAGGTTCTTGGTAATTAATCTGTATTGTTCTTCTGGGTCTGTGACAATAGACATGGCGATTAGTTTCCTCTGTGGGATATTGAGTACAAATCTTTTAAAATGAAATAGTTGAACTTTATTGTCAATTTTCGATGATTTATGACTAAAAACGAAAAATGATATATGCAGGACGTATGATTTTTGTATATCAAGATATATTTCCTTATACTAACTTAACAAGGGAGTATAGAGAGTGAATAAGATAAGATTAAATAGAAATTCATGATGTTATTATATATAATTTAATTTGAATAGAAACAATTTATATGTGATCATTAAGAGCTTAAAAAAAAAAATACAATACAACAAGTTGGAACACAATTATGTAGAGGAATTACATAAGCTGCACATAAAGCTTTTTAAGTTAAAGCAAGAATAATTGTTAGTAAAATAAGGAAGTATAACTTGCAACTTTAATCAGTTATCGGTTTATTTAACCAAAAAACTACTACATACATTTTTACACCTTCTTCTTTAAGTTGTGCTTTTTATTTCAAGATATCCACGTGATATATTTTTCTGTACAAAATTTTACTGTATCAAAAAATGGTAGCGGAGGACTGTATGTAAATTACTTGAGCACACAGGTACATACCTTCTCACAAAAAAAAAAAGGGAATTGAGAGAAGGCTTTTATACCTTTTTCCTTCTCTATAGGTTAAACTTGTCAAGCAATATTGCTAATTTTTTTTTACCTTTATTTTATAGATTGAAATTGAAACAAACCATTGGGAACAGCGGAGAGGCTATATAATTGAAACTCAATTAATAATTAGAAGCTTCTAAGACTATTTCGAAAGGTTGTATAAGATCAGGAATCATTGATCTAAGAAGCTTAAATAAAATATTAGATAGGAATTAACAATATGAATCCTAAAGATCTTGAGAATTTCTTGAGAAAATTCCCAAGCACAAAGAAATCATGGATTGAACGCGAGAATGACAGTGATGATGACGATGACTTTGATGAGTTTAGACGAGTAATTTTGATCTTATTCTATGCTGCCACTAATGAAGGAGCTCATATCAAGGAGATCTTCCCAATGATTACAAATTCTGAAATTGATGATTTAAAGGGATACAACCTATACTGTAGTCATTCCAAAACGTCATTTTATTTGAGAGCCAAAAACGAGAAATATACTCACCCAGCAAATAAAGTCTGTGCTAGAGCATTTCAAAAGGGAGAGCCTGTGTATCGATGCGAGCAATGTGGGTTTGACGACACATGTGTCCTTTGCATGTATTGTTTCAACAAAAAGGACCATGTTGACCATGATGTTACGATGTATAGATCTCAAGGTTCCAACGGTGGTATTTGTGATTGTGGAGATCCAGAAGCTTTTGTCAATGAATTAAATTGCCTGTGTCAAACATCCTCGATTATTCTGGAGAATGATTCTGAAGGAATGAGTAAAGATTTTCATGATGCTCTTTATAACACCATCAAAGTGGTATTAGACTATATTTTGAACGTTACTAATTTTTCAACTGAAATGATTCCATATATTCATGACGCTGCAAAGGGTAGTACCGATAAAACTAATAACTTGGCAAATTATGCAGCTAGCATTTATAAGGACGACGATGCTCCGGACACTATTGATACCTGGTTTCTTATATTATGGAACGATGAATACCATGACTGGAAACAAACCGAAAGAGTTATTATGGAGGCCCTCCTTGTTAGTCCAGAAGAGGCCAACAAAATTGCAACCGAAGTAGATGCAAAGGGCCGTAAAATTGTCCTTTCTGGGGTCACTTGCACCGAATTATTTAAAGCACAGTCTATTCTCGAATCTGAAGGATTGGTTACTACTATTACCCGTAGCTCTAGATTTGCTAAGGAAAACTTAATTCCATATTTAATTTTATGGCTCAAGAATATCACAGAACTGAGTAGTCGTAATGGATTCCGCGAGGCATCCAAAGCTATTATTTGTGATTTACTCTTGCAACCAAATATTGAATTCACCACAACGTTTCCAATAGATCAATTAGGCTACAATGACAAAATTAAGAATATATGCTATGAGAATGGACTTCTAGTTGATAATGAATTCCCAAATTGTGGGCTTACACAAGTTAAGCACGAATTTTTAAATGGACCAGAAAAGAAGTTTAGACATTCTGCTGTTGATGATATTCTTGAAACTTCGATTAGTAATGATCCAAAGAATGTCGCTAAATCTAGAATTCAATTATTAATGTTGTTTGAAATGAGATTCCCGCATGACGTAAGAAAAATGTTGCCAAACTTTCTTTCCACAGTCCTTGTTGCTGATTCTTCTAAAAAGGCCATATTTTGCCAACAATTGATTCAAGTCTATCCTAACTTACTCACGGGATTGGGACTTGCAGATCGTGAAGACCACTTGAACTTCTTGAATGACATCACAACCCAGATATTTACATGCCCTGCCAGTGTTCAACAAATCCACCAACCTACCTCCTCGAGACCCAATGGTGGACTTGGAAATGTGTTGGGTCCTCTCATTAGTGTGATTGAAGAGTTTTCTTCAAAACACAGTGAAATACTTGGTTTCCGTAACTTTATCCAAGAAGCTGGTAATCCGTCAGTGGTAAGACCAATTAAACGTGCCATAGTAAGAGGAATTAGAGATATATCTCATTTGGTAGACAAAATTTCTGTTGATGCTAATTTGGTATTTTCAGAGAATAATATGATAATGCTCATGATCTTTTTAAGATATTTCCAAGGTTATTGGCCAGTGACAAGAAAATATGGTGAACATGTCGAGCACGAAATAATGGACTTTGTTATTCATGCTGAATATTCTATTCCAATATTAACAATCGTGAAACATGTTGCCTCATATATTGCTGAGGATCCAAAGTTATCTGCACAAACAGCGCAATTGATTTTAAATGATTCTTTACAAGCAACAATTCCAATGAAATCTCCAGGTGTTGCCGACTTCCGAGTAAGCCGTGACCCGGTAGGTTTTATCAATCCAATCAATTCACTTTTGTCCTTCTTGGTTCAATACCAAGGATTTGACACTTTTGAACAGAATTTCAGTCAACTAACCAAACCATTTATGTACGTTTCTGACTTTTCTTTAAGAAGTCTCGTACTAGCTTCACAAGTGAAGATTGGTTTCTGGGTTAGAAATGGTATTTCTGTATCAAGACAGACTAGTCTTTATACTGATAATTTGATGAATGACTTAACATACTTTCGTGACTTTCATATGCAACAAGTTGCTGCCATAATCGACGACCCACGTAATACACTCTTCAACTTTTTAGATAGATGGGAATTGCTTGATTGGTTCTCAAATGAAGTTACTCATGATCAAACAATTTACGATGATCGATTTAACTCAATTTGTGAAGAGTTCATTATTTTTATTTACAACCTTATTACGGATAGAAGTTACTTCCAAACGATGTCATCAGAGGAAAGAACAAATCAAAGAACGAGAACTTCGATTTGCTACAAATTGAGTAATGAACCTAGAGCCTATTCCAAGCTCAAGGGGGATGTGGAAACTGAAATGTCTCACAATCCAGATTTTGATAAAATATTACATGAATGTGCAGATTATCTGCCACCTACCGGGCTTACCGATTCTGGTATGTACCGTTTGAAGCCAGAAATTTTCTTGAAGTTGGACCCCTTGAGTTTATACTTGGATAGCAATGAATTTCTGTCTGTTTCAGAATCGCTTATTACCCAAATTTCTAAACAGAAAAAAGTAAAGGAACATGAAGTAGTATTGTTCCCTAATATCACATTTTCTGATAACTCCACAGTGAACGAAAATATTGGTCGTTTCTCAAAAACTAAGGAGTTTACAAAATTGGTTTACAAATTATTCCAAGTTGCTATTGATACAAATGATGAAACATATGTATCTCAACTTTTGCATTTAGTACATGCTATATTGTTAGACGAAGAGGCTATCGGTGACGTTAACCATCTTTCGGAACAATTTGTGAATATTCCTGTGTGCAACCTATTACTCACTTTAGTAGAATCTACTATGTCTAAAAATGTTGTTACAAAATCCGAGTACTTGTTATCTCAACTTATGTCAAAGGATAATCGTATAGTGGAATCTTTAATTGACTGTTTTGGACAAGAACACGTTGATGCATATATTCAAAAGCAAACTGGGGCTTCTGAATCTGAAGCAGACAAGAAAAAACGCCAAGCTGAAGAACGTAGAAAGAAGGTTATGAAAAAGTTTGCTAAGCAGAGAGAAAACTTTTTGGCCCAAAATCAAGAACTAGGTGAGACAATGCAAGCTGAAAAACAAAATGAAGTCAGCCTTAGAACATGTGTTTATTGCGGTGAAGTGGAATCAATTGAAAATATGTTTGGATTATTTACTACAGGAATTTCAAACAAACTTTGGAAGCTTCCGCCAGGACAGTCATACTCATCCCATTTGAGAGTTTGCTTTCAGGATTGGGACGATCAAAAACTTCGCAGTTCAAACAACGAATTTGGTAAAGGATACATAGACAGCGAGAATTTCGAGATAGGACCTTCTCCGATCTCCGTAAGTCGAACCGTTGCTGTCACTTGTGGTCATGGGATGCATATATCTTGTTATAAACAATATTGCAGACAAATGGAAATCACCGATATTCCTTGTCCACTCTGCCGTGTGAGCCATAATGTCTTAGTCCCAAGTCCAATACCTCCTGAGAATGGCGGTGGACTTTCTTTGACCGAAATTGACCGTGCTCCAATATATACAAAGTACAATTCTATTACACAATCGTGTGGAACGAACAACAGCAAAGTTCTTTTCAACAGTCTTACGAGTGCAGATGTCAAGGATTACTCGCAAATGTCCGAAATGGTTCGTCAATTCAAGGAAAATGGTCTTGTGATGAACAATATCGATCACGCAGAAAACTTTTGTTTTATTCAGTCCCTTTCCAGCATCATCGCAGAAACTATTAGAATGCACGAAGTCACCAGCAGAATTAAAGGTAATACAGGCTATTCTGATTTTCTTGGATCGATACCTTCTACTGCAATTAGTCTTATTAAATCCTTGATGCAATATCGTACTGGAATGATGGTACCACCTAATTCATCTTGGAATGGCCTTCGTATTCCTGATTACTCCATTAAATACGCAAATTTTTGGGATGGTGATTTGGTATTTAGTGGGGTTTTCAGTGAAGTTATTCTGTTGTTTTTCCAAACCGAGGAATCTTTTCTTGCGTTGGCAAGATTAGGATATAGTAAACTCTTCGCGATAACAGTATACTCTCTTTTGAAGAGGGTAAAGAGTGCTGGAAATTTCTCCTTTTTACAACAGAATGGAAAGAGGCATTTACCCAAGGATACGATTAATTCGTTGAGAGATTTATGCTTTACATATTGCGAGACTTTTGAAGGGGTTGAAAATACGGATTTTATTGAAGATTTATATTTCGCTATCGAAAGATGTATGCTTCCGTACTTCCGTCAGTTGATAATATTCAAAGACATACTTACATCATCATCTTTTGGTGACAACTCGTTTCAATCAATCCCTTCTCTAGAAAGCCTTGAAGAAGAATTATTAAATTCCGAATACCCGACTTCAAGCGATATACTTTGTCAAAAGTTATCATTGCCGCTTTTGAAGGAGTTGATATCGGGATTGGGAAATCGTGACATGTCAAAACTAGGCTTGGAAAACTCAGTATTTAATATAATAATTAATGCGAAGATTCCAAAACACCTTTCGGATGGAATTCTCTCCCTCGATTATCCAGGTGTGATTAAACTTATTGATATTCCCAGTGATTTTAATGCTTGTCTTACTAGGCCAAAGGTTAGCTTACATGATTTCCGTATTTGCCTTGTGTGTGGAACCATTTTGAAAATGGGAAGTTCCCAAATTCCTCACCATATGGGAACTTGTAGCTCCCAAACTGGTATATTTTTTCATCCAAGATTGAACCTGTTGGATGTTTACTCGCATTTAACCAACTTGGGTACAATATCTGCAAATCTTCCAGCTCCTTATTTAACTGAGCATGGTGAAGTTAGGACTGGCTCTGTTGGTAAAGCGTCATTAAACGAAATGAGATACCAATATATAAATAAATTGTGGTTGAACCAAGGTTTACATGCATTTGTAACTCGTGCTGTGTTTAGTGGTAATGGAAGCCAAAATTTCAACTTCGATCGGATGGATGATGATTTTGATGGGAATTCAGAGTCAGAAGAGGATGAAGAAGATGACATGATGTTCACTGATGAAATTGGTTGGTAGAGAATGGCCCTAGAAGTAATTATATAAATATTTTAATATTACATAGAGTTAAATTAAGATGCAAACGATATTAAATTGTTCTATAAAGTATCCCATCCCCCTGCATCCATGACACTATCAAGCTTCCGAGTGATGTAATTAGGGATATCGTGTTGAAGCCAAACATTTCGAATGAAGTCGTCATATCTTTTGTCCATCAAGTAGAGTGTCTTTCCTCTTTTTGATTCTGAAGGTAATTCGCCATGCTGGTCCAAAAATGGGGCGTTGTAGAACGAACCACCATTTTTATGCATAAGTAATAAACATCGTTCTTTAGGGAGTAAATAAATTCCAACATTATTAGCACATTCCTTCATGAAATGTGTTGTACATTGACCTTCCCTTCCTGATTTTGCTGATTTTTGAACGTCGAGAACATCACCACAGAATAGACAGATTGCTGGATTTTCAATTCTTCTATGAGGAGTTTCATAAATGTCCAGATAATAATATTTAGTGAAAAAGAAATCTAATCTCTCGGGCAAGTCCACTAGCCTAACTATCCCAGGATACTCAAGAGCCTTATCCAATTCAATTGAATTTTGTGCTTTGGGTTGCTCCATGTACTCGACAAATGATCTCAACTTGATAGACTCGACATTTGATTCGAATTTAAATTTCAAAAACAACTGCTCTAAAGTATCGATACCTAAAAAGGTGCATAATTTATTAACTTCGCATACTTCATTTTCATACTCTGTGAAGTAATTCTCGACATCTGCACAAGAAACAAACGCATATATTGCTGCTCTTCTCAAAAATGGAGTACACGCTTTGACTACCATTGAAAAAATAACCTTTCCTACTTCCAAGTTATTCAAAAGATGGTCATGCTTTGTGATTCTTCTGAAAAGTGACATTGATAAAGCGGCGATCTCATCACTAATGCCACTAAAAATAGGAACATCCAATATTGAGTATTTACCATTATCATAGTATCCATGACGAGCAATTTGAGTTGATATGGTATTGAACGTTTGAAAAACGTGGCCCAAAAAGCACATTTTCAAAATTATATTGAAACTAAAACCACATGTCGGCAAAGGAAACATGTTGACCAAGAGCTCAAAGAAATCCTGCTGTAATACGGATTGGTTGAATGAATCCTCGTTTAAGAACATTAAATTAGCCAATAGTTTTACATAAAGCTCTCGTTGGCGATTATTTGTGGCAGCGTAATTAGATTTAATGTATAGGCTAGTATTCCTGAATTCATTCAAAGTTCGTAAATTAATCAAGGAATTATTTGATAGTTGGTTGATAACAATACCCCCATTAGATGACAATCCTCTCAAACCAATCTCTGCCGATTTGATACTGTTGACTAGAACTATCACGGAATCAGCTTTGAAGATGTACGGGAATGTTAACAGCGCAAGTGTTTGGAACATGTCAGATAATAAAACTTGGAAATATTGTTGATTCGTAGTTGATTCTGACGCTAATGAAGTTTTTTGAATCATTTCAAGAGCACCTGCAGTTAAGTTGGAAGCGGATGTGATATCCAACTTTGCTCCTTCGACAAACTCATTAAACCAATCAGTATCGCGAAGTTTTTCTCTGGTCAATAAACCAAAAGACCCATATTCCAGAATAAGTGAGTTTTCTGGTGCTTTCAAAAACTTGGAAAGGGACGATTTATTACAATTCCAAAGGATTGGAATAAACATATTGTTTATAGATTTGCAAAGAGGACATAAGAACTCTTTATGTTCAACATTTTCAGGTGTATTCCTAGTAATTTGACTAGCTCTGCTTCTACTGCTGTTAAGATAGTTGAGGTAGCATTGAAAGTGCATCCCATGTCCGCAACTCAGAGACACTAATTTACTGTCAACGTGTTGATTTGGGAATCCTGGTCCGACAACGTTGGATTCTTTTATATCGCTCATATAAGTTTTCCACTTCTCGGTGTAAATGTCTTGAGGGGTAGTTTTCTCATCGACATCCAAACTTACACCATCGGAGAATGATTTTAAAAACCAATATTGATCATCAAATGGGACAACACGAAACTCTGATGATTTGGAAACGTGTGTTATAATACCGAAGGGACCTGCATCTTCAGCTGCATTTTGACATAGCAAACAATGTGATTCTGGAAATTTCCAACCAACATCGTCGTCATATTCGTCCATATCAATATCACTACAATCACCATTATCAATTGAATTCTTTCGAAGGAACAGAGATTGTTGCTTTTTAAATTTAGCCATAAGTTTTTCTTGTCTCTCTTTTGCTAACCTTTTCTTGCGGTCAATCTCATTTTCTTCCAGTGACTGGCTGTTGTCCACCTCGAGGTTTGCGAAAGAAAAGTTTGGAACTTCTCTTTTAAGTTCTTCATATAATGTATGGTATTTATTTTCCAATACCTTATAAATCGCCATGATCTTCGCATGATGGTCTTTGAATGCATCGTTAGTTAAAATATGGTACAAAGAAGCAACGATAGATTGATTCATTCCTTCAGGTCTTCCAATAAATACATCGTAAAATGTACCGAAAGTAGCAGTATCAATAGTCTCTTCGAATGAGCAAATATGGATTAAGTGCAATATTGTTTCCAATAAACTGTCAGCCTTTTCAATACCTTCTTTGGTGATATATTCAAGAGTTGTTAATAAAAACTTTTGGAAATAAATGGATATCGAGAAATTACCAATAAATTTGTAAACCCCCAATTCTGAAGCCTTTCTTATCGTAGGCACCACAACAATTTCCGATTTAGGTTTTCCAGTTTTTTTATGAATTCTTTCCTTGGCCAACTTAATAGCGTCATCTTTGGTGTTTGTGGTATAATTAAAGTAATATGGATTTAAAGTTTCAAAGTATTTCTCTTTCAACTTGTAAACTCCAATATCATTTGAGCCAACCGGTGAAACAAATGTTGCCATTTCTTCCAAAATCAAATCAAATTTCTTTTCTGATGAAATATGGTCCGGAATTTGAGAACATAATTTTGTATAATTAGTAGGGCCAAAGCACAAATTATGAATAATTTCACAACGTACTCTTAACTCACTAATTTTTTCACTCGACAATCCTCTCAAGTAAAGATCTTCGGTCAATACATGAATAAAAAAACTTAAACATTCTTCAATCATATAAGGCAATGTCTTTTGATCATATGATGGCTCAATATCTTCACCAGTACTACTTTTTTTGTTTATCCAACCATCCATTAATAACCAACGATTGAATAACAAGAAGCAAACAAGGTTGGGATTATTGGTATTAATAAAGACTTGAGTGAGAAACAAATCTCTCATATATCCACTTTCTCGTAAACCAGTATTCCTATATAATTGAAGTTGGGAACGGACACTAAATCCATTTCTGACCCAAAATCCTGATTTTATTTGAGACATTAATACAATTGTTCTAATGGGGTATTCAAATATGGATGTTGCATAGTTAGTTCCGACTTCAATATCACGTAATTGTAAACTGGAGTTCATAGTAATGTATGTATCATCGGAATACATTGAAAACTCACGAATGGCGTCTCCAAAAACGTCCTTTATTGTATTCGGAGATTCAAATTCTGAGAGTTCTATTAACCAAGATAAGAACGAATGGATGGGATGTAAGAAACTGACCTTTTCCTTATCAATACCATAATTTTGAATAATACCTCCCTCTGATTTTTCAAACATGGTAAGTTGATCTTTAGAGAGTTTGATATCTACAGAATCATCAATTAATCCGGGATATTCTGCATTTTCGAGTCTCAAAAGAAATTTAACAACGTATCTGATGACATTTCTAGAAATTTCCATTTGTTCACCCCGGGAAATGTCTCCCAAATAACATAAACAACTTGCAATATGATCGGCAAATTGATAGATGACCAGAATAGCATGGAAAAAGGCAGAATAATCAGGATTCTCGTATTCAATATGGTTTTTTGATTCTCGTTTCATTACAGGTCTACCTTGGAATAATGCAAGAATATCACACGCCATAGGAACGATATTGCTAGCTAGAATGGATTTTGAATCTTTACTTCTGCTCAAGATATAACCAATATCAAAGAATATTTGACCCCACCTTCTATTCTTCAAACTTTTCATTGATATACTATGTGTCAGTTCAATGCTTTGAGGCGATCCAATTTCTTCCACAGTGAGAAACCCATATATTGATGCAAAAATTCGGGATAAATCACCATGTTCAACTATAGACGTAGAGTTTGTAGGACAGGTGAAAAGTTGTGTAGATAATGTGCACATCACACTCAACTCTGGTTCTCTATCCATTGTTAAGAACATATCAGCAATAGCAGGATATATATCAACATATTGACAGCAGATTATATATTTATAATCCAAATTCGTGATAAGAGAAGTTGAAAACATATCATGAAGTAGAATTCTTATAGATTTCCAAAATCTAACATCAAGGTAAATAAAATATTGAAATCTAGAGCCAACGTGGCTTGTGTCTGGTTGATAATCTATATCTGTCAAGTTGTATTCACATTCTTCACACATGCTTTGAGGAAGTTGCCACTTCGAAGGCGTGAATGACCAATGAGCAGCAGATTTCTGTAAGGTTTCTGTTGTTTCTAAATTTCCCGCTTGCGATCGACAAGATGGAATCTTTGGAATCCTTAAACTTGGATCAAGTGTCCCCACCTTGTATATATAGCTCGGATCAGCAACTTGAGAATAATGAAGAAGACCATTGTTCCACTTCCCACAAAATGCTCTACAAAATAGATTCTTCAAATCATTATTCGATTTGAACATTTCACTTTCTGTAAGATCATAGATCCATGTAAGTATTTCGTGACACATGTCTTCTCGAAAAATGTCTCTGTGACTTCGAATGCAAGTAGCTAAGCCAGTGGAAGCAAGTGTTCTTTGTCTTTCTCGCAAAAGATTAATATCTTTAGAACTTATTACCTTTGCTTTTCCAAAATTTTGTACTTTTTCAGTAATCATTTCGGCAAATTGTGGAACTTTCTTACTAGCAAGATAAATTCGTTGCACCGCATCTCTATAGTGTCGTATTTGATCATTGTAAACCATAAGATAAAATTTCTCTGAATTTCTATCCAATGCCTCTTCCCCAATTGATTCAGAGTATCCATATTTGGAAGAATTCAAGCTGCTTCTAAAAGTTGCGTTATGAATTCGGCTCAATTCAATATCTTGAGGGTTATCAAATTGAAGTTCACACTGTGACATCACATCTATAACATAATCCAAAAGAATCTCAATAGTTTCTAAAAAGGATTTTTGAAGATCTATAGGAGTTGCTTTAACTTCTGGAGTTGTTGCTGCTGTCTCTTCATCTTCTACTGATTTCGCATATGGGCAGGTGTATTGATTCACCCAAGCTTCTGGATCTCCACAATCACATACTCCTCCATTTTCCCTTTGACAAATAGTAATATGTACTTTATGACCTTCATGATATTGAGGATGATAACAATGTGAACAAAGAGCACAATTATCATCAAACCCACAGGTAAGACAACGATATATAGGCTCACCCTTTCTAAAAATTCTTGCACAGGGCAGATTTTCATGGAAGGCGTGATGATTATGTATGTGTTTAGTAGAAAGTTGAGAACAACCTTCTCTAGATTGTTGTGCCAAGGAAGATTTACAGTACTCACTGAACAGCCAGTTGAATTCCTCTATACGTGAGACTACCTCAGATAAATCAGCGCCTCCTTTAAATGCCATGGGGAATATCCAATCTAAGAATTGACCTTGGCCCGATATGGCCCAGAATAATGCCTTACGAATATCTCGTTTCAGATCATTTGTAAAGGAAAACAGAGAATTTGCAGGGAGATGTAAAAGATACCTCTTTAATGAGTCGGAATTAGATAACATTCCTTCTTGGTATCGTAACAAATACCTAGATAAATAAAGAGATTCTCTATTTTGATTTGCATCAAATCGCCACCAAGGAACGAAAAATAGTGATTGTTGATATGGACTGCACATTCTCTCTTTTTTTTTTTTTTCTTTCATTTTTATTACTATCTAGGGTGTGCATAGTAGCCAATTTGACTTGGTGATTGATTGGAAAAAACGAAAGGTGTATGATATTATTACAAAAGTTCAATCAAAGATAAGCTAGAAGGTATATAGTAAATGAGTACCCCTATATATTATACTCCGAATCTCGAGGAGAATGGAAGGAAGTTGGGAACTGTGCAGGACATCACGTCATTGAGTTTAGGAGTAGGAGCTGGAATCCTTGCTCCTGGACCTTTGAATGGATTTTTGTTCTATTTAGTTGGATATACATTGGCAAATGCAGCATTTTATACGATATGTTGTCAAGGAAATGGGAGTAAATACTTTAAGCTGCCAATCATGGAAATATTTGTTGGTAATATCTTGAAAAATGTCCCTGAATATATCATGATGTGGTGTTTGGTGTATGCTTTGGTGAAATAAAAAGGGGTGATTTAAATAAATTACATATTATTGAAGTACTTGAGAATAACTCACATGTTATTTGGCCTAGGTTTTTTACCAATTGAACGTAAGGGCAAACCTATAAGTATAGGTTAATCCATAAACATGTAACGTCACAAAAAGAGAAAACTGTAAATAGAAGGTTAATACTATATAAAAGAAGTTGAAATAAAATCTAATATAAGAATAATATAAAAAATCTTTAAGACAATTAGAATCAATTAAATTTACAATGTTGCTTAGTCGGTCACATACTCTTTTATTTTTTGTGGCTCATATTATTCATTAATCTAAAGGTTTTATCTCCGTGCGCCCATATAGGTAAATGCGAAATTAATTACATACAGTCCCCCAGTCTATTCATTCACCACATAATCTCAGATTATTATTTCAAAAATACAACTGCGCCCTCGATTATCTTATTTGAAGGGTATTAAGTGCTTATATAAATTAACCTATCAAATACTCACTCACACCTCCTCTTAAAGAATGGAAAAAATTGACCTTTCTTCTAACTCCAAGCAAATCCAATCTTCCTACGACAAGGTTGTCAGGGGTGATCCAAGTGCTACTTACGTAGTATACACTGTGGACAAGAACTTGGCATTGTCTGTAGAAAGTACTGGAAATGGTACCCTTGATGAATTTGTCGAAAACTTTGTTGATGGCAGCATTCAATTTGGATTAGCCAGAGTAACAGTTCCGGGTTCTGATGTCTCAAAGGTTCTCCTTTTAGGTTGGTGTCCAGATAATTCTCCAGCCAAGCTGAGATTGTCATTTGCTAGCAACTTTGCTGAAGTATCAAAGGTTTTAAGCGGTTATCACGTTCAAATTACTGCAAGAGATCAAGATGATTTGGATGTAGATGAATTCTTGAGTCGTATAGGAGCTGCTGCAGGTGCCAGATACTCTCTCAATTCTACTTCCACTGGAAGTAAACCAAAGGTTTCTGTGCCAGCACCATCCAAGCCAATTGTTGCTAAGTCTACCCCTGCCAAGCCATCATACGTTCCAAAGTCCACTGGAAAGCCAATTGTACCTAAGCCAATTGCCCCAAAGCCAGCTGGTTTCGGTGGCAAGACAACCGAAAGCAATGACGGTTGGGGTGAAGAAAAGGAAATTGAAGAAAGAGACTTTTCTCAAAAGCCATTGGAAGATCTTCCATCTGCTTATAAGCCAACCAAGGTTGATATTAATGAATTGAGAAAGCAAAAGTCCGATACAATTTCATCTCAACCAAAGGCTAGAGTTGAAGACAAGGAAGAAACTATTAAACCAGTTTCATTGTCAGAAAGATTAAACACTTACAAGTCCAATGAAGAAGGCCCATCGAGCGATGGAAGATTAACTTCGTTGCCAAAGCCTAAGGTAAATAACTCTGTTGCATCTCGTTTTGCTCCAGCAGCCAAGTCTGGGGCACCATCCTTTGGAGCCAAGCCAGTATTCGGATCCAACTCTGACTCGAAAAAGGATAAGTTGGTTGGTGGATTATCCAGAAACTTTGCTGCTGAAGGAGGTAAGACTCCAGCTCAATTGTGGGCTGAAAAGCGAGGCCAATATAAATCTGTTTCTCCAGAAGCTGAGCCTGAAGCTGAAAGTTCTGATATTGTCAATAAATTTCAACAAACAAACATAAGGGATGAAGAACCAGAGGAAGAAGAAGAGCAAGAAGAAGAAGAGCAAGATAAACCAGTTCCATCTTTACCAACTCGTAATTTGCCACCACCACCAGTTAAGGCCGATCAACCAGAAGAAGAACAAGAAGAACAAGAACAAGAGGAAGAGGAAGAGGAGGAAGAAGAGGAACTTGCTGCTCCATCTTTACCTGTACGTAACTTACCTCCACCTCCAAACCCTGACTTACCAGTACGTAACTTGCCTCCACCACCTGCTAGAAACGTGCCTGCTGCTGCTCCTTCTCCTGCTGCCGCTCCTGCTCCTGCTCCTTCTCCTGTTCCTACTCCTGTTGCTGCTCCTGTTGAAAAGAAGGAGGACAGTGTAACTGCTGTAGCTGAATACGATTATGAAAAGGATGAAGATAACGAATTATCATTCGCTGAAGGGGACTTGATTATTGAAATTGACTTTGTTGATGACGATTGGTGGTCTGGAAAGCATTCTTCAACCGGTGAAGTAGGTTTATTCCCAGCCACATATGTTTCACTTAAGGAAGAATCAAGTGCTGCTGCTAAGACTCCAGAAGAACCAGTTAAGCAAGAGCCAGCTCAAAAGACTTCGGAGACTTCAGCTACCGCTGAATACGATTACGAAAAGGATGAAGACAATGAAATTTCTTTCTCTGAAGGTGACGTTATTGTTGAAATTGAATTTGTGGACGAAGACTGGTGGTCCGGTAAACATTCCAAATCCGGGGAAGTTGGTTTGTTCCCTGCAAACTACGTTAAGTTGAACTAGGTTTGCATTATGCAAATTATTTTTGAAAAGAAAAAGAAGAAACGAAAACGCCAGAAATATAAAGTTTTAGACTCATTTCACTACTACCAATAAAAGTTTATATGTATTCTTACTTGTAGCTAAGGTTCTCGAAGATATTGCTTAACAGCTTCGCCCCATGCACCCCTTTTCTTATAGAAGGCGACATCGTCAGGTAACCCATCAATAGCATCACATAATTCGTTAGAAAGTCCCTCCTCTTTAATTTGCTTTAAAGGGGTTAAAAATGTTCTGACAGTCATTATATTCGCTCTCAGGTGTGGTAATCTAGTTAAAATCTGTCTCTCAACTCTTAAAAATGCTCCTTCTTCAAAATCGATATCTTCATATTTCAATTGTTCAACTTTTTGTCCTTCGTAAGCATGATTATTCGCCAATGAAAATCGTGCCTTGTGAGTTTGAATTGACCAATTATGTCTACACCATAGGTCTTTCAGCTCTAATCTATTAAAGAATTTCCCCATTGATAATTTCAACTTTGATTCATATTGAGGAACTGGGCTATGAATAAACGAAATTGGTTTATTATGACCCTCCGAAGGGTCAAACCCAGCAGGAAACCCGGTCAATGATGCTCGCAGTTTGTACTCTTCGTCGGGATCCGAAGGATTGTCCTTCATAAGAATTAAAAAATCTTCCTCAATGTTTGCTGCAAGTGACAAAATGAGGTCTCTTGGATCTGTTTCCAGGGCTATTGGTAAGGTGGTAGAGGTGATTTTGTTGTGTACATGTCCCTTCTCTGTAATTGCAAAATATTGAGGATACCTTTCACACATGTACTTGAGAACTTTATCATAAAACTCTCTAACGGCCAAATGAGTTTCTGGAGAATTATGAACATAGACAGTATTTTTGGGGAATTCAGTTGTTACGGATTTCCTTATCTCGATAGACTTTAGATAAGAATTCTCGATCAATAGCCAATCCTCTGGGGTCTGGGCAAGATTTGAAATACCCATGTTAATCTTATAAATTTTCTTTCCTTTGAATGGACGAATGGGTCGAGGTTCGGCTTTTTCCCAATCAAAATCTTCTCCAATAGCTTCTATTGTAGTTGGTTCATTTTGGAGCGGAACTGATGTCTGATTGAGGAATATCTTTCGAAGATATAACCAAGCGGCTACGTAGAGTGCTATGATACACGGAAGTAGGATCCCAGTTAAGCTTTCCATGGCTATCATTCTCCCGGATACAAGAAGAGGGAAAATAAATCACCACTTCGACATTAATATAATTAATTGTTTGTGATGTGTATATCCAAGATAAGGCCGGAACCAATTTCCAAATTGAGTGCGGAAATTATTAGAAATATACACCCGTACTTAAATTCAATTCTTAAGTACACATACAAGTGAAAGCATACATATAGTATCTACCAAAAGTACATGAATATATTTAAAACAACTATGGAATAAGACACTTCATTCTTCTGTAAGACATTATAGTCGCTATATATCTATTGATTATTTTTTTTTCATTCTCAAACATATTAGTAAGAATTCCTTCATCTATTCCCTTTCATATCACATTAATCAAGTACATATATCAATGTATACCGCTACCTAATCTCACTTCAAGATCGGGGAAATTTCTTAACATACACCGCATAGGTTGTTCCTTTGCACCTTCAACAGTTGAGTCGTCGATATATAACGAACGTGGGGTACATACAGTTCCAGATTTACTTACTACCGTACTCACAAGTGTTGCCAATGTACAAAACGCTTCTTTATCTTGACTGAATCCTGGTACCAGCTCGCATATAGACAGGTGGAAAAAGAATCGCATGTCTGTGAATTGGACATGACTCCTAGTCGTTTCTTGAGTCGCGCTACCTCTGCGACTCACATTTTTCGCAGTCATCAGATCCATCGCAAATTCCAATGGAGAGTCTCTAGTAGTTGTCTGCTGCTTCAATTCAATTAAGGTCGACACGGTTCTTTCAATATAATCGAGCCCATTGAAAAACATTATTATAACTTTGCCATCATATACGCGAGAATGTGGTCCAATATATGCAATTAATCCTTCTATATTTGCAAAGAATATCAATTCTGAATCATCTTCAATTGGATTCCACGAACCACTTGAACCTAAACATTTCTTAGCTTCTGCTTGTGATACATTTGTAACGATCATTATCTTATTATTCATTGTCATAGTAGTTGGAAAAAGTGTATATTAGTTATTTCAATTGAGTTAATTGAATTTCTTTTCTACAAATTTTTTTTTCTAGCTGGAATTAAATCCCATAAATACCCCAACGTACTTCTTAATATTTTACAATGTAGTATTACACATATTAATATTTTTTTCTCCTGGAATGAGTTGTATTACTCCTCAAAAAAAAAGTGCCTTACAACTCCACATTATACGTAACAAAATGCGGCCGTTATTGCGGGCCGAAATCCGTATACGGCAACTTGTACCAAAACGTCACGTGTGTAGCTATACCAAGACATTAAATCCTCAACAAAAGGCATTTTCATAATAAACTACCCCACAAATGGTTTCTACATTCACAATTACAATTAAAAAAATTAAAAGTCTGGGTATTATAGCATTTTATTCTAAAATGAAAACCATTGAGTGACATTAGTTATTTTGTAAATCGTCTCTGCTAGATGTTGCAATTATATTAAATGAAGTAGCATCTTCAGCATCACGGAAACTGACTTCTTCCTGAGATACTTCATTATTCTCGGCTTCTCCTTCTTCTTCAGTTCCATCATTCTCTTCTCCTACTCCTTGGATGTCATCATCTCGTATTTGTAAATCTTCGACTGCATCTTCTTGTTCTTGATCTTCTTCTTCCAGATCTTCCTCATATGATGGTGGCCGCATAGGAGCCACCAAGCTATTCAAAGTTATTCTTTCATCCGTAGAATTTAAATCACTATAAGCATTATAACTGAACTTATCATGATTGAATTCGACATTACTTGATTCTTCAGGTTCTTCAGATTGTCCATGAATTTCCCAAAAATCAGGAGGGAAGTCATTTTCTCTTTCTGATAAATCATTTTCATCATCAATTTCAGATCTTTCAAGTAAGATATCAGCATTAAACTTGTTATATGCTGGTGGAGCCGGTCCGGAACCTTCCAACGGAGCGAACCCCCATTTCTTGACATTTCCCTCTATATAAACAAACCCCATTTGACCTAAATTAACGTGTACAGAACATAAATTATTTGCTCCAATAGTTGGGAATATTTGTCCAACATCAGATATTTTGAAGTTTTTAATATGTCCACCAATTTTCAGTTCACTTATCTTTTTACCATTTCTAGTGAAAAATATTGTGCCCAGTCTTACTCTGTATCCTATACCGACGACATCACCTTGAATTATTTGAGGGAATGGCGCATCAAATTGAAATTTGAATGGTTGATTATATCTTCTATAACCATCTGAATCATAACTTAAGGAATTTTGGTGTCTACCTGGTAATCTAAACCATGGATAAGGTTTCACGGCTATTCCTAAGGATATTTTGGTATTTTCAGGGTCAGGTAATGAATAAATCTTATTTTCAAAATAATAAACTTCATTTTTATTGGGAATGGGTAAGTTTGTTTGTGTTGAACATTCAAATCTCTTAAAGAAATTTAATTCATATTTGTTGATGATCAACAAATCATTATTTGTAAGCATTGAATCTTTAATGAACTCCCAAGCTTTAATCCCTTTCTCTTGTATAAGTAAGTTTTGTGATAAGGTTAATTCTCCTCTAATATATGGATTAGTTTGTAAGTATTCTTTAGATTGGAAGAAGAGTTCCTGCTCTTCTGAATTTAACTCAAGATATGCTTGATTTTCCTCCTCTCTTGAAAGCTCATCTTCTGAGAGTCTAATTCTTTTTCTAATGAATATAAATAATGATATAAAACAAATTATAAGGAATCCAAACGTTACAACAATAAAAAATGCTACTAGGGCAGCACCTCCAGCTTCTCGTTTATAGTCATCACTGGGTTCATCGAACGGTGATGATATATGCTCTATGTTATCTTTGTGTGTTATTGATGGTATGACTTGACCATGACCAACCCCTACTAAATAGCAAAGAAAATAATATTCAAACATGATTTCAACTGATAAGAAATTAAATATATTAATTAAGGGTTATAAGTGTATGTGTGTGAATGGATGAGCTATTTAAAAGCTGTAAAGGATAAGGAAATGAACACTAGTCCCAGGACGACTATATTTAGTAGAAATTAATGTATTTGTGATTAGGACGTATATTGGTGATGTGAATACAAGCGGTGATGTGGTGGCGGAAAAGATTATCTCAAAGGGGGCACTCTACCATACTGAAAAAAAGAAACGTTCGTGAGAATTTACGATAGAGGCTTTGTGATATATCAAAAGATAGAAATGTATGGGTGACCCACTTCAATTTTAGTACTCCTTACAGAAAGTTTATTGAGTGGAAGTAGAATAAAAGAATATAAAATCAGTAATTGATGTAATGTTGAACTTATTTCCTTATAGTGTAAATCTATTTATAAAAAAGAAAATGATTTCAATTATTTATTAATTCCTTTAAAATTACCACAGTTTACAATATGTTAATTTAAATCTACTTTGACTTGCCACATGGACTTAGTTTCTTGTTTGAAACATGTTAGTCACTTTTACATGTTAGTCACTTTTCGTCGGCTCAGTTATTCAAGTAGAGGAAAGTTGCATATGTTGTACTATTTTTAATCGAGTGGGGGCGTTTGATTTTACGATTCACAATGAGACTTTGTAATTTACGCACCATTCTACTCATCACCCCCACGTATAAGAGCATCATGGTCTATAAATATGCACAGTTCATGCAATATCCTAAGTTTTTTCTCCTTAAACGATATTACCCGAGGACCTACATGAAAGATGCTGGCTAAGATCAATATCAGGGAATGAAATTTGACACTCGATATTTTTTAATATTTAAATGCTGGCTAGTAACATAGTGCAAAATTAGAATTTTGCGCGGCACGGAACTTTTCAAGTTTATTCACCTGAACCTCAAAAATACTATCTTGAACAATGACAATTCCCAGAGAACTTCCTGTTATTGTTAGAAGTAATTGTTGTATAGTTAAAATTTGGTCTGGATCATAATGGATTCAATGTGTTATGTATAGCGAAATCAATTGTAAATAATTTTATCTCTCTCAAGACATATTGTTGATTAATAGCCCCTCTATAATATCTCTTACGAATATACCTCTTACAAAAAAAAGGTTTATATCAGTGTATCCCGCAGTAATGAAGTGGTAAAAGGCACACACTTGTCACTAAATCAATGACATATGGTTGACGATGAATATTTTTATCCCATTTTAGAGTAGAGCCAGCAGGGCAAGATAGTGCCACATGGATATTTCGCGACATTCCCAGTGTCGTTGTCAGGAACCACCATGCACACCGGCCTCAAAGAACTTTTTAATTCTTTGATTTGATGCACGTCGTGCATATCTATGAAATTAAATTGACAACTATAATCGCTTATCTACCATGAAACTATTAATATTTTTCAGGGCTATATTTTTTAACAACCTCGAGGTGGGCGCATGTAGTGTCGTTTTACTGTGGATCGTATGGCTGGGGTTGTCAGTGTCTACCTGACGACGAACTTAATTTTTGGAGTTTTGCATCCACCGACATCTCATCATTAGATGGTATAAGTACAACTACAATTCTCTGCTCAATGCTATCCATTTCTAATATCCAAACAATTCTCTAGCATTTAATAATCACATATTAGATTATAACCCACATCATTATCATTATAGTTTGCATTATTCTACACAGATCATATTTTTCAAAACTTTTTCAAAAATGCTTCAGAACTATTTACTTGCATTGACATCATTGGCTACTGTCATGGCTGCCAGTTGCAATCCTTTAAAACAAAGTGGATGTCCTGCTGATACTGCCCTTGGCTCATCTTTCAAAGAAGATTTCTCCTCAGAATCTAAATACTTCGATGTCGTTAATTCAAAAGGTTTATCCTACACCGATAAGGGACTTTCATTAACATTGTCTGAGCGTTTCGATAACCCTTCAATTAAATCTAACTTTTATATCATGTTTGGTAAAGTTGAAGTTGTTCTTCAAGCTGCTGCTGGTCAAGGTATAATTTCATCGTTTTACTTGCAAAGTGATGATTTAGATGAAATTGACATTGAATTAACAGGAACTGATGACACCCAATTCCAATCCAACTACTTTTCAAAGGGTGACACTACCAACTACGACCGTGGTCAATTCCATAATACTCCTTCTAATCCATTAGCCAACTTCTTAACTTACACCATTGATTGGACTGAAGAATCATTGACATGGTCATTGAATGGTGAGGTTGTAAGAACCCTTTTACCTAACAACCCAGAAGGTTACCCTCAAAGTCCAATGTACATTATGGCTGGAATTTGGGCTGGTGGTGATCCATCAAATGCTCCTGGTACCATTGAATGGGCTGGTGGTCTTACTGATTATTCCAAGGCTCCATTTTCTATGCACATTCAAAGTCTTGTTGTAACTGATTATTCCAGTGGTCTGAAGTACACTTATGGCGATCAATCTGGATCTTACACTTCCATCAAATCAGAGGGAGGGTCCATCAATGGTAGAGTTCAACAAGCTCAAAATGAATTTGCTAAATTAGTGGATGGTCAATCCATTCCAGATGCAATTGTTCCATCTGCTAAGTCTGTGGCCGCTTCTTCTACTTCTCCAGCTACTTCCACTTCTCCATCTACTACTACTAGTGACGACTTCGCTTCTGTTTCTACTTCCACTGACGCTGCTATTTCTACTTCCTCTAATGCTGTTGTTTCTTCTGCTGATCTTGCTACTTCTACCGATGTTTCTACTTCAACTTCGGCAACTGGTGCATTTTTCACTTCTGGGTCTACCACTTCTCCAGCAACAACTACTGCTTCCGAGTCTGAGACAGATCTGATTGAATCATCCACTTCGGCTACAGTAAGTTCTCCATTTGAAACTTCAAACGAATCCACTTTCGTCACGTCGACTCCATTTTCTACTACTGAAGATGATTCATTTACCGAAACAGCCACACAAATTCCTGTTTCAGACTCTACTGGGACTTTGGAACAACAAACGTTAACTCTCTCTGGTGGTTCTACAACATTGATCTCACTCCCAACTACTACATTTGCACCAACTATTCCAACTACCTTAGTCACAATTTCATCTAAGCAAGGTTCCACAGAAACATCAACTAGCACTTCACAATCAAGTGAATCACATCCTGTCGTCGTAACTTCGCACAATGGTAGCTCCACATTTAAGGCGTCAAGCTTAAGTTTAGTATTCGCTCTTTGCGGCTACTTCATTATTTAAACAAAAGAAAATTGCATACTTCACTCATCGTCCTTGAAAACTCCAAGGATCAAACTTAATATATATTACATACACATACATAAATATAATCAATGTTCCATCTCTTACTAAACTTGTAAAAAAAAAATAGAAGCTAGGAGCAAAAAAAAATCAAACGACCTCGGTGAGGGTCGAACTCACGATCTCAAGATTAACAGTCTTACGCCTTAACCAGCTTGGCCACGAAGTCTGATTTTATTAACAGAAAATTTTCGTGCTACATTTTGTCATGCAGGCTCGATTTGACGTGTTCGGGCTTTAACGTCTCGCGATATCACTGCTTGGGTCACGTTCTTTAAATCAACAATTAGATAAAATAATATGAACAATAAATTGTGAGAGGTTTTCAAAGTCAACACTTTTTCCTCTCACTCAATAACGTTTATTATATGGCAACTATGAAATGAATATACAGAAGGAGGTTATATAGCCAATATAACCAACGATTAAATAGACAAATTATAGGATAATAAACATCGAATGAAGAAAAAAAAAAAAACTCATAACCCAATTGTAGTTCACTTTGTTGCAAAATTACAAATTGGATATACACATAACAAGTGATAAAATACATGTGTTAGATGAGTTATGATCAAATGATATATATGCTAATAATTATAGTATTTAAAAGTAATGTTTGATTACAAAGATCGTATTATTATTACACTGAAAAGCAATCTTTGAGTGGGGTTCTTTCCATTGTTGCACGTGAATATAATATATTATGAGGTTTAGAAAATAGTACATGACGCTCGATGTCCTTTCTCTTCCCAGCTCATTATTACTTCCTGTAAAGGGCATCATCTTGTATTCACTGAGTCTTATTTGTTTAGAATATGCGATTACCCAATATTGATGAGTATAGTGAATAGAATGCAACTCTCTTATTGTATCAGTTGAATGCAAAACATTTGTACCAACCATACGAAGACAAGTAAAAATCCTTACAATCTTCAAATGTTTGAACTAATAAATTGATTGTCTAAATGTCTTGAGAGATTCGAATAGATAGTAAGATCATCGTATATATGTATTTATCACACAGAAATTTTAAAATCTACACAAGATGAGAGAAAGAGAATAATAATAATATTACTAAGAATAGTAAATTATTTTTATAAAAATTATTTGAATTGATCCGATCAGATGAAAGTTATTGCATTCATTGTCTCGTATCACATGGAGATAAAGAGGGCCTATTCAGCTGAAAATAGAACAGCGTAGCCGTAATGCGTATTATGAGGGGTATACACTTTCCTTAATACTTAATGTACTATTACCAAAATGTTAAATTCTGAACACAAAAATCATACTCTCAAGTATGGAAATCTTTGATACATATAAAAAGAGAAAAATTCTAGATTATGATAAGGATTTACATTCTTTCTTCCATTAATAACTCTTATAATGACTAATGACTATGGATCTAGTAGTGGTACCCCTTATAGTGGAAGTTACTTGCAACGCAAGCAAGGAAATGGTAAGGGTCAACAAATTGCCGATGCTCTGAAACTAAATGTTCTGGATACTTTTTCATCAGTGAAATACCCCCCAAATCGAATTCAATCACTTGATCGTGAATATGAAATATCTCTTAAGCAATTCTGGTGTTATATACTTAAGTTCTGGGGTTATGAATTAGATATTTTGGATGAAGATATCAAATATCGGAAGCATTTTGTTGTTTCATCTGATGTGGCAGAAAGATCACCAGCAGTTACTAAAGACATACCTGCTCCAAAACGTAGATACTGGGGGTTGGTAGGAGGAGACGGTGGACAGTCAGATTCGGGACCACTGAAAAGAGAAGAAGACATTCAGAATCTGACTGGTGAAAGTTATATACCAATATCTATCCCCGATCAATACAGATACACGTATGTTAATTATTATCAAGCAATTAATCAATTGAGTAAGGACTATGGAGATGAATCTTGTGATGAGCTTTTGGATCTAGTTGAACAACTTCAATACAATGGAACTGTCGAATGTCGTCCCAATAATCATATACATCCAGCATATGCACAGTACAAGCCCAAAGATTTCCATAAAACTTATTGGGTCACTCAAAGAAATGATCTTTTGGATAATTGGTTTCTTAAGGCTTTAAGGGCTAGAAAGTCCAACACTGAAAATTGCTTGCAAATGTTCACTGCTGACCTTCATTGGAGAGGGAATGTTTTCACTCCAAACAAATGGGTATTGGAAGGAGATGCACCAGCGTTTATTGACGGATCAGAAAAAGGTTTTATCAAGAATTTAACATCTCAGAAAAGTTGGATGAGAGGTACTGATGTTAATGGAAATCTCTTGTATATCTTTAGATCCGATCATCATTTCCCAGGAGATGCAAATCAAGAAGAAATGAGGAAATGGTGTATTTTACATGTTGAATGGATCCGTTTATTGTTAAAGGAGGTTCTGACTGGTTTGGATACTGTGACCGTCTTATTTGATCTTACTGGGTTTTCGATGAAAAATAATGACTATCATACTATGAAGTTTGTAGCAGAAGTTTTCGAAGCACATCAACCAGAATGTTTGGCTAAAGTCTTGATTTATAATCCACCATGGATTTTCCCTACTCTTTACAATATCATTAAAGGATGGCTTGATCCAGATGTTGCAAAAAAGATCACGTTCATCAATTCTTTTAAGGATTTAACTAATCATATCCCTGTTGATAGTATCCCAAGTTTTATGGGAGGAAATGACGAATTTTCAGGTGAATATGTTGAACCAACAAAGGAAGACATTAATCCACCAAAGGAAAAGAATTCAAAATATTGGCAATTACTTAAAGAAAGACACATTTTGAATTTAAAATTCTTTGAACGTACAAAACGATGGATTGAAACTACCGATCCTGCAATGAGTGCCAAATATTTGAAGGATAAAATCGATTTAGATATTTTGTTAGCTCAAAATTATTGTGCAATTGACCCTTACATTAGATCTAGAGGATTCTATGATAGACTTGGAACTATGGAACTTGGCATTTAGTTTAAATATTTTGAATAAACAATTTGATTTCTACAGTATAAAATTAATAACAGTGTATCATAATAATTCTTTTTATCAGCTATAAATAATTATATAGCGTAAGACTTTTCGTGAACAATAAGTGGGTATACAAGGAGGTGGAGGGGATAAAGTTTGTGATCAAACAAACTCTATTTAACAATATCAAAGTAATCTTAGAACTTACAATCCAAAGAGTACTTCAACTTGTTGTTTTGATCAAAAATACCCCAATGCTTTTCAACATCACCAGTACCAGAAGTTTCAGGCTTCCAAGGTTCATCAAAAGCTTCGAAAACAGCAACGTTAACACCCCAACCTCTCATGGCACAAATAGCATTTTGCCAGTAGTTAGCAGCGTTGTCAACAGATGGATCAGCAGATTCAAAGTTGGTACCAGCTGTTGGCCAACCAGTTTCACCAACCCAGAAGGTAATATCGGTGGAGCCCTTGGTGGTTTGGATGACTTGCAAGGCTTGCATGATGTCATCGAAGAAGGAGTAAGAAGCGTTGGCGTTGGTTTGTCCTTGCCAGTAAGAGAAACCGTTGGCAAAGGCAAAGTCAGCAGCCTTAATGGCTGGTTGAGCAGCACCGTCAACAAGAACGTTCCAAGAGTCAACAAAACCAACTTGGACAGAGGAGTAAGAGTTACCGTTCTTATCCTTAATTCCCTTCAACAAAGTCTTGACTTCATCGATCTTATCAGCCAAATCAGAAGCAGACAAATCATCTCTGTAAAGAGCTTCAGATCCAACGGTGAAAACCTTGATGGTATCAACCGAAATGTTTGGAAGATAATCAGTCAAAGCTTGCTTTTCAGCCTCGAAATGAGCCTCATCAGTTGGCCAAATACCAAGCATGATTTGGAAGCCAGCTTCTTCAGCAGCTGGACCTAAAATTTGTAAAGTGTTACAATCAGAAACAGCATAGGTCTTGATGGTCTTGGAGTAAGAACCCAAGTTGGAAAAGTCGGATTGGTACTCTTTGGCAGACTTACAGTTACCTTGGTTATCCTTGACACCGAGGTTAAAGGCAAGCTAAAAATTTTGTTAGTAAAACAAAACACAAACAAAAATGGGGGACTATAAATTTTGAGCGTTCAATAGGTTCAAAGTCATTTCATACATACATCACCAATAGCGACAACCGATGAAACGGAAGCAGCGAGAGCAGCTAAGAAAGTTAACTTCATAATTATCAAACGAATGTATTCAAACAAAAAAACTTTCTAAACGTTTTCTTAAAAGAAGGCAAAAAAAAAAGGAGAGAGTTTGTTACCGCTAAATCATTTCAATATATTACCCAAATATGAACCTTTAGTGCCCACAAAGAAGAGAGAGAAAAAAAAAAAAAGGAATGTTTGTCGTGCATGAATTGAAAAATTCAATCACAAAAGTAAACAAATGCTAAATTTAGCGTCTACTTAAGACAGGTATGTTCCCAAATAGGCAATGCTTGGGCTAGAAGCTCAAGTTTAAGTCGTGGAGAATCGGCTGAGCTTCCATCTATAACGGGTGTGGTCGGTGAATTCTCCTGCAGATATGCAAAGTCTCGAGAAATTACCACAATTCAAGGGGTCTTTGGTATTCAGTACCTGGGAACCGAACCGCGCAACTAAATGTAACGAAATTGTTTATGTACCATCTCCAAAAGGTATACAGTATATAGTAAAAGAAATTTAATACTACGAAAATAGACGCACCATAAAATTAAACACGATTTCAAGCACAATTTTAATTTCCTTGTGAACCGAAACTTGAACATTGAATCATGGATCTACTTTGATTTAAATTAGTACTTCTATATTATTCTAGGGAACCTTTTAAAAAAAAAAAGCTCTTATTAACTGTAAACCTTTGCTAAACTGATCAATGCAGCATCTTCAATCTTTACTCCACTAGGAATCTTCAATTCACCATCAAACATTTGACTGACACTATCAACACCTTCTAAACCTTCACGGGAGAAACTATATTCAATATCGAACCAATTACCCAAAACAAGCAAGACATTTCCTCCCTTAACGTGAATCTTTTCCTTATCATAATCGACCAAATTACTATCAGATTTTTGGAAATAATCATCACTCTTGACGTATATACTTGAAGAATAACCTTCTGGAACTGAACTTTCAGTGAAAAGAGTACTGAAAGTCTTAGCTACTCTTACAAAGTAACCAAACGATGATTTGTTTCCAATGGTACCATATGCTTGCAAAGGTGACACAATCACCTTATTTTTCAAATCAACAGTAACTCTAACGTTAACTGGGACATCTTTTTCTAAAACCATTGGTTCTGCTTCACCAATATTTACATACTTTGTAGTGCTTAATTTGTTCTTTGGTGATATCTTTTTGTTTTTCTTACTAGTGATTTTAGGAGTATGTTTTGGAATAGTTAATCCTTCTCTAAAGTCTCTCCAGACTTCATTATTACTCATAAATGGGAGAGTGCTTAACTTTGGCATATGTTGAGCATATTTGAACTTGGTATTGTATTCATTATTGGCAAATACAGACTTCACCAAGTATGGTGGGGTAATGAAATATTGTAAAAGAGTAGCCAATAACATAGTATTGTTTTCATTGGTAGTGGAAGTTGACTTTGATCCATTGATCTCTTCTTCATTATCATCTTTAGATTCTTCTTCTACAACAGTTTCTGGAGCCTTTTTCTGAACAATATCTTCATCATCAAAATTAAATTTAATCTTTTTACCACCTTTATCAGTACTTCCTAATACTACCTTAACTGATTTTTCTGCCTCTTCCTCCTTCTTTTGAGCAGTAGGAATATCCAATACTACAATTTCTCCAACATTATAAATGGTAGCAGCTCTGGCAATTTGATGGGCAATTTGAGTGATTTGTTGAAGATTCTTCGCATTAACAGCTGATATCACTGATGACGGTACACATAAAGTATATTGAACTTCATTTTGTGTCTTCAGAGGCTTTTTTACAGGTTTCACCTCAACTTCAGCCTTTCTTTTAGCCATGATTTAATATTATATTTTATTTTGAATGAAAGACTGTGAATGTATTGATTGAAAGTCGCAAAAAATTCATCTTTCATATATGAGACTCATCACTCGGACTGCATATACTGATCAGCCTTTTATTCAAAATCAAATAAAATCAGTTGTGAGTTTATATACAGAACAAAATCTACCTCTACCCTATTAAATATATGGAACATAATTTTATATATATTAATACTATATTCTAGTTTACTTTTTCCTTCATACTCTTTAGTGATAACCTCTGAAAACTTTGATCTAAAAATTAAGCAGCAGCTTCTTCAGAAACTTCAGCTTCAACTTCAGCTTCAGGTTGAGTTTCAGTTTCAGTTTCAGCTTCAGTTTCAGTTTCCTTGGTTTCATCAGATTCAGCAGCTTCAGCAGCATCTTCTTCAGCTTCAGCAGCATCTTCTTCAGCTTCAAGCTTAGCAATCTTAGCCTTGGCTCTTTCGATGTTTTGCTTAGTTTGTTCTTCTTGCTTATCTTCAAGAGCCTTCAAAGTTTCTCTCAAAGTTTCAATGGTGGCTGGAACATCATCAGTCTTGGTTGGCAATGGAATACTCAATTCACCCAAAGTAGCAATGACATCGGATTCAACGGTGAATGGCTTAGACTTGGTGGACTTCTTGTTCTTCTTAGACTTGGACTTGGAAGCAGAAACAAAAGATTCTTGTTCCTTCTTAATAACAACAAAATCTTCTGGCATTTCAACTTGTCTAGTTGGCTTAGATGGTGGTAAAGAAGCAGTACTTTGTCTAATCAAGTCAAAGTTCTTGGCAGCTGGCTTAACATAAGATGGGTCAAAGTAAGATAATAAAATGTGAAGAGAATCAATTTCCTTGGAGAAAGCTGGAACAGAAGCAGCAGCTAATTCCTTTTCAGCAATTTGCTTTCTTCTGTTTTGCTTTTCTTCCAATTGTTGTTGCTTGTATTCTTCATCTCTCTTCTTTCTTTCGGCAGCCATCAAAGACTTAAACTTGGCAAATTCAGCATCCAAATCACTTCTTAATTTCTTAATTTGAGAGTATTTTTCATCCTTGGTCTTTCTAAGCTTGTTTCTTTGGTCAAATAATGATTGTCTCTTGTCGGAAACAGCCTTGTTCTTGACATTCAATTCATCCAATTCCTTTTGAATGGCTTCAAATCTAGCTTGAACTTCCTTGTTTTGAATAGCATTCAATTTTTTCTTCAATTCAGAAATTTTTTCCTTATCTTGATCAACTAATTCTTGTAATTTTTCAATTGATCCGAAATCTTTACGTAACTTACGTAAAGAAGACATTTCCTTAACATATCTTCTTTCATCAGCAAGTTTTAAAGAACCTTCATCGATAAGAGAATCAAGATAGTTAACTCTAGCATCAATTTCTTGAACATTCTTAAAAGAGTTCTTAGAAGTTTGAGCTTGAATATCAGTAATCTTTCTCTTCAATTGTTGATCAATAGCCTTAATTTGATCCATAATAGTGTTTCTTTCAGATTTAATAGAACCTTGCTTAGAAATCAATTCCTTTAATTCCTTTTGTAATTCAGATCTCTTGGCAATAAGCTTTGGATCAGATACAACTTTTTCAATTTGAGCATTGATTTCATCATTAGTAAGGTTCAACTTCTTAATTTCTTCGTGCAAGTCATTAATAGCCTTCTTTTGGGCCTTGTCATCAGGACCCTTAATAAAACGCTTGGTTGGACGAGAAGAAGTAGAAACTCTTTCGGAGTTTTCAATGGAAACGGAGGACATGGTAAACGGACGGACAGTAGGTACAGGTGGAGGATCCAGAGGGGAAACACCAGAATATCAGAAAAAGTAGGTTAAGAAAAAAAAAACACTAAAGTTCTTCTTTTTTAGTAGTAATAATCTAAATGGATTTTCTTACAACTCTAGATCAAAATTATGTTAACAGTTGTTCGAAACTGTGTTCTCAAAATCTCGACAGTCGCGAGCGGCGACCCGCCCAATAATTTTTCAGGTCGTGTAAAACTCGAGACGATTCACTTTTTTTTTTTTTTTTTACTTTTTGTTTTCTTAACGAGAGACGGAATATCAGTGGGGCAATTTTCAAGTAGAATTTAAAATCAAATTTCCCTTATAAGAGGATAAACAAACATATATGTCTAGTAGAAAGGATCTTTATATTTAGCATACATGTTGAACAATATATAAAAATTCTACAAATTATGACTTTCTTCAACTACTATATTTTATTACCATTTAGCGATTTCGTACCTTTACGAAATAAAAATAATCGCATAATTAGATCGTAGCTGCATACATACATCTGTAGAGTCATGCCAGTTGCATTCGCCAACGGTACTTTTGTTTTAGCTGCAACTTCAACAGGTGATTTATTGGGTGGCTTATGTAATGGGGTTGGTGCCGTGGTTGGTATCTCTGAAGCTCTTCGATATTTGGAAGATTTCATTTATCAACAAAAGGGTGGTGGAGCTCAATTAGGACATGTTAATCTAGTCCATAAGAAAGTTTGAAAATTTGATTATCCTAACAAAATCATAATTTGTGATCATTTGTAGAAGATACTACAGCCAGTGTTAAGAAAATGAGGATTCATCATATATTAATAGAGCTGAAAGGCTAGCTCCCTAAATCTTACATTGATACTTGACTATTGAATAAAATAGCTAGTTGTATCGATATTGTATCATATATGATTTTGTATATATTCTACCATATATCTTACAATTGTAGTCTATTAGATGAAAGATATGCACTTCACCCGTAATCTTAGGGCTAAAGATGATCCAAAAAACAAAAAATATAATAAGTCGATCAAGAACCAGAGTACTTTGATCTGGCACGCAATTTAGGACCATTAAGGTAGAATAGAACTGGAATGGCAATCATCAAAACACAGATCAATGCCAATAAAGTACTGCCCCAGCCAACAGGGTATTTTTCAGAACCCAAGTTGTTAAATAAAGGAGCTCCAAACAATGGAAATGCACCAGCGCTAACAGACCTAAATAAATCATTAGAAGCAAAAACAGAAGCCAAATATCTCCAGAAAGACATTGAAAGATAATTGAACAAAGTTTGGAATACACAGAAACAACCCACAGAAAATATAGTAGTTCCGATAATGGCACCAATCCAATGAGTGTCAGGACTTGCGGACCAGCCAAAAATAAGAATACCAATGGGCATAAGAATTGAGCCAAAAATAGCCATAGGAAGAAAACTTTCAGGAGTAACTTCATCACCAGCGAGTATCTTTTTGGTAAACCTTTGATAGATGATTGGAATATAAATGAAAAGTCCCAATGAGTTACCAATCATAATACCAACGTAAGTTACACCCATTTCAATTAAGTTGAACTTATAAGTTCCAAGAAATACAATCGGGAAAGCTTCAAACCAAATATATATAATGGAGTAAACCAAGGCAATGTAAATATTGATTAACAAAACAACAGGTTCGAATATTGTGATTTCAAAAGGTCTCCACAAGATATCAATAGCAACTTCTCTGGTGGTCAACTTCAGATTTGCAATTTCACCTTCACTGATGATATTTTGATTTCCAGTTACAGCTCTCAATCTTTTAGCCTTTCTATAAAGTAAAGTTTGCAGGTAAGTTTCTGGTAAGAAGAATCCAAGAATCAAGAAACAAGCCCCGGTAATAATAACCATGAACCAAAATGTCCATCTCCATCCGATTAATTGAGCAAACACAGAACCAATCAATGGACCTAAAGAAGGACCACAGACAGTAGCAATTGACCAAATGGCAATACCTACTGGGATATATGGCAAACTTATCACATCTCCAACGGATGCACAACTAGTTGCCAAAGCTGGAGACGCAAAAAATCCACCAAGGAAACGAAGCACACACAAGGAAGCAATATTAGGCGCCAATGCAGTGGGAATCTGCAAGATAAAAAAGATAAAAAGTGTGATGATGTAAATATTGGTTCTACCAAAGACAGCATTTTCTGATAAGGGAGATAAAACCATTGGTCCGATTCCGTATCCGATCACGAAAAGAGTAAGAGGTAAAGTAGCAAGCACTCTTCCAATTCCCCATTCTGATCTGATCTGTTCAATTCCTGGTGTATAAATGGCCGATCCCAAATAAACAGTTGTGGTCAAGAAGGCAATTTCGAAAATAAAGAACGCCTTTTGATAAAACGGCCAATTATATGGATTTTCAGGATCATCATCTCCATCCCAGTCAACTATAATTTGTTCTGTATTTTTCTCGATTTCTTTCTCTTCTCCGGATGAAAGGGAAGAAGGTTCGCCATTAAGTTCATCTTTAGCCACTATTTCAGTAGCTTGATGTCCTGTTAGATACTTTTCGGGTATAACATAGTCTGGTCTGTCCTCTTTGTGGTTTAAAAGTTTATGGCTAGAAAGGTGATACGTAAGTCTGCCCCAAAAGGAATCTCTAATGAATATATTGATGAATCTACGAGCCATAAAATATTACGTATATTTTATTTGATGAATAGATTAATTGATGAAATATAAAATATCAAACTCAATTGTACTCTGATGTCATACATATATATACCATGCCGGTGACAATAGATAACTAAGTAATGAGATGTGTTCGGAACAGATCTTTAGATTTCCACTGTTCGACGCAGCCGCACCAGTTTCATGCGGCTAAGCCAATCCTAATTAGGTAGACTCGGTGCCGAAACTTACTTAAAGTGTAAAAATCCCGTATTTTTCGTGCATGAAAAAAAGCGATCAGGGCCAACTAACACCATTTGATTATTAATTCAGTTTTTTTCTTGTTCTTTGGCATTCAATGGAGAACATTTCTTAGTATATGTTTTAATTCCCAGCCTAAGTGTTCTTAGATTTATTTTTTTAATTGTTTCTTGACTTCTAAGCTTCAAGTCTTTTTTTTTAACCTCTATCCTTATAACCATGTTGTCGTACACGAATCAACATCGGTTGACAAAGCAATAATTCGTTAATTAATTGATGTGATATACCAAATATTACCTATCCTTTAATTGTACCTGATTGTGAGTCTAATATTAAAACATGAAAAAAATGTTCAACCATCGACATTTGTAGCCACACACTGTGTTGGATATAAAACGATGTAGATATTTTTTCGTACCATTACTTTGTATTTGTTTTGCCATGTACAATACAAGATTATACACTCTTTTGCGCCCTACCAAATTCATACACTATATCATCATACGATGAATAAATACTGATTGAAACTTCAAATGATACATCAGTTCAAAAACTATACCAACTCCTAGTGGAACTACCACCTCATTTAGGAATCTTTACATTGATGTTATGGACAACCCATTTCCAGTATAATTGAATTATAGTAAAAATGATTCATATTGTGAAGAGTTCTCCAAGTTAAATTAGTCTTGGCTGCAACAAGGATGCCATATTTTTTTTTTTATCCTGCAGACTCACCGTCTATGTTTTCTTTTTCTGGTCCTCAGGCTACGCATTTTCTTGACACAAGAAGGAAAATGCAATTGGTTATGAAGAAGAACAATTTATAAATAATAAGATCTATAAAAGAGAATAGTTGGCGTGCTGATAACCATATTATTTACCTCCTTCCTATCATTTAATCAAGAATTGCAAGAAATCCTTTATACTTATTCCTTAAAATGATATTATTATTTATTCGTTTTGGTTTTGTGTAACTCTTTATACGATACATCCAAACATCCACTCATTTATGCATAAATCTCAACTCAAATTTTCCCATGTCAATATTTACACTGTTTTATACAATTGTTTGTGTTTTAAAACTTGTTGTTTGAAAGATATATATAATGTCAACATACGCAGAATTGGTCAAGGGGCTCTCTGGTGCTGATATCCTTCAAAAATGGCCAGAAATCACTCCTCTTAAGAAGATTTCTGGAGTTCCAACCTCGGCAGGATCATCTACTGAAGGTTCAAACGATGGACTTTTTGAAGGTCATGACGAAGAACAAATTAAACTTATGGAAGAATTATGTATTATTTTGGACAATGACGACAAACCTGTTGGTGCTGGTACCAAGAAATTGTGCCATATTATGGATAACATTAATGAAGGTCTTTTACATCGTGCCTTTTCTGTATTTCTGTTTAATGAAGATGGTAAATTATTGTTACAACAAAGAGCTGATGAAAAGATCACTTTCCCATCCATGTGGACAAACACTTGTTGTTCTCATCCATTATGTGTTAGCTCTGAATTGGGTATAACTGCCCCTGAAGGTACCAATGATCTTAATGATTTGGATACTGCCATTGCTGGTGCCAAGGTTGCAGCCCAAAGAAAGTTGGAACATGAATTGGGTATTCCAATCAAGGATTCTCCTTTTGAAGCCTTCCAATACTTGACTAGAATTCATTATAAGTCTGCTAGTGGTGATGAAACTTCCAAATGGGGTGAACATGAAATCGATTACATTTTGATCATCAGAACTCCAAATGACATAACGATAGATGCCAACTACAATGAAGTCAAGGACTACAGATACGTAAGTCAAGAGGAATTAAAGGCTATGTTTGAAGATGATAAGCTTGTATTTACCCCATGGTTCAAGTTGATTTGTCAAACCTTTTTGTTCAAATGGTGGAATAATTTGGACAACTTGGCTGAAAACAAAGATGATATTATTCACCGTTTGTTATAATAGCATTCTATCATAATATGTATAATATTTATTAAAAGTTACATATATAAAAATATCAGACTATTGAAATAGATTATATAATCAAGCCACTGTCTTTTGACTCAGGTTGACTCGGTGCACAACACTAAGGTTTTAGGTCCTTTTTTTTTTTTTTTTCTCTTTTTCGTTTAGTTATTTCCGTTTTATTTTTCCATTTTTGTAACCCGTCTCATAAGTAAGCTATATAATCCATAAGCCATCATTTGATTTTCTATTAGATCATTATCTTATTGTGAGTCTATATCTTTAAATAAGATAGGTTCCATAATGATGTTACTGAAATATGCCACCAAGAGTCTTCCAACGATTCAAAAGCAAATTTATAGAACTTTAGAAAGTTCTGCAAGTGCTTCTGCCACTGGTGCAACTACTACAACTGTGAAGATTCCAAAGAAGAGAAGATCCACTGTATTTTCCGATAAACTTAACAAGGGACCTTCCTTTGAAGATTTTGTCAATGGTAAGGCTTCTGATATGCTTGTAGATCCACTTGAAGCTGCCAGAACAGATCCCGATGTGAGACTTCCTAAATGGTTGAAAGTGCCCATCCCTAAGGGAAAATCATTTCACAACGTCAAGAAAGATGTTAAAGAACTCAAATTGGCCACAGTTTGTGAAGAAGCTAAATGTCCAAATATTGGTGAATGTTGGGGAGGTAAAAAATCAGAAGCTACTGCAACCATTATGTTATTGGGAGATACATGTACAAGAGGTTGTAGATTCTGCTCTGTGAAAACTAATAGAAAACCTGCAGCTCCGGATCCTATGGAACCTGAAAACACTGCTGAAGCCATCTCTAGATGGGGGTTAGGGTATGTTGTGCTTACCACAGTGGATAGAGATGATTTAATTGATGGTGGTGCTCATCATTTGGCTGAAACCGTTCAAAAAATCAAGGAAAAGGCTCCACAAATTCTTGTTGAAGTGTTAGGAGGTGATTTCAGAGGTGATTTAGACATGGCTGCAGTATTGGCTAGATCTGGTTTGGATGTTTATGCTCATAACATTGAAACAGTTGAAGATTTGACCCCACATGTTCGTGATAGAAGAGCTACTTATAGACAGTCATTATCTATTTTGGCCAAGGCTAAAGAAACTAAGCCATCATTAGTTACCAAGACTTCAATGATGCTTGGATTTGGTGAAACTGATGAACAAGTGTTACAAACCTTACGTGATTTACGTGAAATTAAGTGTGATGTTGTTACTTTTGGCCAATATATGCGTCCTACAAAGAGACATATGAAGGTTGTCGAGTACATAACTCCAGAAAAGTTTGACTACTGGAGAGATAAGGCACTTTCCATGGGATTCTTGTACGTTGCAAGTGGACCATTGGTTCGTTCATCCTATAAAGCCGGTGAAGCATTCATTGAAAACGTCATTAAGAAGAGAAGACATAATGTTGGTGAAGCTCCACGTTTAGAACAAGAAATTAGACCTACTCTTTTGTCATAGAAAAGATGACCCCTAATATGAATCAGAATGAAGTTTACACGTAATTATATTTTTTTTTTTGGAGTAGCATATAGAGTAACACACGAAAATTCAATGTATATATCTAAAAGTTAAACTATCTACGTCAAATCTTTGTAAAACTTATTATGAATATATTTTACTTATTTTTTGCCCTATACATTATTGTTTAGAGTTCGTTTCCAGTGAAACATGGGGGAATCTAGGAAGTAACTCCTTCCTTGCATTCACGCATTATCCTTGCTGATTTCTCTGACATGTTTACTATTATTGTTTTCGTTTTTTTTTTTTTATTATTTATTTAGAACCCCCTGCGAATCACGCTCTTTCTGATGTGGACATTAAAGCAACCTGTTATTATTTAGATTATTCTAGTCGTAAATAAGCGCTACCGCCGTACTCATTGCTAGCCAGATAGTCATCAAAGCTGTTGGATATATTGCTAGTTTACTAGTACCAGCCAATTCCTTGAGATCAACCAACCTAACGTACTTGTATCTATTTATAAACTAAGGGTTCTCATTTAGTTAGGTCACTCATTTTAAATATTTTGCATCAACATTGTTTCCTTCTTTTTTAATAATTGACAATGTCTAATGAAGATGATTCCTACGAAGAATCATTAATATCTCAGTTTGAAACTACCCTTAGTATTAGACCTACATCAAATGAAATTGAAGATGTTTCTATAGATCATACGGTATACTCTAATTATACACAAGATCAAAGTATAATAGATTTATCTGAACTTGAAGAAGAAGAAGTTCTTCTGGAACAAATTCCAAAGTTCAAAACAAAATCAAGCAGAAGACTTTCATTACTCCCAAGTAATGCTACCAAGGTGAAAAAGGAAGGTGGATCAAGTAGGAAATCACTGCCATCACCAATCCCTGAAGCCAAATATGATACCATTTTAAAACCTTCACCCTTGATAGATTATACTTTGGAAAGATTTCATCGTACATTCCAAGAATTTCTTAGTTCAAATCCACATATCCTGAAAGAATCTCCTAAATTTGAAATTGAATCTCAAAAGACTTTAGTATTATTATCCCCATATTCCGCTGAACACGCATTTGGAAGGAAATGGGTAACGAAGTCATATTTATCAACCATTTTTGAAAGACCTCAAAGATTACTTGCATCATGTATTGGAGTTGCTGCAGCAATTACCATGTTCCCATTCTTTTATAAACTTGTAAATTCAACGAAAAGAGGATCTATTATGTCCTCTCACGTTCAAAAAGTACATGGGAAACTTTGGCCAAAAAAATTATATGAATTATGTTTAGAATCATATGATAAACTTCTGGAAGATAAATTGGAAGTACCAGATGATTGGAATACTGGTGATATATATCTCACTCCTAAAACTATCAATGCCGTTGAAGGGGTTATTGGAACAGTGGAAACTGCCATTGATTCCCTTTATGATAAGGATCTTGATATCCAACATGATTTAGCATTTGTGGTGATTCGTCCACCGGGTCATCATTCCCATGCTTGTTTGCCCAGTGGGTTCTGTTTACTTAATAATGTACAAATTGGGATTGAATATGCCTTTGAAACTTATGGTGTTACTCATTGTGCAATTTTAGATATAGATTTACATCATGGTGATGGATCTCAAGATATTTGTTGGGAACGTGCTGGATTCAATGGAGATTATGGTAAAGATGATGAAGATGTTGAAAATCCAAGATCTGAATATGGTAAAAGATTTGCAACATATCCAAAGGTTGGATATTTTTCATTACATGATATTAAATCATATCCAACTGAATTAGGATATGCAACAAAGGAAAATATTAAAAATGCATCTACTTGTATTATGGATCATGATTTAAATATATGGAATGTTCATTTACAAGAATGGTCAAGTGAAGATGAGTTTTATAAACTTTATCAAACGAAATATGTTTCAATTTTAAATCGTGCCAATCAATTTTTAAATCAAGCCAAAAAGCAATATGAACAAGAATATCAAGCTTATTTGATTCAATTGACAAATTATAACAAATATTTGCAGAAACAACATTTATACAATCAACCAGTATTAAAACCAAAGGCACCTCCACCATTCAAACCGTTGATTACTATATCTGCAGGGTTTGATGCTCTGGAGTATGAGAATCCACAAATGCAAAGACATGGTGTAAATGTACCAACTTCATTCTATGCTACATTTACCAAAGATGTGGTTAAATTGGCCAAAATTCATACAAAGGGTAAAGTGATATCATTCTTAGAAGGTGGATATTCTGATGGAGCATTAACAACCGGGATATTTTCACATTTAATTGGATTAACTAGTGATTCAAAGACTGCTCAAAATGATGAATTATTATGGAATGAAACGTGGGGGTCACAACAAGTGATGAAGGAACTTATTAAAGGATGTAAGAAGAATTGGACTCCTTATAAGAAGCCACAGACTGACATCACTATATGGGCCAATGAAGTGATTAAACTTGGAAGATCTATGATGCCAAATGCTATCTTACCAGCAAATTATATATACAAGAAAGAAGATCAAACAAATGCTGTAAACAACATGGTGAAAGGATTGAAAGAGAGTGACCGATTTAATCAAGGATCAAAGGTTAAACCTAATATTGATGTTGAGGATAGAAGAGTTCTCAGATCATACTATAAACGGCAAGAAGCTGCTAGGTCTGAATAGAGAAATAAATATTTTTGATATATGTATAGAGATTCTTTTTTTTTTTTTTTCCCCCTTTTAACGGTATATATTTATACATTTAGCTAATAGACAATAGACAAATTAGAATAGTAATATATGTATATATAAATATGTGGTAATCTGCGAGATTTCCTCATTGGGTTGATACTTTTTAATATAGTCTAATATTTTTTCATGATTACACTATATGACATTCCCACCCCACCACCTCTCCACCATTGAATTCCCCTCCAATTGCAAATTGTTAACTCAAAGGGGAAAATGAGGACAATTTAAGTCTGCAGGATTGATGCACCCTTAGTTACCTAGGTTTCTATTGGGATATGCAGGATAATTTAGTGTCAAGAGTTAGCGCACAGACAACAAACCGATACGGCGAAACCAAATTATTACAATGTTTCAAGGAGAAAAAAAAAACTAAATAAAACCAGGGGATTTCTTACTCAATAAACCGTCAATAGTTGGATAGAATAATTGATCATCCCACTGGTAAATATATATAATAATAAAGAAGTATGACTGGGTTAAAAGCCAGGTTAGTGTCAGTAGGAAGAGAAATTCTGCATTCACTGTCTGTACAGTCAGAGCTGGATAGGAATACAAAGGAAATTATAAATGATCATAAAATAAAAGAATATCCACCATCACATCCAAACTTCAATCGATCTGGGATATCTGATCATGATTATATAGAAAGTTTAAAATTTGAAAATCGAGAACTTCAAGCAACTATTTCCAAACAAGAAAGTTGGATCGAATCATTGATTCAACAATTGAAATCAAATAATATCACACCAGAATATGAAAAATTAATATCAAGTAAACGACTTCTGAGACGACCACTGAAGCTTACGAAAAATGATGAAATAAGGTTACCATTTCTTAATGATCTGCTGTCTCAACCACTGGTACAACTGCTGATACTGCTGCTGCTGCAGTCACTGTTGGTATTACCAGCTTCACAACTTGACCCTAAAGCTAAAAAAGTGGGGCCAGTACTAGATTCTAAAGGTGGGGTATGTTTATCACCAGCAATTGCATCTGCAGCATCTGTTTTGGCAGCTAGTATTGAAAATGAAGAAAATAAACTGACATCACCATCATCAGATTCATATCCTGACATACCTGAAAGATCATCAAGAAGGCGAAGGAATTCGTCGGCGGTTAGAATTGAACACCCTACTGCTAGATTCCAAGAAAAGGTTGAAAGAGAACGTCTTGAAAAGGAACGTCTTGATCAAAAGCGAAAAGAACGTGAAGTGAAGAATAAAGAATTGGTAAAACCAGATATTCAACCGACTGTTCCAAATGGAAAACTTCTGTCCAATGAACAAGATAAAGTATTAGATGTTCAAGAAAAGGAGAATAAAGAAGACTTAGCAAGACGAGAGAGAGAACGAATTGAAAGGGAAGAGTTTGAACAACAAGTACTTAATCAAGAACTTTTTGAGAAGAGACAATTAGAATTGGCAATGGAGGAAGAAAAGAAAAAAGTCGCCAAGGAAGAATCAGATCGTCTTGAAAAAGAACGTATACAAAGAGAAGAACAAGAACTCTTGGCGATGGAACTCCTTGAAAGAGAAAACTTAAAAATTGAACAAGAACAAGAACGTCTTCGAAAGCTTCATAGAGAGCAAGTAAATAGAGCTCAGAATGAATCCATTGACAAGGAAAAACTTGAGAAAGAAAGACTTGAGAAGGAACGTCTTGAGAAGGAGCGTCTTGAGAAGGAGCGTCTTGAGAAGGAACAACTTGAACAAGAACGTCTTGAGAAGGAACAACTTGAAAAGGAGCGTCTTGAGAAGGAACGTCTTGAGAAGGAGCGTCTTGAGAAGGAGCGTCTTGAGAAGGAACAACTTGAAAAAGAGCGTCTTGAGAAGGAACAACTTGAAAAAGAGCGTCTTGAGAAGGAACAACTTGAAAAAGAACGTCTCGAAAAAGAGCGTTTCGAAAAAGAACAATTTGAAAAGGAGCGTCTCGAAAAGGAGCAACTTGAAAAAGAGCGTCTAAAGGAGGAACAACTTCAAAAAGAAAAGGCTGAAGCTGATCGCATTGCAAGAGAAAGAATAGAGAGGGAACAACAATTGGACTATGAACGAGAAGCCAAAGAACAACAAGAAAGTCTTGCTCGTGCTGAAAAAGAACTTGAATTAATGGCGGAAGCAGAGCAAAAGAAAATTGAAGCTTCAAAAAAAGCAAATATATCCTTGTCACCTCGCAAAAATTATCTAGCCGATGTATCAGATAACAGGTCTTCGCTTTACTCAGAAGAGAATGCCCCAAGCATTACTTCTGATAATTCTGATTACAAAGCCAATGAAAAGGGCTCTCAAATAATGAATCATGACAAAAATCGCAGTAATGGTAGTTTCAACTCCTACAAATCTAGAATAAGGTTACCTTCTTCTATGAATCTGACTCCACAAATGAATAATAACAATATGAACAATAATATTAATGTCAAAAGTTTAAGTCTTGACGTTCCTCCGAGTGAATTGTCAAATGAAAATAAATTAAGATCTCCTGCGACATGCACTAGAGATGACCAGATTGATTTGAGCTCTGTGAACACCGGAGCTACTACTCCCTTGATCAGTCAATCTGAATCATTCTTTAAGGAAAGAGGAGGCCAAAGAGAACCATTTACTCCAGAAGGTTTCCAAACAAGAATTATTAGTGGTGATAAAGTTGATGATTTACGTTCTATAACCTCACCTGTTCACAGTAGCTTCAATTCCTCGTATCTCTCTCCAAGAGTAGATGCTAGTCATAAAAATGTCGGTAATCATGACACACATTCCATTGACTCCATAAATACTCGTCCTCGGGTATCAACAAATACTTTCCAAGTATCCCCTGCCGTTGCTGCAGCAAAAGAGGATGATACTGCACTTTTCATACAACCTGACGAATTCCAAACTATTAATATTACGGTGACTAGTACCCTTCACATAAGCTCAAACAAAAAGTCTGACGAGCCACAATGTACTATTGCTGTCACAGATCGAGCAAGTGAAAAGGAAATGTGGAGAATTCGTAAAACTTATTCTCAATTAGTTTCATTTGATAATGAAATTAGACCAATTGTGGAATATTTTGGATTACCTCCACTTCCTGAGAAGAGTATGTTTTATTCATCATCTCCTATAAAGATAGACTCACGTCGATTACAACTTCAAGATTACTTCAATACTTTGTTCTTGATGCCACACATACCTCAAATGGTATTGTATCGTGTTTGTAGATATCTTTCACTCGACTTTGTTAGTCCATTGGACGACTTTAAAAGTGGAGCTAGAAAAGAAGGTTATTTAATCCGTCGGTACAAAGGGTTGGGGACTTCATGGAAGATTCGTTGGTGTCAAGTTGATGGTCCAACAATGGATATCTTTGAATTACCTGGAGGACCCATGATAGAACAGATAAAATTGGTAGGAGCTCAAATCGGTCGTCAATCGGCTGATTCAGTAGCCGAGGAAAAGGGGTATAGACATGCCTTTTTACTCATGGAATCTTCCAAAAGTTCGAAACTTCAATCTTCTTTACCAAAGCATTTCTTCTGTGCTGAAGATGATATCGAAAGAGATGAATGGATTCAATGTTTGGTAGACTATGATAACTCAGATTCTCCACTTGATGCCAATACTTCTTATGATTATGATGTCGATACGACAGTCGTTTTATCAACTCCTAACAATCACCAGCATTCTTTTGAAGAAGAATCATCTAAAGCAAACGCATACTCAACAAGTACCATCGGCTCGCCAGTTAGTCTCTATCAAAATGGAAGTACTGCTACCCTTGATCAGGACTCAAGTAAGAGTGTATTAATTGATGATTTCCAGAAGGACCATAAAGAAAAGGAAAGAGAGAAAAAACATAAAAAGAGAAGTATATTCCCCTTTAGAACAAAGACATCGCTGAATGAAGCTGATTCAGATATACTTCAGTATCCAAATGTCGCTCATGCTACAACGTCAACTCATCCGGAATCTTCCATGCAAATGTATCTTGATCTGATGAATTTAGATTCTGACCTTTCAAAAACCATTTTTGGACGTGGTATTGATGCTGCTTATAATCTTTCCTCTCATGATTATCATGGACGGAGTATTCCTAGTATCTGTTTCCGATGTTTGGACTTCCTTACTCGTGCTGGAGCTGTATATGAAGAAGGGATATTCCGTTTAAGTGGCTCTGCATCTAACATCAGACATTTGAAGGAACTTTTTAACGTTAATTTTGACGTTGATTTATTTAATTGTGGGGTTCAATCAGATATACACACAGTTGCGGGGCTTTTCAAGACATACCTTCGTGAACTTCCAGAACCAATACTTGGAACTGGAGCGTTCAATGACCTCAAGAGTATAGCTCATAAATTAGACTCTGATAAGGGAGCCTTGGCGATAGCTTTCAGAGACTATTTGAATGATCCTACTCATATTGATCGAATCCATTATGACTTGTGCTATGTCATTTTCAAGTTTTTGAAAGAGATTATATCTAACAATGCTTCAAATAGAATGAATCTTCGGAATTTATGCATTGTGTTTGTACCTACATTGAATGTTTCACTTGAAATATTAAGTGCATTCTTAGTTGATTTTGATTGTATATTTGAAAATGGTCAACCAGTACCCAACAATACTCGAGAAGTATTAGACCTATACATTCCAAACTTCTAAACATAATGATATGGTTATAGACTAGCCATATTATGAATAAATATACAAGAACAATCTAATAAAAAATTATTATATTTATATTTATTTGTAGTTATATTTATATTTGCGTATACATGAAGCTGAATTGGCAGTGTTTAAAAGGTATATATTTCTGTTACCATTCACTCTCACCAGTAGCCTTTTGGAAAACGTAATCTCTACCATTGATATTGGCCACACCCTCTTTAAGAGTAGACTTCCATTTGTTTTTGACTCTCTGTACCTTGTCATACAAACAAAGCATGATTTGTCCCTCATCTTGACCAACTTCTTCATCTTCTCTGTCACTTTCTACATCATCATCAAGATCAGAATTAATATCATCTGAATCATTATAGATATCTTCATCGTCAAAATCATCAGCGCCATCACTTTGACCAACTCTTTGTATCTTAGCCTTCTCTTGCTTCTTGAGTTTATCCAAAAGTTCAGCGGCCTTTGATGTGTACATGGTGAATTCAAAAGTACCATCAGATTGGTTAATACGAGGAATCATTAACCCAGTACCATCACCTTCTTCCATCTTTGCAATAGGATTATTTCCCAGAATGTCGTTGTTAGATGTATGAGTATTGTACGATAACGAAGAAGCAGATTGGTGAATGTTTGGTAATTCTAATCCATTTGTATTGTCGATATGAGATAAACCAACGTCCGACAGAGTATCTGGTAATTGCTGTTGTAAATACTGCTGTTGAAGTGGAGCTTGGGTCTGCTGTTGCTGCTGTTGTTGGGATTGAAGGTGTTGTGGTGGTTGCTGTTGTTGTTGTTGTTGTCTAGCAAGTTCTTCTTCTTCTCGTTGCGCTTCTTCATCCCAAGAAAATTTTGCAATTCCAGACAGACTCAATTTTTGACACCATATCTTACGTAAATCTTGCAATGTAGACTCATCTATCCCACTGTCCTCAAAGTCTTGTCTTGAATCAGATATAACTTCTTCGATTACTGCTTCATAAAGTTTTATGGCTTCAAAATTTGACATTATCAAAACTTAATTCTAATTTTCTGCGAAAAATCTATTACTATGACTTTAATCCTTTTTGTTTTTCTATCCCTAAATTATAAGTCGCCTTGGATATATAATCCTCTCTGCTATGCGTCTTATTCTAACGAAGGTCCACGTCTATTAACCTTGCTTGAATGATAAATGATCGTTTTATGGTTGGAGGGGAATTTCAATTTATACTCAGGGTGTTACACAAACTTGTATGCAGGCGCTTACAATATTTGGTCAATCCATTTTTTTGATAACAAAAGATCACTTACAAAATATTCATTATCACATTTAAATTAAAAGAAGATATATATATATATCATAATTAAATAATAATCTAAAGATTAATGCCTTTTTAATCCCTTCTTTGGTGATCTCTTTCTTGGATCCAGCTCTGCAACTTCTCTGTACTCTTCAATTAGGTTTAATAATTGATTCTTTTCCACACTTACGATCTCAAGTTTCTTTTCTAAACTTTCAATATCTCTAATTTGTGATTTGTTTTCAATGTGTAAATGATCAATTTGCTTTCTAAATCTTTTTTCAATTGATTTTCTAACTTCTGCAACTTTTAATTCATGCTTTTTTGAATATTGGTAATACAATTGTTCAGCTACTTCTTGAATTCTTGTTTGAGTCTTCTCGTTATTGTTTTCAATTTCTTGTTGCAATTTCTTAATCATTGACTTCAATTCATTGACTTCTTCAGTTGAATTAGACTCTTTAGAAGTCACATTATCTTCATATTCAGAAATTTTTTGCTTCTGTTGATTAACCTTTTGGACCAATTCACTCATTTTCTTAGTATCACCACTAATAATCTCATCTTTATCTTTATTTGCTGATTTTAAAAGTTCAATTTGTGATTTGGCTTTAGTCGTTTCCTCCTTAAGTCTTTCATTTTCTTGTTGAAATAATTCAAGTTTTTTATTTAAAGATTGAATGAATGATTCGGAATTATCATATTTACTTTGAAGTAATTCTAAATCTGAACTTAATTCTTTCTTTTCATTTTCAATAATTTCCAAATTCTTGGTTAATTCATTCAATGAATTGGTACATTGATCCAAATTTATTTGAGTTTCGTTATGAATAGTTGTTAAGTCATCAAGTTTTACTTGTAAATCATTCTTTTCATTGTTTAATTTTTCAATCTTTAATTTACCATCTTCTGTATCAGCAATTAAGTGAGCAATTTTATTCTTTGCCAAAGTTTCAAGTTTGTCTAATTCTTCAACTAAACTTGTTTGCTTATCATTGATATCATGTAATTCAACATTTTCTTCTTTGAGATTCTTTATTTCAGTTAAGAGTTCTTCTTTATCCTTAAGTAATGATTCTACTTTAAGATTCAATTCTAAATTAACTTCACCAACTAAAGTAAGCTCTTTATTTTTAGAAAGAATTTCCTCTTCTAATTCAATTTTCTTGGAATTTGTAACTGTATGATTCTCAATTTCAAGTTTTAACTTTTCATTTAATTCAGAAATATCTTTTAATAAATTATCTTTCTCTTTATTAATTAGTTCAAGATCTGAATTTAATGAATTCAATTGTTGCTTATATTTTTGAATTTTAGATTCTAATTGATTCGTTAAATTCATTTTAATTTTAAGACTCTTTGCTGATTTGGCTAAATCACGTTCAGTATGTTTCAATTGTACTTTTAATAATTCCTCATTCCCAATCAATTTCTTCTTTGCCAGAGTTAATTCCTTTATTTGTTGATCAAATATTAAAAATTTCCCATTTGTTGATGATAACTCTTCTGAAAATTTTAAGATTTCTTGATTTTTATGATAGATTATATTCTCTAAACTTTCAATCTCTTTAACATTTTCGTTTTGAATCTTCTTAATATGATCAATTGAGAAAACTGGTTTGGAATTTGGTGACATTAAGAAATTAATTGTTGGTTCATCTTCAATTCCATCTTCTATAATTTCATCATCATCATCATTATCAGAAATATTAACAGTTTTAGGAATTTCTCTATCGATGTGCAGTTTTAATGGACTAGTATTTTCAACAATAGATTCTTCAATTACTCTATTGCCTTGATTTATTTCTGGACTCTTTGCAACAGGTTCTGTCAATCTCTGTGGTGTAACATAATCTTCATCAACATTAATTAAAATTTTATTTTGTTGAGTAAAATTCTCACTTTCTGGTACTTTTGTATGATATTTAGTAACCATTGTTTGTGAAAATTCATTAGCACTATTTCTTCCAACTTCAAGATCACTATCATCACTGTCATTATCAATAACGGTTGTAGCGGTATTTGTGGTTGGTTTGGAACTACTAAGTTGTCCAACCAAATCTTCTTTATTAAAAACATCATCAATAACAATCAGTGTATTATTTTTATTATTTTCTTGTTCTTCTTGATCTTCCAATTCTGGTTCATTTCTAAATGAACTTTCTAAATCATTGGCATTAGTAACAACCTTGGCAATTTTATGACTAGGACTAGCAGTGGATATTTCTTCTAGAACTTCATGATTTCTCTTTTTCTTTTGCAGTGATCCCATCATTGTTAAAGAATTATTATTTGATCTTGAAGGGGTATCAATTTTTGTTGGAGAGGATTCAAATGGACTTCTTGGTTGTCTACTATTCATGGACTCGCTTGAAAGTCTACTACTTGTTCTCTGAGCTTTTCCTAATCGATATACATTTTCCTTATTGGTTGGACTATTATCACGAGATGATTGTTGTTGTTGTTGTTGTTGTTGTAATCTGGCATCAAGTTTAACTTTAGATTTCCCAATTGATTCAAATGTAGAAACGTATTTGAGAGTTCTAGGAGAAGTCAATGGTGCAAGCTGAGTCTTCATAGATAAGATTTCACTGGTTCTTCTGGTTGATAATGGAGTCCGATTAACGGTATGATGAATTGTGTTTCTTCTTGCATCATGTTTGGCAGTCAATCCATGGGGGTGATCTCCACCACTTCCAGTTGGAAATTCCGCGATCCGGATTGGTGAGAGCTTTTCGCCCTCCATATATGAATACTCTGGTTCAAAGCGGGTTGGTGAACTCATTTAATTTGGGGTTTAAATTCAGACTAATGTGAAAACCTTGATTCCTTTTGCTTTAATTTTAAAACAATTTTACTTCAACTCGCCTTTTTTTGTTTATTTTTGTTTTGGGGGGAAGAAAAAAAAAAAAAAGTGAAGGACGCGCTCTGGCACTATATGTAGGAATTAATTAGATAGAGCATATATACATTTTGATTATTTGCTGTATTTTCTACAAGATTTAAAATAAAACATCAGTAAAATTTAAATAAATTGATATAAAAATAGAGAAGGGGAGGGTGGGGTAGGATGTGAAAATATAGCACAAGAATATATGTAAGAAAAAGAAAACCAAATTAAACTCTAAAAATGAAATGATCTTCTTCTTTATTTAACTTTTATTTCCTCTTTTTTTTGGCACTCTATGTCATAATTTCACAACCTTTAGGTCGTTAAAGAAAGTTCGTCAAAAATGGGTTACGCACACAGTTTAGACAATTTAGAAAAGGTTGAACAAACCTCTCTTCAATGGAGTAGCTGGGACGTAACTAGAAGCACTTGGAGCGGCAGATGAGTAGAATGTACCATTGCCAGAAGCCGAGTAACTTGGGGTTGGAGTTGAAGTGATATGGGTAGTAGTGGTGTGTAATTGAGTAGAAGTAACAAAAACAGTACTAGTAAGGGTAGTAGTCAAGTTACCACCGTAAGTGAATTCAGCGGTAATTGGGAAAGCAGAAGTAATAGTTGAAGTCTCGACAATCGTAGAAGTGATGTCTGGAGCGCTAGAACTAGGGTTACAGTTGTTTTCAGTGACAGTGACAGTGACAGTTGGAACAGTCAAAGTGGAGGTACCGGTAGATGTAGTTTCTTGGGTTAAAGTAGTACTACCTTGAGTAAGGGTAATTTGTTTGGTAATAGTCAGGGTGGTGGTCAATTCAGTTTCATCTTCAGAAGAAAAAGCAGTAGCAGTCTTAGAAGAGATGGTAGTGGTAAGAGTGTTGGTTGGGATAGTGGCAACAACGCTTCCAGAAGTAAGAGTTCTGTATTCGATGATAGTGGAGGTAATAGTCTCGATGTCATCGTCAGAGACAGATGCGGAAGAAGCAGCAGCCTTGGCTTTCTCAACAGCACTAGTAGCACTAGCTGGAATAGTTTCTGTAGTAGATGGTAAAGTTACGGTAACCCATTCGTCAACGGTAAGGGTAGTAGTTCCTTCATCAGAAGAAGTTGTTGCTGGAGCAGCTTCAACCGCAGATTCAGAAGACAGAACCAAAGCGGCAGCAGTTGTTACGTCACTTGAAGTGGTTGGAGCAACTGATAATTCTGACGAGCTCAGCAAAGAAGTTGGGAGAGTTGTCAAAACGGAAGAAGAACCTGGAACGGCAGCAGCAGAACTCAGAGATGGTTCGGTAGTGTTATCATAACGCTTGAATGGGATTGCAGAGGCAGACGAGGCCATCAATACAACAGCAATTGAATAAAGTGGAAGCATTTTTTTTTCTTAGTGAATTTTTTTCGTTTAGTAGAAAGTTCTTATAGTTAATTCCGAGTATCAAGTAATTGGTATTGGGAATTTAAGCGAATGGAAGTGAATATCACGAAAGTCGAAGTAGGTTGAAAAGGAATGGACGCGTTTAGATTACGCAAGTAACGACAAAAAGTAATATATAGCTTTGGTGAAGTGTTCAATAATAGCAGAATTTGAAAGGACAACCAAAAGTATATATACTAACGCCTGCAGAAACCGCCATGCCAGCGTGTTTCAAATCGATCCGGCATCGTAAGGGGCCTACAATGTTTGGCATTCTGTGTTATGTAAACTTGTTTGGAAAAACGCGAATTGCATTCGCAACCAAAAAGCGCGAATTTGCAGCATAACGGCAGTATGTTTCGGTTAAATAGAGGAATGTTCCTGTACGTAGTGTAAAATCAGGGGAATAATCTGCGGAACTATCGTCATGTTACAAACGGTTATGTCAGAGTATTGTTGTTCAACCCTTGAATCTTTTTTTATATATTATGATTGTACAAATAGAATGCGTTAGGTGGGATTCCCCCCTGTCTGTTAGAAGTATGTAGTTCCTATTGTGAAAGAATTCTCCCTCCTATTTCTCATGTTTTAGTTTTTCCGCCTCCATTTCCATTTGCCGAGACAAATAATTTTGATTTTGGTGACGATACCTCGCAGGAGGCAATTTATCACCCAATTCCAAGCCTCTTATGGTAGTCAAAACAAATAATCTTCGCCTTGTTTTAATTTCTTGTATATTCCTGCATTTGGTTTCTCTTGTGTTTGTTTTTCTTTTTTCCACTAAGGAGACACTTTCAACTCTATCACGTGTCACTGATGAAGGTACTACATCTATGATGTATACGCATTGTTGTATATTGTTAATCAGCATCACAAATACTTAACGACGTAATATAATTCGGTTTTAAGTTTACATGCATTACTTTTCTTGCATTGGGTTTGTTTTATTATTATATTGTATGTACAGTTAGTAGATTCATTGACGGTCAAACTTTTTATAATAGAATTATTACGCCCAATGTTAAAGAAATTTTTATTTGTTAAAAATGTGAAGGATTATTTATTACCGAGTAGGTATCATCCATCTTCATATGATAAACTTATATCCATCGATACTTAATATTTTTTAAAAATTAAGAGTTGATCACTCGGTTAAAATTCTTTGTGTTATCTCACTTCTCAATTGCTACTTGACCCCGCAAAAAACTGTACTGTGAAGATGTCTCAAGTATACAAATCTCTTTTTTACATAAACTAGTTACATTATTTATCTCTAGGTAATATGGTCGATAAAATTATTCTTCATTGGCTTGATGGCTCTAGAGCACAAAGAATTGTTTGGCTTTTAAATGAATTGAATGTTCCATTTGAAGTAAAACCATACAAAAGAAAGAATTTCCGTGCTCCACGTGAACTTCGTGAAGTATTCCCATTGGGTCGGGCACCAATTGTAGAGATTTTCCCTGATGGTGATGAGACTGAAGAACCAATTGTATTAGCAGAAACGGGTTATATAATTAATTATTTGATTGAAAATTATGACAAGGAGAAGAAATTAATTCCTACATCTAGAAAAGATCAAGAATTAGTTAAGTATTATTTATACTACGCTGAAGGATCGCTTCAATCTATATTAATTGCACTCCTTGTTAATAGTAAAGTTGCTGGAGCCAGTCCATTTGGATTAAAATACATCGCTGGGGTGGTCACACAAGCTATTAACAAGGGATATTACCTTCCAGAATTGAAATCAAATTTAAAATTTTTAGATGATCGCTTATCTAAAGTGGAAGGTGATTATTTCGTTGGTAATAAATTGACTGGGGCTGATATTATCCTAAGTTTTCCATTGGTTGATAATCTTTTCTCTGATGTGACATCAACAAAAGAATTCACTGGATTAGATGTGGTTACATTGTATCCAAATATTAAAAGATGGTCGGATAAAATTAAATTGGAAACGAATCGTTCTGATGCTCTTTTGCAAGTTAAAAATCTCAGTCCAAACCTTTGAATTATCAACATTATCTACACATTTTCTCTTATACTATGACATAAAAAAATCAAAAGATTATATAAGTAAGCCAATTCTGGTTAATAGCTGATCAGTAGACTAATTCGTAAAAAAAAAGTGTTTTAGTTCCCCATGTGAGATCTATGTTTGCCTTTCTTTCGCACCTTTACAAAGTGAATTTAGACATATATCTTAGAACTTCTTAGGAGATATTAATTTATACATTAATATATTTTGTTCATTGTAACGTAATCAATATGACTCGCTATTATTCCGCTATTGATCGGTTCTTTAACAGATTCCGTAAAAAGGGATTCTTCATATATACATCAATTGTTGTCGCAGCAACCATATATTCAATGTATTCATTGTCAAATTTGCCAGATGTACGGGAAATTAAAGATAAGGAAACTAAACGATTAAGGGATAAAAAGAAAAAGAAAGCTAATGATCAAGTAGAGAAGGATAAGGAGAGTAAACTTAAAGAAAGTGACGATATTAATGACCCAATTAAAAAAGAACTTGCAAAAGATCACAATCAGATTGATAACTGGACTAGAAAGCAATTATATTCATTTTTGGGAAAACATAATATATTCCCGAATCTTGATATAACATTGGATGACCTTAAAGAACAAGCTAAGGCTGTTTTTTATAATGACATTGTGGCGGAGATTTAGAGAATTATGTGGTTATTGAACCTTTGTGGTTAACCACTGTTTTTTAATACAGATTATTTTTTTTTATATATAAATATTCAAATCGCAGATTTATGTAAAGAAATAAATGGAAAACAAGGTGAACAAGTTTAATAAATGAAGATTCTGTTGTAGTCTAGTATATTGATAACTATTTGTATCATATATTAATACTAATATTTAATTAGATTGATCATGCATGACTTCGTGGGGATTTTTAGGAGGGGATCTACTATCTAAATGAGTGAGAGAGTGAGAGGGGGGGATAAGAAAGAGCAAATGTGGTCCTACCGCACATAGTAGCACTGTTCTAATGACATTATATTACATCATATTTGGAGCACAGACCTCCAAATTAATTCGGAAATTTATCGGAAATTTAACAGTCCTTATCCAATTAAGACTGAGAACATAAATGTGTGGCTCACTTATTTCGTTCCAGGCCCAAATTATATACAGGGCAGGAGAGTACTTGTTAGTCAGCAGTACCAACGATGATTTGTTGAGGGGAGTGTGTTCGATCGACAATAATAATAAATTGCTAATAAATATCAATTGAGTTTCTTTCAAGTTTTTAATTCAATTGGAATCAATTACATATTTATATATAAGTTAAAATGGTCAAAGCTGGTAAGTATTAAATTATATTTGCTCATGAGCAGTTTTTCTAAAAATCTCAACGGTTATGGTTACAAATTTCCGATTGATGATAATAAATTGCTCATTGTATTAAATAGCTCAATTTCAATTGTGGAGGAGTTTATTATATATATATACTAACAATTCAGTCGCTGTATTAAGAGGAGATGCCAAGGTTGGCGGTATCGTCACCTTCGAACAAGAATCCGAAGAAAAGCCAACAATTGTCTCCTGGGACATCAGTGGTAACGCTCCAAATGCTTTGAGAGGGTTCCACGTTCATCAATTCGGTGATAACACAAACGGTTGTACCTCTGCTGGTCCTCACTTCAACCCATTCGGTAAGACCCATGGTGCTCCAGAAGATGTAGACAGACACGTTGGTGACTTGGGTAACATCACCACCGACTCTGAAGGTGTTGCCAAAGGTACCAAGCAGGACTTGTTGCTTAAGTTGATTGGTCCAAACTCTATTATCGGTAGAACTGTCGTTGTCCATGACGGTACTGATGACTTGGGTAAGGGTGGTCATGCTGACTCTCTCAAGACTGGTAATGCCGGTGGTAGACCAGCCTGTGGTGTTATTGGTTTGACCCAATAAATGTTTTAGTGTTTCATAAGGAAATTATATGCCATTGAAATAATCAATTATTCGTATTGTAGTATTAACATATATGTGTATATATATTCATATTTAATTTTTTGGTAAATATCTAACATCTGCTGGACAATTAGACTTGGTTAAAGTATCAATTGGTTTATAAATACCAGTTAAAACACTTCCCTTAACGTGGTTATAATACCAAATTTCTGAAATAGCATCAGTGTTAGAGCATCCAACATAAACTTGAGCACCATGAGCTTGAGATAAAGCAGCTTGAACATCACTTAAGGAATAAGTTTTATCTAAAGTTGGAGTAATACCAGCATTTTCCAAAAATTGATATGTTGGAAGTGAATCCCAAACTTCAACAACCTTTCTATAGAAATCGTAAGCAGTTTGATACTGTTGATATTCTCCAGTATAACATCTTGGTTGAATGGTGGTCATACAAGTACCATGTTTATTGTATTCATGTTCCCATAAAGATGAAGCACTTCCACTGTTACTTACCCAAACTTGTTGCATCTTATTGTACAATCCCAGATCTCCAAACTTGTTAACAATAATATCTTGTAAATCAGACGCTTGAACATTTAATGCATTATTACAGTAAGTGTTGTATTGACCATTACAAAGATCATTCCATAATCCATGAATTGTGAATAATTGATCTGCAGTTCCCAAACCCACAAAATCACCAGGATTAGATGATGAATTGGTCTTTGTACTGGCAGAATAAGTAGATGCGTCGGCATAATCAGGGTTGAAATCCCAGAATTGTGTTTGCATAACAACTCCATTTGGAGTTTCATAGCAACATAAATCAGTAGATGGAATAGTTTGAGTTGCCTCACATGAAAATGCAGCTACAGGACTGTCATAAAATGCTTGACAACTCTGAACTGCATAAGAAGAGTCCAGAGTGATTTGAACATTGAAGTTCAATGGAGCTGCAGTTGCAATAGCAATAAGTGTAACAAAACTAAGGCTGCAAAATTTCATGACTGAGATTGGAAAATGAAGCAATTTGAGAATTGATCAAAAAAAGAAATTAAGATAGTAGAGAGGTTTTGGTATATTATTAATACTTCAGTTTTAGAGATGGTGGATCACATTGGTAATTCTCGAACAACTTGGCTCCTTTTTATACGTATCTAGGTCGAGGTATTCCATTTGTTTTTTTGGTACCAATTTCATATGGTGCCGTGCCAACGTGGAATATCTTCGCGCATATGTTGTCAGTGAGAATTTTGGGTGCAATTCGTACATGCCATGCATCGTGGCCATGCATTCTATTGTATGCAACTATAATTTTTCATAGAACCCCATGCCCGTCAATATTTGCCCTACCCCTTACAATTACCCGTGCATAAAGGGGCGTCATTCTATAGAGGAAACATCTTCTACAATACTATATTTTAGTATCATTATCTAGATTCATTCTATCATGTGTTAAGTTGGTATGCAACTATGATAACGAAATAAAGAAAAAGTTCCAATTCTTAAAAATCGCAAAGTTTTGCCTTGCTATACTGTACGAATTAATATACATTTATCATAATTACATCCATGCAAGTCAAATATCAAATGTGGACACTATAGTTACGAATCTACTCTGATTTGTTAACAGAAGATAAGCGCCTCACCTTGATACGGCCTATCTAATCTTAATTGGAATATATCAAAGCTATGCTAATTTATTGTTAATTTCCGATCGGTGTAGCTTAAACGTTATACTAATTATATTATTGTTATCGATACTATATTACAATCTCATTCGGGGTTGACCATGTGGTATGTTAGTCCTCTAATTTTTTACAAACAATTTTTGCTTCCACTAATACACCTTCTGTGGACATGATTTGGAGTAAGACATGATCTAAACCATCTATATGATTTGTCTTAATTTCAGTGAAATTTATTGCAATATCTTCAAAAATTGGTAACTTATTTTTATACAGAATTTTCTCGATCTTTGTTTTCGGATGACAATTTCTAAACCATTCAAGAAGTAATGATATTATAAATGGTCCAGATATTAAAATGTTAGGGAATCCTTCTGATTTGCAATGTTCAAGATTATAATGGATTTTGTGTGCATTATAGGTTAGTGAGCTATATCTGAAGTTTTGGGTCGAATCTAATTTAACTTTAATTGATGTTAAACTTGGATCTATCTTATATGGTGGTAATTCTTTCTGAATGTAGTTGTCATTACTATAGACTAAAGTTCTTGTTTCTAAAAGTAAATCATTTCCACCTTCATGGAATCTTCTATTGATATTCACAAAACATTGGTTTGAAAGATATCTAACTGAATTAATATTTTCAGTACAAGTCACTTGTGATCCGAATTTTATAGGATTAATATATTCGATGACACCACCTACCCACATTCTTCGTTTGAAGATTTCTTTACCAGAAAGATTAAGAGGAGCTTGATAATTATCATATCCATCTTGCCCCAATTTACTAGAAATAGGGTTATGATATACGAAATGATATCCTGGGTTTAATATTCTTTGATAGGAATCATTCTCATTAATGTTACTATTATTATTTTTAAATACAGAATTAAATAATGAAGTTAATCTTTGGGAATTTGTAATATCTATATTTTGAGTGGTTGACCAATTCTTATTAAGAATATTTTTTGTCCATTTGGCTACAGAATCCCTAATAGACATACTAATCTTAAAATTAATTGAATTAACAAACTTGTATTTTAATTTTTAGTTGCAATTTAGAAAAAAGTCATGTGAATCTATCAGAAAGTAAAAAAAAAAAAATTGGAGTAATTCTTAATTGGGAATCTCTTCTTTTTTTTTTTTTTTTTTTTTCTCATAGATTAAATCTGTCATTTTAAACCGGGCAATTAAGCTCATCGCATAGAATATCAAAATTGGTGTAAACCTTTAGATGAGATTAGACTTATTTCAATAAACATTTAAAGGTTCTACTTTGCAATAGCTAACATGAGTTCTAGTGAAGCATTGAAGAATATCAAGAATAAACAGAAAAGGCAAAAGCTTTTTGCTGACCTCAAGCATGAAAAGAATAAGGCTCGTCATAAGTTGAGAAATGAAAGAGCCAAGGAAGAACGTCTTAATCCTGAATTAAAGGAAGAACGTTTAGCAGCAAATATTCCAGAAACCATTGAATCTAAGCGTGTTTATGACGAAACGATCGCTACTGAAGTGGAAGGTGAAGATGGGTTTGATGCCTATTTCTCCGATGCTAAGGAACCAAAAATCTTACTTACAACCAATGCTAATGCCCGTAAAGCTGCTTATGAATTTGCTGATATGCTTATGGAAATCCTTCCAAATGTAAAATTTGTGAAAAGAAAGAGAGATTTCTCAATGAAAGATATGGCCAAATTTTGTGTTAATAGAGATTATACTGATTTGATAGTTATCAATGAAGATAAGAAGGCTGTTAATGGGATTACTTTTATTCATTTACCACATGGTCCAACTTTTTACTTTTCTATTTCATCACTTACTGATGCTAAACAAATTGAAGGACATGGAAGAGCTTCAGATCATATTCCAGAATTAGTCTTGAATAACTTCAACACCCGTCTTGGTAAGACTGTAGGGAGACTTTTCCAATCTCTCTTCCCACATAGACCAGAATTCCAAGGAAGACAAGTGGTGACTTTGCATAATCAAAGAGATTACATCTTTTTCAGAAGACATAGATATATTTTCCGTAATGAAGAAAAAGTTGGGTTACAGGAACTTGGCCCACAATTCACTTTAAAGTTGAGAAGAGTGCAAAAGGGTATTAAGGAAGACGTAGAATGGGAACATAGACCAGACATGGAACGTGACAAGAGAAAGTTCTACCTTTAGTTTTTTTAGGGGTAAAGTATGTACAGTACAAACTAATAAAAGATGGCATGAAAGAAAATACTAGTATTTTGTATATCAACTGTAGAAAATGATCATCAGGGATAATATCTTACACGATGGATTTGATGAATATATTCCGATAAAATATAAAGTAAAAATAAATAAGTAAATAAATAAATAAAACTCACTGGGATGTGGTGTGTCTAGGGCTCTTTCTCCACTTCCCAGTCTTTCTTCACTATCACCCCCTATCTGAGAATATCAATAGATTCGGATTTATTATTTTTTTTTTTTTTTTAATTCGAGTTTTTTTTTCCTTAGCGAGTGCGCGCAGGTCATACATCAAAAATTGGTAGCACGATTTGTAAACACAAACGCCTACATATTGCGATTACGATCTATTAGTAAATCCACTCAATTAGTCAGGTTCAGCGGTAATCAAGACAAATAGCGTTGTCCAAGAAGCTTGTCCGACCTTTTGTCTATCTCCGCTCAGCTCAATTTGTCGCTATAAATTAGTATCTGCCCGTAATTAAAAACGAAAAAAAAACCCTTCCCGCCCCTCCTCAGTGAAATTCTTTATAAATTGATTAATCTAAATGACCATGGACAGCAGTGGAGTGAACCAAATCATCAGTGCCTTGGGGTTGGTTTACGCGCTGACGTCGACAAATGATCAACGTCGTGATGCACAGGCTTTTCTAGAGACCATCAAATCCAACGACGAGTCTCCTTTTTGGGGGTATCAATTGGCACTTCCAGAAAACAATGGTACAAACTACATAGTTCGTCATTTTGGACTTTCTCTATTACAAGATTCCATCTACAAGAAGTTCCACACTTTTAATACTGAGAAAACCACTGCAATTAGGAATTGGATTGTAGAATTAGCCAATAAGGCGATGGACTCAGATCCACATTATCTTAAGGAAAAACTTGCATTTCTCTGGGTTGCCATAGCGAAGAAAACGTGGGGCTCATACCTTGTTAAGGCTCTTTCCAAGGAAAATCAACTGTTAGATGAAAATAACAAAATTCCATCTGTTTCAGAACAGGATTGCCTTGATGGATGGTCTTCAATGGACTCTGACCTTTGGCAATTATGGAATTCAAACTTATGTTGTCGGGAGCTTTCTCTTGTAATTATTAGAACATTATTTGAAGACATTTATCTATTGGATGACCCCATTGCTTCTAAAAGAACAACTATTCTAAATCAACTTAGTGTCTTGGTGGTAACTCCTGATTCAGTTTTAAACTCGATATACGAGCCAAACCCTAAGTTGTCCTTATGTAAGGCATCAACTGATGGTTGGTTTATTGCATGGAGTAAATATCTCATTAATATTTTACTGGAGAATAGTTGTGAAAGTTCACCATGTCAAATATTTGTTCCAAAAATCTTATCAACTTTGAAAACTTGTTTACATTGGGTTCAACCATCAGTATTGAAAAGTGAAAACATTATGAATACTCTTATTAATATATTAACACTTCCAGATGTTAAATTGAAAACTTTAGCAGTGGATTGTTTGCATATTTTATTTACTAGAAATTATCATAATGAAGAAGATTTCCAATTTTTTATTGGTAGTATTTATACTAGTGAAGGAATTAGAAAATTATCTCAATTTTATGAATCTTTAGAAATAGATCCTGATGATGTTGATGAACAAGTATATTCATTACTTAAAAAGACTGTGGAAATGATTGTATCACTTAGTGAATATCTTAATACAACCACAAGTCAAAGAAATAAGATTTCTTGGGAGAAGGCTGACGTTGATAACTATCTTAAACTTGTTCTTACTACAACAAGCCATCCTAGTTTAATTATATCTGGACTTTCACTTCAAATGTGGGTAACAATCTTACGATTTGATGAATTAAGTTCGAAAGAACCAATGCTTAAAATACTACTTGATTTACTTGAAGTGTCAGCTAATAGAACCATCAGTTACAATTTAGTTGATGATGATCATATTTCAAAGAAATTCTTAGATGTTGATTTTGATTCAACACCTGATGCAAATTCATTTTTACTGAATTACAAAAAGTTTAATGAAGATATTGTTCGTATCACAATATGTAAAAAACCTGAAGGTGGTTTAACCTGGTTAGAAAATAGATTACAGGCTTTTTTTAGCTCAGAATTAGGGAGTATATGCATCAATTCAGCCAAATTAGCTGAAAAAAGTGATGCATTCAATTATGGAAATTCACAATTTAATATCATTGAAAATTGTATAAGAGGTATATCAAGATGGAGAATTTGGTATACAGGTGAAGATATCAATGTTATTAATGATAGACTTAATAAACTTGTTGAAAGTTTAGGTGAAAGATTATTAGCCATGAATTTGGCTTGTCCAATGTTGATTCGTAAACAAGTGCAAACACTTGTTCAATTTGCTCCACTTTTAAAAGATGTAAGTCCACTTATGTTTCAAGTGTTGGAAAAAATCTTAACCACTGCTACATTTGATTACCCTCCTGATATTTCAGATGAAGATAAAGAATTAATCAGGGATTTGAGAACTAGTTGTGGAACTGAATTAAATCGTTTGGCATATATTATGCCTGAATCATTAAAGAAGATATTTAATGAATTAGAAAGTGTTGTTGCAAATATTCTTTCTTCAAAGAAGGTTACTGAACATGAAAATGTAGCCTTTAAATCATTCTTATTGGTGATTGCATCAAGATCATCAATTGATGGTAAAGATGAATTGTTTGCCAAGATTGTTGATCCAGAATTAGCAGCTTGGTCGGCTCCTGAAACTGAAAAGGGATTAATGGATTTACATTGGTTCATGGAGAGAATGGGGATAGTTGAGATAGCATCTTATTTCCGAAGCAGAGGAATTACTGCAACCACAAACTTACTTGAAGCTCAAATGGATGAAGAAGGGAAACTTTTAAAAACAAGATTAAAAGATCATTGGTCATCTATTTTTCCAATTCGTGCTACTCGTATCTTTATACAATACAGTATAGAGAAATTACCACATGATTCTCCTGAATTTTTAAATTTATTGAAAATGTGGAAACCCCGAGTACAACCAATTGTACCGCATATACTTCAATTATTGACGCAAATCCAGGCGTACCATAATCCGGAAAATTGGAAAGACTTACCAGATGCAGTTCAATCATTTGTAAGATATAGTTGTATGGAAAGATTCTGGCAACAAGGGGTATCGATACAAAGTAAAGAAACGTTTATCGAAGAAAACGTTAAGGCCGCATTAACCTTGAGAGACTTTGCTGATTCTGTTGGACACTTGATAAGATACACTAGAGAATATGCCTTTTTAACATTAGGTTCATTGTCACAATTAGAAGACACATTTTATGAAATCCCAAATATTGCCACTATGATTTGGAAATCAGTTGCTGGGGACACCCTGGGAATCACATTACATAGTTGGAAACACATGATTAACAGTTGTTTACGAAGTGTCGTTCGTAACTGTCCTGTAAAGTTTGTGGATGTATTTATGGCTGAATTACTTCCAAAGGCCTTCTATGATATTGATAAATTGATTGTTTCTAAATGGGAAAAGGTTTATATGAATGGATTACAATTACAAGGTAATGAAGATGATGAAACACTTTCAGAAGAAATGATGGAAGAGCACATGTTAAGACAACTTACAGCTACAGTTGTTAGATTCTTGATGGATGTTGTGAGTCAATTCAATGCAAAGAGTGTAACCGACACACAATACGCTTGTAAGAGATTGATTATCGAGAATAAAGAAGTCATGGCGCCATTCTTGCAAATTTGTTGTCATATTATTCAGTTCAAGGATACCAAATGTTCCTTTAATACGATTTTGGTTGTTCGAAATGTATTATCTGAAATATTATTAAAAGATGATGAAGTTGACAAATACTTGTGTGATAATCTTGTTAAGGCTTTACTTCATGTATTATTAGACGATTACTTCATTGAAACACATTCAGAGGCTGCTATAGCCTTGACAACACTTTATTGTGCGTTACGCTCCAAGAATGATTACCCTGCACGTGTAATCATTCAATTCTTACCGAATATAACATCACATCATGTTAGTAACTTTGAAACACTCCTTGTGAGTTCAAAATCACTTAAACATCAAAGATCAGCACTTTTAGAACTCATTAAAATCTCTAAGGATTCTGATTCCCAAGATTCAGATGCAACTGATATGAAGGAAAGAAAGAAACAACTTGATGCTGCTTCCCGGAAGAAGAAGGCAGCTGTGGACGTTATGAATGATCCATTTACGGAAAACAATGCACTCACAAACCTCTTTGGAGACGATTGAGATTGATTATTAAAATATATATATATATACATAGTCTATTGAAAAATTCAACAACTCTGGAATAAAAACCTATACGAGAATGATCGTTTAAAATTTCAACGAACTCGTACAATGTAATTTTTATCTATAGTATCATATGTGTGTATCATTAGTTACTATGTATAGTGAGTCGTGTGCGTGGCAAAACTTCGTATCGCTAATCCTTCTGTGGTTTTCAAACGATTAATATTTTGAACAACACGGTAATTAGTTTACATATCTATAGACTTAGTTGGACAATTATCCTGTTAAACTGGAATTCCATCATATACTGGACTCCCTGATAGTTTCCATTTAAAATTATTACGAAAAGGGAAACAAAAATTGTGAGAAGAATAAATTGTATTATAAATTCCATTTGAAAAACACGTCCCCTCTCCTATCTTAGAAAATAAAAGAAGAAAATGCCCATCAAGTCACTTGAGTCGTACCTCTTTGAACGCCGGGTAGTAAGTGCCAGCTCAATTGAGATCTTGCAGAATGCCACAATTGGTATTGATGTTGAACATTACTTGAGTCGGATCTATACCTTTAAGAAGGAACAATATTTGGCAGGTGTAGGAGGTACACCTAGTTCCTTGAAAGATTACGTGCAACTGGACTTGCAAGTATTTAAGGAATTCAATATCAAGCCTATTTTTGTCATTCCTGGTTTAGGGATTGAATCTCAACACGCTGAATTCCCAACGAATGAATTATCTCCACAAGAGCTGCACAGAATGACCACTTGGAATAAACTTCATTCACGTAGTTCAAATCCATATCTTTATAATAACCTGAACACCGAATCCTTTAGATTATTTACTGATCCATTACCTTTGAGACCAATGATCAATGATTTGATAAGATATTTTATTGCCAATGGTATTGATTATCTCATTTCACCATATGATGCATCGTTCCAATTGTCTTATTTGTATAATACTGGACTTGTTGATTCTATTTACGGTTCTACCGATGTTCTTTTATGCAATGTGGATAAATTTATCTTGGGTATGGAATTTTTAACCAAGGAATTCAGATACATTGAAAGAGCAAAGGTTTTATATGAACTTGGCTTGTCAGAGAAGCAATTTACAGACTTAAGTATTATGGTTGGTTGCAATCTTCAACCAGTTACATTCCCAAACTTTCCTCCATTGCCAAAGCCTAACCATATTCAACCATATCCACAACTCAATTATTTTAAATTGGGTTTGGAAATCATTTTCCAACTTAATTCATATAGTCCAGGAAATCCTGCTGATTTGTATGCTTATATTGTCAGTTTGAATGACCCTAAATTGTTGGAACTCTACTATAAGGGACATTCTGCCTTAAAGTATTTGCCTATCTTGAATAAGGAAGGGTATGTTGAATTATATTCTGTTGAAATGAATAAATTGAACAAGAAACAATCAGGTACTGCATTAGAAAAAATTGAAGTTCCAAATGATGTTCATGCAATTATTTCTCAAAAATTACCACCTGAATTATACTTCTATCAATCTCTTGGGTTACTCCCATTGCTGCTTCTTGAAGCAATTACTCAGGGTAAATTGAATATTAGACCACCTCCAGATGGTGGCCTTCCTGAATCATATAAGAAGTTAATTTCCTCAAAGTATTTTAATGATTCATTGGATTTCCAATTCAATCTTATTACCCAACTTTTGGCAAGATATTATCAAGTTAAAAAGATAAGTGTTGACTATTGGTTCAAGGATGGGTCTACTGAACTTAACAATAGACTCACTCCGCCAGCTCATGTTCAAATTTCTCATTTATGGATTCATAACTCTGGATCTAAAAAATTCGACCTTCCATCTTTTATCTCTAAATTAACTAATGCTAATATTGAAGAGAATTCATGTTCTGAGAGAGAAAAGAAATTTGAGATCCTGACAAACCTGGATATTATTTCTACTGCCTTGTTAAGATCGTTATATTTGTTGGGAGTTGTTGAAAATAAAACCAACAAATTGAGTTCTGTGGGTAACAGTATCCATCGTTTAGTTAAAGAATTTAAAGATATTACTGAAGATGAAGTTCTGGAATTATTTTTAATTTTACTTTTAATTAAATCAAAGGTCATTAAATTAAATGATCAAATTAGAGATTATTATAGTATTCCAAAATCGTTTAAGGACCCTATTTCATCAAATGAAGAAATTCCAGCTGAAGATGCTAAACATATTACCTTATTATCTAGAATTTTATCAGTTCATAAGTTGAATATTTCAGCCATCAATTATCAAGGTCCGATTTCAAGATCATTACAAAGTTTCCGCTCTCATGTCAAGGTAATTTTGAATAACTTGAGTAATACACTTCAATGTTGTTTACTTGATTTATCTGCGCGTAATGATATTCCAATTCGTGCTACTTTTGAAACTAGAGCTGAATGGTACGAATTGGTCAACCAGTTACCATTCTATAAGGATTGTAACAATACTTTACTTGGAGTTGTTGGTGAAATTTATTTTGAATATTCTTTGAGACAAAGAATTGGGAACCAAAATAGAACTAAAGAAGAGATCATTTCAAACACTAAGGATCATTTATTAAACTCTATTTTCCAAGTGAATAATCCTTCTTTCAATATTAATGTAAAGGGAGCAAATAGTATTGATGGTGATCTGCTCTTTAAAGATTTCAAGAATGGATTAAACTTTTGGTCCAAATTTATTAAATTGGTTGAAATTATTCATGAAGAGGATAAATCCCTTATTGATGATAAGTATTATAAGAGTATTCTTGAAACTGATACTTGGATGAAGCAATATATTTAGAGTATATATTTATATTTACAATCCTTTTTTTTTTAAATTGAAGTACATTCATTCATTCAGTAAGTCTACATAGAATCAATTATAATAATTCATTTCATTTCTAGTATACATAGTTATTTTTGAGTTTTATTTAGTTTGAATTTTAAACGTAAACGCCCACCAAGTTAGACACGTAGATAGATCCCAATCCAATAGATAAAGAGGCCACGGTTGCATAAACAATGTATGTAACGGCAGATTGAGTCTTTCTATCACCCAAGAATGCTAATGACAAGGAAACAAAGGCTAGAAGAGGAGTTAGTATACTGATTGAGTGTGGGAGATTGAGTATCATGTGGTGGAAATTGTCCCCAAACTGGTCTTATCAAGACTTACCAAGTAAGAGAAGCACAAAGGTGAGGAATGGAGCGGCTTTGGCAGCATCCTTTACTGGTTCAGATCCATAGTGGAAAAGACGTGTGTATTCTTCGTATGGTTCACCTAAAGCCATTTTTGCTGAAGTTCTATTTAATATCTGTCGGTTACACGTTTTGATGATTTAGTTATTGAACCTTTTCAGTCAACAGGGTGAGTTTGTACGCGAAACTCATACAATGTGCACTACGAAAAAAAAAAAATTATATATGTATCTACCCGTCAAGAAGGTTTCAAGGTCAAATAATATATGTATTGTCAATACAAAGAGAAATTTGGATTAGACCCCGGTGGGAGTGAGTCTACTATGATATGTCTTCTACTTTATCAACTGTTTTTTTTTCTATTGTAGTAAATTTATTGAAAAAAATTCAATTTGATCTGAGATCACTTTCCCCTGTGAGTAGACGACTTTCTTATCATTTGGATTACCTCTAGCTGCAAATCCGTGATCTACCCCTTGGAATATAGTAAGTTGGTACCAAACTTCATTGCGAGTTAAAATTTCAATTGTCTTTTCTCTTAAAATATCTGAAAAATAAGGATCCACTGCAGCTGTAGAAATAAGTATTGGACTTACAACCAGTTCAACTTCCTCAATTGACACATTTGCAGGATGTGCAATTGCACCAGAATCAAATAACCCTGAGTCAGAAAGATTTCTAACAACATACCTTGCACCAAAGCAATGACCAATTCCAAAAACATATTTTGTCTTTGTCTCAGATCGAAGTCTTGATAAGAATCCTTGTACAATGTTACTAGTTTTTTCAACACCATGGGCCACAAGCCATTTTTCATATCTATTAAATAAATCAGTCTTGGAAGAAATAGGATCATTTTGTAGAATATCTGGTACAAGAACTAATGCTTTGGCTTTTTCTGAGAGTCTATCGGCTACCAAACAGTTATTCATATATTGGTGACCGAAAACGTCAGTAAGGAACACAATAACCTTCTCTGTTCCATATTGTTCACCGATTTGATATGTATTCAATCCGTAGACATCCTTAAATAAACCAATTGGTGTACCTATATGGTTAATCGATTTAAAACAACAAGGACCTAATTGTTTGGAAGCCATTGTTTAGTAGAAAGTTGTATATATATGACAGAGTCATATAGAAATAATTTATATGTTCATTCCCTCTCTCTGATATTAATAATCAATGCATCTTCGCTAATGTAGAGTATCTACCTCCACGTTAAAGGGTTCATTGTATGTACGTTTGATTATTCTTATTAAAAATAAAAAAAAAAGCATATCAGTGAAATACTGCGGGTTACTAGAAAAGGGGAAAAAGGTGTACAACTGGCTGCTTTTATATACTAAATAATTTATTCAGCATCTACAATATATATAGAGAGTTAGTTATGTCTGACTCTGGATGGAATACGATTGATTCAGACGCAGTATGTATATCTTTTGATGGTTATACTATATTGATAAGTACTAACAATAAAGGGCGTTTTCACTGAACTCGTCGAGAAACTTAACATCAAAGATGTACAATTTGATGATCTTTACTCTATAGATAGTGAATCCTTAAGATCATCACTTCCAATTCGAGGGGTCATCTTCTTATTCAAGTATGGAAAGATTGATAGGGAGTATGCTAATTCAAGTCAAGGAAATATACCATTAACTGGATCATATGAACCTGATTACCAAGAAAAAGGAATATTCTTTGCAAATCAAACAATCCAAAATGCTTGTGCCACCCAAGCTGTATTAAATGTCCTTCTTAATACGACAGAAGTTGATTTAGGAGATGAGTTGGGAAACTTCAAACTGTTTGTAACAGGCTTTGATAGTGAACTTTGTGGAGAAACTATTTCAAACAGTGAACTTATTAGAACAGTACACAATTCATTCTCAGCCCCACCTTCCATAGCAGATGAAGATAAGAAGAATAGACCAAACAATGTTGATGAGAAAAATGATGGGTTATTCCATTTCATTGGTTATGTTCAAATAAATGGTTTCATTTATGAATTGGATGGAATGAAGAGATTCCCAATCAAACATGTTGAGTGTAATTCCGATGATGAGTTCTGTGAAAAGCTTCCACAAGTTATTATGGAAAGAATAGGCAAATATGGTGAAGAATTACGGTTTTCATTATTAGTAATGACCAATAATAAGTTAAAACAATACGAAGCACAGGGTGATTATCAGATGATTAATAACGAATTGTTAAAGCGTGAGACTTGGAAACGAGAGAATGAGCTCAGAAAGCATGACTATACAAAGCTAATCATTCAATTGTTAAAGGGGGTGGGTAGAGATATGGATGATACTGAATGGAATGCTCTTTTGGATGAAGGTCGTAAAAAGGGTCAAGCAAAGTTACTTGCAAGTTACAAAAGGCATTAATTTAATAAATAGAGTCTATATTCTAAATATTCATATACATATATATATATATATTACACCACTATTCATAAGATCCAAAACTGAATAACCCTCCACCTGGACCTCCACGACTGTGTCTTGAAAAGTAATCAAAGTCCACACTTACTGCGGTGGCCAAAAGAATAGCTCTTTGGTCTAAAGTCAATGGGCCAGCAACTGATGGATATATGTCACCCATTCCAGCAAAACTGGCTGGATCCATTCTAATAATATATACACCAGTGTCGGTGAACATTTCTCTACCTAATCCCACCCAATTTCTATCTACTGAGCCAATCACATCACCCACATCATTCTTCACAGGAAAATCAAATGATAAAAATGGCGCATCAATAGCACCATATTGGTTATATTCGTCAGTTACGTCATCATCAAGCTTGAATAAATTATAACGACGTCTCCATAAATGCCAACTTTGAACAGATTCTCCAATCACCTCATGCATCAAATTACCATTTGGATCGTACCCGGGCAAAAGAGCCTTAATATGCGAATTAATAAATGAGAATGGTCTCTTAATGGTCATAAGAGAGTCACCGTAGTTGTTGAATACTTCCAATTCAAATGGTCTATGTAATCGGAAAAATTGTCTACCGATCATCTTCAAAATTCCCATATCCTTCTCCTCCATATAACCAATTTGTTGACCGGTGGAATTCATTATAACGTACTTATTTGCTTGCTCAAACCCAAGGAATAAATTCATCATCTCCATTTTACGTTCTATAACCAATGTTGGTTCTTTAAGAATATCATATATAGGGTCTTCAGGAGTTATAAGGCCATTCTCATTTGGTGGAACCAGGAATACAGTACGGTTTGAGGCAGGACTATCTTGAAATCTATCGGTGTTCGTAGAAGGTTGCTCTTGATAATAAAAGTCCCTTTGACTATAATTATCTGCTTCTCTTTGTCTTTCAAATTTCCTAACTTCCTCCTCTGGGATTTCTCTAGTTACTCTTGTTTTATTGCGAAGAAGTAAATTACTGGAAAGAGAAATATTTCTCAAGGCACTGACACTCACCTGTGGTCTATGTGCCACTCTAAGAAAACTTGTTCTTAAAGAATACATGCTGAAGTATGTCAATTATTTTGCAATTATATGTAATGTCTATTCAATGAACTATCTCAATATGTATGGACCATAAGTATGGAATGGTGTATATATGCAGGCTGCCTCATTTCTGGTAAAATTGCCATTACATTTGATATTTTGCCACCAAGTACTTTTAATTCATAAAAATATCTTAACAATGAACAAATTAATCTTTGAGTGTCTCATAGTTTACTAGATGTATGTTTTAAACAATTTTTATATTTTGAACTTGAAATAATTACAAGTTTTCTAAAATTAATTTAATCGTATTGTTTAACAAAATTACCAAAATACTAGTTTTTACGCCAAAGGAAACAATTTCAAAAAAGAACATAAAAAAGATGAATAATTCAAATTTTTATTGTATATTATACATCAAGATTCTTCTGGTATAACATCTAAGTAGTATTTTGCAACCCTTTTGACCCCCAGATGTGGTAATTGGGGATGATTTACTTTCTATTAAAATATACACGCTGGAACATCCATACACCTGATATTTCGGCTTAACGGATATTTTTCGGAATCTGGGGTAAATACTAAAGTGTTTTTTTTTTTTTTTTATAGTAAGCCATTTATGGATCAACGGATGTGAAACTTGTCACTGTTTACATGAAGAAAAAAAAAAAAAGAATTAAAAGAATTTTGGTTATAATGGTTCTATTTCATAGATAAACAATGTGGCTCGTTTCATGTAGTGAAAATATGAAATCGAGGAGCTATCGTTGAAAAAGATGAAATCCAAACTAAAAATTGAACTACAATAATATTTTAAATGGATATATAAGAATGACTATCTATACAACTAACCTAATTTTTTGCTACTCAAACCTGGAAGTTGAGCTTCACCACTCAATACACGCTTCATAAATTCATAGACAGTAAAAGTAACAGCTTGACCTGGAGCGACTCTCATAATTCTTGGGGTAATACCCTTGTATAATGCACCCATACCTTCTTCCTTAACTAATTGCTTACCAATCTTGACAATACGAACCATACCAGATTCATTGGAAGCAAATGTAGTCTTTTGAAGACGAGTCTTAATAGTGTCCAATGGAGCGTTAGATAATGGACCTAAGGCACCAGAAATCAAACCAATACAAGATGTTTGCCAAGCTGGCAAGTCAGTAGTACCATGGTATTCTTGTAATCTTTCTCTGATTTTAGAGTATACAGTAAAGTTAACACCTTGGTTGGTTGCTTGTCTAGCAGCAGTCAAGGAAACACCACGATAAAGAGTTTTGAAACCTTCTTCTCTAACAATAGTATAAGCAGCATGTGGAGCATTTCTATACTTTGGAATGTCCAAAGGATCAGCCATAGAATGATGTTGAGCTTGTAAACGAATCTTTACAACTTCCATAGGATTAACAACCAATACTGCTTCAGTGATACCAGCACCAACACCTGCAATGAAAGTAGAACCAGTAGAAATAGTACCATCTGGTTTGTAAAGTAAAGAACGGAAAAACTCATAAGATGAAAATCTAAGAGCCATCTTTGGAACAATTCCAATAACAACAGCACCAAGACCCTTATAGAGGGATAAAAATGCTTCCTTTTCCACAATATTAATACCAGTTCTTATAAATCCAGGTGGCTTTTGACCAGACTTACGGTATAATTGCATTCTGACCTTGACGGTGTCCAAAGGATGGCAACAAAGGGCTTCGAATAAACCGGCAGTACCACCGGCCACCAAGTCAGTGATTCCTCCCTTCTTTACTTGCTTAGGTTTTGTAGTAGCAGCAGACATTATGATGGATGAATTCTATTTAGGAATAAACAGGAAAAAAAAAAGTTCAATCAAAGGAATTGATAAGGGGGTGTTTGTGACGATAAACGTGGGGGGTCGTTTTCAATTTGAATAGATACTGTATCAAACAGATGTATCTTTAGGTTCTCTATAATAAAAGGACCCTAATAAATAAAATAGTATAATGAAATAAGGAAGAAAAGAATTACAAATCGAAGTTCTTTTTCGGTTTATATACTTTTTTTTTTCATGTGGGGTACCTCCTTTCTGCCGGGGATGTGCTTGTTCCGCGGCCCGGGGTACATAAAAAGTTGGGTGCAGGCCGCGTTCGGTGTGACTCTTGAGTCACAACCATTGGTGGGATCACACTTAATTCGTGTTTTTTTTTTTTAAAACGCCGGACAGACTCAGGTTTGGGATCTAATCAGTTCCAATATTATATTTTGGTGAATCATACGGACTTTCGGGTAGTGAAAATTATTTATTTACTATAACTTTTTGCTCATGGTACGTATTTTTTTTTTAAATTTACACACCAACAAAAACTTTAGAACTAAATGAAGAGAATAGACCCAATGTAATTAGTGATTCATATTTGATTATTTTATTATTATACCATATTTAATACCTCCCAATAATGATCTACACCATTTTCAACACTACAACAAATGAGTGCTTCAAGTCCATAGATAACTATTTGAACATCGACAAGTATTTTGTGAAATTCTGGTCCAATGCTATACTCTGTCCTTTCACAACAAATAGACCAAATAGCTACTTGCATTGTGCGAAGACTTTCCGTAAGACATCTAATATTCTTATCTAGATCCTTAGTCAATTTTATTTCAACTGGATTTATATAAACGTCTTTAACATAACTGTGAATCTCCTCTAATCTGTATTAGTTAGTACTTTTGGTGTTTGTGATAATTCATATTTTGCTAAATCGAGTGGTCTTCTTTTCATAAACTTACAATCCAGATTGAAGGATGTGACTTCCATTATTATGCTCAAGATAACGCCATAAATCATGCATACCAAGAAGTAAATCTCTAAGTTGTTTCTTTCTTTGATCAAATCTTAATTCGTCTCTTTTACATGATTTATTGCAATGGGGATTATTTGATATATATTCTTCATTAGTCCAATTTAATTCATCACCAACTCTTTGGTTTGGGTACAATCCAATAAGAATGTTACCAAGTTTTGAGATCCAAAGCTGATACATTATTTTAGCAGTACTAAAGATTCGTGTTTATATGAAGACATACAAAAGCAATTTTTTTTATTTTTGCACCCAAATTTTCATCTGTGAATAGAGAACAACATATACACAATTTTATCTTAACTACACAAATAGATTATCATTAAATCTCATTAGGTTTAATATACACAATTAATTAAGAGGTTTTGGCTTGATGGTCTCAGCAGGAGTGGCAGTGGTTGAGCTTGGAGTCGATTCTGTAGGTGTTGATTGACTCTTTTTCAACTCAGCTAATCTACGAGCTTCAGCGTGGACATCCTTTGCATCCTTAGCAACTTGCTTGTAGAATTGAGAAACCTTCTTTCCGTATGGATGAGCGGTAGCTTGTTCATAATAATGATCAAGTTTAGTCTTGTATCCAGATTTACTAAAGGCATTGGTCCATTCAGTAAGCTTAGAAGATACTTGTTCTGTAGTTTTATTGGCAGTAGATTGTGGTTCTTGACTATGAATCCATTTTTTGTCCAAGTTTTCTAAAAATGACATAAACTTGGCAGAATACCCCTTTTCAGAATCGGTCTTAATTGCTTGATCAATCAATTTGTCTGAAACAACATACCCAGAGGCAAGAAGTTGAGCCATAATGGCATACTTTGGCTTTTCTTCTTGAGAAACATCATCATAAGTGTTATCCCCAGTAGCCAAGGCATCATTTTGAAACTTGTGATCACCATGTGTAACACCCCCAGATGGTGCGGCTTCAGAATACAGTGGAAGACCACCAGATTCAGCTTGCACAACCTTAATGGCAACACCATCTAATTCTGCTTCATTAAGCAAAAGGGCAGTTTGCAATGCCTTTTCAGATTCAAAAATAACTTCAACGGATTGAAATTTCTCTTCAGTAGACTTAATTGGATTAACAGCCTTTATCTTACCACAAAATGAGAAAAACTCAGTGAGCTTTTCAGTTGTGACAGTCTTTGGAATTCTGGAAGCAATAATTGACATTTTCTTTTAATTATTTGAATTTAAAATGAATATTAAAAGTTTATTATATTCAATTTTAAATGGTAGTTGGGAGTGTTATATAGTACTAATTTATGGGGCACAGCAATAATTGTTGCATTGCAATGTCACACATTTTGTTAGGGGCGTATGCAGGCGCCGCACGTTCTATACTGGTGGTGGCAAGTATTAGTTGCTTTTATCAGAAAAAAAGAGTTGAATCCATAAATTGCCATGTGATTCTGAGGGAGGCGTATGTTCACATCAATACACAGTTCACACCAGATGATCATCTCATCTATTTGGTGATTAAAGTACAAGAATTGTAATATATATATTTTTTTTTTGTATTGCACTTACTTACAACTTGTACCATTCTTTTTAATTTTTAATTTTTTTTCTTTCATAAATATATATATATACCCGTAAACTCATTTGGCTATAAATTGAATTCAATCATGATTTCAATTATTTAATATTCCTTTATGTTTGCCAATTTCTCTTTTCTTTTTATTATTTTAGATTCATTATAATAAAGTTTGACCCAAAGCACATCTACCAATGGCACAAGCAGCACTGACAGTGTCCAAGACATGATTTTCATTTTCAGCCAACAATGGGTTAGTTTCAACAATATCCAATGAAGATAACAACCCAGTTTCAGCCACAGCTTCGGCAATATATAAACCTTCTCTTAAAGTTAACCCACCTTCAACTCTAGTACCAGTAGCAGGAACATATAATGGATCAATTGCATCAACATCATATGATAAATGGATTGGGAATTCTCTATTTGGGTTGATAGCATCAAGAGCCATATCGACAACTTTACCAATACCATACTTATCAACATGATGCATAGAAAATGCCTTAATATTATTTTCTTTTAAAATTTTCTTTTCACCAGCATCCACATCTCTTAAACCAATATAAGCAATTTTGTTTGGCTTCAAGTTAGATGGGATCCATTTTAAAGCTTCAGGATAAGTTTCCTTATCCAAGCCCATAACGAAGGAAACTGGACAACCATGTAAATTACCAGAATCAGTAGTCTTTGGAGTATTAATATCAGCATGAGCATCGATCCATAAAATACAAGTGTTTGGATCATGTTCTAACATACCACTTAAAGTAGCAGCACCAATAGAATGGTCACCACCAATGGTAATTGGTAATCTGTTGTTGTTTGCAGCTCCCTTCACTGAATCATGGATCTTACGACAACATTCGCCTACAATGGTAGCATTCTTAATACCATAGGCATCAGCAGATGATTGTGATTTTTCATTTTCATAAGTGGTACCTTCCAAGGCATTGTCGATCTCGACAGACCAACCTAATTCTTCAATTTGCTTTTGGAATCCAGCTTTAAGAATATATTCAGGACCAAGTTCAACACCAGATTTTGGTTGACCTCCAGAAAATGGAGCGGTGATAATGGTAGCCTTCTTTTCAGGGTGGTATTTGAATTCGACTAGAAATTTTAGTTAATATTGATTCAAAACTTAAAACTACTTTGTAAAGTTTAACTACCTCATCTCGAAGCTCATCTCAACTGATTAACTATCTAACATTGGAATACTTACTATCAGACATGTTTTGTAGTTTCTATTTATTTTATAGATGTCAAAAGATAATAAAATATAGGAATTCTCGTTTGTTTAAATAGAACGGCATTCGACGGAAGTGTATTCCTTGTTCCAAAAGGTACCTGTTTCTTCTTTGGTGCATCCAAACCGTTAACGACAAGAACGCGCGGTCTATTTGATTTCTGCGCTGTTACTTTCCCTCCACAGACTGCTGCCGTACACCCATACACCCAAGATAATGCGCAAGATTCTTTGATACTTCTATGTGAATTCTTTAGTTTGAGACACGGTAAATCAACCCCGAATTCTCCGAGGCCGCAGTAATCAATGAACACTTTTTTCGCAACTACTTACTCTTTACTATCATGGATATTTTATGAATTTCTTGAGTGCTTACGTGTACGAATGTGCGATGCACAAAAATCGTTGTGAACTACGTTTAGTGGATTTATTTGCAACATTAATGATTGGAAAAGAGGAGTTAATGTGGAGCTAAAAGTGAGGAGAAGATGTATGTGTTTGTTTATGATTATAACTGACTATTTAGCCCAGGAAAGACAAGAAAAAGTGCCGTATTGACATATTTGAAGATGCATTTAGAGTTTGACGGGGGGGGGGGGGGGTGGGGGTTAGATTTTCATCTATACTATTCTGTGTCACTACATTTAATTTATGCCGATCGGAACTTTTTCAAATTTAGTCACATTTTTTTGGGCAAGATAGTTGTGGTTCAGCCCTATAGTTTTTTTCTTTACTGTACAATTTGTAAACCGTGGTATTTATGTACACGTTGTCCACAAAAAGTCGCTCATAGAGTTTCCAAATTAAGTTTTTGTGTAATAATTATGCACGTGGATCAGTTTTTGCAACCAATGATGATGAATAGTTTGTTGAAGAGATTTTCAAACGTCATTCCATTACCTATTTAAAGGTTTGTTCCACTTAAAGTATATATATATATCATCTCTTGTTTATAAATCTTTCCACGTTTTCCTTTATTTTTTATCGTAAAAATAGTCGTTTCCGATTATTTCAGCGAAAAGTGGAGTTTCTTTTTTGGAGGAATCTAATTTAAAGTTGAAGGGTGTCAAAATTTGCAATAAATAATTGAGTATCTGTTTTGTTTCTTTTTGTTTCAATCATTAGAAATAAGTAAATAGAGGTAAGTACAATTGATATGAACGATTTATTAAATCTTATTAGTTGATGAATTTAGAAGAAGAAACATGATTTCAGGACATGATTTCAGTCCAAAATGAGTAATTTATCTCAATTCTTTAAATATTTACTCACCTCCTTGTCAGGAGATTATCATTACTTTAGAAATGATTGAGAAATATATCAATGACATTCTTATTCGTGACTTTTGTTAAAAAATTCATTCAGTTTGTTTTTTTTCTTGACAAATCAAGAAGGAATAACCATCGGGCGAAAACTGCATACTAACTTTTATTAGATAACGATTTCATTGTATTGACATATACATATATAAAGAAACTTGTATTACTCATAATCCTTTAAATATTAGATTTCAATAAGTCTTTCAATTATGAAGTTTGGTAAAACGTTTGTGACTCACCAAATTCCAGAATGGTCGGTTTATTACATGAACTACAAACACCTCAAGAAGAGAATAAAGACGATTGATTTGGTTGTTAACGAAGATGAATTGGTTCCTAGTGAAATTCCTGAACTTATTGGTTCAATTTTAGCTGAATTCTTTTTCGAATTAGATAGAGATATCGAAAAAGTTGATGAATTCTATACCAAGCAATTTAGAGAATATGATAGAAGATTACAAAAAATTATTTTGGTTTTAGGTTACTCCCCAGAAACCCAAGAAATTAATCACAAGATTAAATCTTCTGATGAATTAGATGAAGTTGTTTCTATCTTATTAGAATTGAGAACTATTTATAGAAATTTGAAATGGTACGGTGAATTGAATCACAAAGGTTTTGTTAAAATTTTGAAAAAGTTGGATAAGAAATTAAGTTATTTGAATACCTTATCTAATGAACACCAATTGAATGGGGAAGCTACTTATAAGGAAGAAGCCAGACAGATAAACATCCCTATGAACCATAAGGATGCCTACTTGTCAACTAGAGTAAATGCCTTACCATTTGCTAATGAGACCGAGTTGATTAATGGCTTATCAGTTATCAATGCCATTTTGAATAATTTGGGTGCTGAAAAGTTAACTAATGATGGTCGCAACAATAACATTAAGAATCCTACCACATCAAATTATTTGAAAGTTGGTGACACTAACTATTCAATTGATCAAGAGAGTCTTGAAAGGTTTTATTCTCTTATTGCAGATGATGACTCAGAACTGCTTGTTAAGGAATTGGACAAAATTGAGCCAACTGAAAGAAATTTGAAGCATTTGATTTCTTTATTGAATAGAGCAACAATGAAATGCTCTTACAACTGTATTGAAGAAGTGTTCAAAGCTATTGCTAATTTTGTTGAAGAATCTGAATCCTTATCATTAGTGAATTGTTTATTTGACAAGGATGATATTAGTGGTAGAAATTTCTTCCATCATCATACAATTTCTTTAGGTAAGAAACAAAAAATTCAAGAAGCTAAGAGATCTCAAATCAATATTGAAAAATTGAATGAGATTCAAGAACTGGAATTACAAAAGATTCAAGATCGTAATTCTCTGTTGGTTACTCCCGGTGAATATTCTGACAACAATAGATTATACGGAAACAATGGAGGTCCCGATGGTGCTGAATTACCTTCAGTGGATTCACATGGAATTGCATACCTTTTGAATAATATCGTTTTGAAAAGTGATTTGTACAAGAAAGAATTGGGCCCATTGTTGAATGCAAAGGATAACTATTTGAGAACGCCATTACATTATGCAGCTCAGTATGGTTTGAAAGATTTAAGTAAAACTTTATTGGATTTTTTAAATACTTTGAACATAATTGTTGAGGCAAAGTCAATTGATGATTTAGACTTCTGGGGTGATCAAGAAGGATTAACCCCAATTCATTTGTCCATTATTGGAAAACATCCATTGACAACTGAGATTCTTGTGAAGTGTAGTTTCACCAATCAATTGACCTGTTCAAACTTGTTGCTTCTTGCAGTTAGACTCGACTCTCCAGATATTTTGGATATTTTGATTAACCATGGTAAGATTAATGTCAATTACACTGATGTTGAACATAATATGGAAACTGCACTTTACATTGCTTCAAAACTCAATTTAATTGATGTTGTCAAGTTTTTGTTGACAGCTAATGCAGACACTAATATTGGTGAAGATGTTTTTGGATGGACTCCAGTGTTTGCAGCAGCTTCTGAAGGTTATGGAGATATTGTTAAAGTTTTGATTGAAGCAGGGTGTACTATTGATTGCGTAGACGAATCTGGTTGGTTGCCAATGGAACATGCAACTTTGAGAGGTCATCTTGACGTTGCAGACTTGTTAATACCTGATGATGAAACTCTTTTGGCTTATGACATGAATGACAGTAGTAAGAATACCCCAAGAGTCAAGATGAGCGAGGCTGTAAAGGAAAAGTCACCTTCTCCTTCTATTTCCTCCACGGATGGTGAAGGCTCACGAATCTACGGCCAAAAAGCTGGTAACTTTTCAACATCCAGTATTGATAAGTTACCAGAACCAAATAAGAATGCCGTGAATGAGGTCTACAGACAATTGAAGCAATTGGATACCAGTAGTGAGAAGTCTGGACCTAGAATTGCCAGATCTAAGTCTCCATTGAACAAGAGAAAGATTAAGCCTGTTAAATCTTTTGGTCATAAATATTTAGACAGGGATGAATCATTGATTTTGATTACTTTGGGAACTACTGACTTAAGAGACTCCAGCGAGCCTATTGAATTAAACAAGATTTCGATGGCCAAAACTTTTTTCACCGAATTGGATACTGCTTTATCGTTAGTTATAACTATAAGGGACAAGAGCTCTATCGGTAACAACAAGCCTTTAGAGCCTCCTGTAGTTATTGACTTACCCCTTGAGGATCATCATGGTAGTGCATCAGATCCTATTAGTTTCAAATTGAAGGATGGCTTGAATCCTCAAGATACTATTATTACTTTTGATGTTGTACCAACCTATCAATATGCTAACCCTACTGATTTGAACAGTCCAATACCACAATTTAAGAAGGTTCTTGGAAGAGCTGTTGCTATTATGAGTAATGCATACACCAGAGTTGGGGCAAACTTGAGATCATTGAATAACAATATCACAGTTCCAATCATTGAATCAGGAACTCTTGATGTTTTAGGATCCATTAAGTTTGAATACATGTACGTCAATTCCTTCGAACACGCTTCGATGAATATTGGAAGAAGTGATACTTACTGGAAGCAATTGGTATCGACCAGAGTTATTGGACATAGAGGATTGGGTAAAAATGTTAGTAATAGAAACTCTTTGCAATTGGGAGAAAACACAGTTGAATCATTCATTGCTGCTGCTTCATTGGGTGCCTCCTATGTTGAATTTGATGTTCAATTGACTAAGGATTCCGTACCAGTCATTTACCATGATTTTCTTGTTGCTGAGTCTGGTGTGGACATTCCTATGCACGTTCTTACAGCCGAACAATTTTTGGGTTTAAGTGAAGATTCTAATGATCGTTTGAAATCAATGAAGAAGAATTTGAATAGCTTGAAAGAAAAGCAAGTTGGAGAAAAGAAGGATAGTAATTTCATTTTCAAGAAGAATTATTCTTTGGATGACGAGATGTTGAGTAAATTACACAGACCTAGATCAATGTCACACACAGGAACTCCTGATTTAAACAAGAAGAGAGATAAGGTATTTGATGTTATTAGTGAAACTCATTCTGACGAAGAAGATGAGATTGAACGTGAATTCAAGGATCAAATCAACAGACGTATGAAGTTGACTAAGACTTGGAAAGATAAGGGATTCAAGGGTAATGCTAGAGGGTTATCGGTTGCATCCAACTTTGTTACACTCTCAGAATTATTTAAGAAATTACCAAAAACAGTTGGATTTAATATTGAATTGAAGTACCCAATGTTGGATGAAGCTGAAGAAGAAAGTACAGGTGAAATAGCCATTGATTTGAACTATTACGTTGATACTATTTTAAAGTGTGTTTACGATGAAAATACCACTGGAAGAGATATTATTTTCTCTTCATTCCACCCAGATGTTTGTTTGTTGTTATCTATGAAGCAACCTACTATTCCAATTTTGTTTTTGACTGAAGCTGGAACTCAATTTATGGCTGATATTAGAGCATCTTCTTTACAAAACGCCATTCGTTTTGCAAAGAAATGGAACCTTTTAGGTATTGTTAGTGCTGCCAAAACATTAGTTAAAACTCCAAGATTGGCCCAAGTTGTTAAAAGTTCGGGATTGGTGTGTGTAACATACGGGGTTGAAAATAATTCTTATGAATTAGCAAAGATTCAAATGAAGGCCGGTGTTGACGCCGTTATCGCTGATAGTGTTTTGGCAGTAAGAGAGGGATTGAGAAAGGATCAAGAACAGACCAAGGAAGAGTCTTTCGAGTAAACATGAGTTAATATATAGATGAATAAATTATTATACTTCAAGTTAAAATCATGTAGTAGTTTAAAAACCCATACCCCAAATATCCTACATATAAGTCTAAACAAAGAATATGGGTTCGTTTAATTTTACCATTTGGGATGAAGTGGTTAAGGTATTTGAATTTTAACATATTAGATACCATGGCTGATAAACGGGATTTTTGCAAGCCAATTCTGAAACCAGGGACTGGTGTAGTCCCCGGAAGAGATTCAGCCAATAATACTTTGTCTGGAATTTCTGCTTTACATGTGAATGCTGCCAGAGAACTGGTGAGATTACACACTCGTGGTAGAAACCCTATCCAACAAGGTTCATCTTCAATTAGTAATTCAACAGCGTCGACCAGTATTCAAAGTACAGGTCAAGAAACTAGTAGTGTATCGCCATTCCAACCTTCAAAGAGTGTGTCTGTTCCCGCCTTAGCACACGAGGGCGAATGTATGAACCCACAATGTGGTCATTGTGGACTGGTTATAATTCCATCTCCAAAAGCATTTTATCCAATCCAAGACAAACCATCTATTACTATCAATGATTGGAGTATATTCGTAATAAAGAAACCAATTTTAAATTCAGCGGAATTGGATGCATTAGCTGAGAGTAAATTTACATTCCCATTACCAGAAATGATTTTTGGTAATAATTCAATCAAATTAGTAAATGATAAGGAGGGCATTTGTATCGAGTTTAATACGTTGGATGCACTTGAAGGGTTAGATGAAAGTTGTAACTTTAAGGTCAGTTACCATAAAGAATGGTTAGATTCTCGTCGATCAAGTGAAGATTCAATATCCACTACATCTGGATCGGGGTCAGAAAAAAATTTAACTCCTACTAATACCATCACTTCAAATATACAATCAAACACCAATACAAAGGATTTGAAGAAGCTTACCGACCTCGAGTCTCTCAAGCCATATGATTGGACATATTCTACAAAATACCAAGGTTCAATTACACATCTGGATCCAAAGTTTCTTAAACCTTCACAAACTGCCAAAATTCCTATAGAGAGACTTGTAAGACCAGATCCTATTTTATTTTTCGATGAAATGGTTCTATTTGAAGATGAATTGGGAGATAATGGGATTTCCATGTTATCTGTGAAAGTAAGAGTTATGCCTACTTGTTTACTCTTGTTGAGTAGATTTTTCTTACGAATTGACAATGTAGCATTCCGTGTACGGGATACCCGGATCTTCATTGATTTAGAAACTTCAGAGATTATAAGGGAATATAAGGAACAAGAAAGTCCATATGATGTTCTTCTCAGGAAAGTTACTGGGGGATCTAATTCTAAAATTGTTGATCCAAAGGGATTATTAAGGGATACTAATTGGGTGTCGCAGAATATTCCTGTTCTTTGGTCTCAAGTTGAAACTAACAAAATAGGGTAAATGAGGAAGAGTAATTAATTTTTTTTTTAAAAATTTGCATTATTATTATATGAAGAAAGTAATATATGTATATGAGTAGAGTGAGTTCTTTTAAAATTACAATTAAATAACTGATAACCTGTAGTCTCGATTAACTTTTTGCAACATGTGTATATATTAAAAAAATAGAACGTGCATATACCAAATTGATCAAATTTATCATTACACAAAAGGTTCAAAAAAGTCCAATCGTTAAATAAATTTTTCAGATTTTAAGACAAAGGTTGAATTGATTTGTGCAATACATATGTTTAAACAATCCGCTAGATTGGCTAGACTCCCTGTTGGGGCTAGCAAGAGAAGATTACACCAAGTTCCAAAGTTAATAGAAGGCGAGAAGTTTGCCCAAAATGGTATCCAAGGTTTGTACACACCAAATGGATTTCAAAAGGCATGGCTCGACTATCAAAAGTACCTTACGATAAATTTATCTCTTAACACAACTGGTACTGAAAATGAGTTGAGAACTCCATACCAAATTCTCCTTCACACAGCAAAGCAAACTACCGAGCAACATACCTATCATTTTGCATCTCAAGCACACAATAACCATTTCTGTTTTGAACAATTGGCCGATAAATCGTTTGCTTCTCAAACAAAACCTTCAAGATATTTTATGGAAAAGTTAGCTGATCAAGATTTCAATACTTTAGAAGAATTTAGAGAAGAGTTTTTGCTTACAGCTGATTCAACCTTGGGCCAAGGATGGGTCTTTTTAGTTGAAAGACCAGACAAATCTCTTAGAATACTCAAATGTAACAATGATGGTACTCCATACCATTACACCAAAAACCAATCATTAGACTTGAATGGTAGTGTTGATGAAGCAAGTTATGAATACTTGAACAGTTTAACCACCAAGGCTGCCAACGGTGAAAAGGATTTCACCTTACCTATTTTGGGTATTAACTGTTGGGACTATGCTTACATCAATGATTATGGTGTGACTGGTAAGGCAGATTACTTGGCCAACTTCTGGGATTGTATTAACTGGGATGTTGTCAACAAGAGACTTTTCCAATTGTAAATATGTAAATAGATAAAAATAATACAAAGAAAGCGAAACAAAAACAAAATTAAGTCAGCATGCTAGTTTTGAACTTTATGATAAAATTGCAATTAAATCTGATAGTTGAACGTCGTCATCAATTCCTAATTCAATGAATTTTTGATAATCCTTCATTTTCCATTCGATTTCACCACTTTGCACAACCATATCTTGCAACTTTGAATCCTCAGCCCAATTATTCTCTGTACTACTCATAACAAGTATGGGAAGAAGTTCTGAATATATAGAGATTCGGAACCATAGTTTTTGTATTTCCAAGAATTGTGATTTTATTAATAGTTCTTGATCTTCCAGTAGTAATGATCTGTCTGAAGTTATTTTACTCGAAAGATTTTTTAGCTCATTTTCCTTAAAATTTATAGTTTGAACAAGATTCTTTAATTCAGTCAGGTTTTGATTCAATTCATTTTGTATAAGCTTTAAAATTTGTGGATAAATCTTTGAAGAATTTGAATTATTTGCTATAATTTCAGTATAACTGTTTAGAATGTGGTGAATACTTATATCACTGTCTTGTTTCGAATAGAGCGTAGACAAATTCTGTCCTATTTGAATTTCCGATGATGATGCATCAGAACTAATATGATGTATAGCTTTCAACGTTGGTAGTATTATCTGGAGGTAATTTAAATTTAAGGAATTTGTCTTTACTATTTGAATTTGATTTTTAATAAACGATCTCAATTTTAAAAGAGAATTAACTTCATCTGAATTGGGAAAGCTTTGTTCTTGTTTCCAAGGCACTTGAATTACCTTGATTATTTCTTCAAATTCCTGATCTATTACTGTGGCAGGTTTTGCCTTTAAATCTGCAATTTTTTTTAAGTAAACAATAGTATTCAACTTTTGATTAAGTTTCTGGAATAAATTTTGATATTTTAACTCTAGTACTTCAATCCTTCCTTGATTTTCCACTTCTAGAGATGAAGCATCTATATCAGTATGTGTAGCTATATCATTCCCAGACATTTAAACTATATGTAGTTGCACTGTACTACTAATTAAAAGTATTGTTGATATACCTTATGTTTTTTGCAAGTTTCCTGTTATCGATTTTCATATCAGTACACAAATATTGGTGCGAGAAAAAAGATAGTTAAAACTAATTGAACATAAAAGATATTGATCAAATTTATAAAAGAAGATCTAATATATTTATTTGTATATAATGTCAGACTTACTCAGAAAGAGGTTCTTGAAGATTGCCCAAAGTGGGATAGTTGCACAGTATACTCCTAAACAACTAAGTGAGTTGAGATTAGAATTACTCGCATTCCCCACAGACTCGTTAAACCCCGTGGAATTTTTCAGTTTACTTGAACTTCAATTCTATGTTTCACTCCTTACGAATCATGATGTTGAAGCCAAGGCAGCATTGGATAGAATTGTAGATCAATTCGGAGCAGACAAATCTCAAAGAATTAAAGTTCTTCAATCATTATATCTTGAGTCCATTGGAGAAGATGAAAAAGCCACTAAGATTCTTACAGGGAATCCAGATGAATTAGAATTATCAAGAAGACTTACTACTTTCAGTAGAAAAACTGGCAAAAATAACAATGAAGATAATTCAGATTACATAAATACATTAATATTTTTCCTTGATTTAACTCCTTCAGATATCAAAACTTGGGCTGAACTTGCCAACGAATATAGTAAAACTGGGAATTATGAAAGGGCAATCTTTTGTTATAAGGAAATCTTATTATACGAACCATATGCATACAATATTTTTTATAAAGTGGGTTTGCAATACTATTATCATTTCTTACAAATTGAATCTGGATTAAGAGATAAGAAAGAGAAATTGTTGGAAGCAGTGGACATTCTTACAAATTCAAGGAATAACTTTTTACGTTCAGTAGAGTTATGTGAAAGTTTTGAAAAAGGTTGGTTAGGCGTATACACAATTGGAGAATTAGAATTTAATAAGAAACTTTCTTCGAAATCACCTTCCAAAGAAAGTCGGATATTTTTGGAAGATGGTGATAAATTACGGGACTTATCAAAGAAGAATAGTGGATCTCTCATATCATTAGATAAAATCAATTGATATAATATATATTTAAAAGTATACTATAATAATTCTACAATTTAATTTCAAAGTAAATAATCATATATTCATCAATTTAGTTTAAGTTTACAAACAAGTAAAAAATCTTTTACTTCTTGGAGCCACAGTCGCAAGAACTAGTTCCACACTTGCAGTCGGATCCGCAATCGCAACCCTTGACATCTTCTGGACCTTGAGAAAGAATAAATGGAGACATTTTGTTGTATTTAATTTGTATTAATTGTTTTGTTTTTGAATAAAACTTAATTGATTAATTAATAATAATATTAAAATTAAGGGTTCTCATAGCCCGTTTTATAGGAGAGAGAAGCGGTAATTGTGCTACAAATATACTGCATACGTATCAAAAACTCATGACTAGCCGCCCGAACTTTTGCGAGAATATCGCTATAATATTATTTTCTAATAATTTTGCGAAATTATCGCTATTGGTGCTGCAAATAACATTACCTAATAATACTAATAATAGTGTTATGGGAATGTTTTCGAATTTACAGTGAATGGAAGCTCAAAGAAGTATTATAGTATTAACATGATCATGTTAACATGACAAGTTTTCTCTCGTAGTCTAAAAAAAATTTGCGATGAACACTTTTCAAAAATATCATTATGCTTTATTTTATGTATATAATATATAGGTAGTAGTAATAGTCTATGTATACGTATGAGCTCAGATTTGAATATATTCAATAACTAAGCAATTTGGAAGAATTTTATTTAAAATTCACCCTTCTGGTTCAAGTCATCTCTTGACAAGATTTCATCAAGGATACCACTGGCAGCAGCAACCAAACCTAAGAATGGTCTAGATGGATCTAAAACCTTAGATAAGTATTCTGGATGGTATTGAGTACCACAGAAAAACTTGTGGTTCTTCAATTCTAAGAGTTCCATTCTAGCTTCGGTTTCATCCTTACCAATGAATTGTAAGCCTTCCTTTTCGATTCTAGAAATCAACTTAGGGTTGACTTCATATCTATGTCTGTGTCTTTCCGAAACATGATCAGCACCACCATAAATCTTTCTTAAAGTAGAATCTTCAGAACCAGCACAGAATTTAGTTTCGTGAATACCCAATCTCATGGTACCACCCAACTTAACTTGATCAACATCTGGCATGTAGACAACAGAAGCAGTTTCTTCATCAGCGTTAGGGTCAAATTCCATGGAAGTAGAACCCTTAATACCAACAACATTTCTAACAAATTCAATGACAGCGATTTGTAAACCAAGACAGACACCCAAGTAAGGAACGTCATTTTCACGAGCATACTTAGCGGCGGCAACCATACCTTCAATACCACGGCTACCAAAACCACCTGGAACTAAAATACCATCTGCTTGGCAAACATGGTGCCATGCCTTGTGGTATTCAGACAAGTTGGCAACCTTAGCTTCTTCTTCCAAATCAGTAGATTCAACCCATTCAATCTTTAACTTTCTGTTACACTTCATAGAAGAGTGTTCCAAAGCCTTAATGACAGATAAGTAAGAATCCTTCAAGTGAGTGTACTTACCAACCAAAGCAATGGTAACGGTTTCATATGATTTGTCGTAGTTAGAAGTCAAAGACTTCCATCTTGCCAATAAGTGATCACCCTTAGCAATAGATTCCTTAGAAACAGTGGCAGGGTCAAGGTGCAACTTCTTGGATAAGAACTTCATGATTCTTTGTTCCTTTAACAATAATGGAACGTGGTAAGTGGTGTTGACATCATGGACGGCAATAACTTGGTCAGGACCAACATGACAGAACATACCGATCTTTTCAATAGTGGCAACTTCCAATTCTTCTTGACATCTACAAGCAATCATGTCAGGAGTCAAACCAAGAGATCTCAAATCTTTAATAGCAGCTTGAGTTGGCTTAGTCTTTTGTTCACCGTGAATAACAGGAACAAGAGAAACATGAATCAAGGCAAAGTTTTCAGAACCGACTCTGAATTGGAATTGTCTCAAGGCTTCAACAAATGGAGCACTTTCAATATCACCAACAGTACCACCTAATTCAATAATACAAACTTCTGGTTCCAAACCTGAATCATCAACTGGAATCTTTGAAACTCTTTCAATCCAATCTTGAATAGCACCAGTAACATGTGGAACAACTTGAACGGTCTTACCAAGGTAATCACCCTTTCTTTCTCTTTCAATAACATGAGAGTATATTTTACCAGTAGTAATGTTATGGTCTTTGGTCAAGGTAATATTAAGATATCTTTCATAGTTACCAAGATCCAAATCGACTTCACCACCATCGTTAAGAACGAAACATTCACCATGTTCCAAAGGAGACATAGTACCAGCATCGATGTTCATGTATGGATCGATTTTAATCGAAGTTACGCGTAAACCCAAGGTCTTAAATAACAAACCAGTAGAGGAGGCTAAAACCCCCTTACCAATACCGGAAATAACACCACCAGAAACGACAACGTACTTCATTTTAGTATTAAATCACTCGAAAATGTATATACCAGCTACTTTACAATACCCACAGATGGAAATATCTATAGATGTGCCCTCTTAATTAGCTGATTTAAGCGGGAGGGAAAGAAAAATAGTAGTAATGATGAATAAGAAATGTTTTTTTTGATTCTTTGCGTTACAGACACGAAAATCATCTCATCGCACTAGACTTCCTCAATAGGAAACAAGCGGTAGCATCTTGTTGCAGCGCGCAGTGGGTAGTGTATGGTGTGTAGAGATATATATGTACATCTATCATTTGTAGTTTATGAAGTCGTAAATTACTAATATTGTAGGATGGATTATACACCGTTCGATATTGGAGATGAGATATCGGCGGTACCTTTCCAACCTGATTTTTATTTTTATTTTTTGCCAGGGTTGCAGCCGAGTGTGTCCTTCATCATAACATGAAAACCGCACACGGGTGGCATAGATTTACAACTATAGATACATAATATACATATAGATTTGAACCATTCCATGACTACATATTCTATACAATTTTAACACCACCGATTTGGTCAGTCCCATCATCAGCCATGAGTATTTGAGCTTTACCTTGTTTCACCAAATATTTTAGTACCCGGACTAACAAATCGTATTCGATGTTTTTAAGTTCATCGGGGAGTCCCGAGTCTGACAGTTGAGTAAGTTCGTAAACTGTAAGTATAGAACCCAATTGTCCAGATCTTTCCACATATCCATACAAAACCAGACACCATTCTGATATGGATTTCCAATATAAAATAATCCCACTATCCGGCAGTTTTGGATTTTTATATTCGGCTCTCTTTAACTTTTGAATAAGGTGTCTGAATATAGTTGACTTGAACTCATCATTCACTACTCTATTTATATCTTTGTTATCAAAAATTGGGGGAATATTTTCTATGGAATCATATTGTGAGTATAATATTTTACCCAGATTAGAAATTGAGGATATTTTATAATGCTCACAATAATCCAATAGGATTTCACACCAAGTATCAAGTTGATTATTTAATACGGTAGCATTTGGTTGCTTGGTGTACAATGGCGGAAATGAATGAATCTTTGGAAATACAAATTCCACTGACATGGTACTACAATTGTATACAAGTAATACTACAAAATAATCAATCTGAATTTCTCGTTATACTTTGTACCCTTTAGCATTTTCAATATGAAAACGTGACCAAAATTTGTTTGTACCATATAAAACTTTTATGAATGTATAGGTTTAATCTTTAATATGTCATTCGATCAAGTCAAACAACTTTTTAATGTACTCTACAAATGCATTGATATGCGTAAATATTTAATAACCGTAATATTAACCTAACTTAAAATACAAGATAGTAAAGTTGACTTAAGCTTCAGCCATGTCTCTCAAACGACGGATGGTAGATCTGACAGTGGCGGCAGCGGCAGTGGAAACAGTGTAAGCACCACCAGCAACAGTCTTTCTACAAGACTTACAGTTCCAGATACCAGCAGCACCTCTTTGGACAGTTCTCTTACCACAGAAAGAGCAATCGTATTTGGCGTGTTGTTGGACTTCCAACTTCTTGGTTTGTCTTCTCAAGGAAGAACCATATCTGACACCGAATTTACCGGTAATACCAACCTTCTTTGTTCTCTTAGTCCTATGATTGTTAGTATAGTTTTACAAAAAAAAAGTTTTGCTTGATGATTCAAATAATAAAACATGTATGGGCTAGCTGATCTGTGAGTGTCTAGCACTCATATTCATAATGGTGCAAGCTCTTGAATAATGTATTTTATATTGAGAAGGAGATTCCAATTGTTATTCACTTCATCATCTCTAGTATGATGAAAAATTTATTAGGGTAAATGTCTTTGTCACGAAACTATGTTGTATTCGATTTATGGTCCTAGACTCATTCTACTATCCATTATCATGCCCATAGTTCTATCATTGGTGTCGTTACACATACATTTTGATATATTTACTGTATTGAAAGTAAACTAAGAGAAAAGGCTCTTTCTCAACTAGTTTTTCACTGGGGGACAACCACCACCAACAACGCAGAGGGCGTGCACCAAGACTAATTTCCTAAATGTGCGTGAGAAATTTTCATTTTTACTCATGTGATCAATTAGGGCTGAAACCTCACACAAAAATAAATGAAAATGCGGATAGTGACTACTTTAGCCGATCTAGGAAATATTGTCGATAAACAACGGCTATTTTAAGATTCTATACAACCCTTTCTCTACGTTTGTTATTTGTTGTAATATTAGATTTACAGTACTTGAATCGATAAATTTAAATAAAATAATGTCGCATGGAACCTACTTTTCGGACCTGCTACAATTGTTTTCAAAATCTGAAATGTATTCAGATAGTAAGTCTCACCAGAAGTAGATAGTCCCTATTCCTAACCGCTTTTACACAAACACAAATAGGTTGAAGCAGGTTTTGCAGAATTGGTAAGAACTAACAGTAGAACCCGTATGGGATGAATATTTCGACATTATACTCAGTAAACTTTCTTCTAAACCTTCAAGTCAGGATGTAATTAAATTGAATTTGCAACCATATTCAAACCATGAAGTATACAACAACGACGGAGCACGCGTGATTGAAACATTAGAGGAAAAGCTAAAGATTGTACAGCAACAAGCGTTTCCTTCAGACTGTGAATTTCAAGACGAAGTTTTTTTACCTTGGTGGCACCTGGAGCCTATCACTACCGACTTAACTATACATGACTACTCTCTTCACGAGGGTTCAAGTGGAAGTAACAATCAACGAATACTAACCCCTTCCCCTACGTACTATGATTTTCATGCCAATTATGGCTTGAATACATATAATATGCTAAATCAACATCGTTCATTAGAACGAAATCTATTTGGTTATTCATCAAAACATGAAACCAGTCAAACCTCACAGAGAGATTCCAAGATTTCAACAATTCACCTATACAACACGGTTGCAGACCAGGAATCAGACATAACTTTAAATTTAGAGAGAACTCAAAAATTAAAGCCTCAACCCGTAGAAACTTCTATTGCAACGAAAGAGGTATTCTCAAACTTTGTGCTGCATAAAAGAAAACCGCTAGTTCCAGGAAAGCGCCTGAAAAGCAACAAAATAAGTAGGAAGGAAGTGTTCATTAGAGATCTCTCCCGCTCACCTGACCGAAATGAAGAAGATGTTGTAGTATATATTCACTATAAACTAACTTCTTGGATCCATTTACACGAAGAAGAAAGGATAAAAAAAGTTACCAATCAATTTTTATAGCTAGGAGATACTAATACTATGAAAATTTATTAAGCATATGTAGATACACCAGGTCAACTGAAGAATTGAAGAAAGAGCAAACGGGAGATAATTGAAATACTACATAGATGGAGGTCGTGGAAATAAAGCCGCGTCAGTTCTTTCGTTTCTTTCCATATCCAAATCATTATCTTCACCGTTAAATACTCCACCAAATACAGCTGGTTGATAAATCTCTGGTGCATTTTGAATGAATCGAACATCTTGAGCATTAGGTTGCTGCAAATGTACTTGCTGTTGTTGTCGAGGTTGTTGTTGCTGCTGCTGTTGCAGTTGGCGAGCCCGTTGTTGTTGGATGTGATTTAATTGTTGTTGGACTACTTGTTGCTGTTGTTGTAACTCCTGTTGGCGACGTAAACGTGCCTGATGGTGATTTCTAATTAAAATCTGGAAATGTTCCCTCATTTCAGGTGCAATATTGCCAGGAATTTCAGGCTGTATGTCAGGATTAAAGATGGTATGAGGACCACGTTGCCCAATCCATCCATTTCCTTCGTCTTCATCTATGTCATTACCTCCTGCAAGGAATCTTCTTCTTCTCTCTAAAGAAATAGCATGCATATCACCTTGATCTAAAATATGGGCAGGATTTTCCTCCATACTTTCTGTGAGAAAGTTTCTTAATTGATTGACACCAACTCCAGAGAAAACACAGAATGAGTTTCTTTGAGCTTCTGTAAAATCCGGAGGAGGATCTCTACAGAATGAAGTAATATCATTTCGTAAAAATGCAACAATCCCAGTCAAAGATAAATGTGTAAGTTTTGGACAATTCTTTAAAAGTAAATATATTGGACCAATTGTCAAATTAGCACAATAAGAAAGATGCACTCTTTCCAAACAATCTTGTTCTCCTCGACGTCTGACAAATTCCATGATCCCTGTATCTGATATTAAGTTACATTTCACAAGACCGATTCTTCTTAATTTTGGAAGATTTGAGAGTTCCACCAAAGTCCAATCAGTAAGTTGTGTACAGCACGCCAAGTCAATGTATTGTATTCTATGACAGGAACGAACAAGTGCAGATACACCAAAATCCGTTATATGAAGACAATGACCCAAATGGATATAATGTAAACTTCTTCCCAATTGCGATAAGGCTCTTAATGATGCGTCAGTTATTTGCATACATTTCGATAATACAACATTTCTTACTCGTGGAGCAAAATGTACTAAACTTTCAACCAATTTGTCAGTAATCGCATTACAACCAGTGATATCAATGATTCTTAATTTTTCAAGATAAAAATCTTCAGGAATAAGTTCAAAAAGATCATCAGTAATTCTAGGAGCATTACTAATTCGAAATTCTCTTAATTGAGACATGTGACGGAATATGAGTTTCAAATATTTATCGGAGACATTAGGGCAATTGTGTAAATCAATTTCAACTAATGACTTACAATTTTCATGCATAGCCAAAATACTTTCATCTGTTATGTTTGTACTATTATTAAACTTAACCCTCTTGAGCATATGACACGAGTTTAAAAGTTTAACTATAGCAGCTTCAGACACATTACCACATCCTGGGGCATATAAACCTTGTAAGCGAGTACAATTTTCTGCCAATGCAAGTATGATATCATCATGTATATCTAAAACCCCAGTTAAATCTATAGATTGTAACCTTTCACAACTTTTCAAAGTAGCGGTAATAGGACCATGTGATAATTTTGTACAATTTACCAAAGTTAAACGTTCTAATTTGGGACAACCAACGAAAAGTGATAATAAATGATCATCAACTAATTTTGTCATAAATGAAAGGTTTAATCTTTTGATGAATGATCTATAGTTCCAATGGGTGGAATTTGGTGGCAATTCCATTATATGTTGTATCTTTTTGAAAGCAGAATCGTTTTGCATATTTGGACGAAACCAAAGGATTTCAATTATCAAATCTGCAAATTCATTGCAAACTGTAAGTAATGAATATAAATCTTTTCTATCAAGATGATGAAATATTTGAAGTAAAATTTCGGTAGGTAAATTTAATAGATATGAATTACGATAATTGAGCTTTTGAATTTCACTTCTTTTATAAGATGTAGCAGATAATCGACGCTTTGAAATTATTGAATTACGAAGATCTTTGAAGTCCAATTCAGTATCGGTATCCATTTGAAATTGAGTCTCTGCATCCAATGGAAGTAAAGAAGTTGCCAGAGGTTGGAAGTTTGAGTTTTGAAACTCATCGGATTCGTTGGCACTATTAGGAGAACTCATTTTCAAGAGATCGCTAGGGTATCACTTGAAAGTTTTGGTATTAAAGGTGAATAGAAGTTTGATTTATCGAGCCAAGTCTAACAGCTATAAAATAATCCTGTATCAGATTGAGATTTATGATCTATTAGGATTATTAGTAATCTGATCTGATCTATTTAATAGAACGTCGTGCTGTCAATGGATCGATAGATTGAAACAAACAGAGCAGTATTCACTTAAATAAAATACAAATGAAAACGCCCCAAAAGACTTGTCTGAATAGAACTGTAACTTTCCACAAGACTATGCTGTTGTATAAGTTTAATATTGCTCAATATTATTACTATCAATCGCTTGTGAGCTTCAATTAATATACCAGTATTTGAGTCTCAGGTCTCGTAATTGTTTTTGTGATTTGAGGGTCACCTTGTAGCCATAAAGGCGACAGGAGGAGGCAAGGGAGGTTATATGCACACCAACCCAGATAAATCATGTGCATACACTATACGCGTTCTTGATATTAAAGAGAAAAATGTAACAAAAAAAAAAGAAAAATTAAACAAACCCTTTTAAATATACACGTTGATTTATTGTTGCTGTAAAATTATATTAAAAAATTATATTAAATACTGTTGTCATTACACTTATTCTATATACACCTTAATTGTAAATGTAGTAATGTCAATTTTTATGATCATAAAAATGGGGTATGGGAAGGGGTTTCGTAAGCTTTTTATGTTTTTTTCTTTTTTTTTTTTATAGTTTTTGGTCAATTAGAGAAACAGAGTTCTTTGACTTGATTTGATATTTGGTGTATCTGGGTTTGAATTATAGCCCATTGCAGCCGAACTCAAAGAAAGTTGCTCCAATTGTTGCATTACTGCTTGATCTTGTTGTTGCAGATAGAAATCTTGACCTTGCATTTGAGTTGGTACTTGTCCAGAACCACTCAATTGTTGAGCCATCAACATTTGATATTGATGCTGGTATTGGTTTGACAACTGTGGAGCAACTGAGTATTGCTGGTGCAGTTGAGGCTGACTTTGTTGATGTTGGCGTTGCACATGATGTTGATCAACATATTGATGTTGCTGTGGCTGCTGTTGTTGCAGTTGCACTTGTTGCTGCTGCTGGTGTCCATATTGTTGGTTCCCACCCAGATTTCCATTGTGATTAGACCGATTGTTATTACGACCACCTCTCTTAGATCTCCGATTACCGTTGAGTGAAGCAGAACGATTCAATCTTGTATTTGACAATCCAACTTCATCCATCAACTTCTTGTACGGTTGAACATTACTAATATTCAATTCTAATAAAATTCTTCTAATTTGCAGAAGTACAAAGTTCAGATATTTGGTATTTCTAACCCCACTAGTTTCTCTTTCTTCGCCAATTGTAAGTAAAGTTGGGTTTGAAAGTATCTTATAAATGAACACTGGACCAGCTGAATTTTCCAGGTTTTCAGATAAGATTCTTTCAAGTAAAACAGATGGGACAGGCGATAATTCCTCATCAAATTCATTAAATCTTCCAAATATTTCATCCATAATTAATTGTTTCAGGAAATAATCCATTCTATTATTCAAAATTTTCAAAATGGTTAAATTAGCCAATTTATGACAACATAATTGTTCCAAGTTTGGTAATAACTTTGCTGATAATAACTTGAATCTATCATCGGAACTACTGTTACTATTATAGGTATCCAAAAACCATGTAATTAATAATGAACCATTACTGTTCACTACCAATTCATTTGCATATTGAACAATGAGACCTGCAACTAATAATATTTGTTCTTTGGAGACGATGTTATTTTCATTGGCAGTTTCAAGAATTGTTCTAATTGATCTAGCACCAAATCTACCAAAACTGATTTCCAAAAAATTATCCAATACCGTTTCAAAAATGAAGTCATTAAATGGTGTTCCAAATTTAAGACACCCTTGAAGTACATAGTTACCAAATTGATCATTAAATAACTTAACAGCATATGGCTTCAAACTAGCAGCAATCAAGTATTTTTGTTGGTAATCATTTTGACACAAGCTAATGATTTTTTGAATGGCCCAAGTACCATTCTTATGAATTCCAAGTTGGGTCAAGTATGGAGTGATTTCCTTTACCATCATTAACTTAATTAATGGAGATTCAACTACGCAGAAGATCTTTTGAATAATAGTATTCCCAAGATAATCATAACAAAGTTCTGGCAATTCATCCAACATTGCTAAGCATAATTCTTCCAATTCTAATTGTGTCATAATCTTTTGATGGGACCCTTCATCCTCAGACGATGAGGAATGTCCAGCTGAAGATGACAGCTCTTCATGTTCTAAAACTTTTCTTAAATCTCTTAACTTAGGAGAGTCAAATTGACGAATTGGAATTGGATCTGGAAGAGGACCGAAATTATCTTGATAATTATCATTTGAGTATGCAATAGATTTCTTAATTAAAGAAACAATTTTTTGTAAATCAACCTTTTTATCACTTGATGTAGATAATTGTTGAATTGAATTTAAAAGTGATTCTTCAATTGCAACAATATCTGTTGGACAAGGTTTACATACTTCAGAAGATTGTTGTCTACCATTAGTAGAGGAACTTTTAGTACTGGCAGTATTAGAAACGCCAGTGGCACCAGATGTTGATGCATTATGTGGAGACGTACTCAAAACACCCGACGCAGCCGTTGAAGTCATATTTGAAACAACTGGCTCATTTAATTCAAATTTAGCAAATGCAACATAAATAACAATCCCAGGAATAAGTTCCATATGATTAAAACTGGCCTTTACATTCATAGCAACGTCAACACTCACACATTCCACCAATGCAATTTTGGAAGTATTAAGACTGGCAACACGAATGCTTCTAATGTTCACGATCACTCTATGACTTCCAATAGAACTTGATAAGATAGACCACATTTTCAATGCATCAACGAAATGAGGGAGATTATCGAAAAGTACAAATCTTGTTGGTGCCAAGTTTGGATTTTCAAAGTTGGTAGTTATGGAAACTTTAGAAATATCAAAATCATCTTGCAAGTATGGAAGTTGATCATTCATTTGTTGAGACAGTAAAAGTAACAGTGGGTGTTGAGGTTGAGGCTGAGTTTGCTGACCCATTTGAGTCTGTATCTGAGATTGATGTTGCTGTTGATGCTGCAGCTGTTGTTGCATTAAATGAGATTGAAGTGAATTGTTGGACTGTCCAAGTATATTGTTTTGTCCAAGGAAAGAATGCCCAGCTTGAGTTGAATCATTGAGATTGGGGTTAGGTCCCAAATGCAATGTTGCTTCTGACATATTTGGAGTTGATCCTGAAAATGTCTGAGATCTATGTCTTGGAGCAGAGCCATTCACATTCAAATTATTTAATAAACTGTCCAAAGTTAAATCATGCAGAGGACCGGAAGGGGTCATACCAGAGGTTGGGAGTAGTCTACCAGCTGCTACCAGATCCATGGTATAATTTCCATTAGGAAGAATATTAGATACTGCTCCTGTAGTAGTATAAGATCTATTTCTAGGAGCATTATTTGGAGGTGCAGTAGAAGTTGTTGTTGATCCATTAGTACCATTTGTAGAGTTTGATGACATATTAGGGATAGCTGACGTAACAGGATTAGTCAGAGGTTGAGCAGTAAGTCGTGGACTTAAAAAGGAGCCACTAGATGCAGAATGGATACTGGAATTATCAAGTAAACCGGGAGATGCGGGAATTGCATCATCGTTCCAAATTGAGCTCGTAGAGAATAAAGAGCCTGACCTCATACGACGAGTTGAGGTATTGGTAGGAATATCAACTGCATTGACATTTGGAGAAAGTCCCAATGATATTTGATCCATAGTTGGAAGACCCAATGGGTCAAGGGAACTAATCAATGGAGAAGAATTTGGTTGAAAATTATTTGAATGATTGGCATAATATGAAGTGGGTAGGGTTCCTGATCTACTTCGATTTTGAGTTGTAGCTGGGGTTAGAGAAATCGAAGGTGGCGAAGGATTTGACGAGTTGAACATGTTCAGACTTCTGCTCAGCATGATGATTTAATGACAACGATGTCAGGTGGAAGCAATGAAAGGAATGTCTAGGTATAGATTCAGGAAGTATTAATATTGACTTTTCCAACAAGGTAACCTTTTGATGAGTAATTGAAAGTCGATATTTCACCTTGATGAATTGAATATACAAAGTAATACCAGCTTGATTACAGTACGAATTTAGTATACCGCCTTGAATGAAAGTCGATGATCAATTGTTATCTGAGACGCCCAATGTATACAGGTATATCCAATGGAATGTAAATTAGAAATAAAGGACAATATACCAATGTCAAGTCAAACAATTCGAATGGATCTAAGTAAAGTTTTCAAACTAATGTAATGGGTAAAAGAAAAGTGACAGCAAGAACAATCTTCTGGGTGAAGTAAGTTGTTGGAGTACATACGCGAAAATGTGCCAGTACACACTCCAGAGTGGACAACAAAATATACACACACACACAGAATCAAGTTGGGCAACACAAAGACAGAACAAAGAGAGGCTTTGGTTAATTATCGAGGTATATTCTACATCTTGTAAGCTGCTACATGTATCTAACCGTTCAGTCCGGGCACCTTGATGCAGAGTAGCAGTTGATTTTACCACACTGGACAGATATTTTATGCAGACACATTACCTGGGGAAATGATATGTTAATTTCCAATTTTTCACTATATTAAAGTTTTTTTCTTTTACAATGAAATTCGCATTGATAGATTTTTAAATTCCTATAATTAGGTTGTAAAACTTCTACATTAGATATTTTGAATTTAAGAGTTGTATGTTTAGAATGAGAAATGTGACCAATACTAATTAAATGAAACAGTTCACCCAAATTTAGCACCCAATATGCACTATCTGGGCGCGTTGGGATGCGGTCCTGTATGTTATTCAAAAGCTTGCTTCCAGACTTTCCGGTGTGCATATCCCTGCCAGTGTCCAACCCCCCTATTGCTGCTGCGAGGGATAGGGGCTAAGTGTGACAATTCTTATTTTTAATTCTTTTTTTTTTTTTTTTTTTTAATTTTGCCAATTAAAATACTTTTTGTGTAAAAACATGTATTTTTTTTGGTCTTAGTTTATTAAACTTTAGTAGGAGTGAGAGAATGGCAGTGAATGAATTGAACTCGTCAATTTAAACTAAAGGAATATCATGAGTTTAAAGTCCTTCTAACTTAATGGATTTCAAATTGATAATGTAAATTTCAGTATTATTATAGTTAACGATAATAAATGGATTTACATATTTTAATTTTATGTAACAAACAAGTCAATGGCAACCATTGTAAAGCTGAGTCATTGATTGGTAATATGTACAGGTATTATGAAAATTCTTGGTTTTATAATTTCGTATAATAAGAACGACGGCACGTGATTATTTTCTACTACTGGTGAGCAAAGATCCCATTAATTAGGTGTGTGTTGTATTTGCATGGAAATGCATACGCTTTGTTTAACTTACAATGTAGAAATTAAGAGGAATTAAAACAATGAAGTCAAGAGGAGAATGCTTAAGTTTAAAAGAGGAATTAATCGCGTGAATACTTGTAAATTTTCAGCTCTAATATTTGTTAAGAAACAAAGTTTACTAAAAGTGTACGATTAATTCTTTAAGAATTTTTTTTTTATATAGGGAAACCATATATTTTGAAAGTTGCTTTCATTTCTTGTAGTTTATTTCAAAACCCGCCCCCAATAACATCCAGAATCGCAATGAATAGTTAAAGATCCAATATGATAAACGATTTCAAAAACTGAGAAAAAAAACTTGTTTAGTATTGAATCGTATTGATAAACTTTACCTATTTCGACAACCAATACCACAACTCGTATAATTAACTATTGGAGCTGAAATATGTACCTTAATATTGCATACTATAATAATCTCAAGTAAAATAGAAATTCTCACCGTTTCGATTCTTCCCAGCGTCAAAAACATAAGTTTTATTTTTTACATTTTATTATCTCATTCATATTCAGATTCACAAAAGTAATGTCAATAAATAATTATATTTAAAAAGACATAGATATATTGTACAGTTGATAATTATATACAATTGAGAATGAGTACCCCCCTAGCACAATATTTAACCAATACTCTAGGATATATTAGAAGAGAAGATGGTAACGGATTTAGAAATTGTATCACAATTAGTCCTGGACCATCTGAAGGTACACTTCGAGCTTATTTCCCAGATCCTTCAGAATTTGATTTGTATCCATTACCAGAAAAATTTCGTTCTGTAATTAAGTCATATCTTAAACTTATGAAATCTGTATACATTTTAAATGATGTCGATGCTTCATTTAACGATATCAATGATATGATGAGTAGTCTCAATCGTGCGGCAGATACACAAACTAACTGGATAAATCCTGCTTTAATTAATGCAAGTACAGAACTTATAAGTGTTTATCAAGTTAAACAAAAGACTAAGCCTGATGAAAAGCAAGGTGAGTCGTTAGATATTATGGAGATGTCTGGTATGTCCAATTCATCATCATCATCTCTTGAAAAGCTTGCATCAACGGTAAATAATTCATTTAAACTTTCATTAAATGATAAAAATCCAGATATAAGACAATCAAAGAGATCGGATATATATTTTTTCCTTGGGAATCTTATCAAAATTTATTTCAAATTAGGTAAATTAGAACTTGCAAAATCCGTGGAAAAGGCATTGAAAGGTACAAGATTTGAATTACCTCCATTGAATGGGCCTATAAGGACCAAAAAATACGCCGTGACATATTTGTATTACAGTGCTTTACTCTCATTGGACGATTCTGACTTTATATCCACTGAATCTAAACTTGTCAAGGCTATGGATATAATCAATTTGTACAATGAACCAAATTTGATAATTAAACAAACAGAAAAAATCTTGATGATTTTAATCCCATTAAGATTATATAATAGTAAAATCTTGCCTCATAATGATATTTGGATAAGATTTCCAAATTTAAAATATATTTATAAAGATACACTTTTCAAGGCAATTCATAGAGGTGATTTGAAATCATTTGATATATATCAAAAGAAATTTCAATTAATATTCTTAAAGAGACATTTATATTTGTTGATTGAGAATTTGAAAAGTTTATGTTATTTACAATTGATTAAAAAGACTTCATTAATAGTTACAGAATTAAATAAGGGAAACACATCTCATATAATTCCGCTTTCAGCATATCAAGTTGCATTGGAATTCTCCACAAGACATGTATTAAATAATGGGTCATATGCATTACCTTCTTCCACGGGTGTTACAGAAGGAGGCTTTTCACATCATTTAGATGCAGTGGAATGTATTCTTGCAAATCTTATCTATACAGAAAAAATCAAGGGATATGTCTCTCATGGTAATAAATGCATTGTATTATCGAAAACAAATGCATTTCCCAATCAACAATAATATAAAAGTTCATATATAATAGAAGATACAAATAATAGATCTAACTAATATATTTTGTGTAATTCTCAAAATCAAAATTTTAACATACACTTTAATATAAAACACTTACCATATCAATCTTTTAATAACCTCAATAGAGAAACTCATTTTGCAACCAAACTTTTGTATAGAGGGTAACACTTTTCTTTAAAGAGATTTTGGTGTGACATCCTGTATATAAATGAAAATTTTAATTTTAATTTTTTTTTTTTTTTTGTATCTTGTCAAAAGAAAAAACTCGTTGCCATCAGAGAAAGTCAATACAAGAGAAGCTTATTAAGATTAGTGATTTAAATTGTTATACACTGTATACTCCATAACATCAGCATAATATCATATAATTAAGATGTCTTTTGTCAATATCTGTCGTGAAAACACCGATCCGTTTTACCGTTATAAGATGCCTTTGATTCAATCAAAGGTTGAAGGTAGAGGTAACGGTATTAAGACTGCTATTTTAAACTTGGACGAAGTTGCCAGAGCCTTGGCTAGACCTCCATCATACGTCGTGAAGTACTTTGGTTACGAATTAGGTGCCCAAACTTCCGACAAGGGCCGTTATATTGTGAATGGTGCTCATGATGCCACTGAATTCCAAGATTGTTTGGATGGATTTATTAACAAATTCGTCTTGTGTGCTTCATGTAAGAACCCTGAAACTGAAATTCAAATCAAGGAAAAGGGTGTTTTACAAAGAGATTGTAAGGCTTGTGGTCACATTTCCTTCTTGGACCCAAGACATAAATTGATAACGTTTATTTTAAAGACTGCTGGATCTGGTAAGAAGGGTAAGAAGGCTGCTACTGCCAGTGCCATTGGTGGTGGTCAATCTATTACTGAAATTGCATCTGGACAAAAATCCGCTTCATCTGCCGCTACTGCTTCTGGAAGTGGTGAAGTTGCTGGACATGACGATGACGATGTATTAACCAAGAAAATTAAGGCTGAAGCTGCTGCCTTAGAAGATCAACAAATTCAAGTTGCTGACGATGACTGGGCTGTGGATATGTCCAAGGAAGCCATTGAAGCTAGAGCTAGAGAATTAGAAGGTTTATCCCTTGGTACCGAAAACCAAGAACAAATCAAGTTCAATGAATTTGGTGAATGGTTATTACAAGAAACTGGTGAATCTAAGGATGACCTTCCAAGTGATGTTGATATTTATAAGAAAATTGTAGAATTGGAAATCTTGGAACAACCGGAAACTGTACAAGTCTTAGCTCAAGTTTTATTCGATGAAGATATTGTTGAACAAATTGATGAACATTTGGGATTGTTGGCTAAGTTGATTAACCACGATGAAGATTATGAAAAGGCATTCTTGGGTGGTTTGGAACGTTATTTGGGTTTGGAAAACCAAGCCTTGATTCCTGCTGTTCCAAAGATCTTAATGGCTGTTTATGACAAGGACTTGATCAGTGAAGAAGTTATTGTTGCTTGGGGTTCCAAGGTTTCTAAGAAGTACGTACCAAAGGATGTTTCCAAGAAGGTTCGTAAGGCTGCCAAGCCATTTGTTAAGTGGTTGCAAGAAGCTGATGAAGAAAGTGACGAAGAGTAGATTGAGTAGAGTAATACATTAAATAAATAAAACGTATTTTAACAGAGTAAGAAATTTTCCGTGTATTATTAGATAGCTAAAAACTAATGACCCCTAGAGCCTGAAGGGCCACCCTGAGGTTGTCCCTGTCCTGGTCTCCCATTCGGTACTGGTCCTCCTCTATTATTCATGAAGTTGGGCGGCATTGGCATATTTGGTGGCATACCTGCCATATTGGGCATATTTGGCATATTTGGCGGCATTCCAGGCATTGGTGGCATACCAGGCATCATACCCATTGGTGGCATTGGTGGCATACCAGGCATCATTCCCATCGGTGGCATGTTCTTACCAGGTGGTGCTCCACCATTTCCTCCAAGAAGTTGAGCCATAAGTTTCTTTGGATTAAATTCTCCACGTAATTTGTCTTGTTTACAGCAATAAGCAGTCCATGTAAATTCATCAAATCCATAGTTGAAATAATCAGAAATATCAGCCCCTGGGAATCTCCATGGCTTATTTGCTAATAACTCAAGATCCACTTGTGTTAAGGGCTTCCCGTCCAACTCTGCAATTTTTGTTATATCTATGCTTGATCCTTGATCTTTGGAAACTATGGTTGTAGTAGTTGTGGAATCTCCAGCAGCTGTGTCATTAGATTCACCTTCATTGCCTTCGGTTGTGGTTGTAATTGTTGTTGTTGGTGCTGAAGTTGAAGCTTTAGGTGCACTTTCTCCTATCACAAACTCTATATCATCATCGGATTCCGAATCATCTTCATATTCATCGCCATCTTCTTCATCTTCTTCATCTTCTGCATCTCCCTTTTCATTGTTTGATTTCTTACTTGCTTCTGGAGTTGAATTATCTGCCTCTCCATAAATATCATCATCATCATCGTCATTTTCTACAACCTTCCGCTTTTTCGTAACTGGTTGTTCAGATTCATCTTCTGATCCATAAAGGAATGCATCATCGTCTTCAATATGATCAGATGCCATAGTTTAATTAATTATAAAATTGAATCTAAACTTCTTTCTTTATATACATATTAAAATTGTTTAAACATATACCTTCATGACCTCATGCAGGAAATATAAAGGATTTACCAGTAATTTTTATATATACTACAAAACTTATTACGTAGATTTTTAATCGAATACAACCGATTGTATAAATATATTATTGTATGACCTTTCTTTTCACTTGAGACATATCTATATCTTAATTATGAAGGATCCATTTTATCCACTCTCTTGTGTTCTTATTCTATTTTTTTTTCTTATTTATTTAAAGTTTATCCCCATTATTGAATTTCTTACCCTTAACAAATTCAAGTCCTTCTCCGTTATAACTGGTAAGGCCACTAACTTCAACAAATGAGCCATCTTCAATTATTCCACCATTTTCCTTCACCCATTTAGTCCCCAAAGCCAAGTAGTCTTGACGACATGTAGTTGGGGTATCATTTTTGGCTCCATCAGCATTTTTCAATGGAGAAAATTCTTCAGTTCTTTCCACCTCTAAACATCCAAATTTATTCAATTCAATTGATGGGAAAACATCAAAGATAAATTGTTCTAATTTAATACCATTTGGTTCTGTTGGCTTAACAAATTCACCTTGATCATTAATTGATGGAATCTTCTTTTTAGCAATATGGAATGGTAAATATTCTTGGGATGAAATCCATTTTGGAACCATTTCACTCAACAAATCAACAGAGTAGTAGTGATTAACAATGTTAGCAGCTCTTAAAAAGAGTTTATTAGCATCTTCTGGTTCAGTCTTGTTAGCCAATTCTTCAGAAATTTCTGAATATTCAATAACACAAGGTTTATTGATTTTACTATCCAAGACAATTAAACCAACACTTTCCTTAGCATCACGTTTCCTTACAACCTTAGTGGCAACATCAAATTTCTTATCAATGGCAAAACCTAAAAATGTTGGATCAGCAACTTTAACCAAGGCATTATCAACACAATACATATGAATATGTTTGATACCTTTAGCCTTCAAATCATCCAAAATTCCATTAGCTTGAATAGCCTTATAAAGACCACCATTACCATCTGGTGCATTGGATAATTCTGTCTTAGAACTCAAAAGCATTTTGGATCCATCCAAGTTAAAACATGGTAAAGTACCTTGATTGAAAAATGTCACTTGGTTTGATTTTAATCCAAACCAATTGTTCTTAATGAAATATGATTCAGTAGCCTTTCTAGTTGGCTCACTTGTCATAATATACCAAGGCAAAGTTGGGATTTCTGTATTAAATTCTTTAGCTGCCAATTGTTGAATCTTTAAAATCTTTTCAGATTGGACTTCAAATAAACATTTGGAAGATGGTAATCCAACGTTATAACAACCCTTTGGATCAGAAGATCCAAGTCTAGTACCTTGACCACCAGCCATCAACAACACAGCAACTTGGTTATCAGCAATAGCCTTGAGACCGGTGTTTCTCCAATGAGCCTTTGATTCAACATCAGCATCTAAAGTAGACGCGCACGAAGATGTAGGTAATTGAGTGAGTTCTCTAGCCAGAGATGCAGATGCAGACAAGGAAATTGCCTTTGAAACATTTTGAACAAGAACATTTGCATCCTCTATTTTAGATAAGTTTTCAAGTAAACTTGCTTGTTCTGATGTTGTGAGGGTTTCAGAACCTTGAATGAATGATAATGAATCTGTGGTCATTATGAAATGCTATAATATATGTGTATGGTTAAATATAAAGGTATTCTTTTATTTTGGAATAAAAATAATTTAAATGAATGCAATCAAGTTAAAAACTCCCGGTGAACTACTTATGTAATCCTATTAAAAGAAGATGTAGGTGGCTATTTTATTAAATTTTTGATCTTGATTTCTGAATCAAAAGATCTTTCGCATTTAAATATAAAATACCTATTTGGTATAATTACCTATTACCTCACACATGAAAATGTAAACACAAAGTAGCAGAAATTAATTTTTTAATAGAAAAAATAAATTAAACAAAAAGGTAAATAATAAGAACCAGCCAACTGAAAAAAAAAAAAAAAAAAAAGAGAGAAAGTTAACTACTAGAAAATAATCATCGATTATATGGGAAGCATAGAAGGATAGTTGATGATTTTCAAAAATAAGGTTTCGTATCATATACAGAAATAATCGTTGTATTGTAAAAATATCGATTTTTCTATAGAAGGTTTCGGTGAATCAAAATGAAACTTTGTTGGTTGTTTTTTCTATGTATGCAAGGCACGGGTCATTAAAGAATCAGAGAAAAAAAAACATTTCGGTATTTCCATACACACAGCCTCTAGGAAAATCTATTAATAGTAAAAAAAAAGCAAACTACATACTTAACGACAATAGTTAATAGAATGTAAAGTAATAATATTATTAGTGGTGGTATAAAGATGTGTGTATATATAAATTTCTAGCTTGATAATTTTTTTTTTATTTTTTGAAAGTCCTTTTCTTTAAAGGGTGATAACAAAAATACCACCAATAACTGTAAATAATACACCAATGTAACTAGCTCTCAAATTGTTACCTTCGGATTTCTTTCCAGAAGAGGAAGATGAACCAGAAGAACTAGAAGAGTCAGAAGAACCGGATCCCGTAGATTTTGAACCAGATCCTGAACCAGTCTTAGAACCAGATTGACTGCTTGACTTGGTTGGAGCAGAACAAGTGTAGTTATGACCTTCAATACTACTCTTACTATGTAAATTGTCAAAATCATCACAAGAAAAGTCTTCATCAGTAGTAATAACTGTGAAATCACCATTTACTTCTGATAAGTCTGGCAATGTAAAGTTTCCAAAAACACCTTGAACATTGACTGCACCCTTAACTTTAGATAATTTAGGGAATGTACTGTTCATATCTTGTAAATCAGTGTTGTTGAAAAGACGGAATTCACCACCAATAGTTTCTAATTTGTCAAATGCAATGTCGTTAACATCATCATTAGCATAAAATTGAAATGCTCCTCCAACTTCCTTTAAGTTATCGAATTCAACTTCCTTAAATGTATTATAAGCAATGTTGAAAGTTCCATTCACGGAAGTTAAATTAGAAGCATTGATTTCTGAAACATCTTGAATGGTTAAGTTAGAAGCCCAATTAAGATTAGAAATATCAACAGTACAATTATCATTGTTGAAACTTAAGATTAAACCTTGAGAAACAGTGTTCAAATTTGAAAGGTCAATAGTTGAAATATTTTTGTTATTATTGACATTTAAACTTCCAATAGTATTGAAAGTAGTAGTAAACCCATTAAGAGTAGATAAAGCAGTGTCAGATAATTCAATCAGAGATGCCTTACTAATTCCCTTATTAATGTTTAAGGTTGCAAATGAAGGAAGGGAAACTAATGATAATGTTTCAACTTCATCCAAGGAAGACAAATCAACTGAAAATAATTGAGTTAAAGCAGTAATAGAAAGGGAACCTGAAATTTTACCCAATTGATTCAAGTTAATGGCTGTAACAGATGAAGAATTAAATAATTTAATGTTACCAGAAATTTCTTCCACTGAACTCAAATCAACATTACCTAACTGATCACCAGTAACTTCGATATCACCAGCAATTGTAGGACAGGCATTAAGTTGTTCAACACCAGTAGCGGCAGTAATAGTGGTTGATGAAAAAGAACAAGATGAGGAATCGGCTGCAAATGCTAAACCAATAGCAGATGCACCAGCTAAAACAGAATGGAACTTCATTGAATTATATTATGATTTTAGATAGAAAAACAAGGAAAGAAAAAACCAAGGGGTTTATTATAAATATATCTCATCGGGCCACCCCCAAGTATTAAATACTAACCCAATCTATGGTGTTTAAAATTCTACTCGTCAAATGCACTGTTTGTTTACTGTGTAGGCCCATAAATGCAAGGTACGCGAAAAATAAAAACAACATCTAAACAAAAACTACAATATACAAACCAAGAATTTCAATAATTAAGAGCCTTGATCTCTATGTTTCTTAATAATAGTTTCCATGAATGTAAACACGGAAGTGCTATATATTGCATTTGACAGAAAATATTCTATCGATTGCTTTGCATTCTCTGTTAAAGATGATTCCAATATCTTTCATTCTTTGCAGTACCAAGAATAAGCAATAGAGGTTAATCATCTTAAAAAATAAATACATTGATAGAACATCTACATGATTCCAATTGAAAGAGGGATAATCTAAAAGGCAATTTCACTAACACGATTTATATGAACAATGGCTAAAATCTATCAAAGGGGGCTAGATAATCAAACAAGTTTGCGGCTATAGTTAGATACTAGAATTTTATTATGTTGATACGCGTTTTTTTTTTTTTTGCTTTTCAATACATAAACCATCTAGATCAGGGGCTATGCAAATTCAATCAGATGTCATTTTACAACCAGGAATTCAAAAGAATTGAATGTAAAAAGAATTTTCTTTGTAATTCAAAGAAATAGTATCACCTATGTATTACTCTTTAATCAAATCTAATAAATAAAATTATGTTTGTACAGCTTGACAAAATTTAAATTCAATGAACTGGTCAAGAAAAAATCATTTACAAGAAATACAATACTCTTTAGCCTGTAAGCATAAATGTTGTTAATAAATAAATACATGTAGTAGACTAGACACAACAGATGGACGATAGTATGAGTCGAATAATTAAAAATTTACACCTACAAACCATTAAAATTTATATAATAGTTATCTTTGTTGATAACAATAGTCGAATTTCTGCCTCACAATATCAAAAATTGATAAAATTGAAAGTACCACAAAATCTTGAAGACCCTAAAACCTTGAAAGAAAAAAAAAAAAAAACAGGTTGTAGAATTTATCCCAATTGGGCTAGCAAACCTGTATGTGGATGATTTGTATAACCAAATCAAAACAAACAAAAATTTAAAAATGATCAGAATGTCTAGAGGGTGCAAAGGTTAGATACATTGAATTTGCAGAAGATGGTTCATTACAGAGACTCTGAAGACGTCAAAGCAATGTCTCATTCATCCAGCGGATATGCCTTATTGGACAATGCTCACGAAGAGGATGAAGATGGTATGTTTCTTTTCTGTATAAAGTCTTTAAGTTTTCCTAATTGATATGATTATTTTTATTATTTTCTCTCTTGTTACTAACTAAATACTAGTAGATACACTTCTTCGTCAATTAAACGCTGAAGGAGAATATCCTAACCCTGATAATTCCTTGACTGCAGCTGCAGACGATGCAATTTCAAATACTTCTCCACTGCTCAATAGCTCCCCAACAAAGCCATTAAATTTTCCACGAATGAACCCTAAAACGAAGGAATTTAATTCCAGCTCAGATACATATACTAGTGAACAGGAGGCTGAACCTGTAGATGAAGCTTCTGATGTTGATCATAAGACCCTGTTTGATCGGAACTTCAGCTTTGAAGAAATGGAAGATGCTTCCAAAACTGTTCAAATAAATCATGTAAAACCTTCTCAACTGGAGCTTGAAAACTTTTCTACTGAAACACCCATCACTTCAGCTGTGGAATTAACAGCGCAAACTGAACGTTCGAAAATCAATACATCACCAAGTAAATCTATTATGAAGAAGAATACCCCATCAGCTTCACCCACAAAGAAAAACGTTGTATTCACAAAACGTACACCTGAAGTACATCATTATGAAAAGAAAGACGAAATTACATTGGACGAAGATGAGTATATCAATATAGATGATGGCGATGAACACGAGCAACAAAGTGGTTATACTTGGAATTCATTACCAAGAAATGGTGATAATTACTCATCATCTGATGAAAGTAGTACACCACCAAGTCCACCCCCCCACACAACTAATAATTTAACAGCTATTAAAGATTCTGATTCTGAAGAGCCTGAAGATATAAGTCCTCAAGATTTGAAATCTATAAAAGAAAAGAAGAGTTATAGTAGCTTGACATTTAATGAAAAATTGGATATGTTCTTAGCTCGTAGTGATGAAGGGTCCAATAAAGCTAATTCTGAAGCTTTGGATGATCACTTGAATGAACTACATGCATCTAGAGCTTCACAGACTGATTTAAATATACATCATCTCTCGTTGGACTTACAGACCCAACAAGTTCACAATATTGAAAACCCGTTAAACTCTTTATCGAGGTCTGAAGATGTTGAATTAAAATCAGGAAATACCTCAAGATCTTCTATACAATCACTTAAAGATGACGATAGAGTGTTGGAGTCTCACAACATTAATACGATTTCCAAGAGTGTTGAAATGAATGATGGAATCAAAGGTTTCTCTGATCATATGGTTGAATCATTAATTCCAAATGAAAATAATATTGACAACATTGAAAAGCCAAGTGACATAAATGAGGCTGAACTGCCACGTATTGGTAGCTTAGATAGACAATTTGTTGACTCATCCAATGATGAATTTCATGACTCGTTTGATCAATCTTACAATAATACCGAACAGTCCATTATGGATCTTTTAAAGAAGTCTCAACCTCCAGTTTTAGAATCATACGTACCATCTATTGAAGATTCAATTTCAGCTCAAGGTTCTAAGTCAAATGATCAGTTCTCTGATCCTGAGGTAAAGATTGAAAATGAAGACGAAAAGTTAATAACGAGTATTAAGAGTGAAGAAAATGACATAATCCCTACTAAAATTAAAGAGGAAAATTCTCGTGAAATTGAAGAGTCCATTCATATATTTAATATACCAGGTGTTCCTACTGCAGTGAAATCGGAAGTGGATCCAAACCCTGAATTCATTAAACGTGAAACCAGCGTACATACGTTACTTCCTGGTGATTCAGACCACGTTGATTCAAAAGAGAAGGTTATTTTGCAACCAGAACCTTTAAAAGAAGAACTTCCAAAGGATGAAGATGATCAGGATGAATTTGATTCATTGATCGATAAGTCTGCTCAGTTCTCTTTAAGAGATCATATTGATAGTGATTGGAAATTTGAAGATAGTAATGATGGAGACAGAGAAGATAATGATGATTATACTAATAATGATATTACCCAAGAAATCCTTGTCTCTACTAAGGAAGATACCAATATTTCGACCAATGGAAATGTTAACGACGATAGGGTTTTATCGCATTCTTCATCAAGAGAAGTCCCATCGGTTTTGACATCCGCAAAGGAATCGAAGATTATTGAACAAGATCAAACTTCAATAAGCAACATTAATTTGAAAGACATCGATATGGGAGTAGCTTCAAAACAATTCATCAAAGATACTACTGATCTGAGAGATTTGAAAATAATTCCTGCAAACCTGTCAGAGGATGCCAAGGAAAAGTTGGATAATAACATTAATGAAATTGACACCATGCCAAATTTGAAATCTGAAGAACCTGAAAATAAGATAATTGGAGTCTCAGTTACAGAAAAGCATGACTCGGATCTTAATTTGAAAAATAGCTTGGTGATTCCAAAGGTTGAGTTGTCATCGAGCTCTAAAGAAATTGTTGACGATTCACAGGAATTGGCAGATGGTGCAAACGATAATGACGAAACTTCCCATTCAAACGATGTTCATTCTGATTCAAAGTCAAATACTAATGTTGAAGCTTCAAATTCTTTAGAGAATTCTCAGCATTTGGCTCTGGATTCAAATGAACTTTCATTGCTATTTTCTGGTGATGAAAGATCGCTTGGCAAAAAGAAGCGGATTCTTGAAGTGGATTTATCTCCAAATGTATCCGCGGACCCCGACCATATTGAGGGTATTTCCTTAGCTCCCCCTAAGATTAAACTGCCACTCGCATCTGATTTCAGTAAAGATGAAGTTCTTCAATCCGATCCAATTCCATTGGAACTGACGCATATCTCAGAACCTGAAAACGTACTTCAGGAAGAAGACACTTCGGACGTTAAGCAGTTTAATGAATCTGTCGATGAAGTACTTGCAAACTCAACAAACATCGCAATTACTGAAGATATTACATTGCCTCCGGTAGAATCTAACAATTACTCTTCCTTTGAAGACATAACCAAGACTCTAGATCAGTCAACAATGTCATTCGAAGATTCACTCTCTGCGGAACATGATAAAGTCGTCAAACCAACCAATTTCATCTCCATATGGCATTCTCAAAATAAGAACACACATAAACAACAAGCCACAATGAATTGGAAGGAACAACTGCAGCAAAATATTCATATACCAGCATCATTGCAACCAAAGAAGTTCAAGGAAGTCAATGTAATAACTAGGCGTGTTGTTAGTCCAGGATTTGAAGATTTGAACGTTTCTGGATTCCTTCCAGAGTTATCACAGGATTCTGGTTTTGATGATATCAAGGGTATTGTGCTGAGTAGTAGAAACGATAATTCGCAAATATCTTCTCAAAGTGAATCGGGAGAAATTAATACCAAAAAGCTCTTACCTGACATTATTGAACCCGTGGAAATTTCTGAAAATGTCTTACCAAAGTCAAGATTAAGACCTCCAAGCGCCAGCTTTAAACCTGTTGTTAGAGTATCAAGGTTCAAAGTTCCATCATTTGAAATCAAGAGATCTTCCTCCATCTTGTCTCCTAGAGATCAATACAATGATATATTTGCCGATACTGTCAAAAGAACACCTACTATTAAGGGACAAGGTATGAAGACTTTGCCAAGTATGGACAAGGAAGATGTACAAAGAATTCTCAGTACAAAAAGAATTATTAGTCAAGAGGAATACTCTAGATTCAAGTTAGTTGGAAATACAAAGAAAGGGACTGTTGTTGAACCGGATGATGTATATGACCACTTGCAGCAAGAAGCATCTATTCATGATGCTCAGGATGACGAAAGTGTGGCATCTCCTCCTGTATCACGGGAACCAAGAGATGCACCACTCTTGCCACATTTGGCGGATGAATTGCTTAGAATTCCTAGTGCATTACTTTCTAAGGATCAATTCTTCAAAGAATCTGAATTTAGCAGCCCTGTTCGTGCAAATGTGGAAAACATTAGTTCCGATACAACTGCATCGGGCGTAAGTTCTATAATTTACACCAAAAAGAATTTCCCACACACTCTTGAACCAAAGCAACAACTTTTCCCAGAACCGGACCCTGAATTATGTACTTCTCCGAATGAAAATATTTTCAAAACACCTCCTCAAAATCTAACCATTGAAGATAACCTGTGTGCTTTCGAGGACGAAATTGTTCAGAATAGATTATTGCACTATGACTCTCCCAAGAAGCCATCAAACAAACTGGGACCTTCAACTCCGGTCAGAGGTTCATTTTCAGTCACTCCAAGTCCCGTGAAAAGCAAGAAGGCTTCGCCTATTAAGATAGGTTCTCCAATTCGACTTGTCAAAAATGAGGCTGGTGTCACTTCAGTAGAACTCCAATCATCGCCTAGAAAATTGGCTCCAGAGACTTTTACAGGTCATGACTTGAGTTATGGAAAATTAAGAGACGGTACAGCTGGTCAATCTCAGCTTGCAACAGTGGCTGTGCCATCAGTCTCCACTCACAACTCGGAACCAACTGCCTGCTCATCAGATGACAGGTTTAAGTTTGATCATCGTGGTGGTCAAAGAGATGCTTCAAATAAGTCTGCCAAAGCACCATTAAGTGAAAGAGGAAGATTATTTTTGCGGGTGGTGGGCCTCAAGAACCTTGACCTACCCGACCTTCAGGGACGTAAAGCTGAATTTTCGATGACTTTGGACAATGGTGTTCATTGTATTAAAACCCCTAATTATAAGTTGGATCGCAATCACATTGAAATTGGTAAAGAGTTTGAATTGACTGTTGGTAATTCTTTGGAATTTATATTGACAATGAAAGCATCTTATGAAAAACCTAGCGGTAAATTAGTTGAAGTGAAGGAGAGAAGGATTGTTAAACCAAAAAATAAATTCAGCAGAATCTTTGGTAATAAAGATATTATTACAACTACAAAGTTTGTTCCTGTCGATGTGAAAGATTCTTGGGCAAACAAATTCGCTCAAGATGGCTCATTCGCAAGGTGTTATGTTGATTTGGATCAATATGAAGGTAAAATAACTGGTAAGGTTAGCAATTTCGACATCACATGTTTCAATGAATGGGAAACTATAGTTGATCGAAACGGCGAAAGAATCAAATGCAAACCATATAGAATTGGACAACTCGAAGTTAAAATGATGTTCATTCCCCGAACTTTAGAGCAAGAAGCCCTTCCTTCAAGTATTAAGTCGGCGTACGAAAGTATAAACTCATTAAAGAATGAATTATCATTACAAAAGGAAGGATATATGTTTCAAGAGGGTGGAGATTGTGACAGTTGGAAGAGGCGATTCTTTAAATTATCAGGAACTTCATTGATAGCTCATAGTGAATATTCTCATAAGACTCGCGCCAAGATTAATCTTGCAAAGGTTGTTGAAGTAATGTATATTGACAATGAAGATAATCATGGAAAATACAGAAATTTCAGTGAAGTTATGCTTATGGAGCATTCATTTAAGGTTAGGTTTGGTAACGGAGAAATTATTGTCTTTGGTGCCCCTAATAGAGTTGAAAAAATGGAATGGATATCCATCTTTGAAAAGATAATTCACAGAAATAAATTTAGAGTTCAACCATGGGTCAAAATTATGATGGAATACAATAATATGGAGACATTAGATGTTTCCATGCCAAGATAACTTTAAAATACATACAATAAGTAATAATACGATAAATTCTATTCATTTTCAATTCTATTCTATTCGTCTTCATCTAACCAACCTTTTGCTCTATCAATAGCCTTTTCCCATCTCTTCCAGATCTTTCTTCTGTCAACGTCCGGCAATTCCGCCTTGAAATCATTGGTATGAGCGTCTTGGGCACTCACTTTTTCAATCACATCATCAAAATTTTTCCACACTCTATCTTCTTCATTCTTGAATGATAATCCTGCAGCAATAGCAGCACCCAAGGCGGTACATTCAGAAATTGCGGCTCTCTTGACAGTGACACATGGCCCTAAAATGTCAGCTTGAATTTGCAACACTTCATCTGCTTTAGACATACCACCATCTACAGCCAAACTAGACAATGGTTTCTTTTCATTTTGATTTGTGAGGGCTTCTTCCAAGAAATCTTCACTTGCACCTGCATCACTAGCCATAGCTCTTAAAATGGCTCTAACTTGGAAACAAACACCTTCTAAAGCTGCTCTGGCAATATGACTGGAAGTGGTGTATTGGGACATACCAAACAAAGTACCTCTGGCACCACCATCCCAATAAGGAGCATATAAACCAGAAAAGGCTGGAATAAATACAACACCACCTGAATTAGCAACTTGTGAAGCCAATGGACCAACATCTTTAGCATTTTCAATTAATTTTAAGTTATCTCTAAGCCATTGAATGATGGAACCAGCAACCGCAATGGAACCTTCTAATGCATAATGTGGTTTTCCGTCCTCTCCCTCAAGGGTTGGGAACCAATAACCAAGCGTAGTTAAAGTGCCATGGTCACTGATAAGTTTTCTTGTACCAGTGTTGTACAATAAGAAACAACCTGTACCGTATGTACATTTGGCTGAACCAGGTTTCACGGCAAGTTGGCCTACAAGAGAAGCAGATTGATCACCAAGACAACCACAAATAGGAACACCGGAAATAGTTTTTAAGATATCATAAGCTTCTTGTGTGATTCTATTGTGGAATCCAAGATTCGATAAGTTTGGAGCTGAAAATGATCCATAAAACTCAGAACTTGATACAATTTTTGGTAAACAAATTCTCGAAGGATCAATTCCCCAGAAATCCAATAAATCATCATCATAATCTCTAGTTTCTAAATCCATAAAGTATGTTCTAGAGGCATTGGTAACGTCAGAAACAAAGGTCTTTTCCTTTGTGAGATGATAGATCAACCAGGTATCAACAGTACCGAACATAAGGTTACCATTGCCCTTATCATATTCTTCTCTGATAGTATCATCATTATCTAAAAGCCAACGCAATTTAGCACCTGAGAAATATGTAGACAACGGTAATCCGGTTTTTTGTCTTAATTCTTCCTTTTTCTCATCATCAATCATACGTTCCAAATGTTGAACAATTTCTTTCGTTCTAGTATCGGTCCAAGTAATACCATTACTCAATGGTTTACCAGTTTTTCTAGACCATACAATAGTGGTTTCTCTCATGTTTGCAATCCCAAGACATTTGACTCTATATTTAATTTTCAATTCTGGGTTCGAGTTAATTTTACGAAGAGAAATCAAACAGGCAACAAGACATTGTACAGCATTGGCCAATACATGCACTGGCATACATTCAGACCAACCAGGTTGTGGGAAACGAAGTGTTGGACCAACACTAGCAGCATTATTTTCAATCTCAATATCATCCGAAATCGAGATTGCAATACCTTCAGCAGTGAAAATTGGTTCATTATGACGCATCAAGGATGATCTTCTTCTAAATTGGTCAGTGTTCTTAGATTCTGCAGGAGCTTCAGATGCAGTTGTGGAATATTCAATTTGATGTTTAGCAATTTCAGCACCTTCTTCACTAAAAAGAATGGCACGAGCTGAAGTTGTACCAATGTCGATGGTTGCAACCACTGGGTGTGATGGCGCATTAGATTGACGACGAGGCATTGTGTGGTATTGACAAGTGGTTTAAAATGAATATGTGGTTTATAAGGAAAAGAAAAGAAAATTGGTATTAATTGGTGTCCTAAACCTTTTATGGGGTTCTCTCCGACTTATGTACAGTATTCGGCAAAGTAGCAATGTTCCGAAATAGAATTAATAGCAAATGGTACTAACCAATATGAAAGCTCTTTTATGTGTATAGTATAATACCTAAAATTAGAAGATATTTAGTGCTTTCTTACAAGCTTTAGAAATATTAGGAAGTATTTGCAAAAAAAAATAATGCAAAGAATTTGATTCACTCCCAACTCTATATATATACTTTTTTTTTATTATTATTATTGTTATTTCGAAGCCGCCTTATGTACGAAATTTGACGCATATAAGAAAAACTTTTTAAAAGTTACACAACATACTTTAGCGTCAATTTTAAGTTATGAGAGTTTCGCTGGAAATTCACAAAGAGTAAATTCAATAGGCTTATTCACTGTCGCATAGAGGGAGTGGAAAAATCATCAAAACTGAAGTATTCTCTTGTGGATTGGAGTTCGTTTCTGGTTCTCTAAATCAAAAAAAAAAGTTCTTTTGTGTTCTAAAATCGCGCTTGCCCCGGGTTAAATTGAAATCAGAGTGGGGGTTAAGGTGGGGAAAGTTCGGGATTTAGCCAGATAACGTGATGAAATACATAAAATGACCACAGCATATTTTTTTTCTTACATTTATGAGTTTAGTTGAATATGTAGCCAATTATCAACACTATCACTTCTATACAATCCATTTATTTTTTATTTTCTCTATGGCTAAAAGTCCTGCTCTGTATCCACTTCACTATCATATTCATCAATATCAACTATATTGGAACTATGGCTCATATCATGAATGTGAATTGTATCACAAATAGAATTTGTATCCTCATCTTCCTCTTCTAAAATTAGACTGTGATTGATTTCATTCATAGTTAAATTATCAAAATTGAAAGAACTATTTATAATTTCTTGATCAGACTTTGCCTTGGTTGGTGATAAGTTAGTAATAATTCCATTGAAAAGTTTACTCGTTTTATGACTCAACTGATCTATTTGTGAATTATTTGAGACTAAAAATTTCTTAAACTTATCATTATTCTCATCAATATTGCGACCGACATCGTTAACAATATTTTTCAAAGTATCCTTTGGTATTATATTTGCTGTGGTACCATTGATTTGGGTCTGGAATTTATTTAAATATCCTTGGAAATTCAAAGATTTAGTATCGTTTGAATTAACAGGTCTTTCCTTCTCTGTTTGTATGTTGAATATATTTGATGCTTTATTTTTTAATATATTTAAAGTGTTGGTATTAGTATTGATATTAGTATTTTTATTGTTGATAGGAGTGGGAATATCACTAATATTCTTATTACTTTCACTAATATTTTTCATAGTATGATTGGAAATTTTCTTTGAAATCTCTAAAAGTTCATTTTTAATAATCTCTACTTTACTTTCTAATTCATTCAATTGTCTTTGCTTTGAAGCATACTCTTGTAAAAGTAGAGTTCCAGTTCCATCATCGAATTCAATATCATTCTTTGAGTTAACACCTTGTACATCATTTGTTTGTGAAACTGGAATATATACTGGAAGTCCGCCACCAGATCTTTTCGGACTGGATGATCGATTATCCCTCGATGGAGATAATGAAAATTTAGCTAATCCCGTTGATTCGCTAAATATTCTCTCATTGTTATTTAATGTAGATTCAACTTGTCTTGACGTATTCTGAGGTATAATACAATATGATTTCTTTTTACCTAATGTGGCAGTCTTTAAAGTGCTGTCACTTTCAGTTACAGTAAAGGACATATTCTAAAAAAATTAAAGGGTTTCCTATAACAATAATGTACGTGCTTCTTCTAAACCACGTTCATTAATTAAAGTATATTTTGATTAAAAAAAAAAAAAATCAAGAATGGATCAAAGAACAAATACAAACTTTCTTTAATCTTCTCTGCACGTTTTAATGTTGGGCATATCTTGTTTACTCATCTCCATCACCTTCTACAATATATGTCACTTTGTACCAAATGTCCTCCATTTTTGTTCCAAGATAGGAAGCATTGTAAACAAAATCACATGGGGTCGTGCGAAATGCATACATGTATTGATTCCCTCTTTTTTTTTTTTTTTTTGTTTTGTTACCCAAACTTTTGGACGTTAAGATACCAAGTGATTGCTCTCATTTGAAGTTAATAAATTTTATTTAGATCATCTAATTCCTTATATCCTTATATCGATTTTAAAATCTTAAACAGTAATATCAATTTAAAATGGCTTGTTTCGCAAAAGTTAAGTGTTTCGTTTCCTCCTTCGTTGTGGCTTATATCATCTATTTGCTTACTTATAAGTGTCACAACTTGAATGAATCTGCTATCGAGCATGGCGTTAAATCCGTCTTCCATCCTTTGTCTCATACTCACAACCAAGCTTGTGATAAATTAAACCAAGGTGTTAACTTCTTGCAACCATACTTGTCCTCTGCTCAATCCACCATTCAATCCCATGCTTTGTACAAGCAGTATGCAGTTCAAGATAAGGTTGATACCGTATCTACTTATTACGCCACTTATGCCGAAAAGTACGTTATTCAATTATTCAAGTTAATTGAAACTTATGAAGTCATTGTTGCTACTTATGTGATTTCTCTTTGGGCTAAGATTCAACATTTGTATGCTACTGAAGTTGCCCCAAAGGTCAAGCTTGCTTAAGTCTTTATATGACTATTATTTAAGTATTAATGTATTTATGTTTTGATTTATTTAACAATGTAACTATTATTATCACTATATATATATATATTTATCTATCCATCAAGATTTTCTTTATCTTGGTCAATATCAATCTCAATGTCTGACTCAATCTCTTCTCCGAGAATGGCATCATCCAAGTTATCTCCCTCATCTTCATGTATTTCTTCCGCTTCTTCATATTGGGTTTTTGTATCTTCCGACACATCATCTTCATTAGAGAGAATTTCTATTTCATCAGATTCATAAATATCAACCACTTCAGTTTCTATTGACTCCGATTTAGTATTTGTTGCTTCTTCTTCTGCTCTCTTGGCCTCTTCTTCAGCTTTCTTAGCTTCTTCTTCAGCTTTCTTAGCTTCTTCTTCAGCTTTCTTAGCTTCTTCTTCAGCTTTCTTAGCTTCTTCTTCAGCTCTCTCAGCTTCTTCTTCAGCTTTCAATCTGTTCTCAAATAAATCTTCAAGGTAGAACTCAGTACTTGTTCTTTCTTGAAATGCCACATTAGCCTTAGCTCTAACAATAGATAAATAATCTTTATTATCTTTCTTTAAAAAATTGGCATGGAAAACAATTTGCTTTAAGAAATCCTCCCATTTAATAAATCCAGGTGGGAGTTCACTGGTATTATCATCATCATTCAAATACTTTGATTGATACTTATTAGCAACATTAAAAATTTCATCCCTGGTATTGAAAATTGATTCTTTAATAGAATGGAATTCCTTCCATGCCTTCCAAGTAATTTCATCATCTTCAGCAAATTCATCACTCTCTTGTTCTAAAATAGAAAGTAATGTATGTAATCTGGTGGAAAATTCTTGAATGGTTAAATCAGCGAATGATTCCAAAATATCAATAACACTTTGAGAAAATTTGAAATATTCTTTTAAAATTTCACTATTGTATTCAGTCAATTCCTTTCTAATAATATCAACTTCATCATCAACATATTTAGTTGCAGCGGAAATCTCATCTCGGATATCTTGTCTTGAAATATAAAGGTTATCATCAATTTCATCTTCTTGACTCTTAATAAACTTTTCATATTCCTTCATGAGTGTACTATCCTTATGGACATTGATAATATGTTCATTTAATGTACGGTAAGTTTCATAATTGGTAGTTTGGATTAGGGTAAGCTTGTCACTGACTTTAGGTCTAATCTCTTGTTCAATTAATGTTTCCAAATAATCACTAACGTCACGACCTAAGTTCTTTAATGCTGCCGTACATGTCTTATTCACTTTGGTTCTCCAATAGGATAATTCAGCTTCAATCTTGCTGGCACCAGTGTTGGAAAGTTCATCATTAGCCATGGTATCCAATTCATTGTTTGCAACGTCTGACGATTGAGCTGCATCTACGATAGTAATAGTCGATGTAACCCTGATGGTAACTGGTTCTTGATCAGACTCGTCAGATTCCTCAGAAAGAGACTCATCAGTAGTAAATTCATGGACCTTAATATCTTCATCTGTCTTGGATTCTTCTGTTGTTTTGTCAGTATAAATAAGTTCTTCTGCTTCTTCAGTAACATCTTCAAGGATATCTTTTACCATATCAACAATGTTCTCTTCATTCTTAATCTTGGTTTCATCCTTAGGGTTAAATTTTAAAAGAGTGTATAATTCATCTCTTAAAAAGATATGTTTGGCCTGTAATTTCTTTTCGTAAATATCAGTACCCTTTGCATACAAGATATCAAAGTAAGTACGGGCCCATCCTACAACAATATTAATTTTAGTAGCATAATAATATTGAGAAATCTTCTCAATTATCTGATTTCTAGCAATGTAATGCTTAGATTGAAGATATTGTGGCAAAATGTGGCTCGTGTAGAAAATATCAAATTGGTACTTGGATTTGACCAGAATGGTTTTAGCCTGAACGGTAGTATAATCTGACACATCATAAAATGTCTTAATTAAAAATGATTTTGTAGTTGCGGAGAATTGGCTTAATGGTTGAAGGACATAATAGTCTGAAAGACCATAAAATCTCAATCCAGCATTATAGATTCTAATCTTAGCCAACTTCCAAGAATCATTTACAAACGAAATGATCAATACAGATATGTTATGATCTTCATCAAATTTATAGATCCTTTCCTTAATGAGATTAATTTTAGAGTTGATCAGAGAAACTTTGGGACTGATGTTTAATTTCGAATCCAAGGATATCCATACTGGTTCCACATGTTTCACATACAAAGGATCAACATATTCAGTGTAGTTTGGTACAACCACCTTGTGCAAGGCGTAGCATGACAACTCATTGATTGAAGGGTAAGTCTCGAAACTGGCACCTGAGAATGATGAAGGATCATACTCAGAAATCCCCAGAGTAGGGCACACAGAAGTAAACAAAAAGTACCCATAAGCAAAGATTGCTAAGAAACTAACGTTCAATAGAAGTAGAATTCTTCTGCATGTACACGCCATGTTATCTTATTGGGCAGGCTATGTAGAAATATAAAGAAAATAGCTATACTGCTTCTAAGTTGTACTCCTTTGTAAGCAGTTGATGATCTCAATATATATGCCGTCACTCATTAAAAAATATGAAGGTACTACATGTAGGAATTCATAACATTGAAGTTGCATTTTTTTTTTTTTTTTATTTGGTGTCTTCTGATTCTGAATTGCAGCCGAAAATTTAAAAATTGCTGCAAAAAATGTTTAAGAGGGTCTTTATTACAACTTTCCTTTTTTTTTTAAAGAGCTATATTATAACGAAACTATTGAAAACAAAGGGGTATTAGTCAATCAATGACGAATATTTATTCTGTTGAGCACTTTGATGACCAGCAAAAGTTTGGAAGCTCATTTGACGAAGCTTTCCAATGGCTCAAAGCAGATATGTCGAATTCAGTTCCACTATGGTAAAGTGGGGATTCGTATGCAAGCATTCTTTTATCAATACTATTTTTATCTTTGTTCATGTTAAACAGGTTCTCGAAGTCTTGAGATAATGTATACTTGTATTTTGTATCAAAGTAATCACTCCATACAGAATGCAAGACACTTGTTGGTCTAGCATTCCAATCGAAGTTGAGTGTAAAATCGTGTGGCATACAGTACATTCCATCGTGCTTTTCCGCTTTAACCAAGATAGTTGAAGACCATTTGGAAAAATCATCAACTTTACTATCAGAACTGCCATCCCACATAAGAATTTCCGATGATCCAATACCAACTCCGCTAATTGAGAGGGTTTTTAATTCATCTTGGAAATTATTAAACAACTTAGCAGACTCAATTGATTCAAAATTGATAGTTACCTTGTACAAATCATCCTTTACCCATACAACATCAGATACGGTGAAATAAGCATCTGGCACTGAGTAACGGAAAGAATTTAAAATACCTTGGCCAACATCGTAAAGAGATCTTTTATCAATACCATTTGATTCTTGTCTTTGGAACAAACCAAGCACACTTGCAGAGATTTGAGCTGCTAAGTCTGATAATTCCTCTCTTTTCCCCTTACCTTCAATCTCCGAGCGACTCGCAAGCGCTATGACATTGGCTAAGACATCTGTAAGTTCACCTTCACTTACTTCTCTCTTCCCCCAACTCCATTTCCAACTAGTCTTTGAAGCGGAGTTGAAAATGCAACTGATTTGATTCTGAACAGAAGAAATGAATCCTGAAAGCCAGCCTCTTTTGGAAAGGTCAAATTTCTGACTATCCATTTCATCAATAATATCACGAATATCAGCCTTAAAATCACTCTTGAAATTCTCGAACTCACGTTTGGCAATACCAGTATCAACATCTCTTGCTACAAGTCCAAGGATATTTGCACAAAGGTCTGCAGCAATATCATTCATAATTTCTCTCTTTGCCTTTTCATTAGCATCTTCATTGTCCAGAATTTCAGAGCGACGAGAAAGAGCTATAATGTTTGCAAAAAGCTCTCCAAGTTCGTCATCTTGGAGATCTCTTTTACCCCAACTCCAACTCCAGCTATGCTTGGCTGCAAAGCTAAAGATACACAGAATTTGAGTTTGAACTGAAGAGAAATAGTTTGAGAGCCATCCCCTTTTTTCAAGATCAAATTCCGGGGATTCTGAGTTCATGATATCACGAATGTCTGCCTTGAAGTCGGCATAAGCAGCTTCACTTGAGTCTCTCTTCAGAAATGATTTAACAGAGTCTCCCGTCAATTCTGACTTGGGAATTTTTCCTCCAACTTGAAAAAAATCCTTCGATTGACAATACCTTGAGTTTTGTTCAATTGATGCCAAGTCCGCATGATCATCATATAAAAATTTATGGTTAGCTTCAATTCCTGAAACCAATGTGGAAACTGAAAGTGCAGCTGCAAATTTAGAAGATTTGGAAAGATGCATGAGAAATGAAAAGAATAAAATGAATCAAGAAGGGTCTCAGAAACTAATAAAACGAAAGATTTGTGTATTGATCAGTTGAATAAGGAACAATTAGTCCTATTTAAGTAGAACTATTTAGGATAATTTATAGGGTATAACTACAAAATCAGAAGATGGTACTAAACTTAGCCATACATTTTGTGATCTTACCCCCCCTGCCCTACATCGTAACGCATGTGTAGAGTCTAAAAAATACAAGGTGAATTCCCCACAATCATGGTTGAATTACATGTACTATTTCTAGATTAAGGCATAAATTGAGGCTTCAGAATTTATTATTTGACCGTTGTCTTCCTTTGAACCTTAAATAATAATTAAATACTTGAAGGAGAAGCTTGTAATGGCCGTATTTTGCTGCAGGAAGATGCAGATGGGCTACAATTTCATGATTTTAAGGGGGGATGTCATTTTACGTAATGTGTCAGCCCCAAGTAAAATCATTACGCGAAGCTTTCAAAAGCTTTCCAAAGAAGGTTAAGAATTCTTATTGAACGTTTTTTTTCGCCTGCCAGTGAACAGCCTCACTGTCTCCATCTTCTTCAAAGGGGGACTTCCATAAAAGGAAATAAAATATTATGCAGGTTCCGCCTCGCATTGAAGTATTTAGAATCAATTCATGGACTTCCATTCAAAGAAGACTATTGTATAATCAATGTAGACCATTTGTAACTGGTAGTTTATATCGGTGTAGTGAAATAGGGCTGTTTGTCTTTGGTCAATTTAAGAGTGAATTGATTTCTAAAAAAAATGATCAGTACAGGTGTCATATTGAACAATAATGCAATTTCATTACTCAAAACAGTAATTTTGATAAATAACTGAACAATGACACTGATTCCGTAACTTTATTGGAATAATAGATTATTAGATCAATGATATATGTGTTTCCGGTTAAATAAGGTTTAGAATTCAAGTGGGCTCCGCTTGGGGTCCATGTTTTGCCGTACTATTATGTGCAGTAAATTGAGATCAACTCTGATGAAAAAATACGGCACATCAGTTTGACGTTTTCGATATTCACCAAAAACAAGATAATTTACACAATTGCATTTTAATGGAATTGATCTTTACTTATAATTTTAAAACTGTTATTTAGAATTCGGCTCAAGTGTAAATGAAAACAAAATTGTAATTGAACCTTGTAAATTGATCGCCTAAGAAAAAAAAAAAGAAGAACAGGTCGCAAACATTTGACATGATCAGTAAATTTTAATTTGATTTATCTAAAAAACTCCAAATGCATACGAATAGGTGATGGTAGAGTATGGCCAATGATACAGTCAAATATATTCGATAGGAGAATAATTTTATTGAAGCGGAAAAATAAAAACAAATCATTAGGATGCCAACTCCGAATTGTCCACCAATTCCGTTCTAAAGCATAACACAGAAAAAAAAAAAAAAGAGAATCATATGATGCAACCCAAAGAAACATGGAATAGATTGTAACATACAAATAAATTAGCTAAGAGATTCCGTTTATGGCGCATGGCTCAATGTTCAACGTAATTGACCCGAATATATATCTGTACTCTGGCAAGTGGAGAAAATAAATTAGTGGGGATCAGGCGATAAGCACCCCTAGATAAGAATGAAAATAATACGATAAGAGAGAATTACCCCTATTACTTTCAAAATTAGCTTTATCAATCTTACTCCATTCCCAGCATTAAATACTTGTTATTTTTGCTTGGTAGGGGGGTAATATGAATTTCTAAATGTAGTGTGAGACATAGAATAATATTTACGAGTTTGTAACCCTGTAGATCTTCGAAGCTCGCCTATAACTATTAAAATCAATTTTTTTTTTTTAAAGTATTGGTTTTCTGGGCTTAAGGATGTTTGCTAATGTAGTCGTGTACCGGTAATTTTTTTGTTGATGATCTGGACAAACGGACTGCCCTGCTATTGGTCGATAAGACAAAGAAAAAGAAACTAATCTACACCAAAAAATTGCAATTGAAATGAAATATTGTAATACTAAACTTGTAGGATAAGTTGTTATATAAGAGATGCAAAAAAAATGTACTAAACATAAAACAATACATGTATGTAATACTTCCGATTTTATTGGTTCATAGGCTATTTGACTCTTATCGACCCAAATTAATTTAATTTGAGATTAATAGAACCATATCGGGTCCACTTAACCGGGCTAACGCCTCTTTTGTAATTTTGATCCCGGTTGTACGGTGTTTTTCGGGGCTCATGTGCGCGGCAACCCTCTTTATGTGAACATATTGATTTCATTGGCTGCAGGTGCGGGTTCTCACTGTTTATCAGTACCGAGAATTACAAAAATAACACCCAAACCCGAGGAAAAAAGGAAATTTCTATGAACCTGTCAAACGTGAAATCAAGGCAATCCTGGTATGGCAGAACTGAATGTCAAAGGGGAATAAGTATATAATAACCTCATATCATCTTTTAATTAGTTATTACTGGACTTTTCTTTTTTCTTTTCTTCTTCAGATTGATTGATTCATTCTTATTTTCTATAGCTTTTCATACATAATGGTTTCAATTACCGAACAAACTGCTATTTTACAGAAATATCTTGACCTTCCTCAAAACGGAAAGGTTCTTGCTGAATACGTCTGGATTGATGCTGAAGGCAACACTAGATCCAAGTGTAGAACCTTGAACAAGCGTCCTGCCAGCGTTGAAGACCTTCCAGAATGGAACTTCGATGGTTCATCTACTGGTCAAGCTCCAGGTCATGATTCGGATGTCTACCTTAGACCAGCCGCATTCTACCCTGATCCATTCAGAAAGGGTGACAACATTATTGTTTTGACTGAATGTTGGAACAATGATGGTACTCCAAACAAGTACAACCACAGACACGAATGTGCTAAGTTGATGAAGGCTCACGAAGAAGAAGAAATCTGGTTCGGTTTGGAACAAGAATATACTCTTTTCGACCAATTCGATCAAGTTTACGCTTGGCCACAAGGTGGTTTCCCAGCTCCACAAGGTCCATACTACTGTGGTGTTGGTACCGGTAAGGTTTACGCTAGAGATGTTATCGAAGCTCACTACAGAGCTTGTTTGTATGCTGGTGTTGAAATTTCCGGTATTAATGCTGAAGTTATGCCATCTCAATGGGAATTCCAAGTTGGTCCATGTGGTGGTATTAAGATGGGTGATGAATTGTGGATTGCCAGATATCTTTTACAAAGAGTAGCCGAAGAGTTCGGTGTTAAGATTTCCTTCCACCCTAAGCCATTGAAGGGTGACTGGAACGGTGCTGGTTGTCATACCAACGTCTCTACTGCTTCAATGAGAGTCCCAGGTGGAATGAAGGTTATTGATGCTGCTTTGGAAAAGTTGGCCAAGAGACACAAAGAACACATGTTGTTGTACGGAGCTGATAACGAACAAAGATTGACTGGTCGTCATGAAACCGCTTCTATTGAAGCCTTCTCTTCTGGTGTTGCCAACAGAGGTGCTTCTGTTAGAATCCCAAGATCTGTTGCCAAGGAAGGTTACGGATACTTTGAAGATAGAAGACCAGCTTCTAACATTGACCCATACTTGGTTACTGGTATTATGGTTGAAACTATCTGTGGTTCTATCCCAGATGCTGACATGTCTAAGGAGTTCGCCAGAGAATCTTCTGCCTAAATCTATACAGCTGTGCCAAAATCTAGCTAAGATTAATAATATACGACTAAAACAAAGGAAATATTCTTGTGTTGTCTTTCATTTTACTTCTCATCTTTATTAATAGTCTATTTTACTTCTTTTGGAGTACCAATTAAGTTTTTTTTTTTGAATATTCGACATGACTTAAGTGTAGGAACTAAATAAAATGCTGCTCGACGATTTGCTCACAAAAATACAGATGAAGAATTATGGTTGCAACTTTTATTAAAAGGATTTAAAAACGATGAAGTTAAATAAAGAAAGAAGGTTAAGCTTGCTTTAAACGATGAAGAATTATAAAAGGTTTGGTTTAAGGGGTATTTTTAACTGTTAATCAAAGTAGCGTTGTACTCAGTATTCTCGTAGTCCCAGTAGAATGACACATCATGAGATACATTATTGAAGACTTTACATTGATCAACAAAGTTAACACCATTTAATCTTTCGTCAATGTATTTCTCGAAATCTGAGAATTCACAGGAAAATCCTGGTCCACTAGAACAGTTCTTAATTGGATACACAGCATCGTTAAGAATATATCTGACGTATGAACTATTACCACACTTGTACTTTTCAGTATAAAGTCTAGCACCTTGTGGGACAATTTGAGAATGAACATAAGTGTCAGGGAATTGTACATAATCAACAGGTAATGGATGTTCTGGACTGGTCAATCCTAAGGCAGCATGTAAAATTTCCCAATCAGTATCATGAGAGAATGATAACCAAATCTTATTTTTAGCATCGGAATTCTTCAACAAAGTAACTGATGCATTTAACAAAGTTGATCCAATAACCTTGGTAAGATTATTACCTGGTCCATTTGAGTAAAAGTTGGAAATATCATTCCCATATGAGTATCTAATATATTCTTCATTTGTGAAAATGTCCGCAAATGGAGAATAACCTCTAACATTAATTTCATAGGCCAAGTATCCAAATAAATTTTCAATATCACCAGTAGTAAGGTTCAAGCCAGGGTTGGAACTTTGAAGTCTCTTTAAGATATCTTTCAAATAACTTTTGTCATATTTATTGACAAGAGTAGCATTTGCGCTACTATTATACGCATTACAAGCATATCTTGGAGTTAAGGAGTTGGCACCACTATCTGGTGATTCAGAAATAATTGAAAATTTAACAGTGGAATCAGAGTATTGATCTCCCAAGAACCCTCTTGCAAAATAGTTTGAGGTTTGATAACATCTACCAGAGTTCGATGAAAATACGGGTAATACTTCACTTGAATTGTACAAGGCATTGTACTTGGCTCTAAATGCTGCGCCATGTTTCAATGCGTCTGAAGTTCCACTAAAATATCCCTCGGAATTACCTGGTGTGGTTTCCTTTTCATACCAATATGTATCCTTCACAAAGTAAGTGTAATCATCATTCAAAAATGCAAGCTCTCCCTTAAAGGTACCATTGTATGCCTTGAGCTTTTTAAAAACAGCCTCATATGACTTTCCTGATCCAGTAGAAGGATAACGTTCACCGTGTCTAGAAAATAATTGTACTTGTTCAAGAGTACATTGGGAAGGAATCTCAGTAGAGATACCAAATCCGGGGTGTTGGATGTATGGAGCTGATCCTCCCAAGAACTTGAGGATATTGTACTGTTCAATGGCAGCTTGTTCAGGGGATGCAACATCCGAGTAAACAGATTGACCTGCTAAGATCAAGCCTCCATTGACCAATTTATTTAAGGAAACCATAGCGAGAGTAGTTGTTTGATGTATTTTATGTAGTCTATCTTGGAAATGAATTACAAAATGACTACAATTATTTCCATATTTATATAACAAAGGGTGGTTGTCGTCAAATTAGTCAGCTAGTACAGAGAATAAGTCCACGTTGGTGGAATAAACTTATTTCCCAATTTTAGTCAGGGTTATGTAGCTAACTATTTCTCAAATTAGGTTAATTCAGCTCCTTTAGGTCTTGATTTGACAGAAAGGGGCCATGCACGTGGGAAAAAAATGATTCAATGTGTTGCATTCTCGTATTATCATTGTTCGGATTTTTAAAAAAAAAATATACCGACCTCGGATAACCTTTACATCATATGGTGCTTACGTGGGTATTCAGTACTAAGTATGTCATACTTGGAGGTAACTTATAGTCTTTGGACAATACCAGAAACTAAAACTAGATTATGGGGTAACATGATGGGGAAATAATATCAGATTGAGGCAGTCAACAAAAAAGTTTGTAGTTACAATGAAACATAATCTCCCGACATTTCAGGCAGAGTTAAACTTAATCCACGTAATAAATCAATGAATTACAATAGTTACCATTTTTTTTATTTCCGAGAGGCTCATTTAATTAAAATACACCTTTAATTAATGTACTGTAGACCAACGCCTCTCACCATTATGCAGCATTTTACCATTTACCCTACTCTCTAATCAATTTGTATTACTATGACAGTGGAATACCATGAAACTATTTCACTCTTATTGATTAAGAAATATATTTTCGTATTGTGAACCGTAAATTTTACTTGATATATCATTTTCTTATGAATTTTACTCTTTCAATAAATTAATTACATCGAAAAAAGTGGAGAGGTTTACATTATTTGATATTTCGATTTAAAACTACTTTGTAACTGAGATGATATAAATCGGAACATGTATGATCTATAGTTATATAAACACAAATACTCTCCTTCATTAAATATCAATGAAGTGTTTTTACACATTTTTTATTGCTGATGCTCTTGCACTTAAAAATTAAAATTGAAAATATGACAGTGAATAACATCTTTTTTATGATTTAAAGTAGTGCCAGATGTTAATTATAAGCTACTTAACAATTTCAGTTAATTATTTCAAACATTATAAGACATTTTACTATATAAAACTTTCAAAACAAAAAATCAGAGGGTTTTTTCAAAATCTGAAAACTTAAAGACTACTGAAATTTAAGCTTTCGGAAATCAGCTGGTCTCGTATAGTGGTTAGTACAGTTCGTTGTGGCCGAACAAACCCAGGTTCGATTCCTGGGACCAGCATTTCTTTTTTTTTGATTTTTTTTATTTCCCTTGAATTCAGAATTCTTCACAAGCTATTGTGTATTTTTTTTTTTTGGCAAAGGTAAAGACAATTAACAATTTAAGCAGAGCCTATCCAGCATTACAAACAGAACTGACCAATTTCAATCTCAAATTCTATCAATTTTTATAGGTGTGCTATTGGTACTGATTTCGATTTGAGAGTGGCTAAATGCGAAAATTATAGATAGGCAAGATTGATACAAAAATAAGGGTCGTGCCCGTGCCGATACTTGATAATTGGATTCATTTGCTTGAGGGTTGACGTTAACGTTTAGAGCTATTCATCCTAATCTAAAGCACCTTTTGTTCAATAAGATGACAATTGAAGCGGTATGTTTGACATCATAGTACATTGCTTACTATGTATGAGATTATAACATCATCACACCAACGGAATTGTTTACTAACCCAATAGCCTCCTTTTCAAATTGATAGCGGTTACTTGGCCGATCGCAAGAAGGAAATAAGAGAAAAGATTATTCCTTGGGAAGGTCTTGCAAGAGCTGGAGTTATCTCAGAGGATGAAGCCAACCATATTAAGATCTTGGAAAAGCAATCGAGAGAAAACAAAAATTCCACCATTTTATCGGAATTAGAACTCTACACTAACACAATTTTAAACTTGTTAAGTAAATTAGGCGTCAATTCCAGAGATGAAGTGTTGAAAAATGTCTTAGTTTTGATAAACGATATTCTTTTGGACTTGCCTAACCAAGAATTTGCTGATTCTTTATTGAAGTTATCTAAGTTGGACGAGTCCTTACCATTTGACCCATTTTTGAAACATTTGGAAGACTCTAATATTGACATTAAGATTTTATCTTTATATAATTTGACTATACTTTTGTCTAGAGCAGGTAAGAATGATGTTAAAGTTAATGGTGAGATTTTAAACCAAATTTTTGGAGTTTTGTCTACTCAATTGATTGATAACAACAAGGATTTACACTTGCCATTCATTGGTATTCAATTATTACAAGAATTAGTTATTGTGAAGCAATTCAAGGTCACCTACTTGAAGAATGCCTCATCTTACTTCCTGCCAATCAACAAGCTTATTTCGAATATGGCTAAGCTTCCAAATTCATCAGGTTTACAATTGCTTTACAATGTTTTGTTGACTACTTGGGTTTTATCCTTTAATGCTGATATCAACAAGGTCTTAGTCCATAAATTTCCTGAACTTATTGGGAACTTGTTGACCATCTCCAAGGACTCCATCAAATTGAAAGTTGTTAGAATGTCTGTTTCAATTTTGAAGAATTTCATATCTGTAAGTGTTTCAGGTAGCGAAAAGTTCAAAACTATCAAGTTGGTATTATTCCATGATGGTCTCAACTCAATCAAGGTATTGCAAGATCGTAAGTTTGCCTCCAACAGCAGTGACGAGGAATTATCTAATGACTTGGCCTATTTGAATGATAGTTTGACTGAAGTTGTCCAGAATAAACTTACATCTTTGGATGAATATTTAACTGAATTAGAAAACCCAAATTTGATTTCTTGGTCTTCTCCTACACACAAATCTACTGAGTTTTGGTTAGAAAATTCTGGTAAATTTAAGGACTCATCATACAAATTAGTTAAGAAAATCCTTGAAATTTTATCCTCTAAGCAAACACCAATTGTGAAGTTAATTTTATTAAATGATTTACAATTTTTGATTCAAAACTTGGGTAATGATTTAGTTTCATTTATCAATGAAGAAAAGGATGGACAATATAAACTCTTGATCATGGGTCTCTTAGAAAGTAATGACGGTGATAGTGAGCTCAAGTACCAAGCATTGAAAACTATACAATTATTGGTTGGTCACAACTTTTAATAGAAAAGCATCTTAACAATCATCTAGACTTGATGTTTCTACTCTTTTTTTCCCCACCCTCTTTTTAATTCTAAAATCCTTTTACTTATTATATAATTGTCTACCTGGAAATAAATTCAAGTTTACTATTAAAAGATAATTCATTAAAAATTAACGTAGATGTATAGAAAGACTCAACGTATCACTACTAAGGATAGAGCCAAAGATAGTAAAAAAAAAAAGGACCAAAAAAAAAAAGAGAACGCGCCGCATTGAAACCAAAACATAAATCAATACAGATGAAATCAAATGGCAATAACATTTAGACACTAAAATAAATATCATAGAAGAAAACGTTCAGAAAAACTGAAATATAAGACCGAGGTAGTGTCAATAGTATACCACTTTATCACCGAGAAGCTTTCATCTTTATTTGTTTATTTTATCCACAGTTGATATTTACTACTTGTATCCAAAATCTCTATTCAGAGTCAACAATGAATAATGCCCCCTAAAGTTCCTGAGAGTATGCAATACCGTGAGAATCGTCTCGAGACGTTCGAGAACGGTGCCTTTCAAGGAAAGTCGAAACAAATGCGATATTGGACTCATAGTAGACCAACGCCTGAGGTACTCGCAGATCATGGGTTCTTTTTCACGCCTACAAAGCTAAATCAGGATCAAGTTACATGTTGTGTTTGTAGGAAAAAGGAAACTAATGTGGAAGGGGTTGAGAATATGGCTATGTATCATTTAGAAAATAACCCTGAATGTCCGTTGGCCACGATAATATCTTTACAAATACAACATATTCTGAGCGAATCAACACTGGAGGAATTTTGGAAGGATGAGGCCCTGGGTGCTTTAAAGGATCCATTATCAAAGAATGCTATAAATATGCGGAAGAAAACCTATGGACTGAACTGGAAGTACGACTATAGTCGTGCAGATCTCTCACTGGGGAAAGTACCAATTAAACCTATAGCTACCAGTACAGCACTTGCAAACGCTGGATTTTATTATTGTCCATTGAGATATGGCAATGATAGAGTGCAATGTGTATATTGTAATTGTTCCTTAGATACCTGGCTGCCTTCTGACAATCCGATGGATGAGCATCGTCAGAATGCAATCAACTATTGTTATTTCTTGGACGTTATTGATAACCAATCAAATCCAAAAACCAATATAAAACGACTGACACCTTCTATTCAGACCCAGAATAATATTATCACCATCAGTGACTCAGAAATGGAAGCTACCGCTTCGGAGTCAGATGAAGTACCCCCAGTTAACAATAGAAGTACTAAACGGAAATCTGACAATTCAGTGATAGAAGAGAATCAAGAGAAAGTAATTCCCAGAAAGAGAACGAGGAAACTTCCTGTTATATCGGATTCTCAGTCTAGTTCTAGTTCTAGTTCTAGTTCTGAATCTGAGTCCGATTCAATAATTCAACAAGACGATAATGCTGGCTCTGAAAAGATAGCTTCAACACCATCGGATCCAGTTGAAGAAAAACTTGACGAAATAATTGCCATATCTAGTCCTGCCTCTGATACTTCAATTCAACGGAACCATGACGCTGAAAAATCAAGAGAAATGATGAGCTCTCCAGATTTGGAAATTAAGGAGTTCGATGATCACCCACAAGTAGAAGATGATATGGAGGATGTAGAAGTAGAAAAACCTGACGATAGCGAGGAAAATTCTAGTATAAGTGAAAGCTCTGTCTATGAAGATGACTCAGACGTTCAAGAATATGCAGAGTCAAAATCATTCCTGGATGACGAATCCTATCATGACGACGTAGATGAGGAAGAAGATGAGGAAGAAATTAATCTTGAGGTACCGAAGAGGAGAAAGTTACGAATGGAGTTAACAAAGGATGCTCTGGATGAGGATGATTTTAAGGCTCCTGTGAAAACAGCACAAAAGAAACCTGTAAAAAATTCAAAGAAAAATCAGAAACCAATTACAGTAGATGACGTTAATAATATATCGTTTGATGACGAAAGGTTCCAACAAATACTTACATCTCCCAAGAAAAACAAGAAAATAAAGATTAATGATAAGAAGATTACCTCAAAATCCCCTTCCCTCCATGATATTTCGAACCATAATCTTGGTGACTACGAAGAAGATAATTTAGAATACTTGGAGAAGCATATAAATATTGCATCTGAAAATTTATCACCAATACAGCTTTCACCAGAACCTCGAAACCAACCACCCTCTATTGATAAAGTATTAGAGCCATTTTCAACCGCATTGAAACCTCAATTACTTAATGCTCCAGCAAAAATATCTAGATCTGTGGATTTGAAGGGACAGAAGACTAAAAATATTTTAGATATGTCTTTTGGTGATGACATATTCTCAACTAAAGGAGAAGAAATTAATTTTGATCCGATAAGGAATGGCGGAGAAGCGAAACCCATCCAAACTCAACAAATACTCGAGGATGAAGTGAATCAATCACAAGTGGCGGAAGACAGTGAAGATTCAATTTCTGATTCTATGTATATTGATGCAGAGGATAGTTTGAATATTGAAGATGAATCTCATGGGAGTGGGACCGAATTTGAAACTCGAAATATTCTGAAGGATTTGGGGTCTAGTAATACTTCAATCAAAAATAATACATTGGATACCAAAAATGAAAAAGTTTCAAGAGATGAAGTTAAACAATCAGATCCAGAATTAGGGGAACCATTGGAAAATTCTACAATGGTATCATCGCCTCTTGTATCACACAATATAAATGAAACCAATACTGATAAGGTGAATCTTAAATCCGAAACCACACCAGAATTTGATAGATCAAAGAGTAAAATCATCTCTTCAGACAGAAATGATAATGAAAATATTATAGAAAAACCCACAAAAGAGGAATCACCCATGTCGAAAAGACCACAGAGCAGTATTGGATCATTTGACCCTGTAAATTTCGGATCGGGATCTCCAATTGATACCCCATCGAAGCATTCTGTTGGTAATTCATTTAAGAATGCCCCTGATATTGAGCCGTCTTCGCCAACCCTAAATAACTCCAGGAATAAACTACCAGAAACCTCTCCTCTTGGAAGAAATTCTACTATGATTGAAGAAACATTGGATACACCAGAGGCTCCATCAGATAGAATGAATATCGAAGAAGGGAAACTTGGAGAGCGAAAGTCACTGACCTTGAACCAAGACATAACTGACTCCTTCAATAGACTACTTGAATCAAGTACTCCGCAGAAAAAAACTGGAAATGAAAATGAAAATGAAGTGAAAGAAAGAGAAATATATAATAATGAAAAACGACTATCTCCACAAATATGGAAGAAGGCATCATTCGCAAGTCTTCTAGATAATTTAAATAATATGGAAACTGCATCCCAGTATCTTCACACTCTTTCCACATCTAAGTTTGAACTCAACGATGATTACGATGGAGAGCTTACATCATTTATTTCAAATATGCCTGAGGAAGAAGAGGAGATGACCTTACAACAGTGGATTCGATCAAATGCTGCAAATTGTCGGAAACTCCTAGAACAAGTATGTACGGAAATGATCGATAGTTACACGAAAGAATGTGAAAGAGCAATGACTATCCTTCAAGACTTACCTACTGAAGATTAATGATGAACATGAAATTCAATTTATACTTTAATATGGATATTATATTCATAATGCTGTAACGTGACGTAGGGCTAATAACGGTGTGCATATAAGCGCCAATTCTTGCATTAAATATCTCTACGACAGTAATTGGCCCTCTATAGTTAATCGCTTATCATCTAACACTCTCGATTGTTTTTTTCCCTAATAAATTAACTTGTGCAATTCATTCTATAGGTACCTGTATCTTCCTGGACGAAGGGGAGATATCAGCGTGTGAAATTTAAGGATAATAAATTAAGAAAAATAGAGATTTATAAAACAAACGGTTGTCAATTACCGAGACTTTAGTAGATCATTCATCAATTACAATGTCATTTTGGCCGTTTAGCAATTCATTAAATAACAACAGCAGGCTCCAAAAGTTTCTAGACACCGTTACTGATGTTTCGTCTGTGTCTGTGGAAGATTTGGTTGTTGACCCTGAATTACTGCTGGAACTAATTAGTGAGCTCCATAACATCAAGGGTAATTATAGCAAAAATGCATTAAGTTTTCCAATTCTGCTGCAATACCAGCAACTGCAAAATGAAGAAAGCAATTCCAACTCTTTGACTTCTAGTAGTATGAACGGAGAGACTGCGTCTGTGTCCTCATTTAATAATGAATCGTCGAGCAACAGCAAGGATACTCGAGGAGCAAAACTCTTGGAGATTTTAATTCAACCACATATTTTAAATGGTTTCCTTGATTATATCGTCCAAAGTGTTGTTTTCTTTCATGAGCTTTCGCTCCAAGAAAATACTACATCTGTTCTTGATGAAGTGAATGATACAGTGGAGGTTGAAAACGGTTCTGCTGAAAATCCAGACAGTGGCGATAAACTAGAGCTGGTCAAGGAAGATTTACTCGAAAATTCTATTAAGGAGGAAGATGAAGATGAGCCTGTTGATGAAGAATCCGCCGAAGAAAAGCTTCGACGCTACATTCAAGTTTCATCCGATGTACTCTCACTTGATCTATGGATTATACTGAATCGAATCATTGAAACCCCCATTATCATGAGTAAACTCTGGCTGGTGCTTTCTCTTCCAGAATTGGGAGAAAGCTCCCCAACAGTCTCCTATTTGGTCCATATATTAGATCAACTTATGGATGCTAATAGTATAGAACTTCTCAATTTTGTAAGAAGACAGCCCAACTTGGTTGATATCTTTTTAGAAAAGATTGAAATACCAATGTTGATGGACTTTTTCCTTAGAATCATCCAAACTGATAAAGCCGACTCTCCTACAGGAATCTTAGAAACTTTAAGTCTGCAACAATTAATTGTTAAGTTGGTAGAAATTTTGAAACCTCATCCATCTCAATTTGTACCTAGTTCATATGGAATTCCGGATTCAGAATTGTTTTTCAAACAAACAGCAGCAACTGACTTTCTTAAGGCATTAGTCACCATCTCCTCAAACACTGCATTGGCGATAAATTTGGATACCAACATTGGACCAAATCAACTTACTAGAGAATTGGTATCAAGAGATGTTATTCGAACCATGGTGGAAGATATTATATTATTCAGGCCGCCAAAAACTTCACCATCATCTACAAACAAACATGGTATTAATAATTGTGTGGGGATCATCATTGAATTGATTAGAAAAAACAACTCGGATTATGATTCAAACTGTGGAATTTATAGTGTTATGCTTCAACAAAATGGAGGTAACGCAGAAAATGGTGGAGGTAGTGAAATCAATTCATATGTTATGTTTCAATGGCTTAAAGATTTTGAACAAAATCCTCCAGGTGTACGAGATCCAATATATTTAGGTGATATGCTTGAAATATTTTCTGATCATTTGGGAGACATGTCTGAATTAATGAATATTTCACAATCAGATTCTAATACTGAAACCTTAGGTTTTACAAATTTCAAAATTTCTGAATTAATTGCTGAATTGTTACATTGTTCAAATATGATTTTGCTTAACTCCAAAAAGATTAAGAAAGTGATTCAAGTTCGAGAATATGTTCGCTCTCAGCAGTGTCGTAGATTGAAAAGAGCACTTAATGAATCTATTGTTTCAGATAACTTTAGTGAAAACGGGATTATTAATGATGTTACCCATGGTCTTGATGATGTTTCTTTGGATAACGTAAGTTTGGGTAGCAATAACGTGAATTTGGGTATGAGTTCCCTTAACAATAAAAAACCGGCTCTGGTTTTGCTGTTACTGCCTCAACTGTTACACCACAATTCCCACAGTGAAACTATTGCAACTGATGATGAGATATCATTTTCCATGGATTTAGATATAGATGAAAACGACTCAGAAGACGAGGAACCTGTAATTTCTCCAGAGAACCCATTTGTTGACAAAGAAAGAGATGAAACCATCAGGGTAAGTCCTTGTGTTGGTGATAAATTTAAGATTGATCTAGTAGATCTGGGAATCCTTCTGCTTATTGTTAAGAAGTTTATTGCCTTTCCATGGCATAATTTCTTTCACAATGTCGTTTTTGATTTGATACAACAAATCTTTAATGGTAAACTCAACTCATATAATTCATTTTTAATTGTTGAGCTTTTCAAGGAGGAACAATGTGATCTTACTGGCCTTATTATTGATTCATATAAAAATGTCACTAGTCCTCGTCCAGGTTATATGGGTCATTTAATTCTTATTAGTGAGGAAATAGTGAAATTTACCTCACTTTATAAACCTGATCTTATATCGCCAGTGATTGTTCAAGCCATATCCTGCAAAGGTTGGGAGTGGTTTGTTAGTGAGGTTTTACTTAAAACTAGAGAAATTTATAATGCAGTTTTGGGAGCTGATAATGATGACGTTGATATAGAGGGTTTAGCGAAAAATTCAGGAGATATTGACGAACTGGACTCATTTGGGTTTGATTCTTCGACCGTTGGATATCTTGATCTCGACGCTTATGATCATGGACAAGAAAATTCCAAAATTATTGTCTTGGGAGATAAATCCAATCACGACCGGTTCGTCAATGAAACCCCAGTTGATAATGGCGATGGAGAAGAAGGAGAAGATGAAGATGAGGTAAGGTCGAACATGCCCGATGTTCCAATTTCTTCTCTTCATTCCATGACTGCCCATGGACAGGATAGTATTGATGATGATGAAAGTCAAGAAGAAAATGACTTCTTAGAAAATTTATCAGGCTCTAGTTCGTCTGATGAAGAAGATGACGATGAAGAAGAAGAAGAAGAAGAAGAAGAAGACGCTGACGATGATAACGAATTACGAAGAGTTCCCAAGCACAGTAAGTAAATGAAAGAAATAGAAGCTTAAATAGGTATAAATATTTTTTTTTTTTTGTAATAGTTGAATGTACTTTTATTTAAAAAACACCAAAACATTATATAGATTATAGTTCTGTCTAATTTCTACGACCAGAGGATCTTCCATAGATGACTTTTCCGTTAGGCAATTCTACCTTTTTTCCTCTTTGAGCTTTCTTCTTTTGTTTCTTCTTACTGTCGTCGATGTCTGCAGCATCTACATCTTCAGTCTTGGAACCACCTTCATAAACATAAGTTGTATCAATTGTCTTTGAAGTAAGTTTTCCGCCTGAAACATTCCAGAGAAAACATGGAAATTTGAAAAGGAGGGTTTCTTTCCAATGAGGAGAAATGTTAATAGAATGTTCATCGATAATTGACAAATTGTCACCAGATTCAACAAGGTAAACATTTCCATCTGGAGTAACCAAGAATTGTTTTCCAGTCTGTTCATTCACAACCTTTCTATCAGATCCATCACTAGGTGGAAGTTGAGAACCACCCCATGCCTGTGCCTTAATGGATTGTTTCAAAGCAATGACACGCTTAACGTCTTGCTTTCTATTGATAGTTAATGAAGCATAGTGTAAACCTGAAACAATAATAAATAATAAGAAGAGGGTCAAAACAAATCCAGGACGGAACTTGGAATAGAAGTAGCCAGTACCCTTCCACTTAGGAAATCCCTTAGCATAAAAGTAATCATAACGTCTTTTCAAACTCTGATCTTTCAAGATGTTACCAACAGCGGACAAACGTTGGAATCTTTCTTCGGCAACTTTCTTTTCAGCTTTTGACTTGGTGGAAATTTTATCTGGATGTAACAGACGAGACAATTTTCTATAAGCCTTGTTGATATCTACAACTGAAGCTTTGTTGCTCAATCCAAGCCAAGAGTAAAAAGTGGCATCAGCTCCTAAATCTTGACGGACTTTATCATTTAAGGAAAAGATTTCATAGTCCTCGGGAGACCAATTAGAAGCTGCAACAACTGCAACTAAAAATGATACTACCAACCAAAAATTCAAGAATTTCATTGTAAGAGTGATAAGAAAGGATTGGAAATATTGAAATACTTAGAGAATTACTTTATGTTCAATGGTGCAACGTGTAATTTGTGCAGGTTCTGATGCATTGAGATGCCTGTAAGATTGAAAAGTGTTTGAAATATTTTCATGAAGATAGAAGACGGTACTCGAAAAGGGACGTACAAAATGAAAAGTGATTGTCTCCAGGGATCTACAAGATTGAATCTTCAAAAATGTAGTTAGTATTAAACCTTCTGTAGGGGTTTGGTGGGGATCGTACAAGAGTCAACTTGCCGCATTAGTATTATTATTATTATTTTTTTACTATTTTACTTTTTTGCAAAAACAGAAATGTTCCAATGCTTCCACTTTAAATATCTACATATGTAGATTCAAACCACACTAACATATGTATATTATAAAAATAAACACCCAACCCAATCGCACTTTATTTGCTACTTACTTAGCCTCTTTGTTAGGATCAACTATTTTTTTTTTTTTCGGTATATGTATATGGGTGAGACTTTTCGAAAGAACGAAAAAAAGGCTACCTATACATTTAGATAGTGCCATACATACATATTAATTAGAACCAATGGCTCAACTTTATCCACTTTCCACCAAGGGAAAATTAATCTTTTTCTACAATGTTACATCCTTTACCTTGTGGTTATGCTGTTTAGGTAGATTACTTATCTTACTTCCCCTTGTTGGTAGATCATTCGTCCCAGGTGGGATTGCTGATTTCTTTCATGTGGTTTCATTATTACCAATCATAAGTCTTCTAATCATACCTACATGGTCCCGTGAGCGGTTATGGAGTGTTTTAAATTGTCTTAGGATGGCTTGGATATGTTATGGTGTTATCTTTCCATATCCAAGAATTGCAAAACATACTTCATACTCATTTTTAATAATTTCATGGTGTATTACGAACATTATTAACTCTGGATACTATAGTTTCAGGGTTAAAACCCGTACATCCCCACAATGGCTTTTTTGGCTCAAACATCATATTTTCTTCATAACTTTCCCAATGTCATTAGTTTCTGAAATGATTCTTATATTCTTAAGTTTGGGGTTCGTTGACGATGATCTGATATACGAATTAATTTTAAAGGGAGCTTTCTTATTATACATCCCTGTGGCGTATTTCTATTGGGGACACTTAAAATCTACTAGGGTTATAAAATACAAACAAGTTATTGCTAAAAGAGTACAAGGAAGAACTGCTTCAACTAACATATAAATAAATATCACGAATATATAGATATATAGATATTTTGGTTCAAACAATCACATTCAATCGTGTACCAACAATATAGTATCTACTAACGGCCCAGAATACGGTACCCAATGTAGATAGTATCCCTACTAAAACAACAAACATATCATAATTATGTTGAGACCCATCACCAATAATACTAGCACCAATTGGAACACCAATTAAATTACCAAAACTAAGAAAGAACAGTAAAAGTCCATACCTACCTCCGAATTCCCTAACAGGACTAATTTGGCCCAAACATGAAGGTAACATGGATAATATCAGTCCCAGAAAGAAACCACCTAAGGCAGCAAATGCATAAAGAGCCTTTAAACTACTTCCGAATGGGAGCCAAACAACGAATATAGAGAAGTTTAACCCAGTCAACATTAAAATATTCATATTGAATTTACCAAATTTATCTGATAAATAACCAGGAATCCACCTTCCAAGTATACCTGTACTGTTCCAGACAGTAAGGAGGATATATGACGTTGATTCTGAAATTCCTTGTGCAATTGCATAAGTTGCAAAGTAAGTAACAATAAGAATTAAAGATAATTCAGCACTGAAAGCACCTGCAATTAAGAATGAATAATTTGGTTCCTTAAGTGATTTAAAACTTAAAGATTTAAAAACTTTAATAACAGGAAGAAAAATTGAGTTACCCTTTATTTTTGAATGAACAATTTCCTCTGCTTGTCTTTCCTCTTCTTCCACTTCCTCCTTGGTTTTGGTTACTCTCTCCTCTACTAACAATACTGCTGATACCATACACGCCAAACAGAAAAAGGCAAGAATTCTAATTGCCCATTGAAACCCATATTTAACATATAACAGTCTCAACATCAATGGAATTACCAAACCTCCCACAGATCCCCCACTGGTGGCAATTCCAGTAGCATTTCCTCTCTTGACAAAAAACCAATGGTTAATTACTCCCACTAAGGGAGTCATGGCAATACCATTACCAACGCCAACACATATAGATAAACTTAAAATAAATTGCCAAACATTTGTGCTATTTGCAGTAGCAATGAACCCCACAGTAATCAATACAGTGGCAGATACAAGTAACCATCGAGGACCTTTTCGGTCAAATATGGGACCAATGAAAAGACCAATTGCGTATGCCAAGGCAAGATAAATTGAAAAAATCCAAGATACAGTAGATGTTTTCACGTGGAGTAACTGATTAGTTGAAACATGCGCCTGTATAGCACCAATTGAATTAATAACTCCTAAGTTTGAAATAAGACCAAGAAAGCTTCCTAAAAGTACACTATATGCCTTCTTTCCTCCATCGGGGTATTCATCCTTAATAGATTGTGAATCTGCAACTGGTTCTGCTATATCTTGTCCGTCGGACCTTTCATTCTCCTCACTACCACGAGCACTGGCTCTTTCTTCCGCTGCCTCTAGCTCATATATCATAGATCTATCTATTGTCTTCGACATTATGTTCAAAGGTTCCAGGAGGGTAACTTGGGCAAGGAGAACCTTATTTAAGTAGTGATAAAACTCGGATTTGTATCTCCACGTCGTTCTTATCTATGTCACGTGTTAGTAGTTGACTCACATCAAATATTTTTTTTAAAATTATATTTTTAAGTAGCCAAGCATAGAAGTCTTTTAACTAAGACTCACCATGTTCTAGAACTGTAAGGTATACATGGTTATATATGAGTCAGACAAAGTGTTAGAAGTAGCATTCATGTTAGCAAATTCGTAGGAACCTTCTTCATTGAACTCATCGTAACCACCAACAATACAAATCTTAGCCTTACCAGACAACAAAGTTTCAATACCAATATCAACAGATTCAACGGCACTGGCACAAGCACCGACAGGAGTCTTGAAGCACGATGAAATGGATCAAAAACTTATTGAACCATCTCCAATCCCCAGCATGACGAGCGAATTTCTGACCCGGTGTTGTCTCCACAAGAGTGCTGTCTAGATCAAATGCTGCCACTCGGATTTCCGTCAGGCTCCAATTTCCAGTAAGACCATCTATTGGAGTCTTTGAAATAAGATGACTGCCCTTAACACTCCATTTAGATTTAGAAGTGTTGTTGGTAAGAAGTGTCACTGGACCGATCTCCTTCTTAGGTTTCTCCCCACCAGCACCACTGGCTAACGTTTTAGCCTTTGTCGTGGGCTTAGTACCGTTCAGAGCTTTAAGAAGGGCAAATACGTCGCGTGACATCCTTTACCGATCTCTTTATGTAGATACTGAATTGTATATCTACACCTCAATATCTAATCGCAGTAAAAATAAAATAAAAATAAAAAAATAGATTGATAGTCATCAATATGAGTAAATCGGAAAATGAAAAGGTCTCTGTGGATCAGTAAGGTCGTAAGGTTTGGGATGTATAAAAAGGTGCCGATAAAGAAGAAACTTGGGCCATTACTTGACTCGCAAAAGTCATATCTTTCTCATCGTGATACAACTGGTCAATGCAGTTCAGCAACATACTCTTCTTAGGTCCAGTGGTACGGTGGCTTCCATTTCTGGAGCCGATGTTTCTACTGGTAGTACCAGTGGAGGCCGTAAAAAGCTCTTTGGGTTTAATTGTCCTGTTTGTGAGCTTTCATTCCGTGATACGATCCCCTTGGTTGATTATTTCAATTCACCACACCATATCTCTAGAGTGAAAGGAGGGTATGAAGAACAAGATCCGGATATTGGAGTGCAAAGTGCCACGTTGAAAGAAGTCAAGGCCATGATGGAGACTTTCGCTGAAAGAATTGTACGAGCTTCTGATTGTGGTTCCAATTTTGATACATTTGCAGAGAGGGCAAAGAAACGTCAAGAATTCGAGTTAAAACTTGAAAATAAGAGAAGAGAAAAGAGAATCCAATACAAGCAAAGGAAAAGAACAAAGCAGAAAAAGTTAGAGGTTGGAAGTGGAGGAGATGATATTGAAGCGATGATGGGGATTAGTGGATTTGGAAGTACCAAGCGCTAGATATACGAAAAAAAATCATTAGAATATGATGGAACTTGTCTCTCTGTGATATAGATGTCCAAGATGTTGTTATCAAGCTTGTAAGCTAAGTTCTTAAAAAGTGAGGTGGTTAAGACCCCTCAGTAAGTGTCCTTGGTTGATAAAACGCTCCTCTGGGCCGCTTCTCGAGGAGAACATTCCTCGTTAGAGGAACAGGAGACTCCACGATTAGTGGCCCACGAAGTGCCGGCGGAGCGGCTTGAAATCCCCGTAGGGTAGTTCCACCCTCTTCCCCGCGGGGCTGTGAGCCGCTCCGTTGGCCCCTTCTCGGGGACTAGGTATCAAATCCACTGGTCTGTCGTTTATTACTTAAGGAGTGCTATGCTCCTCTCGGATTCTTCCAGTGACTACCCTACATATTCACACTTCTGATACTCTCATATAACTACTCTATTCTAATCATTTTTTGAACAATTCCCCAAACATCGGATCAGAATATTTGTAATACCTGTCCTTTGTAGCTCTTCTAAAGTCCTTGCCCCATTTGATCATTATAACAAATGACCCATTAATGACAATACTAAGCATAAACATCAACCAAGTAGTAAGCTTCAATCCACTTTTGTCTAACCAAGGTTGAATGGCAAATGTGAACCCACAACCAATTAAATTTCTAAGTAATAACATGAGAACCAATCCTTCACTTGCTAGTTTTGGATATGAATCAACACTATATGTCAAACAAATGGTACCTGATGAAGCCATGGAAAATCCAAGAAGCGCTTGTCCAAGGCCGGCAGATATAAACCAATGTGCTTCATATGCAACCCCTAAGCCATATGCTAATAATCCAGCAGCATTCAAAATGGTAGGAACGATCATGGTCCATAAGCGGAATTCCGGCTCCATAATACCATTATTACGTTCCGATAACTTGATAGTAACCCAATCAACAAATGGTCCACCATATACCATACCAATGAGAGATCCAACAAGAGCGCTAATGTTTGTCAAACCGACTTGAGGAGTGGTGAAATTATAGGGGGCAACACTAAAGATTTCAGATTGAGTGGTACCCAAGAGAGAAAGCCACATCATTTGAGATCCATATACAAGACCACCCCACATAACTGCTGGGATGGTAAAAAGGAAAAATGGTCTATAGAAAATTGTAAGCCATGAACGTGAATCATTGAATTCAGACTCAACTAATCTCATTCTTTGCCAATAAGTTCTCATGGGGATTGAATGATCAATGGAGTCATCATCGGTATTAATTGAGTTATTGACTGAAACAATGGTATTAAGCTTATCATCCGAGTTAACTCTCTCTTGAGAAAGTTGACCACTTTGAACTGCCAGAAGAATTGTTTCTCTAGACTTTATTTGTTGCATAATTGTATCTTCTAATTCTTCTGTTTCCCTCCTTTCAAATGTTGTATCTTCCATATAAAACAATTGAGCAATGAAGATAGCTCCAAGGATGATTACTTGAAAGTAATAACACCATCTCCAACTCATGGTTTCTACAATGTATCCACATGCCACTGGGCCCAAGTCTGAACCAGCATAAAGGGCCATGACGAACCATGATAAATACAGTGCTCTTTCGTGTTGATAAAATACATCCGTGGTAGATATTTCAACAAGAGTATCACCTGGTGCAGCGGCAAATCCAGAAAGAAAATTCACCACATACAACACTTCTACAGTATTCCCTTGAGCTCCAATAATATTGGATATCATGGCAAAGAATGTACTTGCTAGGTAAACAAATCTTCTACCGAATTTCATTGCAGTTGGTTGCAAAAACACACTTCCAATTCCTAAAAAGATAAAACAAATGGCAGCTGAAATGTTAAGTTGCATAAAGGTACAATTAAATTCTTCTGTCCAAAGAGTATAAATTGGTCCCGACCAATTGACTGTAACTGCTTGCATGAAAGCCCAAAACCACAAGAGAGAAAATTGGGCAATTTTTTTCAGTTTGGGCCATCTCAAGGGATCGTTTGGGTTCAGTGAAGGCTGTGGTTGTAAGATAATGTTGCTTTGAGAACCCAGGTCCTTCTTCACGTTGAGAACACCTTCAAGATCAATAAGGTGGATGGTTCCCGGAACCATTTCCTCGTCAATTGAAAGTCTTTCTCCCAGTAGTACTTTATCCAAATTTTGCTTCTCCATGTTTTTTTTTTTTTGTTTTCTGTTGGAATAGATAGATTTACATTTGCAGTCAGAGTTAGAGGTGTCCTTTTATAACTAGTCATAGGTCATAGTGAATGTTATGATAAGATAATGCGGGACAAGATAACAATAATGAGAATATGCGAGATAAAATATCTTTTCATCAAATTTGAAGTTTGCAACCCGCAATGGCATGCCGAATGGGGTATACTGTTAGAGAAGTTATTTCCGGTTAGGTTGCGCGCCAATTACAGTAGAAGAAAGAACATTTTTTATGAGAATGTCTAGTAATCGATCAACTGGGTAAGAGGGGTTTGTTGGCACGGGTGTGTAGAATAGAATAGACCATTCAACCCATCATCAAAAATGGGGAGGGTCTAGTTTATATCTTATGGCCAATTTGGGCACTTGCATGCGAGTATTTTTGTGACACAAATTCATAACAATTGAAAGTTTGAAGTGGAGATAGTTTTACGATGGTACGGATGCGTTTATCTCTACTGAGCTCCCGTAAGAGGAACTTGCATGCGAATGCGAATCGAGGTTTTTGTACATTCTTAAGAGTCATGGGTTAAAATCTCTATCAACCACATTAAAAAAAAAAAAACGAGAAGGAAAAAAAATAGAGAATTTTAACTCGCCTTTTAATATCTTACCATTGAATCCCCATTGGAGGCACTGGGAATTTAAACTTTATCTAATAAATCTCTATATATCTACTTCATTCAACCACCTTTTGCAACCACAATATAATAGACGTGTACATATCAAAACTTTTTTTTTCCCTCACTTTTGTGCTATTATGTTTTTTTTTTCAATTCGAACATGTTTTTCAATTCCTACAAAGGTTTATCGATAAGATTAATACTTCAACTATATATACAATGATCACCAAATATTTCACAAAGGTTACTGTAAAGTTTGACCCATTTGCACCTAGTGCTAGACCTGCAAGACTTTTTCTTGCCAGAATACCCCCATCATTGAAGGGTCAATGTACAGTCAACCATAAAATCTTGACTGCTACTTCTCCAAGTACAGAAAAGCCAACCATAGAAGTTACATTTAAAGACAAAGAAGTCTTGAAGGCAGACCCAACCAAGTTGGACATCAAGGAGTTGATTGCTCTTTTCGATTCTCACTCTAGAAAGTTGGTAATCAAGGATTCTATAACGGTTTAAGAGAGAAGGAGAAAGAAATATATATACTGGGCATTAACTTACATCCGTGGCTATACTAGGGCCAAATCTTTCATGTAAATATAAATAGTAAATTGCAGGATTGTTTGTTTTCATTCTATTAATTTGTAGTATTCATCCATGATGGACGAATGTTCTCTGTGCTTGGAGTTAACTTTAACTCTCTTGATTCAGGATCGTACATTAATGTATGCGAAGTTTGAGATGAACCGATTTCCTGTATTATCCATGCCATCACACATTGATACCATTTCAATAATTTCTGACATGTGATCTGTGAGTCCTTATCATCCATTGAAACGTAGACAGGTTGTCCTTTAGAATGTAATAAGTTTGGTATATCGTTTGTATCATAAGTCTTTATAGCAGCTAGGTTGTATGTTTCAGATTTTTTCCTAAATCCAATTACTACATACTTTCCAGAAATTAATCTAGTTTGACACCAACTTGAAAGTAATTTCCTACTAAGTTTCAAGTCTATAGTAGAATTTTTAGAATACCTGTGAGATTTTAATTCAACATATCCTGAAAGTCCATCTTTTCCCTTTACTGAAGCATCTATTTCTGCTGTGAAAACTACTGAAGTCCCTGAAATATCATGACCTGTAACAGTATAGAAATTTCCCTGAGAATCCTCCTCTTCATTTTCTGTAACTAAATCTTCAAATCTAAACCCAGTATAACTCAATAGGTCTGTATCTGAATTCTCAAGATTTAAATTATTTATCTGAGAAATTAATGAATCTGTTGTCCAATCTTTATCAATGATAAGATAATTTTCCCATCGAATAATATTTAACAGGAATTCCTTTGAAGGATTTAAAGGGATAAGCATAAGTAAAAGTAAATTCCTACGTAATGAAGCTATCGTTATTGAATCCCTCTTTTCGATCTTGTCAAGCGCCAATAATAAATCCAGTAACAGATATATTTCTTCTTCTGTTGGTCTCCTATAATCCAGAAACCCAATAGTTAAATCACTCCCTATTATGGTAGATTGCTTATTGATAGTGTTCTTCTTTTTCTTACCCTTTTCTTTCCCAATAGGTATTCTTAGATTTCGTAAATTTTGTTTGTCATTAGGAAGGAATGTCTTTTGATCAGGTTTGCTAAAATACATGTACTCTTTTGATGCTAATTGTTCCGAGGTAGATTGAAGTATCAATTCGTCTAACTCATTTTCAGAACTAGGCTCATATTTATTAGTTAGTTTTGAAAATATCGAGAGTGGGAATTTCTTCATGTCAAGTATAATAAAGATTTGATAATTGCGAAAATTTTAATAGTGCAACCTTTATCTACAACTCAAAGACATATAGAAAACATTTCATAAACTAAAAAAATAAAACTTAATTTTGAGGTTTTTTTTTTTTTTTGCTATTGAAGAAAAGAAAGAAAAGATTACTTTCTTTGCCCATAAGCTTTGGTTGCATATTCACCATCGATAACAATTACATCTTGTGGTCTGTAATCAAACTTACCAGTGAAGTAACTTTCCAAAATATTCTTAACACCAGCAGCATACCTAGCTTGAGCATCCAATGTGGTTCCTGAAACATGTGGGGTCATGGCATTACCAGCACCATATGGGTTACGGAACAGTCTCCAAGGATGGTCTTTTGGTGCTGGTTGTGGATACCAAACATCACCTCCGTAACCACGTAATTTCCCACTTTTAACAGCATCTGCAACATCTTCTGCTACACAAATTGCACCACGAGCAGTGTTTACTAACCAAGCACCATCTTTAAATTTAGAAAGAAGTTCCTTATTAATTAAGCCCTTGGTACTTTCATGTAATGGGCAATTAACGGTAACAATATCACTTTGACTAACCAAATCTTCCAATTTTTCAACTCTTTCAACAATTAAATCTTTACCATTCAAAATTTTTGAAGCTTGTTTCAATTGTTCAATTGCTTCTGATGGTAAGTCTTGATAATCATAATACATAAGTTTCTTTGGATTGAAGGCAACTAATCTTTGAAGAACTCTGTATCCAATTCTACCAGCACCAATGGTTGAAATCACCTTATCTTCAAGATCAAATGCTTGCTTTGCAATTCCTGCAATATCCCATCCACCATCCATGGCTTGTTCATGGGCTGCAACAAAGTTACGAACCAATACTAACATAGTCATCACAACATGTTCTGCAACTGATACAACATTGGAACCAGTAACTTCAGTGACGGTAATCTTTCTTTCATTTGCAGCATTCAAGTCAACATGATCTGATCCAACACCAGCAGTGATAGCCATTTTCAATTTTGGAGCCTTGGCAATTCTTTCCTTAGTGATATAAGCTGGGAAAAATGGAGTAGTGATAACAATCTCAGCATCTTGAAGTTCCTTATCAACAGCGGATTCACCTTCTGGATCCTTATCATCGGTAGAAACTAATTCATACCCATTATCTTCAATGAACTTTCTAATCCCAAGCTCATTTTCTAAAGATCCAAGTAATCTTGCTTCTTGTTCAGCATGTTCACCGCCACGGTAGAGAACGAGTAAAACTTTACCACCCATATTTGCTTTGATTTTTTTCTTTGTTGTTAAAATTGAAAGTATTGATTTGTATTTAAACTATGATTTAATACTGATATAATAAATTATTTTTTTGAATCAAGTGGTATATTCAATGTACCTTATATACTGCAAACTTATTCTCCTACAAACCTATAAAAATTTAAAATATCGCAATATTATACTATATTAGGACCACATAACCGGATACCCAACTAAATCCCTCATACTGGAATGTGTTTTAATGGCTATTCTTCTATATCCCCGCAAATCATAGTACCCAATAACCATCGTGACATGATTTTTAAGATTCTGTGGGGTACATAATTCTAGAATATCCTGCATACCCGAGCTACTTTTCTTGCTTAATTTTTCTTAACTATAGGAAAAACAACGCGGAAAGAAAAATAAATATTCCGTAGTAACAATAATGAAACTTATTTGGGCCCCGCAATTTAAAGGGGGTGTTTAGATAATCAACAAATTAGTTGAGATTTATATATTTAATATCTCGGATAACTCTCTTTATGCATGTATGTAATGTATGTATTTCAAAGATTTTCCTTTGTCTCTTCCTGGGTATTCCATCAAACCCTGTTGGCTTCTATCCCGGAACGTCCCGGAGAAATTTCATAGGTACACTGTTTAAAAAAAAATCCTTAACTTACACAAAACTACTATACAGCGTAAGATTAGCAATACTTAATCTATGTAGTGGGAATAAACATGGTGTACTTCACCATATTTGATGTAGGAGGAGAAATTGATAATCGTATGCAAATAAAAATAACTATGACTAAATTATTTAGTCAAAAGCCAATTGCTTCTTAATTTCAGCAATGGCCAAACCTGGGTTCAAACCCTTTGGACAAGTTCTAGAACAGTTCATAATAGTGTGACATCTGTACAAGGACATGGAGTTTTGAAGCATTTCCTTTCTGAACTTGGTTGCTTCATCTCTAGAGTCAATCAACCATCTGTAGGCCTGCATCAAGACAGCTGGACCCAAGTATTCCTGCTGGTTCCACCAGTAGGAAGGACAAGAGGTGGAACAACAAGCACACAAGATACATTCGTAAAGACCGTCCAACTTGGCTCTGTCTTCAATACTTTGAAGGTTCTCACGGCCATCAGCAGGGTGACTTTCCCTTTGTAAATATGGTTGAATGGACTTGTATTGTTTGTAGAAATGAGTCAAGTCAGGAACCAAATCTCTAACGATATACATGTGAGGAAGAGGGTAAATCTTTTCTTCCTTAGCAGTGTTGGTATCTATACGGCATAAACAAGCTAAAGTGTTTCTACCACCAATGTTCATAGCACATGAACCACAAATACCTTCACGACAAGATCTTCTGAAGGTAAGAGTAGAATCTTGTTCATTCTTAATCTTAAGAATAGCATCCAAAATCATTGGACCACACTTGTTCAAGTCAACTTCATAGGATTGCATTTTTGGTTCAACTTCGGGAGTGTCGGGATTCCATCTGTAAATCTTAAAAGTCTTAAGTCTTGGAGAGGCAGCAGCGGCTTCGGTAGCCAAAGTTCTGCTGTGAACAAGCGATTGCTTGAGTGGGGCAAAGCCATTAAGGCGAGCTAAGGTTCTGTACATCTTGTATTGAATTGTTTAAACTACAACAAAAAAAAAAGACAAGGAATCAAAAAAGTTTTTTTTTATGAATAGCCTCACGAATTTTTGTTGTATATCAATCCCTCCCGGGGTAACGGTATTGACAAATGCTCATTTAACGAATTTTTATTGGTGGAATGAGGATCTGCATATAATGTTTTGAGAAAAATATTATAAAAGTAAGGGTCACGTGGTGCATTAAATTATATATGATAGTAGAATATTTAGCAAATGTAATCATGATAGTTTGTAAATTATTTTAATATAGCAAGTTAAGGACCACTATAGCTTTAAGTTAGACATCCCCGCTGAAAATGCTAAGCACCAAGTTCTACTAAGACCATCATCAAGAAAATATCCTGAAAAATCTGGCAGAGCAAAAAATGCATATGAAGATATTGGATCATAAAGGGCTTTATTCAAGTTAAGAATACTTAACCATCCACTCTTTACATTTGCAATAAAGTTTGAAATTTGTTGTTCCCATTCCTGTTGAACAAAGTATGGATCTCTAACTCTAGATGAAATTGGAGTAATTGGTAACATATGAATACCATGTACATATTCCGGGTTTAAATCAGGGCTTCCAAAATATGTAGTATAATGAATTTTATTTTCGAAAAGAATTCCTGCTACTTTATTTCCAATGAAATTACTAGGTTCTATTTCATTATCATCAGTATACAAGTAATACTTCCTCATTGACCTCTTCATAATAGAAATCATAAGATCACCCCTCGTCTCCATTGATGAATCGCCTTGAATTCTTCCCCAAAGTTTCATTCCATATGCAAAATTGTAATCTTCTGATGATGATTCTTGATTCCTACCATCTGATGATGAGAATAATCCACTGGCCCATGAATGACCTGAAAACCAATCAAACATTCTGAATACAGGGAAATTTTTGTCAAAAGAAGATGGATTAGCAACATCCCTTATAAGTGAATTAACCCACCATTTGTTTTCATTTACCCAATTTCCATCACCCCATTTATTATCAATATAACCAACAACTGCAGCTGCATGAATGAAATAACCATAATGGAAATGATGATCATTATAATATCCAGATCCATAATCTGCATTTACATCCCCATTTTGAGATGCAGTTGAAGTTATCCCACCAAACTTTGTATCATACATTAAAGGGTAATTTTGAGTATTTGAAATAAATATATCAAAAGTGGCTTTAAGAATTGATAAGGTAGAAAGTGTAAGCTTTTCATCTTCGATGATTTCACTTACAACTAACAATATATAAGCAAATTTATCAAGAAGTTTACCAGCAAAATAATTTGATTCAATCGAAACTACCATTTGTTTTATATCAACCAGTAATTCATTGTTGGCAACTTCAGATATTAATTGTAATTGTTGAGCTGTATAATGTAATTCCAAACCATCTACCCAAGGTAAAAATTGAATGTTGGTTTCCAAATTTTCAGTCATAAATATAGAATTTGTTGAATAACCTGATAATTGGCCCTTTGTAGTAGAATCTAAGTAAATTCCTGTTTTTTTACTTGCAGTGGTTGAAGTTAAAGACTCTTCAATGTGTGGGAGAATGAATACTAGTGGTTGCCCAAAGATATTTTTACCACTAGTCAGGTAAGTGAAGCCATATTCAGCTGATGTACCCCCTTCATTTGAATATCCCAGAAGAATTGCTTCTGTAACATATAGACCAGCAGAATTATCATAGACAGTGGTAAGCGACGGATTTGAAGGTTCAAGCGCTACTTGAATAATAAGGTTATCAATTGCCATAGAAGCTTGGATATAATTAATACCATATTCATTTTGAATGGATAAGTCAATGGAAAAATCTTGCGAGGGTAACGTTAAATATAGTAACCAAGAAGTTCCATCATTCAAAGTAATTCCGTATTTCAAAATATTGTTGTTTCTGAAATAAAATACAAATGATTTAATTCCAACGTTAGATTTTATCCGTGGGATTAGATTTCCATGGTATATACCAGTAACAAACCCCATTCCTTGGACAATTGGGAACTCGATATAATCGGTAGCTCCTTGATTAAGCTGAATGTTGGCGGACATCATTCTAATCCTATTGACACAAAGTAAAGGTTCTTGGAATGAAGAAGCAGTGAAAATCACTTGTCCCAACTTGACAGGGTTAAAAAAATATGAAGCAATTTGATAATTGTTGGTGTTTGAAGATCCAAAAACTCTTTTGGAATTATCACTTGATTGTATTGATATACCTCCAACTGGATCATAATTCAAAATGTAGGGATAGGAAAATATAGAATCGGTTTGTTCACCTAAGAACAGGTTTACGAAGAACTTATTAGTTTGAAAAGGCATGTCGTTCGAAACACATTGAGGTATATTAACGGGTAAATCTTGATGAATAAAAACGTTTGAAACGGGATCGGTGGATATTGGTTCAAATATGTCACCATTAAACCCATTCGCATTAGTATAAGTTGAAGTAGTTGGAATCGATAAAGAAGGAGTTAAGCCATCTGAGGTGACAGCAGATTTTATCTCACTTGTTGTGAAAGTGGGAGTTACGACGGGGGTAGTTGTTTCAATTGAGGTGATGGTTTCAGCGAAAGTGAAAGTGGATGTTGTTTCAATAAAAATAGCTGTAGACTTGGGGCTTACATATGTAGATGACGTTGTACATGGCACTGTCACTACCACCGTTTTATCTTGAACGATCGTTGCGGCATTAATGGAGTTGGAAATTGGGGTGAAGATAGGATTGCCGATACTTACTGGGTTGGTTTTGGTAATTAGGTTTGTTACAGTAAAAGTCGGGATAGTAAAACTTGTAGGACTTGGATCATTGTAAATGGTGGAACATGAAGAATAGGTAGTCAAAACTCTTACAACATAGGCACCATTTACAAGGTGAAAGTAAAATAGGATTAATAAGTATAACATTATGGATAGTAAAGAAAAGAACTTAAACAAAATGTATTGTTTTCGCCCCCTTTTTTATGGTTTTGCAGCATTTTTTCGTACTATGTGCTGCAAAAAATATTCTATCACTTTCTTGAAAAAAAAATAAAAAATAAAAAAATTTCTAATAAAAGTAGTAAGAATTACTTCTGAATGTTAATTTTTTGTAGAATCATTAAAGCCTTTCTTTTAACTAGTTAATCTTTTGATACTTGATTCTTTTTTCAATTGATACTTTTACCTTTCTTCTCTTCTTTATAATTTTACAAAATGGTGTATATATGCAGGATTTATCACCGAAATCACCGAAATAAGTCATCATCACAACTCACCCCATTTATCTCTTCTTTAAGTTTTATTATATCACTAATATGCTGGAATTGAATTCAAGGAAAAGATTTCGTATAACCGTAGTTTGCAATGTATGCAAAGGTAGGAAAGTGAAATGCGATAAAAAAAAGCCTTGTAATTCATGTATAAAGTTCAAAACAACAGAACTTTGCAACTATGATGATCCTTTATGGATTAAAGCATCTCTGAAAGAATCGAAAGGAACAAAAGATTCAAAAGATGTCGAATCTGATTTGGAATCTCTTAAACAAAAAGTAAGTTTACTTGAATCCATTATTCGTAATCAAAAACGACAATCGAGAGCAGTGGAGAGATGGGATTCGATTGTTAAATATCCCAAATCTAAAAAATTCCTAAATCTTTCATCAATGATTGGCATAAATCCGGTAGCAACAGAAGACGATACTTTAAATTTCTATGAGAATTATGGTACTTTAAAAGTGAATTCAAATGATCCAATGAAACGGGTTGATTTGGGACCATTTTCTTGGCATGCACTTGTTAGAAGAGATCCTTGTCTTTTTGATTTATGGTGTTTTTTAACTCATAAAAGGGAACTATTGATAGAAAAGGATAAACTAAATATACAACATCGAAATCCTCATGGGGTATTAATGGCGATAAAACGATACCTGGAACTTTTATTTGGGAATACTACATATGTTAATAGTTTTATTCCACTTGGGAATAATAATGAAGCCCCATGGAAAGAATTACATGAGCTAATAATATTGCCTCTGAATAATATAATATGGTATTATATTGATATATTTTTCAAAAACCTTTATCCATATTTACCATTTATTGATGAGACGAATTTTAGAAATTCAGTATCAAACATAATATCTAATAGAACAAATGGATGTGGTTGTATTGAAATAACCGGAATTGCAGACTGTGCAATATTGGGATTACTTCTAATAGTTATGCGAATGGGTTATCTTTCTTTACTTTCCAATGAAAAGGACATGAATGAACATCCAATTGGAGCTGAATATATATTTTGGGCAAAAAAATGTTTAAATCAAATTGATATGCTTCAAAATATTGATTTAGGTGTGATTCAATTTGCTCTTTATTTATGGTTATATTTTCGAATCGCTCCAGAGAATGGAGAAGGTCCGGATCGTAACCTTCTTCAAATATTTAGTGGGATGATCGTACAAATGGCATTTAGTATTGGATTGAATCGAGAACCTGATAATTTTAATGAAGTGTCTACTAATGAGCGTATTAATCATCTTAGACGCAAAGTTTGGCATCAAATAAAAGATCTAGATATACGACTGTCAATAGAATTTGGCAGTCCACTTTTAATTACGAAACGTTTTTATGATACAAAACTTCCATTTTATACCCCTGGCTGTGAAAATAGTTTAACACCTGGACTTGAAAGGGAAATTATTGAAATTGACGAATCAGTTAATGAAATTCTTGAAAAAACTAAAAATATCCTTCTTACAGTATTAGAAATAACTGCTAAAGTTAAAATGGTAACAATATCAAAGTATCTTTGTGACATGGAAACAATTACGAATAAAACGTTTGGAAATCTTCACGATTATATTAATGCTTGTAATGATGGAAAGAATTGGACTTGGTTAATACATGCCCCATTGTTTATTTCTTTAAGATTATTCCATGCATCACTTTATTATGTGTTCTTTTTACATTATGAGAGAGTAAAAGATATTGATCATCTGTTTTTTTATCTAAAGAAATCACTTTGTATTGGTATTGAAGAATTTTTGCCATACTTTTTCGATTTGTTAAGTATTCTGAATGAAGATACAGGTTATGCATCTCAATTTATGTTGAATCCAAGTTTAGAAAAAGTGATAAATAGGACTAATGGGTTCTATTTTTCAACAATTTTTCGTATAAAATATACGCTTCATAAAATGACAGTGGAAGAAATGAATTCTAAACCAGAATATGTCAATTCATTGAAAAAACTTGCTAAATTAGTATCAGCATGTTCAAAAATAACTATTGTTGCAATATCAAAGCTTAGTGATAGATACTGGTATGCTTGGAGAATAGGTAAATCTCATAGTTTTATGCTTAAAACCTTAATTTCCGATTCATATTATGAAGATCTTGATCAATTTAAAGTACAAAAGGAATTACCAATATTACAATTTAAATTAGACCAAATACTTGAGTTAATCGAATTATTTGAAAAATCATTGAGTAAATACCGGAAAGAAGGATTCAGAGATCAATGGAGAACATTTTCCGATGTAACTAAATTAGTTAGTGAGAAGAATCCATTATCATTACTGGAATATAATTTTGATCGTGATTTAGAAGATTTTTGGTCATGTTATACTGAACAAATGGGATCTATAAGTAGTTTACCACTTGGAACCAATAACATCCAACATCTTTTCACTGATACAAATGAAGGAGATGTTGAAAATAGAATGAAAGACGTTCGTAATACCTTGGAAACTTATCTAGAGCTTGACGCTCCATATTTTGATTATGGATGTGGAATAAGTTCGTCATACAATTTTTCTTAACTCAAACATTAATTTTATTAACTATAAACTAACGAAAGTTGTGTATTCCCATTATTATTCCAGAGGTCTCTTGTATGTTAAAAATCCAGCCTTTTCACCAACTTTGGTATACAATAATTGCGCTCTATGATTTTCAAATTGAGTTTGCCAATAAGTCTTTTCACATTTCAATCTATCAGCTTCAGTGTATATGAATTCAATCAATTTTCTACCTATACCTTTCAATCTAGATTCCCCGCTAACAAAAAGATCATTCAAGTATAAGGAATCACCAATTGCCCAAGTATTTCTATGAGTAACATAATTTGCAAAGCCAATGATTTTACCTGTAGAATCATCAATTGCAACTGCTGCATTCACTGGTTCATCTTTATCAAGAAATCTGTTAAATGTAGTTTCAATCACATTATTAGGAAGGGTTGATTTATAAAATACCAAATATCCATCTGGACCAGAAAATAAATTAATCCATTCTTCCTTATCCTTTTCTTCAATTAATCTAATAGTTGACATATTTTGTTTAATTAATTGGAAATAAAAAAAACCTTCACACACATATTTATTTATATATATATACTAAATTGTGCGGACTGAACTTCCTAATTTGAATGAGAAAAAATCTTATCGCAAACTTCTCCACACTTTTTAAATTTGATAAGTTCCTTCAAGACAAGTAATACTTGAACCTCCAACATGTATTTTATCGCCATCAATTCTGATATTTAGTTCAGCGTCTCTTCCAACTCTTCTTCCTTGCTTTACTTTGAATCTTGTAATTTCGGTATTACCAAATTTATGAATAAAAGTTCCAATTGCTCCTGAACCACTTCCACATGCAAAATCCTCATTCAATCCGACAATTGGGGCAAAAGTTCTTGATTCTAATGAGCCATCTTCATATTCTCCAAATGTTTGAATTCCGGTCAACTGAAGTTTAGATGATAACTTTGTAATTTTTTGTAAATCTGGATTTAAACCAATAACAGCTTGAGCATCCGGGAATTTTATGGTTAACCATTTTGGTCCAACGTCAATTGCAATTGGAGGAGAATATGAAGTAATTGACTCGATATTAACTCCTAATGCATCTGCTATATCCTTATGGTTACTTTCTGTAACCTCAGATGTTCTATTATAAGGTAATTGAAATGAAAGGATATCATTTTCAAGAGAAATGGTGACAAGACCACCCTCACATTCTTGAATAAACTGTCCATTGCGAGGACTTATCAAGCCACTTTCATATATAGCATGACATGATCCCAAGGTAGGATGTCCTGCAAATGGTAATTCACATCCGGGTGTAAAGATTCTAAGACGATAATCAGCTTTAGGATCTGTTGGTTTCAATACAAATGTTGTTTCTGCTAAATTTGTCCAATTGGCAATTTGTTGCATTTGCTCTTGATCAAGGTCATCTGCATCAAAAAACACCGCTACAGCATTCCCCTTGTATCTCTTGCTAGTAAAAACGTCAACTTGCTTAAATCTAAGAGACATTGTTGAAGGAATATTTTAAGTTTCCACTCATTTCATTATGCTCATTTCATTACATTATTTCATTGTATTAGTAAGATAGCAAGACAATTTAGTCAATATGCAGTCAATAAGAAGAATTCAACTGTAGAATTTCCATCAATAAACTCGGGATTGAAAAGTAAAATCAATTGGATCCACATAAATCTGCGTAAACCCCCACATTTGCAGAGTCACCGCTAGAAAGTAGAAAAAGGTTGGACTTTTCCTCCTTAAAAATTTATGAAAATTATCTGTTCTTTTCAAAATGACATTTTTATGAGTATGCGAACAAAAGGTTTCGTCATGTACATGTACGATTGACACAATTAACGTTAATATTCTATGTCATTGATTTTAGAGCCGTAAATGTAAAGGCTCTTTGATATGTAATTTCACTACATATATTGTTCGGATCAACGTTTACCAGATTGTGGTTGAAATCTTATAATCGTTGTAACCTCAACAAAAGAGAATAGTCGTGGGTATTCATTGTTCCTGTTTTGCACGGCTCTCACTCTAACTTGTTAAATTTCAAATATCATATGTTCACGATATTATTAAAAGTTATGTCGACATATTTATTAGCACGAAACCGATATGTGGCATAACTTTTGCAGTGAAAAATCCATTACGTATGTATTGCCACAAATCTATATTGGTTCATGTGGCGTTATCGTGTAAATTTCAAGTTAAATTTTAGCAACCTCGATGTATTTTCTAAATCGTAAATCATCCCAGTTAAGCCAACATTTTACTACATATTCTCATATTAGCATTTCAAAGCCTAAAGCTTGACGAAGTCTCTTACAGGTGTGGTTCTGCACTCAGTAACACAAGGCTCGATACAACTACCTATTGCACAATTTCTTCTAAACTCAGATAAGTTAACTGTACTACTTCAATCAATATCTAGTGAATTATAATTCACATATTGGTCTCTAATATATTCAATTACCACTCAATTATGATTTCAAGCCAACTATTTTACTCTCCATCACTTGCGATGAATATGATAATCACCTTCATTATTTGATTCGGGTTCCGATAACAAAGTAGAACACACCACCCTTTCAAGGATCCAATGTTCCGTGTGTCCCGTGGGCCCTAAAGGGGGCCTAGATCTGACTCAGGGAGGGAGACTCTATTGTCCATTTTCTTGCTAGATGAACAAGGCCCACATTTTACCACCATGAGCCGCACTCCTGCCTGACCGGCTTTCCACCAGTAACTGAAATTTTCAATTAAACCCTAAAATTGACGTAAATCGTTTTAGATCGTTTGACATGAATTTCATATCTAGAGCCATTCGATGAATGGCTTTTTAAATAATGACTTGGAGGAGTATATAAACATCGTCAAATTTCTCCTCAATATCGTGTATATCTGTCAATAACAATCATCCTCATGATCTTCTCAATCAAAACATTTACTGCAATTGCTCTCTTCTGCTCAACTTTTGTTGAAGCCGCTCCTATTGATGGCCTTACTAAAAGGGCCCCTAAGGTCCTTGGATTAGATTTTGATGTGATCAAAAAAAGTCATCACAATTCAACTCAAAAGCGTAGTGGTGAATATAACTCCCCATTGACAAATGAAGGATATTATTACATTACTTATCTTGAATTTGGTACTGATCACCAGAAGATTGGTGTTGATATTGATACAGGATCTGCGGATTTATGGGTTCCAAACACTAGCGCAAACTCTGATGTTCAGGAATATGGTGTTTATGACCCATCTGGATCATCTGATTATCAAGATACTGGTGAAGCATTTTCTATTAAGTATGGAGACGCTTCAGAGAGTACTGGATCAACTGGGGAATTTGTTACTGATCTAGTATCCTTAGCTGATGGTTCCGCTGCACTTAAAAATTTCCAATTTGCCTCTGTCTCTGACACTAGCGTTGACCAACTGGGTATCCTCGGCATTGGGTTAACCTCTCTTGAAGCTCCTGTTTATCAAGGCGGTGGTTCAGAGTATCCAAACTTCCCTGTAGCCTTGAAAAATGCGGGCTACATCGATAAGGTTGCCTATTCCCTCTCGTTAAATTCGAAGGAAGCAACTACAGGATCTTTACTTTTTGGAGGAAAAGACACTGCTCAATATGAAGGAGATTTGGTAGTGCTTCAACACAGTGGTGAAACTGCCAGACTTGATGCCACTTTAAATTCTGTTGACGTTGCTGGTACTACAATTCAAGTTTCTACTCCATACAATTTTGACAGTGGTACTACTATTACTATTTTGGATGAGAATACTTATAATCTGTTAACGTCAGCCCTCGGTGCCACCGGTCAGGTGGTTAATGGTGAACCAATTATCACCACTACAACAGGTTCAATCACCTACAACTTTGATGGTATCAGTATCGATGTTCCTATTTCGGAAATTATCACCGACACCCCATATGGTTCAGCCCTTCAAGTCCAATACTCTGATACTGCTATCCTTGGTGACAATTTCCTTAGATACACCTACCTTGTCTTTGATCTTGAAGAGCTGACTATTTCCATTGGGAGACCAACCTATTCTTCAGAATCTAATATTGTTCCTATTTAAGATCTTTAGTCAACACTGGTGTTGTTTAAATGTACTGTGAAAATTGTTTATTTTTATAATCTTTCAATATGCAAAATGTTTTTATTTTCTATTTCTGTATGTTTGTGAACGAACTAGAATTGGGCTATATTCTATGAATGGTACTATTCCCAAATTTTTATGCCATATCTGCAATTTATAAACATTCCGTTCAAACTCTTGTATCAATATATTGATAGATGTTAACCAGATAAAAATGATAATCTTTTCGTGAGGTACGCAAATATATTTATATGGATTTTTTTTGAGTAATCGTAGTTAAATATATGAGTTTGACTAAGTAGATTGATGAACATTGATATTAGCCTATCAATCAGGTACTACTTACAAGAAGATTTGAGAAAAAATATAAACTTAATTCGTGACCTTCAGTAATAAGTCATAAAGTATAAGTACCATCTCATTGCTCAATGTAAATCTTATGAACCTATATCTCAGATTTGTGGTACATTTTAGTGCAGGTTTCGATCTAATTGTATGGGTGTAT